GTGGCCATGGTTTTATAAAACACCTCTCAAACACTGTCTTAAGGTCCTATCGCACCTGGACCATTTTTGTCATGCGATTATTTCGAATGTCAATATTTTTTTCCGAACCCGTATCCTGTCAATACATGCATTCACATCAGCGTCATTTTCCCGTTCTGCGATATTGCGGCATTTATTTTTTCTGATCATGGTCCATTTTTCTAAATGTTCGCATACTGTGTGGCCACTTCTGACCAATCAGATTACATGTTGTTGCGATGTCAGATTCGCCGGTATTTCCAACATGGCCGACCGGCTGATTGTTTATAATCGTTTACACAAACAATACAAAGATAACAACTTGAAGGCCAACTTGTGGAGAGTCATAGCGTCGGATTTCTGATATGACGATGGTTTGTGTGCTTTAACAGTTTGCTAAACGTCTTTGTTTTACCTTTCATCTGTGCTAACGTAAGCTAACGGTTGTTACCATAGTTTCCATACCATGTACCATAGTGCTTATCTGGTACTGGCCCTGACTCAGTACATGTTATTATGACAGAAAGCCATCTCAACACTAGTGTCTAGTGTCTAGTCCTCTGCCTCTTCAAACTTGGAGCTAATTGTTTCAGCAAAACTTCAAATTGTCCAACGGACATCCGAAAATAGGTTCTGAAGCGACCGTGGTACAGTTTCAGCTCCTGAACCAAGCAGGTAAATTCACCAAATTCTCTTCTTTTTTGTAATATTGGATGCACCCATGTACTACGTTTCTTTTTTTTTTGAGAAAGCAAAAGGAGTACAAATTCGCCATCACTTGAAGTTGATGTAGACTCTATTTTTGTCCTCTTGCTTCCAGCCGGGATGCTGTAGGTTGTTAAGTGAAGGTCCCGCCCTCCTTCGACTCTGATTGGCTATAAGTGCTGACCGTTTGGCTTGAGCGTGTGATGACGTTTCCAGCTTTTCTAGCCAATCAGAGGCGAAGGAGGCAGGACTTTCCCCCGGAAAAGTAGCAAAATCACATTGGGTTTGATGTGTATAGTCAGGCACGTCAAAATTCGCCTCCAAATATTTCTTGATTTCGCATTCCATATTCGTGTCGGCCCCGGTGCGTGAGGACCTTTGACCCCTGTACACAAACTCCAGAAGAATGTGTTTCTGCCGAAGAGTTGTATGATAAGATAAGATTATATAATATAAGATAAGATAAGATGAACTTTATTCCTGAGGGTAATTTGATATTTGTTGGAGGTAAAATCTAAAGGATGGCACCTGAAGACTGAAGGTGAAGTTTTTTATTAAAGTTTGATCAAAAAGAAGAAAGGCCTCAAGTCTTAGTGAAGGGAACCATGAAGAGAGAATAATTTCCTTCTTATTATTTATTATTTGTATTCAAAAGAGCAAACATGAGGATTCAAACCAACAGCCAGAGTTTCAGAGTCCTGATGACCCCTTACAGACCAGGTACCATGAGTGCAGAACTGAGGTAAAGTGCCACTCACTCTGGTTCCCGTCTGTCCTGAGTGACTGTCTGGCTCAAACATAAGCACAGTCCTCCAATTATTTTTGAAAGAAGGCCCAGGGTTCAGAGGTCAACACTATTTGTTACTGAATCAAACGCAAGCCTGGTGTTTTTTCAGATGCGTCCAGGAAGTCTGTTCCACATTCCCACACTTACCCGCCGTGTTTAGACTGAGGGGTCCTGAGGTGAAAGTCACCATGGGCCACAGACCCTCCTGGACCAGAAGAACTGGGTTCATCACATTTCAGCGCCACAGAAAGACATTATTATATTTCAAAGCCCTGAAATGAAAAAAATGCACCGTGTTGTGCAGAAGACTTATCCCACATGTAGAAAGCTGAACTTTCTGAAGCAAAATTTTGTTGCTTTTTTACATGATTTCGTAAACTTATTCCACCTGAGACTATTTTTAATGCTTATGCTGAACAGTTGATTGCCATACTTGACTGAGGACAAAGAGATTACCTCATACTTTTTTGGGGATATAATTGATTATGAAGATGGTCAAATACACTTTATTTTCTCTAACATGATGTAGGACTGACTGTAAGCTACAATAATTTGTAAATGCATTTTCTCAAGGTAAGCTCCATTTTATGTTAAGATGATTTGCACAAAGAGAAGGACTTTAAGCAGACCGACACTTCCCTACTAATTTCCATGCCCATTAAATGTTGATATAATAAAGATATTAGACAGACAAACAGCCCACTCAGTCAAGGGCGGAACAGCACATTACTTCATGAACTTTGCTCATCATAAACACCATTAACCTTGGATGTTCGAAGTTATGATTCGTCCACACTGCTGGCCCTGAGATGAAACTTCTGCAGAGAAGACACTGATACGTAAAATGATTCTGTCATGCTTTAATTTTGATATTTTTCTGCTGTTGCTTTAAGTTGCTTCACTCTTGTTTTGAAGTATACTCTTTGAGGTAGATCATAAATTGTGGAAACAAATGAAAGCTCTTAAAATAAACCAAGTTTGTTTGATTTTATAAACCCAAGAGGCACAGACTCATATGTTTTTTTTTGGATTTACATTAAATCTTTGAATTTCTGACAGTTTTAAAAGTGCCTCATCACCAATCAGAGGGCTGCTACAGCTAGCTTGGTCACAGCTGCTGCTTCTTTGTCCATCTTCTGTTGTAGGGCACATACCAACTAGTGTAAAGTACCAGTAATATGACTCTCTGTCACCACATGCTTACTTTTAACACAATTTCAATAGTTAATCTTTAAAAATGACAGTTATCATCACCACAGCCCTGACATATATTCATATAGCTGCATAAATGAACATTTTCATCAATTCAAAAGTTTCTCCGGTTTGTTCATATGCAAACATGTCAACCAACACAGACACTGAACAATGGCACAGACAGAGCTTTACTCTCAGCCTCACTGCACCAGGCTGTCAGTGTCTGTCTGCATCATGTCTGAGCTTTTCTCACACTTCCACATTCATGGTTTGTTCCTGCCTGGACCTGACCTCTGACCTCCTGACCACCAGCCTCTGGAAGTTCAGTAGAGGTCAGGTGTGGGGTCACATAATTCACAGCTTCATGCTGCCAGTATGATGAGGACTCATCACACTGGGGCAGTTTACCTCACTGTAGCATGAAACTGCACACCCACTTCACACTTTCACAAAAAGTAGTAGCTAACTCCCTGCTGGGTGCTGAAGTTAGGAGGTCAAAGGTCAGTGAAAGTGGCCTTTGACCACCTGTAGCTACAGGAATGTCACTCATTTTATCAGGCTGAGGTCAAAGTTTCATATGAGCACATTAGAAAATACAGACTATGTCTTAAACTCAGAAGAGAGGTAGGTGTGAGGCAGAATGATGTTTATCTGACTCATTATGAGCATTAATTTCTGTGGAGGATTTTCCAGCAGAGGGCGTGTGCACTGTGTCCCCTAACCTATCAGGCCTGAGAGCTCGTGTCCAGTCTCGGCCTTGGAGTCTCGGGTTACTGAAACACTCAGAGAATCTGAGGCCTGTGGTGAAACTGCTCAGCAATACTGCACCCTTTGTGTCCCTGCCTCAGCCTCTGAGCAGGTGTAACAGCTGAGAGGAGGGCAGAGGAGGACAACTGCTGCCCTGCCAACAGTATGGATCATTTAAGGCATTCGTAGAGGGAGTGTTCGCGGGAACAAAAGTGCAGCACAGAGTTAAATGTGGCTTCACTGAGGGGAGGCCAACAGGAATGGTCCTTATAAGGACCATGACTAGTTTGGTTTGTTTGATCTTTGCAATTCACTACTGTCCTTCAGAATTGGGGGGAGAGACTTTAACTTCATCAGGTTCACAGGGTGTTTCTTTAGCATCTCATGAAATAAATCAGATTTTCTTCTCTCATTGTGTTTTTCTTCATGTTCATTCAGTTTACTTTTAGGTAATTAATCTACTCAGACAGGAATCAGCGTCTGATATGTTGTCTTTAATGAACTGTAAATGGGACTTTCCCCTTGTGGGACTAAAAAGGAGTATCTGATCTTATCTTATCTTAAGTTTAGGTCATGATTTCTCCAGTCAGAAAAACTGAAGTTTGTGTTTGAAGCTTCATTGTATCATTCAGTCACACTTGCACAAGTAATGAAGGACACCAGTCCTCACGCAGATGAATGAAGACAGAATGCATCTGGCAAACTATGACCCCAAACCCTGATGACATCAGTCTGCTAGTGAATCCTCTCCACTGTGTGACATTTTTGGTGACAAGTGTGCTGATCTTAAAATTACCAAACTGTGTCCAACAGGTTACTAAATTTTATCAAGGATTCTAGTTAGATTGAGGACATTTTTTGTGTTTCCACTTTGTAAAGGGACCCAAATAACTGACCAGTACTGTCCTACTGTTTGACATCCTTTTTTCAGGGTACCAAGCTGATCCTCATTTCCTCAAAAACAAAGCTTATCTGTGATGACAGGGGATGATGGCAATACTGAAAACAGGCTAACGCCAATACGATCACCCAAGGCAAGTGGTTACATTTTTTTTAAGGACGTGTGTGTAGGCTTCTGTGCAGATTACAAGGCTAAGGCATAGGTCTGATGCAGTGGCATAAACCAGATAAACCAGGCTTAATGGAGACGGATGTCATGGACAGCGCTCAGCATAAAAAATAGAAAAGATAGAACTGTTTTGGATAGATCCTTCCTGTTCAGTCCATTCTATTATCTGAGTTCTTTCTACACACCAGTCCTCAGGTGCTTCATTTACATGTGATTGTTTTTTATTGAACTGTTCATTTGATTTTAAGAAAAGGGAAGTTATTATATAATCAAGGTTGTTTTATATTTAGGTCAATACGGTACTTTCTAGAAAGTGGTATTGCATCCTCCACATTTTTTACAGTATGACATGCTCGGCCTTCCCCTGCCTGCAGCCCCTCCTTGTTGCAGTGGTATGCTAACAGCTGCCCACTCATGACTTTGCACATACAGGCCTATGTGGACTTGCCGCTGAGGGGACATTTAAACTTTAAAGTGCCAAAGCGGACAGCTGGGTGTCTTGTGCTGTATGTGCATCCTCCAGCTCATCCTCTCACTGACAGACTCATTCACAACAAGGACTAAGAGACCTGATACCTGCTCATCTTCACTTCTCCATAAAATCCTCTTAAAGACAGAAGAACTCCTGAAACACTTACTTTTTATTTCAACTTTGAGTTGTGTGGACCGTCCCGTCATCATGGGTGCGTTTATAGCCAAGATGCTGCTCCCTACAGTCAGCAGCCTGGTGTTCCTGCCGACAGCCAGTGTGGCCGCCAAGAGGGGCTTCCACATGGAGGCCATGGTCTACTTCTTCACCATGTTCTTCACTGCGGTGAGAAAAACTTTATGGATCTGTTTAAATGTGACGGACTGAAACTCAAGTGTTGGGACTGTATTGGTTTAGATAGTTTAAATGAAAAGATAAGATGTTCCTTTAACAGTCCCACAGGTGGAAATTCCCAAATTTCCCCCTATGACTCCAACTTTTGTAAATTCCTCATAAAATCTGTATGTTAGTGTTTAAAGGTCAGGATAATACTTAATCTTAGGACAGAATCTCTTTGAATCCTCTTTCGATCTGTATAAATGACCATTTATAAATGTACCATACTCAGAAATTGAAGCAAATCAAAATTTCTGCCAGAAGGATAAATTACTGCCAATCCTTCTAAATTAATTCTGGTGATGTTGATGTGCATCAAGTCTTTGCTGATAAAAAAAAGGAGAGGAGGACACAGCCTTTTTAGGTCCTGTCCAAACATACAGGGACATCTCAGACCTCCAGTCCACATGAAGTTGTAGATAGATATAGGCGCATGATACCGAAGCTCACATTAAAGATGAAATGTCATGTGACCTGTGCAACTGAAGCTTTTACATCACCGTTGCTTCAAAACCTCTTCAGTCAGCTTGACCGTATAAAGTCTCATATTTAAAGTGTGTGATCAATTAAGAAAGTTGGTGACTCATTCAACTACCAAACATGTTAACTTGTGTTTTTGTAAATACGAGGAATAAATACCAGAACTTTGTAACAAAGACTTGATCATGAATTATTTGCCACCAACCCAGACTAAGCTAAGTATATCAGAGAAAATAATATCAGTAACTTTGATCAAGAGAGGGCTATTTGTAGTCATATATATGTTGAGTTTTAAATCAGCAGGACGGCCTCATGGACTTCTTTTTCTCAGACAGTGAGTGGAGGTGTATTTGTGTTTCAGACTATCATTTCTATCATTTAAAAAACCCCAAAGCTTCATCAGGTTCCATCTGCCCAGCAGAAGTTTTCGCTCACTGAAAATGAAGGTTTTTGAAAACATCTCTTCATTGTTGTTGCATAGACGACTAAAATTTTGACTTATATTGGGCATGACAGTTATTGTTTTCACATATTGGGCATGCGCCAAGATGTGGGCCATTGGTTTGTTTGGAGAGCACTTGGCTGCAGACACAGCAGAGCTCTAGGAGAGACTGCACAGTTGGAAGTTGGACCTCTGCTTAGATTTCAGCTGTTATTTGGAAATAAGGAGATCTCAGCAGCGAGAGTTGTTCTCAGTGTCTTTTTTTCAAACTTTGACAGTAAAATTTAAACAGACCTTAAGAGTTCAATGTTGCAGTTAGGAATCAGTATGGCTATTTAGCTCACACAGCTTCACATGTGCACAGTTAGAGCCCTGTTGGAGCATTCTCAGTTGAAAGTTTACCTCTGCAGTTTTACAGTTCAACATTAAAACCCTTTATTTTTAGTAGGTTTGTGAAAAGGACACAATGCAGTGCAAATTTTACTGGTGGAATTTGTTCCACTTTGTTCCTTTTAACAGCTGAGATCCAACTAATGTCCAACTTCCAACTGTGAGAGTACCTACAGAGGTCCTCCAAGGTCCTTGTTCAGCTGTGCCCAGTACAGCCAGGTTTAAATGACTGTTTACCAAGAAATCTCACTTTATCAGTATTCCATGGTACAGACTGAATAAGTACATTAAGGACTGAATAGTTTTTTAAATCTGCCGCTCTGCTCCATGAACGTGTGAGGTGTTCTTCTAATGTGTTTTGACATGACCGACAGATTACACATTACTGCCATCAACTGGTCTGGCCTGCTTATGTGAGTGTTTCTGACTGTCCCTGCATTATTGTGTCAGAGATGATTCAAAAATTCTCCACAAAAAGTTTGATTTGTCATTGGGAATATTTACTTTTTAAACACATGATGAATGCACGTAAAAGTTGTTCGATAGCTTCTTTAAACTTGCTCTCTCAGATTCTTGCCTCTCATTTTGTTTTTTTTAATGTTTGTCTTCTTGTAGATCTACCACGCATGTGATGGACCCGGCCTCTCTATCCTGTGTTTCATGAAGTATGACATCCTGGAGTATTTCAGTGTTTACGGCACGGCTCTGTCCATGTGGGTCACACTCATCGGTAAGTCCTGGAGCACAGTTAGTGATTTTTGTGGTATGAAGAAATATTGATGTCAACATACAGAAACATACTTACTGTTCTTTATATCTCTGTTATATCTTCCACAATCAGAGTGCATAACCATGGCAAGACCATTTGTTCATTTTCTATCTTGGTGTACATTGTAAAATAACTTTCATAGAAAACATTCTTGGTGTTACTGAGGAAAACAACCATCAGTTAGTGTTGTGTTAAACAGCTTCACTCACTAAAGGTCAAAAAACGGCTTCTGTGCCTGCAGCAGTTGATGACAACATTTGCTGTGTCTCTGACTTTGGCTCACATGTGCTCATACTCTGTATCATTATTCATTAAAACAGTTGCTACTCTCCTGTCTTAGCCCAAAACAAGGGTTTTCAATCCTGTGCTGTGAAGTACCAAATGCCAACAACAGCTGATTTCGCTGATTGGTCTGCACTTTGTCTAACAGTGTACTGAATATAAAATGGTTCACTCAAATGAAAATCCAAGCACAGATGAAAAATGTCTCAGATTAAAAGTAAAGACGTTTTTACAGAAGGAAATCATTATTTAACAGAAACAAACCCACAGCAGAGTCAAGTCTACAACAAGGAATGGAAACTATAAAAGAGTACATACGCATGCTCTTTTAGTGCTACACATCTGCAGAGAAACTGGACAGTGCTAAAAAGCAATCAGTCTTCATGCAGAAAATACAGTTTGAACCCTCTTTTGAAGGTTACCCCTCAAAAATAGACTGACTGCTTTTTAGCTTTCCTGTGTCCTGTCAAACAGACATCTGCAAACAACTGCAGACTGCAGTGTGGATGCTCCACATTGTGTCTTACATCTCTTTTGTGCTTCCCAAGTAAACACTGGCAATGACAACCAAGGTTTGGAAGCCTCTGAAACCTCGGCTGTCATGCCCAGAGGGTGCAGATAAAGTAGATGGGGTCTGAAATAGCTGAGCGGGTTTTCTGGAGAGTGTCACGCTGCTGAGCATGTACAACATCCAAAAAAGTGAATGTTTCTACAAAGAGACAGCCAAAAAAATAAATAAATAAATAAACAACAAATGACCGTTACGGTTTGTTTCTCAGTTTAGTTGAAAACATTCTAGTAGCCCCTATCGCTCATGCAGTCTATCTTCTTGACTTAGCTCTGGGTGATTTTGATGAACCTCAGCGCTCTAGTATCACCATGTTTGGAGTACTGACCATAGCTGTGAGGATCTACCAGGACCGCTGGGGCTATGGGATCTACTCCGGACCAATCGGATCAGCTGTCTTCATCATCACTGTCAAATGGGTGAGTCCATGCTCCCTCTTGTTCTCCTCTAAAGGTCCTTCAACGTCTTCAAGTGTTGACGTTGACCCTCCTCTCTTTCATTTTGTTTTCTTGATGCTTCTCTTTCTTCTGCTCATCAAACCAAGGACTCAAACTCTAGTGTTTCCTGCATTTCTGATTGGTTGATATTGCTGTCATTTCAGCTGCAGAAGATGAAGCAGCTGAGAGCGGTGTATCCAGAGAAGATGGTGTACACTCAGCAGGTCGGGCCAGGCTGCTGCTTCGGTGCTCTCGCTTTGATGCTGCGTTTCTATTTTGAGGTGACTGTTACATAAACTATGAAAAATACTACAACTTAGCTATGAAATCTATGTTCATAAAAGGCTGCAGTTTGACTGATTGACGTGAAGTCATTAAAATACTGCAGTGGTTATAATGAAATAATAAAGAAGTAGACTGTCTCGTTACATCTCTCCATTTGCTCCTGCTGTTTCAGTTTCCTACGTCTGATAACCCTGAGTTTAACGTCCTGTCTCCCCTTCACTCAGGAATGGGACTACGCATACGTCCACAGCTTTTACCATCTGTCTCTGGCCGTGTCCTTCATCCTGCTGCTGCCAAAAAAAAATCGATATGCAGGAACAGGACAGAACGCTGCCAAGCTGAGCTGCTTCGCTCTCTGCTGCTGTGTATGTTTCAGTTATTCCTCCTCGAACAGAATAAAGAGTGTACATCAAGGCAGCTAAACAGACCATTTGTATGAGAGAGATGAATTAGAGCTACAGGCCACATGGACAGACAAAAAGGCAATGTTTGAAAATGTGAAGGTTAAGATACTCTCTTTAATGCCATAAGACTCCGTTTACAGAGAATAGGTCATTTCCCTTAACCGAGGGAAAACCTCCAGAAATGTAGTTCCTCAAGTCTCCATGTAAGCCAGTGAATTCAACATGTTTCTAGTCTGGGACCAAAATCTTAACTAGTCTAGATTCCTCATTTCTATATTCATACAAGCTTGAGTAGGGTCATCCAAGCTTTGGCCTCAAACCCAACTTATTGCCAGTTTCTAGATCAGGAGGAAGTCAGTCAGACTCTGCATTGACTTCAGGGGCTGACAAGACAAATCCATAATCAGCACAACTTCATAAATACAGTCTAAACTTACTGCAGATTAAAAAAAAAAAAAAAACATTCTGTAAAAAGCAAAAAGGACTGCATGAACACCAAAAGCGCTGCAGATACACATATGAAAAAAAGCTACAACTTTTAAAGATAGAAGGAAAACCAGTCAGACTTTGAACAGAAATGCTTCTTATAAGAAAAGATCTTCTTATTAAAATAAGAAAAGCTCTTATTCTTATTCAGTTTAGCATCAATAGTTTTTGAAAAGAAAACAGAGCAATGTTTTTAAAACTTTCTGATTTAACAAGTAAGAAAACTGAAAACTGTTTATTTAGACTTGTTCTTCAATGTATGTGCATGTGAACTTACCCTAATCCTCTGACTCTGTTTTTAGCATCATCATTAATAACTCTCATTTCATTTGAAAATAAAGACTCCTGAAACTACATCCCTAAACTCAGACAACAAAATCACACTATGCAACATCATCATAAGAAGCACATAATGAGCGCAGCTGGTACCTGCAGGGAGGTTCAGGGAGGCTAAACTGTTTGGCAAAAGGAGTCTGGTGGCTTTGAAGAGAAGCTAAAATGGTTGTTTCAAAAAGGTGTCTGAAGTCAGACACTGACAATAACAGTATGTGTCTGAGTCTGGGTCACTCAGGTTAAGAATCTTTTATTACAGCGGCCTCATTCACTATCAGTCAAACTCTAATGTTCTTGATTTCGCTCTAATCCTGCTCTCTCAATGTTTCCTCTTCAGTCCATGTCCCCCGGTTCTTCCAAAGAAAAGAAGGACAAGCCGAAGAAGAAGTCATCTCACACTGTGTGGACGATCCCCACAGAGGGACTGTTGACCCGAGGCTGCAGCACCCCCACCCTGCCCCTCTACAACCCCCCACCCTCCACTCCGATCAAGGGTACCAGCATCCGCAAACTTAAAGAGATGAACGGCTGGAAGTGAACCCAAACATATAACTGTCAATGGCTGCGATGGAAGAGGACGTTCTCCTGAAGAGCAGACGGAGATACTCGTCTGCAACTGAAGGGAAATGGGAAAATGACCAAATAGCTGTCAGGAAATCGCTGATAAACTTGTTATGTGGCTGGTAAGTTAATCTACTTCGGCAGGAAACCAACCATCCTGTGGACGTTCCTTTCTAATACGAGAAATCCATTTTGGCTGGAAAAATATGACCTGAGGAATCCAACAATGACTGGTGCTGAAGGTGAATAAAAAAAGGACTCTGATGTGTTTGGAAAGTTTCAGGACATGAACAGAAGGTGAACCGGGCCAACAGCGCCCTCAAAGACCCAGTTAGATGTGGGCTGTCTGAAGCTGAGGACAGACAGCAGGATAGTAGAGAACACACACAGCTCGGGCAGGGAGACGGTGGATGAGACAAGCTAGTAAAACTGACCGGAAAATTTATGAGAAGAACAAACAGGCAGATGGTTTATCTCTCCAAAATATATAAATTGTCTTTAGAAATGTTCCCCAGGGGAGACCTTTGGTCTGCTTGCCTCTGTCTCTGCGTCCCCCCTCCACGTCTCTCCCCCGTCTCTCTGAGGGAAAGGAACCATGCAGCAGAGTTTGTTTATGAGAATTACAAGACAGTAAAGTGCGTTTTACTGCTTTTATGCTTCCACAAGGTGCCAAATGTGTGTATGTATGTGTGTGTGTGTGTGTGTGTGTGTGTGTGTGTGTGTGTGTGTGTGTGTGTGTGTGTGTGTGTGTGTGTGTGTGTGTGTGTGCGTGGAACATCAAACTTTGGAGCGACGGCCCGGACGTCAGTCTGCAACCGGACTGAAGCGATGTGATGTGTCTGGATCAGCAGGTGGACTCTCTGTCTGTAAAGTCTGGTTCACTCCCTAATGTGCACTCTTTAGACTGTTTAATGCATCTGTTGAAAGCTTTTATGAATATGTTATTTATGACAGGATGGACGAATGTACAGTCACTATACATTGTGTTTGTTTTTGATCATTTTTGTCATGATTTGACAATAAATAATAATAAAAGAAAAACCTTGTGACCCTGTTTTAACTTGTCTTTAGCCACAGGATGAAATTTAACAGCCGTTACCATAATGCAATAGTTTGGACTCTGCAGAAATAAACCCCTGACTGGCACATACTTCAAGGCCCACTTCAGTCTAGCAATGCTAATCCAATTCCAAACCCCCATATCCTCTTCCACTTTCACTTCAGGAGGACCCAGGGTTGTGCGTCGGCGCACGTCACCTGCCCGAACACTACCCAAAGACTACAAACGTGCCCTGCATATCTTAGACAAAACAGAGCCCGGCCAAAACGTGAATGAACCTGGATGTTTTGGGCCTGAGCCAAGCCAGCAGCTCCTGTGCCCAGAGAAAGGTGTTTTTGTCTGGCCTTGGGAACACGGCTGGCTGGGCCACCGGCACCTCCCGGCCCTGACAGGACGGTAACTCGAGCCTTTTATTGCACAAGTGTGAAACACTTTTCAGCTCCTTTATGACCACTGTCTATCCCGCACTGCTCAGCTGAGGAGCTGCAGCCCACACACATTCAGGACCGAGTTACTACACTATTGAGGACTTTCTACTGTCTGTAATCTCTGACCTTAACAGGAAACTCACAGAATTCTAAACAAAGCCTGATCCTGACCCTCATCTGAAGCCTTTGCTTTAAACGGGCTGCTGTGAGGATCAGCAAAATGTCTACAGTTTTAATTATTTCAAGTTCAGCTGACCCTCAGATTAACACATGGTCTTCACAAGACCATAAACACAGACTCACACACACACACACACTTTTTGAGGGTTTGAACCCAGTCCTGTCTGCCACAGGTCGTACTGGGCAGCTGCACTGCTCAGCAGACGTAGACAGAATCAACAGAATAAGTGTTGACTGACACGAGCGTGGTCGTCTGCACCCACATTCCCCGTCGGCGTGGAATTTCAGCACATATCAAAATATAAGAAAGCAAATGACATCTGAACAAATAAAATCAGACTTCAACACCAGAAAAGGAAACTTTTCACTCTGTGCCACAGGCAACAGAGCCATGAAGCCAAAATATGCTGCATCATTGTTTAATTGCAGTCAATTAAGAGGAACAATTTGCATGAAGTGGCTGCAGCAGATTTCAGTGTGTTTTCTATTTGCTGAGTTCTGTGAAGACTTTCTACAGTGAGACAGCAGTTAGTTTGCCACAGCTCCTCTATCTCTCTTTCTCACTCTCTCTGTGTCAGCTGCTGCCACCACAGCAGTTGCTCATGAGAGGTCATCAGCTGCCTCCCAGAGCTGCAGTCACAACACATCTATGCTGCTAAAAAAAGCAGTTGAGATTTACTCTTATTCAGAGTCGATACAATACATGAGTTTTGAACTTTCTTTCAATACCACACAAACAAAAACTGAAATGGTCAGTTTTCCAATGTGCACACAGAGCCGCTGAACACAGTCCAACCTTCAGCTGAAGGTAAATAGTTGTGCAAGCTAAATTGCCAAATGATTATGAAAATAGCAAAAGTTAATCTTCCCCCTGAATGATCACTCATAATTAAGAAGAGGTGTGCGGTGATGTGTGCATCTACAAAGTGTCTTTATTTTCTCATTTTCATGCTTTCATAATTGCACTATCACTTATTGTGTAGAGCACTGAAGCATCCTGTCAACAGTTCACAGTTCAGGACTGGTGAAGCGAAAAGAGACCAGTGATATCTCTGTCTGTGTCAAACACAAAGACAACTGCTACATCTTTAAGAGAAGCTAAAGAGACTTTTACAGAACGTCAGCTAGAAATTCATTGTGGCACCTTAAAGGTGGGGAGGGCAGGATCCCGTTAAAGAAGCATCTTTTTTTGTGGTGTATATCAAAAAAGCTTTTAATATCAGTCAATAGCTATTGGTTATTGATGACTTTGATAATTGTGTTTTGTTATGTCAACATTTTAAATTTTTTGAGCAGCCCACGTTTCCTGACTGTAAACAAAGCCATTTTCCACCTCCCCCGACCTGATTTGTTGCGAGGCGGATGCTGTTCCTCGAGTTGTGAGGCAAGCTCCACGTCCTTGAATAACGTTCACTAGCCCAAACAAACTTAGCATGCTACAACATCGGACAGTAGAAGCAACCAGAAAGTATGGAAAATTGTCTGAATTCTCCTTTTTCCACAACTGCCAACACAAGCAAGGAAATGAAGTAAAAACTCTGGTGGAATAACGGGCTTGTAAAACGGAGGTAGATCGGACAAGAGCTAAAAAGCTGAGTCGATGGGGGATGCGTCAGGATCTTACGGACCCTGTAACCTTTCTGCTGGCCAGGTAAACCTCTTTAACAAAGTAAAACCAAGTGTCTGGAACAGAAGTGTTTCTTGTCAAACAGGACCTGCTGCGTGTTGTAGCACTGTTAAACTGTTGACCTCGGGTCCTGGACTATGTCACTTTATCCTAGTTGTGGAAGTCCTGCAAATATTGTTGTCTGTTGGCATCTACAGTAGCGCCAATGGTTTTTTATTTTCACATTGACTGGGCCCCATTCATGATTATCTTAAGTATCTATCTGCATAATATCTTAATTTAATTGAAACGATACGAGCGAGCAGGAGCGTCTGTTTGTGGGCAGGGCTTGCTGGAGCAGAGAGGGAGGGGAGAGGAGGAGCTGAGGGGAAAACTGGTTGGGAGGGGTAGTGTTTACATTCAAGATTTCTCCCAAAAACTGGTACTTCCTCAGATCCTGCTTACCCCATCTTTAATGCACGAAGATGTGTGCATCCTCTTCCCCCTGTTATATCTGCTCATTCTCGAGCTCTGATTATCAGAGCAAAAAGCAACAATGAAATCCATGCACAAAAATGCCCACTAAAGTTCTGCAGCTCCGTGCACTTTGCTCTTGTTTAGCGTCTGCTTGTGGAGACAGGCTGTCATCACCTCCACTCTCAGCACAGAGCTGTGCTGTGCACTCTCATCCTGACATGATCAATCTCACAGTTTAATTGTGGAGTTGAACAACAACAAACGTGACCACGTTTGGTAGTTTATGCCAAACTTTTATTACAGAGTTTGCCTGTATTGCTTGACTTTAAGGAAAATTGCTATCATTTTTGTCCAGACCACTTGGAGCATGGCGATGCTTATAAATTCTCAAACGTAATTACCAATGACTAGAAGAATATATGTAGACATAGAGAGGGGTCTAGTTTGCCCTAAATTACTGCAAAATGACTCATTTCAGGATGCACAATAAGCAGTGATGCGTCATGACACTCTTTGTTCTGCAGGGTAGTGTGAAGCATTTTACCTTTAGTGCATGTTTTGAGGATGAGAGGAAGTCTTTGTGTCTCATTTGCACAGCTTTGATGATAAAGGCCGCCAGTAAAACCAGTCAAACTTGCATTGTTGTATCTCACTTCCTGTAAATTGTAAAAGATTATCTTTTGTTTTCTTTAATATGACTGAAGTTATTTATAAGTATGTTCTCAGTTTTAAAGCAATCAGATTTATGCCAATCTTGTGTTAGTTCATTTTTATCGGTCTGACTTGGTTTGCAGATCACAGAACTCGGACTCACATTCATGCGGTTGACTCTTCACTAAAGTTTTTCTCATTTAAGTTTTCAAAAAATGTTTTCAACATGTGAGGAAATCACAAAAGTCACATCACACAGACCTCATTTTGTGGGTAGAGCGAATATCCTGTGGGACGTGGTGATCCCTGAAACTGTGTCTCTGCTGCCACCTACTGATCAATGGTTTGCACTGGCAGTCTAATTAAAGGACAACGCCACACTTTTCAGATGTGCTGCCACTGTTCATACTGTATATACACTACAGGCCAAAAGTTTGGAAGCAAGATCACATTTGTACAAAAAAAGATCATAATACTTCGCAACAAAAAAAACCCTGATAATTTTCTAAAGAAAAACTTATTAGAAGACATTTTTACTATAATTATCAGGTATTTGAGTTTTTCTTGCTTAGAATTTGCTTTCCTCAAAGTAACCTCCTCTGGCTTTAACAACAGCATGGCATATACAAGGCATTCGTTCCACAAGTTTTATTTTAAGTTTTTAAAGGTATGTAGCAGGATTGCATTCCAAGCTTTCTTAAGTTCATTAAAAAGCGACTGCTGATTCGTGGGACGCCGTTTTCTGATTGATCGATCCAATTCATCCCACACAAGCTCAATTGGAGAGAGGTTTGGAGACTAAGGGGGCCAAACCATTTTTTGAAGAACACCTTCCTCTTCTTTTTTGTTCAGGTAACCGTGACAGAGCTTGGAAGAATGCTTAGGATCATTATCTTGTTGCAAAACAAACTTTGGACCTTCAAGTCTTAGTCCAGACAGAGCAGCGTGATGCTGTAGGATGGAGTGGTACTGTTCCTTTTTCATAATAACCTTTACTTCAAACAAATCTCCAACTCTATCACCTGCAAAACATCCCCATACCATGGCACTACCACCTCCTTGCTTTATGGTTGGTGTTACGCATGGTGCTCTGAGACGTTCAGCAGTTTTTCTGCGGGCATAGACTCTGTGTTTGGAACCAAATAGTACAAACTCGCTTTCGTCGTCCAGAGGACTTGTTTCTAGTCATCATAAGTCCAATTTTTGTGAGCTTTTGCCCACTCATATCTCTTTTTCTTGTTCTATGGACGAAGTAGTGTTTTTTTGCAGATACACAATCCTTCAGACCAGCCTTTCTCAAACGTCTTTTCACCGTTGTCAGAGATATGGATTTCGACCTTGTCATGTTGATTTCCTCCTTTATTTGTGGTGCTGTTTTTCGTCGATCCCTCTTACTGATGACAATCCTCTGCTTTTGTAGTGACCCTCTTTCTTTCAGGCCTTTTCCTGTCACCATAACTTCCAGGTTCCTCTAGTCTCTTCAGAGTGTAGTGACTCCTTTGTTAAACACCTTTAGGCATTTTGCAATTTCTCTTTCTGTGTATCCTTCTTTCCTTAATGTACAAATCTGTACTTTTGTTTCTTTACTCGGTTGCTTTTTTCTAGCCATTTCTGCAATAGTTTGTTAGAGTTTTGAACACGGGTGAGATTCATTGGGATTTTTGTATGCAGACACTCAAAAGCCAATAAGTAAAGGTGAATAATGCAAAGTTATTTATTTATTTTTTTTTTACTTTTACACTGAATTTGTGACTCTTGCTAATCTTCTTGAACCTAAAACTAAGCCCTCCCTTTCTTTTGTTGACATTTATTCAGCAATGGTCTAGTAACATCAATGTATACCTAAAGGTAAATTGAGGAAAATGGTGCATATCAATGAAAGCAAAGTCTAGTCATGCAATAAATACATCCCAAAATACATTTAACTTATCCTTTTTTATATGAATGGCATTGTGAACAGAAACTTGAAATAGTTTCCAAATACTTGGCCTGTTTTGGTCTTGCTTCCAAACTTTTGGCCTGTAGTGTTCCTACATACTTTGGCGAAGTCCTATATGTGCTGAGTAATCCTAGATCATGCAGGTGGTGTGTGCTCTTGTCTTTCTTGTTTATTTTCATGGTTTGTGCACATAAAGAGTACATTTTTTCTGTTACAAATCATACATTTACAGACAGATGTCGCAGATTTTTATCCAAGTCTAAAAGCTTCAGTGAAAATGATCAAAAGTCCAATGGGTTGAGGTCTGCTGTATAAGGCAAAAAAAACCCAAAAAACTCTTCTTATGATTCAGCTATCACTCCTGAGCTGCGGACTCACATTTCAGGAAACTCCAGATCTCTTGCAGTTGTTTTGACCTCCTCTGTCGGAGGAGGTCAAAAGTGCTGGGGGGTTGGAGGTTAAATGCAGACCAGTGTGCCGCACAGATGTAAAGTTATGGAGAGTTGTCTGAAACCTCTCCTGTTGCCTGGACAGAGAAAACAAAGCAGCAGTTCAGAAATGTCACTCTGCCAAGTATTTTAACAGCCTCAGACTTGCTATGAAACCGGTTTCAAGACTTCATCTCTGTGTTTTTGTGTCAGTGTTTCTGCTACTTAGATAATCAGCAGATTGAAAACTGAAGTCTGGGAGTGCCAATCAGAGGAGGAGTTTTTGAAGGCTGCTTACACTGAGATTTCAGAAGCCGTCTGTGTCCAGTTCACATTTTTCATTGTTGCTTCATGCTGATTTTTAACACACAAAGTTGCATTTAATCTTGACGTTGGCACCCTGTGATGGTATTTTTCCTAGATAGATGTGCGAATAGTTTCTGACGATTATAAGATACCTGGGATCTTTGTTCAGTCCTCTTTCTGTGTAGGAAATTTTCCTGAAGGTCTTTGTTGTTTTTCCAATAAAAAAGAGAAAACTTCCCCCTCTAATTCTAAACCATGTTGGCCCCTCTGCTGTGACCATGAAAGTATCACCAGGGTACCTGCAGAAGGCTCTTCTCAAAAATCGTCATCTCCTGTTTATTTAAACACAACTTCAGCTCCTCTGCTCCTGGTGGCTCCTCTGATTGCTTCCCAGGGTTCCCAGCAGTCAGAGTCAGCTTTTGGAGATCCTCACTCAATCTACAAACACAACAGGACACGACACAACACAGGATATACTTAGCTGAGTATCCGGCTGGTTGAATGTAGAAAAACAGAAGAGTAGAAACAGAAAATATAGATGCATCACTGTTAGATGCACTGATTTCAATGTTGGGATGTTGCACATTTAGAGAGTATGAGTGACTGCTGTGAGTTTCCTAAGAGACTGCAAATCTGCAGACAGCTTGTGGAGACATATACAGTAAATAGGAGTATCATTTATGAGTGTCATCACTGGTGGTACTGGAATAATTCCCAGGTATTGAAGCCTCATGTCTCCTTAACTTGAAACATACAGTATTTTCCTGCTGGTCTTTAGTCCATTAAGAGCTTTTGTATTACTGACCTCTGTTGATCAGAGGTGGAGCTGCAGGCCTGAATACTTTCGATCAGCTGAGCTTTGACCGCCTGTGTTGCTGGACTTGACAAAAGATCAGACTCACTGCAGCCGGGGAACAGATTCATCAGCATTGGAGGCAGCTTAACAAAAAAGACCAAAACACATCATTTAATCAAAAATCCATATCTAAACAAAGAAGAATCACACTTTCTAACTCGCAAAAATGACATTATTTCGCAACATATTGGTCCATAAGCTTCACCAGGCAAACAGTTTTGTGAGAGAGGGCATAACCACTCAAAAACTATGTAGCTGCAAGCCTACAAACAACCGCCATCATAGTGGGGGGGGTACATGAATTTGTGGTTTTGTGAGTTTTATTTCACTCCTCTGCACCTGTACTCTGACAAAGATGTGTAAAGCCCCTCTTCCTTCATAAATGTCACATTTGTCTTCTGATCCTCATCTTCTCACCCATTTACAGTTGAGTCATGGGAAAACCTCAAATCCAAATCTATAATTGTATGTAGTATATGATGGTTTCTGGTCTGTGTTATAATCTGGAGGCAGATATAAAGCTCTGACCTCCTCATTGGTGGGATCCAGGACCAGCAGACAGATCACATCCTTTCTGGCTCCCTCATAGTTCAGAACTTTTCTGAATGCCTTCGATCTGTTCTCGTAGTACCGACCAGCTGCTGGGTTATAACAGATGGCCAAAGAGAACAGGTCGGCTGCCTCCCGGAAACGCCTACAGAAGCAGACACCCAAATGCACTCACATTCAAGCAGGTGTTTCTGAGTGAGGGGTTGGTGTTTTTATGTGTTTACGCTGCCTGTGTGGTTCTGACCCTTCCTCAACGCACAAGGAGCCAAGAGTATTGTGGATGACAGCGAGGCGGAGCCGAATAGCTGGGTCATCAGGCTGCATCATCTCCTCAGCCTGCTGGTAGTCAGCCAGAGCAAAACACCACTCAGCCTGCTTAAAGAAACAGTCTGACACACACACACACACACACACACACACACACACACACACACACACACACACACACACACACACACACACACACACACACACACACACACACACACAGATATCAACCACATAGATTCTGAGTTCAGTTACATTTGACCAGCTTACAGCAGCACTAGTGTTGACAGGCTCCACTGTTGCATTTCCAGCTTATTTCTCTCTTTGTGAACCTCAAACTCTGAGTTACATTTCAATGTCCACACACAGAGTTTCTCTATGTGCTCATGAAATCACACACACACACACACACGCACGCACGCACGCACGCACGCACGCACACACACACACCTCCTCTGTTCAGGTACAGACCAGCCTGGCCCTTCTCCTCCTCGATGGCTTTGTTGAGCAGCAGTGTTGCTTCGGCATAAAGACCTCTGCTGAAGCACTGAATAGCAAAGTCGTTGTATGTGAGCACCAGCTGAAACTGCACATCCTTCTGCAGTGAGATCTGCTTCTCCCTCTTGTCTCTGGCTTCCTCCTGATCTCTGACCTCCCTCTCTTGGTCCTCCCCCTCCTCCTTCTCGCTCAGCTCCACAGCCTGGACCAGATCCTCGATGGCAGCTGTGAAGTCTTTCAGACGTCTATACAGGATCCCTCTATTCCAGTGAATGAAACACAACTGATACTTGGCAAGATGCAAAAAAGTAATGTAACAGAATGACATTACGTTTCGACTTTCAGGAGTTCTTTGTTAGTTAATCAAACAACCTTATTCTTGGGTTATTGTCAAATTACCATTTCTACAAGTTCAAATAGAGCACAGGCTCTTAGATCTTTGTGCATGGACATTTGTTAAAAGAACAGCGAAAAGAAAGGAAAGCAGAGAGAACAAAAATTCAATAAAAAGAAAAAATACTAAGAACAAAAAGAAAAAGAGACATCCAGATAGTAAGAAAGAAAGAAAGAAAGAAAGGCGGTTTGTCCCTTTTGCCTTTCACTTCCTCATACCTTGTTAATCACTTAATTTGGATTCACCTGAACAGGTAGAGATGTGGATCCTGAGGACAGCTCTCCAGAGCGATGTTGATCATGCAGAGGGCTTCAGGCAGCTGTCCACATACAGATCTTTCCACAGCCTTCTGTCTGGACCGTTCGCTGGCCTCCCTCAACTGCTGTAGCAGAGCTCTGGCCTGCAGACATGTTGGGTTCAACACCAAAGCTGACTTCACGTCCCTGTAGCACCAAGATGTCTGAACAGAAGAAAACAGCAGCTGTTCAATCTTAAGCAGTTGATCGTACGTTTAAAGTTTTTTTATTCATTGCTCACACATCTCTTTCCTCCAATATTTTACAACACTGTTATTCTGTTTCTACTCCTGATTATAATTTAATCTTTGTAGATAGTGTTTACACTGCCAAGGCGTTTTATTTGTAAATGTTTTATTTCTATTTCCTTTTTTCCTAACCTGACTGATTGAAGTCTTTGTTACTTTTGCTGTATGTCATCTTGCTTATAGATGTCACATGGATCTCAGATCTGTTCTATGAAACTGCTTGACCCTTCACTGCATCCACATGCAGAGCCTGAGATTTACCCCTCTGTGAGTGGTGCTATTTTTTTCAAGTAAGAGATCCCTGCAGTTCTTACCTGGTTCATCAGTTTGTACAGCCGGGCTCTAAGAACATAAAGGTCTGAGGTGGGACCGTCTGACACCATCCAGTCACTCACCAGCTTCAGACAGTCAGCATGGTGCCCTGCAGCTGACAGACAGGCCAGACTAGGAAACACACAACAAAACACACTCATGAACACTGAAATAAAAATAAAAGGAGATCCCACTGCTGTCAGTAAGGTACGATGGCTGATAGTTTTTAATTTTGGAAATATGACCCCGTTTTTAAACTTGATTCCTGGTAACAAGTTGTTAAAGGTACATAGAGTAAAAATATAACTTATATTTTCTAACAAGCTTATAGGAGGATGCACTCTTTCAGACCCTGTCAGATTTCATTGCAACCATCATGGATTGTTAAGAAATATGTGGAAAAAGTTGGTCTAGGTTGGAAAATACATACAATTTCCCTTTAAAGGTTTTAGTATTTGGTGTACAAATTTTCTAGCAAAATAATTCCCTCAAAATATATATCTCGAATATACATGGCATTATATCTCAACCAATCAAAACTATGCTTTATCTTTTTAAAAGATGTGCCTGTTAACCTGAAAGTAGGGTGCATATGTTCCTTACCTTCTGACCTCATAGGCCTTGCAGCCGGGCTTCACCTCTGCAGCTTTGCTGAAAGACTCCAGAGCCTCAAAGAAAAGGCCTCGATCAAACAAGCACTGACCCTTAGAGGACAAAAAAAAAGACTTATCAGGATGAAATTATGAAATTATTCAATTCAAAGACATTTATTTGTAATCTTTGTGATGGCTGTCAGACTTCATGAATCAACAGAATACTATATTTTGCATTGCTTCTCAAGATTTCTGTCATAATCAATGCACAGCAGAATAAGCCTGACTGTTGTCTAATATTAATATTTTCTGTAAACTGGACACATTATTGATCTGTACCTATCAAAAGCCATACATATTCTTACCCATTGGTCATCCCTCCACTTCTCCTGTCTGTATATCTTTTTTTAAAATTTCAGTACAAACTCACCTGTGGATCTCAATCTAACCTGGAGATAATAGATAAAGGCCAAGTGGTCCCTGAAGAGCTCCGGCTTTAGACGGCAGGCTCGTTTATAAGACGCTGCTGCTGACTGGAAGTCACACAGCTGCAGGTACGCCTCCGCCTGACTCACATGCATCTGAGTCTGAAACCCAACAGCAGAGGGGATCATCCTGAGTATACAGAGCAGTTTGTCCACACCTACGGGGGCAGACTTGTAGCTGAATCCCTCAGGTATACAGGTAATTGCATAATAGGCCAGGCAAGCTTGTATCTACAGCATGTTTTAGCAAAATGACAATTTGAAGTGCTTCAAACCAGACCTCCAAACATCAGAACAAAAGACAGAAACACCATATCAAACAAAGGCCTCTTAAAATAAATGAACCAAGTTATTTAGGAGCCAAAAAAAGAGAATAAAAATCAGCAAAAGCAGAAGCTAAATACCCTACAACCCAACAGCATAAAAGACAATGATACATGATTATTGTAATCTAGGTTGTAACCAATTGAGAATTCAACAACAGTGCCATACATCAAAACTTCCCTTCCTAAACTCTGAGGCATGCTTAACTGTCAGAGGAATGTAAAAAGAAATTCTCACACAGATTTAATATCAATAATTCTTATGACAGAATCTGATACAGTACATTTATTTTGAAAGAATTTGTTCAGATAAATAATTCTGCAAAGACACTCATAAGTCTGCTTTATTAAAAAACAAATCCTTAAAATGAATTTATCTCATTAGAAACAAATATCAGCTCTAATCTAGATCACTGCTCTTTCTGTTTAGCCAAATAAAAGCAGTTCATATAGTGGCCTTGCTGTACTGTGGGTTCACAATCATAATATGGTCAATTCATATAGGTCACTATTGTACCTGTTCTGGCTGCAGTGTGATGGCTTTGGAAAAACAAATCACAGCCCTCTCATACTGGAGATTCTCCAGTGCCTTTTCCCCATTACAGTAACTGCAGGGAAATACACAGATATTGAACTCTAAGAAAAAAAGGACAATGTTGAAAATATCTTAATTGTGTTTGCTCAAAGTATCAATATGGTCCCATTCTGGAAAGCAGATATAAAATTTTATAAAACTGTGGTCACACAACATCAAATAAAAATGTCAACAAATGTGGATCATACTAATCAACATCCCAACAAAATTATTATCAAACCCAGAGGTATTTTGTACAGCTCATGTCCCTACTTTGCACACACATGCATTAAAATTAGACCTGTTTGAGCATCCTTTTAGTTGAATTTGTTTGAATGAATAAGCAAATACAAAGGTTAAAATTTACTGAAAACTGCTGTTCAAAGGCCCCAGACAGACCCTGACACTAAGTCTTAATAACAGTTTATCTGTGAGTCTTACTGCTCTGCAGCTCTGCTCTGGATAATAACGCTCGCCTGCAGCTCTGATCTTTGGCACTGTTTCTCTCCTGGTGCCTGAAGGGTAGGAACCCCATTCAGCTCCTTTTCTGGTGCAGAGCTGCGAAACAAGCTCTGCTCTTCTTCCTGCTGATGGGCATATCAATTAAAAAACAGTTCCTATTAACTACCAAGGTGTCTCAGTTTCAGAGGGCTGTAAAACACAAGATGTTGTAAAAGACTAAATGAATCACATTTAAAAGAAATACTTCAATACGGTCATGTATATTGTATAAGTTTGTCAACAAATAAGAGGAAGGGGTAGGGACTCACAATCCACGCTGATATAAAGAATATCACTTGAAGGTGATGCTACAATAACAAGATAAACTAATGTAGATTTTTCTTTTTCATGAATCAATGAAACATTCCCTCTCAAATAAGTCACTGGTTAAGATAATTATGCTAAACAAGTAAGTGTGTTTGGGTGTGGGTGGGATATCCAAATAATACACAACTGTTTTTCTTTATTTTCTTTCTTTACCAACATTTTTAACTTATGTTTTTATTAAAGGATCTCATTGTTGGCTTAAAAGGAAATCTAGAAGTCCCTTGCACCAATATTTTACTAAGCCAACACCCAACAAGGCATGTTATGACAAAAGTTCATCTAGATTCAGCAAAACTTCTTTTCTGATTTGTTTTACTATCATTTTGTGAAATCAATAAAAATAAATTACTGTGAATTTACCGTTTTGTCCTGTCTCTTGTTGAAAGTTTCCATTGTAATTCACGTCGCTGTGTTTTGTAGCTGCTGGTGAACCTGGCCGTCACCATAGACACCAACTCCATCACGCCGTTCTTCTTTTTCTTTGTTTGATTGGTCACACTCATTCTGTGTGCTACCGCCACCTACCGGGGTGGAGTGTGGGGCAGCACGAGAAGTTTCTAAGGCAAAAAATACTTGCAATGAAAACACAGTGTACTGCATTCGTTCTGTTTGTCCCCACCCGCTGAATATTTTTAAAGGGTGACACTATTTTCTCTGTGATGTGTCCAAGATTCCTCAACTGATTTTAACAGAGTTAACAGAGTTAAAGGCCTGAGTTTTTGCTCTTGACTCTGTTTCTGGAGTGTCTTTATTTACTGTCCACCACTGTGGTGTTGCAACGTCTTACACATTAAAAAAAAACTAAAAACTTTGAATATCAGGCCGATCCCCTCATTCTATATCTACGAGCACGTATATTTGTGATAATAGTGGACTCAGAACAGCATTTGACAGGTTGTTGTTTCACTGCTTACGCCTTTAAAAACGTTGCGCATCTGAACTTGGTTGTACGGTAAAGCTTTGGGCATCATCGGGGAGTTGATGTTGCATCCATGGACTTTTTATGGTTGCGTCCAACTTCTTGAATTATGAGGACACTGTATATAGAATACAATACTATACTGTAGAATACTATCAATGTGAATACGGTGTTGAAGATAGGCTACTCGACAAAATGTACACATCGTACTAAACACCTTTCCCTTTCGTTCACTCCTCAGGTATTTCTCCAAATGTCATAAATCACACACATAGAAACGTAGATTGATTACGCATAATGGAACCTTAAATAGTTAGCCTCAAAGATGACACCATGACTTGAAAACAGAAACAACTCAGATACAAAACAGAGAATTGGGGAGCATCACTGTGCTCGTTTTAACCCTTATGGCAAAAAAAAAAAAAACGTTTTCAGAGGTTGCCATCACTTGAACGAATCATGCGGTCTCTGGCGGTTCCCAAGCGTTTTACCGCAAGTAGTAGTGTAGACCAACCGAAGTTTAGGTTCAGCGCGATTAAACTTCTGTGAAGTATAGATATGTTACCCCACGTGTTGTACCGCACTTCTGTCCTGATTTTGTAGGTCACAACACTCAATTATAAACTATAATTATCAAACCAACTGTTACAGGACTTTTATTCTGAAAAGTTCAAAAAGGGAAATGAGGAGCACACCGGTTACACGCGATGGTCAGCTGACTGAAATGTTGACAAAGCAGCTGGCAGCTGATGGAGGACGGAGAAAAGAGCGGTTGCCGACACTTTTGGCAATGAGTCATCGTAGTCAGTCAGCTGAGAAGAACTGACCGGTGTTTTTCAAAGGTACCTGTGTTACCTGAAAGCTGCCGAGTGCCTTTTCATTCCGTCTCAGTCAGTGGTTATAATAGGCCATCTTGGTTTCCTCAGATAGTTTTCGTCTTGTCAGACCTGTTCTTCATGTGAAAAGGTCAACAGGAGGAGAAGAAAACACCTGAAAACACTGTACTACCAGCATGGACATCCAGAACGAGAGGAGGAGGCTGCTGGATGCGGAGGATGGAGACGAGGATCCGACCGGACTCATGTCCGAGCAGGAGGCTTACCTGAGGTCAGTGAACACACCAGTGCACACAGGTATGAACTCCGACTTCATACAGCCTGTTGGCCCCATTATCTCGCTTTAAGACGAGTATTCAGTCACTTTTACTCACATAACACAGAGCGCAGGGGTGAGTTTTAAACGATCTGCGCATTTTTAATGAATGTTGCATGGATCCTCATTGTTTTAGACATCCATGTCTACAATTTAAATCGAGAATTGATGCGGTTTCTTAGAAAAGTCTTGTTTTTAATGTATCCCTGAATGTTTCAATGTGTCTGAATGTCTGATGTTTATTGTGTAATCAATACAGTATCTGTCCTATCCTATTTTGTCCTTTTGCATGATGATGTAATGTTTACTGTAGTGCACAGCTAATGAAACAGCACATGATATTACAAAATTGCCTTGTAGACAGTATTTTCATCCTGGCTCCTGGACTAATGTCTCTTTAAGCAGCTGCAAACTTGCTTCAGTATTTATTTTCATCTTTTCTGCTGTGAGTTTAAACTGGACAGAGATTTGTGCATAAATTCAGTTGTACAACACTGCAGGTTGACTGGTGAACATTTTTTGACATTACTCCAATCATGCAATACGCTGCATTAATACAGTTCATACCATTTTACTTTGTTTTTACTTTTCCTCTTTTATCAATAGGATGCGTTTTTTTAAGATCTGCATATCTTCTTTAGGGAGGGGACATCAGGGAGGGCTGGAGCTTATCCTATCTGTCATAAGGCAATGGTCAGGGTACATACTGGACAGTCCGTCTCAGGGCTGAAACATAGAGACAAACAACCATTCATGCACACACTCACTCCAAAGAGCAATTTAGAGTGACCAATTCACCTGAACTGTTGGTCTTGCTTGAGAGAACCCGTGCATGGAGGGAGAGACATGCAGACTCCTCACAGAAAGGCCCGTGACAGGTCTGGGATTTGTATCAGCACTAACCACTGTCCCACTGTGCTGCTCCTGGCTGCATACCTGCAGAATTGTTTCAACTGGTGCAGATTTTTTTGAAGTGCTGTAGAAAAGAAATGAATATCTGCAAAATCTCTCACCAACACTTACCATCCAGATACTTCTCTCACATATTATTAGGATCAAAAACATGCAGCTCCTCTTAGATATAAGCACTGATATTGATTCTTCAACCCACACATGGAGCCAGTTTTAGGTTATTCTTTAACTGAAGCATTTTTAATGTGCAAATAAACTTGTGTAATCAGTCTTTGCTCAAAGTTACCACACTGACCTTTGACCTTCACACCCTGTCCTCCTCGTCTCTCCACAGTAAAGTGAGGAACAATAACTTGTACCTGGCGACCTTGGCATCTGTTCTGGGTCCCATGAGCTTTGGCTTCGTGCTGGGGTACAGCTCCCCTGCCATCCCTGAGCTCACCAGGATCTCTGACCCTCGGCTGAGATTGGACGATGACCAGGCATCCTGGTTCGGGGTATGCTGCTGAATTTATATCCCCAGTGTCAAAAAGTAGCTCAGTAGCTGTGTTTTTCACTTGGATGCAATTTTGCAGCCTCAGATGTCGACCATTGGATTCACTTGGGTTCAGACAGAATGACCACATAAAAACCACATGGACAGAAGTCTCACCGAGAGTAAAACCCCACAATGTTTCATTCCAATAAAGATTTAGTCACCTTAAAACTTAATTTACCCTGATCCGAGCAGATAACAGGGCTAAAATGTACAGTTCAGTACAGAAGACACAGAAGGATTAGATTTGACAGTTTGAGTAAATGTAAACTTGTTGATAGATCTCCTTTATCCTTCCTGACTCTCTCGGTTTTTGTCTCACAGTCCATAGTGACCATTGGAGCGGCGGTAGGTGGCCTGCTGGGTGGTTGGATGGTAGAGAAGATCGGCAGGAAGCTCAGTCTGATGTTCTGCTCTCTGCCCTATGTCTTCGGTTTCACCGTCATCATCGCAGCGCAGAACGTGTGGATGCTTTACATTGGCAGAGTGCTCACCGGCCTCGCCAGTGGGGTCACTTCTCTGGTCGTCCCAGTAAGAACCTTCCTTTTACATTTTAATCAGTCCTACACCGATGAGCCACCATCAGTACTAGCTGATGTGTATTTTTAAGGTTAGGAGCCAAAATCATTTAAATTAAAACAAATGAGACTTGAAATATTGAGTTTTACGTGCCACAAATATTAGAGTCTCTGAAAATCTACCTTTTGAAAATGACTTTTTCATGCTGCTCTCAGTCATTGAGATGCATCTGCAAATGGATGTGATGAAGAGAAGCATCAGAGAAAACCCATAAAAATCACCTTTGTCAGCCCCTCCTCGGTTCTCTTCTGTTCCTCCTGAGTGATTCTCTTTTTTCTCCACATTTATTCAGCTGTATATTTCTGAAATGGCCCACGAGCGGGTCAGAGGGACGCTGGGCTCCTGTGTGCAGCTGATGGTGGTGCTCGGCATCATGGGAGTTTATCTGGCAGGTATGTAGACTCAGCCTAATGTATCTGAACTGGTTAAAAGATATAAAGCTGAATCATCAGATGGCCACATGGTTCCTCTGACTCAGCAGTTTTCAGGCTGTAAATCATTGAGAGAATTTTCATGATGTAACCCTCAATGTTTCAGTATCCATCACTGTTCCTGCCGCGACTCTCTGCCCCCTCTGTTTATTCTCTTTCTTCTACAAACATCCTGAGATGTTGCAGTTTTTGCTTTGAGCAAATTTTTCGTGGTCTGCTGTCCCAATTTCAAACCTTAGGCTCAAAGGTTGTAAAGATAAGGTGATAAAACTTGGCCATTATGTCATGTGGTCATCTTCAGAGATGATTAGAGTCTACCTCTGCCTCTCTGTCTGACCTGTGTGAAAATAGCTGCTCCTGGTAATCTTTTTAGCCGCATGCCTTTCACGTTTACTCAATAGATGCTGGAGTCACATGAGGGGGGTTGCTTCGTGTTAGAGGATGCTGAATACTTTTATTCAGTTTGGTGGAATGGTCCTTTAAAGTGCAACAAATGAGGTATTTGTCAAGTTGATGTCACACAGAGGACAAGAGGAGGAGAGCCAGGCTGAAGAGTGTGAGACTGGTTGTTTTTAATCCAGAGCTTTATTGTTCTGGGAATTGTTCTCACTTTTTGACTTTTATTTTAACCTCATAGCACTCCTACTGTTCCCTGCTGCACTGAGAGGAGAGGGGAAGATCACAGAACATGTACCAGTGTTTAGGGTTCAAAGCTGCCTCCTCCTGTCATTTTTATATGATGCTGTAAAATATCCCTAAAGAGACGGAGAAAAGACATTAGCTTTCAGAGTGTCTTCAACCTATTTCCATCTATTAAACCAGCACAGTCAGCAGAGTCCTTCTCATTCCTTCTTTCAGTCAGACTGGAGGAAAATTTTCTAAATGTCATCCTGATCACTTAGTGAGAGACTAGGAAGATGCCTTCCTGGTGCTTGTTTCATTGAAGCATTTCATATTCTGATACGTCATCGTTCCTCTTCCTCCGTCTACACAGGAGTAATCTTTTTATCGTCTTGTTCTCAGTTTTGTCTAATTAAGCAAACTTGACAGTCAAACAGCGTTCAGGTCCTGGTGTTTTCCCTGAACCACTACGTTAGTGTGACATGTGCTGTTGGGATGAACACCACATGAACGCTTCTGCATGGGAGTGGAACATGCACCATCATCACAATGACTTCAGCCACGATCAGAGCAGTCCTCTCTGTTGCTTACTGTTGCATTGAAGGTCATCCCACAGCACTTTCACTTCCTTCAATAAAGACCAAAACAGAAAAATGCTTTGATACTGCACATTTGCTTCAGTTGGGGTCCGGTGATTTCTGCTGCACAGACAGAATCACAGAATTTGCACACTCAAAATGGAATCAATAGGGGCACAGATGGCTTCGTGCTTGGACTGCTGGGTGTAATGAAATGATCCCCACATTAAAGTTGATGTGAAGTCTGTCACAAACCAGCTGCTGCTCAGTCCAGTTGAGGAGAATCTAGTGCAACAATCTTATTAGCAGAGACGTATTTTTAGATACAAGACTAGCTGGACTTCACAGTGTCCATCAGTTCATCATGACCCATGTAAAATCCTGCAGGTCTCTTCCTGGACTGGCGCTGGCTGGCGATCTGCAGCTCCATCCCTCCCACGCTGCTCATGGTCTGCATGTGCTTCATGCCAGAGACGCCGCGATTCCTGCTGTCACAGGGAAAGAGGCGGGAGGCAGAGGAGGCCCTGCGCTTCCTGAGAGGACCAGATGCCCCCGTGGAGTGGGAGTGTGCTCGTATCGAGGACGCCTGTGATGAACAGGTGAGTCTGGCTGACTCAGTTTGATACGATGGACAGAGTCAGCCGATGAGAGTGTAATTGGGAGGTTTGCAGGAAGTCTGAGACCCTCTTCAGACTGCCATGAACTAAAATAGCTTATTGATCATTGGGGTCTGCTCTGTTTCCTCATAAACATAGCCCTGCTGTTGTCTCTCAGGGTTCCAGTTTCCAGATGTCAGACCTGAAGGACCCGGGTGTCTACAAACCTTTGATTATCGGCATCTTTCTGATGATTTTCCAGCAGATGACAGGGATCAACGCCATCATGTTTTACGCTGAGACCATATTTGAACAGGCACATTTTGCGGTGAGGGAGAAGTTGGATGGTCATTCATATTATTATTATTATTTTTTTATTATTATTATGAATAATAATAATGATAATAATAATAATGATAACTATTATTATTATTATTTTAACTGGTTACTGTCCTAAACTGTCACCTGTATCGTTTACTCTTATTTTAACAAGGCTCCTTTTACATCAGCTGTTGCCTTTCACAGTGCTTTATTGTAACTTTGGTGAAGTTCTCGGATTTATTATTACTGGATAACACAGGATAGCACAGCTTGGTCCTTTTTAATACGCACATCTATCTGCACTTTATGGGTTTTGCAAACTCCTTTTTCTGGTATTCTGGTATTTGTAATTGCATATATGATAACGTCAGGAAGCTCTCATTAATAACACAGCTGAATCTTGTGTTGATGGTGTCTGTGGATTGATTGTTGTTGTTGTGCAGCAAAGCGACCTGGCCTCTGTGATCGTGGGTCTGATTCAGGTGGTGTTCACAGCAGTGGCAGCTCTGATCATGGACAAAGCTGGAAGAAAACTCCTTCTCATCATTTCTGGTATTTTCAGTCAAATTTGATTCATTTAAAGAATCAAACTGATTTTTTTTATTTGCATGTTTAGCCGGTTTCTCTTCCCTTGTTTGGATTTTGTTATTCTTCATCCAGGTGTTTCCATGGCCATCAGCGCCACAGCCTTTGGGGTTTACTTCTACCTGGTGTCCCAGCAGCACAGTGTTGCCACACCGAGCACCTTGTTTCAGGATGTCCAGAGTACAGTTGGATTGGCACCTCACCGTGACCTGGCCTGGCTGGCTCTGACCAGCATGGCAGTCTTCATCACAGGTGAAAAATTACCATCCTCACCCCTCCTCTTCCCACCACTTCCTCCCTACATATACAGCCCAATTCCCAGAAATGTACGGCTCAGTGTAAGATACAAGAAAAACAGATCTGAAGAATGTGATTGTTTCATGAAGAAACTGCTCATTTTCAATTTGACACCAGAAACATGCTTCAAAAGAGTTCTGCCAGAGACAAGTGAACCTTTGTGTTTGCCAGGCCATGGTCTGGAGTCTGACAGTGAACTGTTTTCCCATTCTTGACTAATAGAGGATTTCAGCTGCTCAACAGCTCAGGGTCTCCTTTGTCCTGTTTATGGTGTCATGATGCTCCAAATGTTGTGGGACAATGGGGGACAAGTCAGGACTGCATCAGTCCAGTTTCTCAGCAGGACTTTTCTCCTACAGATCCATGCTGTTGTAATCCCTGTTGTCAGAATGTGGTTTGTCATTGTCCTCCTGAAATATGAAGGTCCTCCCTGAAAAAGTCTTTGTCTGGATATCAGTAGATGTTGCTTCTAAACCTGAATATATTGTTCAGCATCAATGGAGCCTTCACAGATGTGGATTTTTCAATTTCTGTTTTGACACACTGTCTTTGCACTACCTTCAAGGTGATAGAGATTTTCAATTTCATCTTCTTCAGGATTGGGGTTGTGTTTGACTGAATGTTTTGGGATTGTGGAGTGCTGCTCATTCAAACATTTATAATTTTGCAAAGTGAAATAGGATCTGCAGGAATGGACTCTCTTTTAGAGTCAGCCTCATGTAGCCGTTTCAGGAACTGCAGCTCTGCTTCTCTGGTTCTCTGCCTCAGTTTTTAGTTTCTAAAAGCTTTTATCAGAGTTTTTGTCTCTGATAAAAGCTAAATTTCTTAGTTACATGTCTGCTGCTCATGTACTGTTTTAGAGCAGATTGGTCAGTAAGTTCATTAAATATTGTAAATCATCAGCAGTTGTTGTTGTGTTCAGGATTTGCTCTTGGTTGGGGTCCGATCCCGTGGCTGGTCATGTCAGAGATTTTCCCGGTCAAAGTAAGGGGGGTTGCCAGCGCCATCTGTGTCCTCACCAACTGGAGCATGGCCTTCCTTGTCACCAAAACCTTCCAGGACATGATGGTGAGTCTTTGACAGGAGTGTCTTTACAGGGGTCATGGAAGGAAAGATTTTACTCACAGAAGTGTTTTGTGTTTCTCTGATCAAGGTCATGACTTCAGACTTAGTTTCGCTCTGGGACTAAAATCCAGCATGAATAATAATAATAAAGTGTGCAAATAAAGCAGCTTTAAGCTAACAGGGGCTTTATGTTTAAAAATACACCTTCCATATTCACTCAAAAACAAATAACTGTGACCTTTTTCCAGAACCTTCTGACCAGCGCTGGTACCTTCTGGCTGTTTGCTTCTATGTGCATCGTGAACTCCATCTTCACCATCGCCTTCATCCCAGAAACAAAGGGAAAGACTCTGGAGCAGATAGAGGCCACTTTCAGAGGGACATCAGGGCCATAAAAGACCCCTCACTGCACCCCCAGTCCAAAGAAAAATCAGCACAGGGGTCCAAAAGGATGAAGACTCTCAGAGCTCACTTACGTGGACTGAAGCTCACAAACTCTTTTAAAAGCTGACAGAGAATCTTCCTCAGAAGTTGGATTTACTGCAGCAGATCTGGGAGGAAGTTCCTCTTTATGAAGGTTTACGTGTTCAGTTTTATGTGTAAACTGTCTCAGAAGTCAGTGAGGAGTAGACTCCAGTTTAAGAGCCTGATGTTTTGGGATTTGGTTGTTTTTTTTTTTTAATCAGAGGTGATCATATGCAGTTCAGCTGTGACTCTATCCTTTACGACAGGTCTTTAGTTTGGCAGCATTTCAACCAGCCTCTAAAACATAGACCATTTTATTGTTTCACTCTAACCTACAATAATCCAGCTCAGCTTGGTGGTACATGATTAAAATGAAGACTGCGTTTAGGTCCTTATATGTGGGTGTGAGATTATTAAGTCCAGAAAAATGCTTCATCTTAGTTAATCTAATCTTGGGGAGTCCAGGGATCACATCACAGCTGACAAGTCTGCCTGTTAGTCTGCATAGTCTGTTTTCAAGCAACCAAAGCTGCAGTTACACTACTTAGACGTAGACTGGTACTAGTGCGTGTCAGATACCACAGTTTGGTCCTTTTGTATGAGGATTCACTTCTGTAGAAGCATTATTTGCAAAGTGCATTAAATAAGACACAGTTCACAGACTAACAGAACTTGTTAGGAAAATGTTTACTAAGGGAATAAATCCGGGACAGACAATCCTTGACAATCTGATCTAAAGTTGTCCCCTGCTGGCCCTCAGAGAAAATGCAGGTTAGGGGCATTTCTGCTTTGCTTCGATTAACAATGGGCTAGACCTACTTTTTATCAACACCCTTTAAAACTGAATCAACTGAATGATCACATTGAAGGATTTTGTCTTTGTTAATATTGAACTGTATTTCTATCAGTGTGTTCCACATTGATCAGGTCAGAAAAAAGGAAAACTCCTCCAACAGCATGTCACAACAGCCTGAAATTAGGCTGTTAAATGCAGTTTTTTATGGGTTCTGATCTTAAATGTGTTTTCTGTGCTGAGAAGAAAATATATAAAACAAATACAATTTAACTAAAGGCTGTAGAAGAAAGACTGGACTCTTTCAAGGTCACCCTCCGGTCAACTGAGATGGACTCTTCCACTGTAGTGGAGTTTCAGGATTGAACTCAGCATCCTGCTACCTCAAGAAATACAAGTGAACACTGCCCTCTACAGGCCTCGCTGCAGTAGTTCACCTCTCTGTCTTCACATTCAGGTCATTTGAGGTCGTTTCCAATGTTCACTTATAAAACTGAGAATCCTATACAAAGTGATATGAGTGAATAGGGTTACTTCATTGCTGGATTTAGATCTCACTGTGAAGAAATTGGTGTAAAATCATTCTTTTAGTTCTCCTGTTTAGGAGGGAAATGCCACTGTAAGCTCCCAGTAATGTTCATAAAATTTAAATGTTCATCTCCAACTGTCTGTGTTAGCACAGCCCAGTTTTCACCTCTCATTATCGATGTGAACGCTCAGATACTACCCTTCTGACTCTGTTTTTCTCATCAGGTTAAAGTCAGCATGACACCAAAAGCACCTGAAGTTTTTTCCCGATGAAAGAAGCTGGTTCTGTCCTTAAGAAGTGTGCAGACACAGAGACTCTGATTAAGTTCTGCTTTTCGTTAAAATGATGATTTTTACTGGGACTGTAGTCTGCTATTTACACCAACTGTGTCAACTGTTGATTTAAAAGTTTACAGTTTTCATCTTTTATAGTTTATGAAAAAGGTTTAGGGTCCAATGTGAAAAAGTTAGGGTTAGGGTTAAATCCTGACTAATTGTTATAGGTAAAAATGTTATAAGAAAAATAGGGTCAAAAGTTTGCATTACTGTGCAGATGAATGAAATCTGAACCAAAAAATGAGTATAAAAAATAAATAAATAAATAAAGTATTCAGCTTAATTTTGCAGAAGAAAAAAAAATAAGACAGTGTGCCTGGCTTTATTTCCAGGATCCTTATTTATCCACATTTTCACATGCAGCCCCAAATATCTTCTGTTATAACTGTGTAACACTCTCTTAAACCACTATCACAAAAATCAAAAGTTGTCTACTGTTAAGTGTTAAAGGGCAAAATATTCAGTGTGTTTTTTATAATCACTCACTTTTGGAATGATCTTGTAAATTAAATGTTCAAGAAATATTTAAAAAATAAGCCAACTTTTTTTTTTTGCTGTTAAAGTGGTTAATTGTCCTTTTGAAGTGGTTAAATGTCCCTTTTTTAAGAGGCTGTTGGTTTGAAATTAGGAAATCACAACTCTTTAAACCTCCTGCATGAAACTCGGTGTTGACTGTGGACTTTTTCCTCTCAAATTTGTTCTGTACATGCATAAGAAATGGTTTCTGTTCCAGCTTATCACATTTTGTACATTTGCCAATTTAAAGTAAAAATGAGTGTTATTCAACATACTGAGATTCTTTCTGGTTGGTTACGAAACACACTGACTTCTAGAAACTCAAGTTTAATGTCTGAATCAGTGTTGTGCAAAGTGACTAGCTCCTGAAACCGCTTTTATTTCATATGATTTTACAGCAAAGAATCTGAATGGGTAAACCACTGGACTTTTGTGATTAATCAGTTGGGGCTTTTGTTTAAAATGAATAAAGAAATAAAATAAATCATTAAAATGGTATTACTTGTTCAAGACAAGGTCAGCAAAGAGGTAAGATGTATACTTTGTGTCGTTTTTCCTCGGAGCTTCAAAAAAAACTTGTTTTATTTAATTTGAAACTTTAAAATGAGGGTTTACAGTTTTTTATATGATTAGAACCACAACAATATATTTTAAGCGAATCATTACCCAATTAAAACATATTTCCCTCAAAACAAAACTATCTAACGTAATTTTTCTCCAAGCTTCCAACTTTTCTGGACAATTCAAATTCCGATTTTCCACACTAAACGAATTTCCCTTTCAAAATAAAGCCGTGTGTAGTAGTGTTTCCTCCAATGTGACACATTTCGCCCTTAATTCTGATTAGTAGCAATAAACAAAAAAAATGCAATTCATTTAATGATGCTTGTCTAAAATTAATTCAATTCAACGCTTATAAATATGCATAGTTTCTCCCTTGTGTAATTACTGTGAAGGCTGTCAACGTTTCCTCTCCGCGGTCATACTATTGTAACACTTCCTGGTGTCACCCCGTATTCCGTCCGCTCTGCCCGGGGAGTCTGGATGCTGCTGCAGGGATGGAGTTGAACCCCAAAAACAACGAAGTGTGGCTTAGAGTTTGAGACAAAGAAGGGAGCTTTAGCGTCAGCTCTCCAGCTGATGGATTTCTGCTGAACAATAAGTAGGAATAATCATAAAATGAAGCTGCTGAAGCCGAGCTGGGTGAGCCATAACGGTGAGTCTGTGCAGGAATCTGTTGGACCAAGTTGGGCTTTTGTTGTCGGAGGGGGTGAAGCAAACACGGGAGGCATGGTGGTGGAGGGGGCCGACACTTGTTTGACTTGTTTGTCACGTTCAAATCCGCCACCTTCCACACTGTAAATAAGCCTTGAACCCAGAGAGACACGCTCTTGTATCGCTTTAGGGTCTCTCTGTGATACGAGCCGCTAACTTCGGCTAGCTCGCTGTTAGCCCTCCGGCTAACTTATCACTGCTAACTAACTATCGGACTAACATCCCACTTCACAGTTACCGTATTAATGTGACTTCTTAAATATTTTTGTGTCCAGTTTAACATTTAACAAAGAATATTCAATGTAAAGAAAGTGAGAAAGGTTTGCGTGAAGTCTAAAAGTGTCTTGGAATTCTCCAGGCTGTCAGTTTGAAAGTTGAGGGTTAACTGTCAGCGTTCTTTATTTGATCTGTAAAACGGCCGACAGCTGTGCAGGTTTCTACCAGAATACTGCACTATCAATAAATCAAATGTAATCATCCTACAGTTCTATCCTGAATAACGGTGCACGGCTGACAGTGAATACAGTTGTATTTGATTAAGGACCTCAAACCTTTATTAAGAATGTTTGCTTTGCTAATTTATAAAACAAAACTCCCACTGCATTTTTTACTTGTATTTCAAATGTGAAGTGTTACTTTCAGAAAAAAAAGTTGGACTATGTTTATAAATAAGATTTTCACTGACAAATAATGTCATAAATGCAGTTATTGAAAGATCGAGTCCATCTAATGAGTGAAGCTGAATTATGTGCCTATACCAGATTTGTCACTTAAAGAGTCTTTGTTTTTTCTTAAAGGTAAAAAAAATAAATAAAAACTTCCTGCAGAACATATAACACAGTTACTCATGGACCCTGGGTTTGTTTACAGTCTGTGGAAATTCCACAGAGATGTTCAGTATTTTTCCATCAGGTTAACAGTTTGAAACCTGTTTAAAAAACTCTGAACTCCTTATCATATCCCTGAAGTGTGTCACATGATGTTTTTTTTCCATATAATAACAGCTTTCTTTGACTCCAAAAGTAAATTGTTTATGTTGATTTATTTATTTATTTTTTTTGTCGTTTCCACAGGCAAACCCATATTTTCAGTCGACATCCACCCTGATGGGACTAAATTTGCAACCGGTGGTCAAGGTAAGACCAGAGCTGTTTAAGCTGCTCCTGTTTTTGGACCACTCGCATTGTAGTAGTACACTTATAGAGTTGTGCAGGGTTGTGTTCAGTTAAAATACCTGCTGTTGATAATATGTGATAATATATGCATAAAATCACACAAGGAGAGATTAAGAAATAACACACATTATAAGAGACAAAATCCAAACAAATACAGCTCTTAAAAGGCTTTGGAAAAAAATTAAAATAAAAGATAAAGTAAAATTAGGAAAGGCTCTTTGATCAAAGTATGTTTGAAGAGGTGATTTCAAAGAAGACTGATGATGATACCCTCCAAAAGTCATTCCTAATTGTTGTACCTGCTGACTTAATCCAATGTTTTCTTTCTCTTCGATGTGGTGTGCTTTCAGGAGAGGATTCTGGTAAGGTGATGATATGGAACATGGCACCAGTACTCAGAGAGGAGGATGAGAAGAATGAAAATATCCCCAAAATGCTTTGCCAGATGGACAATCACTTAGGTAACTCGTGATTTTTGAGCTGAATGTAAAAAAAAAAAACTACCAGATTTATTTGTTTATTAATTTCATACTTCTAACGATCTCAAATGACTTCTGAAGCTGGACACTTGACATCTTGTGATGGAGACAGTCAGTTCAGAGTAACACCCTGAACACTCCTACCTCTTCAGAAGAGCTATTTTCTGCTCATTAAAGTTGAACTAGAGCTGCAAACTTGGCCCTGTTTTTTCAACATATTTGTTTTTTTTTATTTCCCAATTTCTGCAAAAAGTTTTGATATTGTTTCACAAATGGATGAATTTCACAATTGATGGACCAAAGGGCCAATGGTAGTGGACAGCTCCTCTCTCTTTGCTGCAGGACAGAAAGATTCAGAAGATCTTTTGTACCCACAGCCATCAGACTTTACAACTCTTCTGTAAATAGTAGATAACTTTTTGACACATGACAACTGAGACTACAGACAATTGAATTTCCCTTTGAGGATAAAATAAAGTTGTTCTTATTATTCTTATTCTTAAAATTCTCAGCCTTCAAACCAGCTGTAAATACTGCAGCAGAACCATCTCAGACAGATCCATGCCATCAAAGGTCATCCACTAAAAGTTCCAGTTTTTTTACTGACAGGCTCAGATTTTTGTTTTGAATTGTCTGACAACTTCAGAGAAATGATTTTTTCAGGAGTAGACCTTTTTTGTGAGAGCATTATTTTTAACGCCCTCCTACTATAGCCTCTGTTTCATGATTGTCATGATAAACACCTTCTTGAGGATGCTCCTCTTATAATGACTCATGACTCTGCTCAGAGCTCCTGATTAAATCCTGCTGCCCTCTGTTTTCTAAGAGGCTGATTTTGTCTCTTTGTCATCAGTCTGCTCCTGCTTCATTTTTATTCATCTGCTTCAGCAGGAGAATAAGTTTTTTGACTCCTGCACCTACAGTTAAATCCACTGTTTGTACCTCTGCCATGAATGACTGTCTTGCATGTCTGGAGCTCGGAGAAACTACTCAAACTGACAGCTTTGAGTTGTTTTTTTTTTATCCTGTATTCTCTAAGGAGAACTCTTCCTGCTGCAGAGGAGTGCGTTTACTCCCATGTGACAATGCTCCTCAGAGAGAGAGAGAGAGAGAGAGATAGATGAAAATAACTTCATCTGTCCTGCTCTGTTTATTTCCCATTCACACACAGCTGCAGTCTGAGAGAGCTGAATAAATGTACGAGCAGTCAGGTTTAATACGAGGGAAAGCTGTAACTGCAGGGGGCTGCAAGTGATAACTAAAACTAGAGTTTGTAAATATGTTTGTTTGTTTGTCCACAGCGTGTGTGAACTGTGTGCGCTGGTCCAACAACGGGCTGTACCTGGCTTCAGGAGGAGACGACAAGCTGGTCATGGTGTGGAAGAGAGCTGCGTAAGTACACACAAACACCAGCAGTGAACAAATGATGCAGGTGATGGACTTACGGTTCAGCTTCTATGATTTTCAGGATCCTTTCCTCATTTCATTTCATTTTGATAATGTGTTGGATTTCTCTGCAGATTCATCGGTCCCAGCACTGTGTTCGGTTCCAGCAGTAAGCTGGCCAACGTGGAGCAGTGGAGGTGTGTTACCATCCTGAGAAACCACACAGGAGGTAAGACACTTGGTCATGTCATGGCTCTGCTCAAGGTCAGAAAGTCTGAGAGATCCTAGACCACGTCCTTGTTTTGTCTGTGTTTTATGTGCAGATGTGATGGATGTGGCGTGGTCTCCTCACGATGTGTGGCTTGCCTCCTGCAGCGTGGACAACACCATCGTCATCTGGAACGCTCGTAAATTTCCAGGTGTGTGATGCTGAAACCTGAACTCACTCTGTCTGCAGAAACGATGCATGAATGAATCTTAACAAGCTCATTACAAATGTCAGGTTCCAAAAGGCCACGTGCTTAAAAACAGCTCTCAGCTCATGAGTTTTCAGTCTATGTCGGGGTGTCAGGGTTAGAAACACTACAGTTGAGGGATTGTTGATGCTGTGATAGATTTGAGACTGGTATGAGATGCTCTGTCCTTGACAGCAGTCCGTGCTGTACTTTTTGTACTTCCTGTGTGAAGCTGTACAGTTAGCTTTTGAAAATACAAGCAAGATTAGAGTTTACTGCACCTAACTGCTGAATCAAATTGGACCGCTGGTTGGAAATACACCGTAATAGGGTCAGAAACAGCAGTATGAAGTCAGACCAAAACACAGTCCTTTGAATCCAAAATGAAATATCTAACTTTCTCAAAGATCTCTAAACTTTTTGTTTGTAAGTGTCTCTTTGTGCGCTCCGTCTCTGCAGAGATGGTGGTGTGCCTGCGAGGACACACCGGGCTGGTTAAAGGTCTGACGTGGGATCCTGTAGGGAAATACATTGCCTCTCAGGCCGATGACCATAGCCTCAAAGTGTGGAGGACAGTGGACTGGCAGATGGAAGCAAACATCACCAAACCTTTCAGTGAGGTGTGGAAACCACCTTCTCATGTAAGCTCTACCTCATGTAAAGTTAACTAGAGAATGTTTAAACCATTTCCTGTGCTTGTGTGTGTGTCAGTGTGGGGGGACAACCCATGTCCTGCGTCTGTCCTGGTCTCCAGATGGTCAGTATCTGGTGTCCGCTCACGCCATGAACAACTCAGGCCCTACGGCTCAGATCGTGGAGCGAGATGGCTGGAAGACCAACATGGACTTTGTGGGCCACCGTAAAGCTGTAACTGTGGTGGTAAGGATGTTGTAATCACACGCCTGTCCTTTACGTGTAATCTCAGCTGAAATCTGTCTGCTCACAGATGCATCTGTTTTCTTTTTCCTGCAGAAGTTTAACCCAAAGATCTTTAAGAAGAAGCAGAAAAACGGCAGCTCTCCCAAACCCAGCTGTCCGTACTGCTGCTGCGCTGTGGGCAGTAAAGACCGCTCGCTCTCTGTCTGGGTCAGTTCTCACCGCAGTCTGTCCAGATGATAAATATTGAGGAAAAAAAAAGTCACATTTGGTGTTTCAAATGTTTTTGCTGCACTTGCACAAGAGAAAAAAATCTGTCTTTTCTATCTGCTGTGACCCAAAATTGTCAATTTTTTAAATTTTTTAATGTACAGAAACACAGTAGAGTCCAACCAGTGCTGCACCAGTTCACATTTACTCATATTGCAACATAAGGATTTAAGGTGTTTAATTGCAATAAATTAGTAAAATATTTTAAGGTATGGGATCTGTATCTTCTCACTCAGCATTCACACTTGACCTGTTAGATGGAGGCTTCAATTTTACAGCCTTGCTTTCAAATGGTTGAACTTCCTGAGTTTGTAAGATAAGATAAGAAGAACTTTATTTATCCCCAAAGGGAAATTCTATCAAATAATTGTATATGTGCAGCGAGAAAAGGTATCATGCCTAATCTCATGGAGCCCTTGTTCTAACTCCTGCCATCTGCCAAACATAATCATTTTAGAATTGATGAAGCATCAGTGTTAGTTAAGGAAACTTTGAGCTGAATTGCATTAAAAAATGCTCATGAAGGACTTTTAAACACATTGGTTTCTAATGCCTCTCTGTTTCTTCTCTACAGCTGACTTCTCTGAAGCGTCCCCTGGTGGTCATCCATGACCTGTTTGATAAATCCATCATGGACATTTCCTGGTGAGTTAAGAGCAGTGCTGTGGGTTTGATATTTACATGTGTTGGGGTCTAAATGATTAACGGCTTCAACGGAGGTCCTAAAGTCTTTCCAGGAATTCAAGTTCTCCGTCTCTAGATGGATTTCTATCAGTAGGAAAAAGAGGGGGTGAAAAAAAGTTGCACATACATCTGCTGTGATTCTGTTTTGACTATCCAATTAAATCATGACGCTGTTGTGCACCAATAAAGCCAACCAGAGCTTTGGTATTAGCCAATCAGAAACAGAGGAGGGCAGGTTCACTACTGCCCCCCAGGGAAGGATCTGAAGTAACTTGTCAGACCTCTGCCGGCAGCATTATTTCCACTGCCGACGTGGGCTCCAGCATCATGATAACAAGCCGAGGTCCACTGGTATGACCACTGGTATGGACAATGTAACCCTGAAATTAAAAAAAAAATTAAAAATGAATGAAAAAAATTAATTAAAACAAAAGCAACCCCCGGCTGGCTGGAGGGAAAGCGGGGTGTTGGTGCCTCTAGCTGCGATGGGGCACAGATAAGAGAGACACGTCTCCTCGTGTCATGACACGGTTAGTGGTGGCGGTGGCTAGTAGGCGCACCTGGCTGCAGGCTTTTCACCAGTGCAGCTGGGGTCCCCAAATGCAGCGACTGCTTTGCTCCAACTGTGGTGAGAAAGTCATTCAGCTCGCTGCCCACTTTACCACGGCACAGTCACCAAAGCAACAGCGGCCCCCGAGGTGCCCGCTAGCCCCTGCCTCTTGCTGCATGGTAGAAAAGGTGCCATTCTTCAAGTCCCACTCCAATCATGTTTTTTTTTTACTTTCTAGAGTGTTCTCAGTGGTCTTTAAGTTGTGATTATGAGGATTTTAGCCAAAAACACGTTACCTGTGTCATTTTAAAGAGTTTTTCCTCTGCAGAGCTCCAGTAGCTCATTAGCAATTCACCTCTGAGTCGCTTGTTCTACAATCGCCCTTTCTATTTCTTGGAGTCTGGTCTGCAGAGTGGGACGGAGCTTGGAGTTGTGACATAGGAAATCTCATTGTGTCTGAACCTGCCGTTTAGGTTTCACAGTGATTTGAATGCAGAAATACTTAAAAATGCAATTTTGCGCTTAGTTTTCTTATGATATGTCCTGTAGCATCAGACAAATGCCAAATGAACATATGTACAATGTGAAAATCCTGATTTTCATCAGAGTGGGTCTTTAAAGTGTGGTGCAGCCTATTGCAGGGGAATATGAAAAAACGACGTCTTCTTGTGTGCAACAGACTCAGACTGTGACTTCCAGTGTCTGACAGCATTACAGAAAGGATCCCTGTTAAGATAATCAAAACTTTTGATACTTTGACACTTTTTATACACTTTAAATAGATTCAGGCTCACATTTTTAACCAGCAGCTGCCACGAATGATTGAAAATGAGAGAGTGAACAGCAGTGGTCAATCGACTAGAGATGCCATGAGAAGGAGTCAGGGCCAACCACATGGTCAAACTAAAACATCAAAGTCAGTTCCTGATGTTTGTAGAGCAGTTACACTCTCAGTGACTGGCACGCTTGCAGGGAGGTGCTGGGTTAGTTTTGGTTGCTGCTGCAGTTGCACCTCTTCCTTGTTTGTGCGTCTGTGCTCCGCTCTCCGTCACAGCCTCTAAAACGGCTCTTCTCATTCATGTTTCGCTAAGCACTTTAGGATGGTGACTTGTGTTACTTCTACATTTGCTGATTTACAGATTTTTATAGCGCTTTTTTTCAGTGACCTCAAAGCTCTTTACATTGGATACATCATTCATTCACTCACACAGTCACAACCTGGTGGTGGTAAACTACCTTAGTAGTCACAGCTTCCCTGGGGCAGACTGACGGAAACGTGGCTGCCAGTTTGCGCTTACGGCCTCTCCGCCCACCACCACACAACACTCACAATCATACACCAGTGGAGGACACACACACTGGGAGCAATGTGGGTTAAGTGTCTTTCCCAAGGACCCAATGGACAGACTAGGGATAGGACGGGGCTCGAACCTCCAACCTTCCAGTTATTGGCCGACCGCTCTACCTCCTGAGCTACTGCCGCCCAATGAATGAGAAAATACAGACAGAACAAAGTCTCTGAAGATACCTACACCAGCACACTTCCTCTTTATTATTCATGATGACTCAATAATTGGGTTAAATAAAAGGGTAATATTGGGTAATTGGGTAATAAAGTGTAATCATCTTCATCAACTTTAAATTTGTGTTCCGAGATGTTTTCTTTGCCAGCTCCGTGTGCAAGAATTCAAATAAACACAATAAACCATGTTGGGTGCCCAGGGGTTTTTTGGGCTAAGATCATATTTGTATCATATATTTAAGGTTGACTTATTAAAATGAAAAGCCTTATATTGTGATAGCTAAATCCCCTTGAAGGATTTCTCCTCAGTTTGAGGAACAGTTGTGAGTTTTAATCAAATACTGCTGATGAAGCTGCACTATACTGGTTCTGTAAGAACCTCTCTTGTCTGTAAGGTGATGAAGATGTCTCTGGAGCTTCCTCCTGAATTCCTGGTGTGTGTTTCAGGACTCTAACAGGTCTGGGGATGTTGGTGTGCTCCATGGACGGGACTGTGGCCTACCTGGACTTCTCACTGGATGAGCTGGGAGATCCTCTGAGTGAGGAGGAGAAGGTGAGGCACAAAGATGATGTTTAATATTCGATTTAATAATATTAACACCCTGCCATTGAGATGAACCAGATCTGTTTGCTCTTTATTGCTTAAAATCACCAAAAAATATGGGAAAAAATAACAGTTTTTCGTCTTTCTTTCAATGGTTGCTCTTTTGATTTTTCTCTTCCATCCTAAAAATCTCTGATACAAACTCCTCTCTGTCTTTTCTGACGTACAGAACAGCATCCATCAGAACATCTATGGTAAGAGTCTGGCTATAACCAGCACTGAGGCTCAGCTCTCCACCACTATTATCGAGAACCCAGAGATGCTCAAATACCAGCAAGAGCGACAGAACTCGGCCCAGGCCCACTCAGGACCCGGCAGCACCGGGCCCGAATCCGCAGCACCGAAACTGAACAGTGTGATGAACGGAGAGTCTCTAGAGGACATCAGGAAGGTGAGACACCGGTGTGTCATGAAGGCGCTGGTGCTGTCTGTGTGAATTTGTCTGTATGTGGTTCCTGCTTTTTCAAATCTGCGAGGAAAGAAGAAAAGCTGAAAACTAAGTCAGGATACAAAAGATAGCTAAGTAATAAAGTCAAATTCAGGGAGAAGATAAAGCCGACTAACACAGACTTGTTCATAGCTCAAAAAAGAAAGACTCATTAAGATATTTCTGGAGCTCACTTTTCTTGGATGTTTTTTCTGCTGTCTTTCAGAACCTTCTGAAGAAGCAGGTGGAAACAAGAACAGCAGACGGCAGACGACGAATCACACCGCTCTGTATCGCTCAGCTGGACACAGGGTAAGGAAACGAGACACCGAGTCTGAATTTGAATGGAGAATAAGGCTGAAATCTTCATGTTAGATCACAGAGCAGAAACCTCACCTTTCTCCACAACCAGAACATTATTGTAGCTTCTAGTGGAGAATGTAGATTTTTTTCTCTCAAAGATACTTGGACTTTACTTTTGAAGTTCATCATCAGAGCTGGTGAACATATATTGACCAGTTAGGGAAATCTTTTTTAGCTGGAAGCTTTGGCTTTGATATTTAATCTCCTGAAGTTAAAAATTTGTGTTTACAATATCAGTTCTAGAGGTATGAACACACGGACTGTAAAACCCGCTGCCTCTGTGAGGTCGGATAAACTCTGTGTTTCTGTGACATCCGAAGGCATTTCTATCCTGTCAGTGTTTTTTCAGAGACTGTCCAGATCCAATCCTGAAATTAATGAAGTCAATCTGTGAAGATGTATGCATCAATTTAAGTGAAATACTGTAAAATGTCTGTGGTTAGCCAGCTTACAAGTCAGAGGCTGCCATCTTTACTTTCCTCTGTTGACCAATCTGAGGCTGTGTCTGCGATCAGCTGGAAGTGAGGTCATCCTTAAGCAGATGTCACAGTCTGCTCTCAGCCCACATCTATGATAGACTGAACTGTTTTCATCCTTTTTAACTCGTTCTAGTCTCAGGAGACTCGAAATGATCCGATCAACAAACAGACTGACAACAAAATGACTGTGAGCAAATGTGCAAAATACTACATTTTCACAATGACATACACTTTTTTTTTTTTATACCAACACTTCTTTTAAGTTTGCTGCTTTTCTAGCGTTTGTACTTTTTTACGGCTGACTATAGGAGCAGTGTACAGATATCACCTGTCCTGTGTCTGTACATGTGCCTGGACCTCTTAGAATGGCAATAAACTCTTAGTCAGTGATAAGTAACTGAAAATAATGACATAAGAAAGTCTAAAACATTTCGTTATCTCAGTTGTCCAATCAGAAAGCTGTGGGGAGAAGTAGTAAACCCGAAAGTAACAGGTACTGTATCATCTCAAATGTTGATACTCATCGTTAATCGTGCGTCCAGATCCCCCAGCTCTGTCATGAAGCTTTATTCCAGCTATAGTGGTCATTTTCCATTTAGTCCCACTCCGATCACTTTTTTTACTACTATAAGTGTTCTCAGTAGTTTTTAAATCATGTTAATGAAGTTTTTAGCCAAAATCGCGTCTCCCGTGTCATTTTCAAGGGCTTTCCTTCTGCAGAACTCCAGTAGATCATAAGCAATTCGCTTCTCAGTCGTGGGTGGAGACAGCGCTGCTCTCACCCTCCTCTTTACACTAGCTTACAGCCTAACATTGCCGGTGTAGTAGAAGTGGCAGGTTACATAGGAGCTATTCAGCTCTCGGACATCAATGTCTTTATGAACATGATGAAAGTTAATATCATAATTAGCTTCCTTAAGGGCATTGCAATCCGCTAACACACAGGTTTGTTCCATGATCGTCTTCTCTACTTCTTTGAGTCTGCCCTGCATATAAGAAAAACATGATTTTCATCAGAGTGGGTCTTTAAAAGTAACACTTATATTGATAAGGATATAAACAGCAATAAATCAGCATCTTTCTCTCTGCAGGGATTTCTCTCCGGCTCTGTTTAACAGTGCCCCCATCCTGCCCTCGGGCTCCTCCATGTCCAACCAGCTCACCTCTCAGCTCAGCTCTGACTCCAGCCCAGGACAGGCCTCCTCTCTGGGGCTCCGGCCCAGCCACGACTCCATGCTCACCTCGCCTCCACCCGGCAGCTCCAACAAGGGTCTGGAGGACAACAAGGATGGGTGCGGCATTGGACAATGTTGTTTCTGTCTTCAGCTGAAGCCTTTAAGTTTTTAAGGTCTTCAGGCTAAATTGATTCAGTTTCTTTCTCTCTAATTCCAGCCCAAAGTCATGTCTGCTGCTAACGTCTGCCTCCAAAATCGAGCCCATGAAAGCTTTGGACTCCAGGTTCACAGAGAGGTCAAAGGCCACACCAGGGGTCACCACTGCCATCACCTCCACCGCTGGACTCACACCTCTGGACAGGTAGATGAGGTGATTTCTATAGAGTGGAACTTTGGTAGAAATGTGGCTAAAACAACTTTTCCTTTTTTTTCCAGCCGGCCAAAAGACGGCATCTCCGCCCTGAGAGACATCAAAGCCAAAGACGACACCAGCAGCGACAGCGAGGACAAGATGGCCACCATCAACAAAAACCTGGCATTCACCAAGAGGAAACCTGAGCTGCTGATGGACGGAGGAGAGGTGGTGGAGAAGAGGAAGAAGGGACGGCCCAGGAAAGACAAGATGGCCGCTCCAGTCACCCAGCCCTTCACTCAGGTAGAGCAATGGACAGATCACGCAGATGCTCTTGGAAACTGATATATGAAAGGAGAGAAAAAAAACAAACTCATCTGTTTCTCCCTGTTTTTTCTGTCAGATAACTCCTCCTGCAGAGCGGGAGCCCAGCAAGGTTGTAGCAGCTCCTCCACCTCCTGTCGCTGCTTTCAAACTACCAACACCAAGTATAAAGAAGTCCTTCAGTCTGCAGGTAACCTCAATATACAGCTCAGGTTGTTTCAGGTGTCAGCAGGCTTCAGTGTCTGCAGGAAAAACAGTCTGTATGGAGAGCAAAAGCAGGAGGGTATGAGCGCTCCTTTGGGGGGGGTATATGAGTGTATCTCACAGACATACCTCATTATAGGGTGTGTGTCTGTGTTTGTGTGTGTAGGTGAGCATGGAGCCGGCAGTGATCGTGGAGGTGGAGAACGAGGTTTCAGTGGTCGCTGGTTCCAAGCTCAGCCAGCTGCAGTGCTCCAGAGATGGACGAGACTGGAACACACTGCTGCCCAGCTCAGTGGTCACCGCTGCAGGGAGCAGGTAGGAGGAGATGTTGAATACAGCAACTGATTTACCCAACACAGGGAGCATATTTTATAATGCTCTTTTCAAAACTCTACATTCCTGTCTGGAATTTGGTGGCCTGACAAGAGGGATGAAATACTGGGGGTTTTTTTTGCAGCCTTGATCTAGAGCGATTTTGAATTTTTTTGTTCTCATCCAGTTCCAGAAAAGATCCTGAAATATATTTAAAAGGTAAATAAAAGACTTCTCCTCTTCCTTCAGCGACGTCATTGCCGTCGTCAGTCAGGACAGGATGCTGTCGGTCTTCTCTTCCTGTGGGCGGAGGCTCCTTCCACCCATCCAGCTTGCCACGCCTGTGTCTGCTCTGCACTGCACCGCCCACTTTGTCATGGTTCTGACTGCTGGAGCAATGCTGTCTGTCTGGTCAGTGCTCCTTCATTTTGCAGGATTTTGACACTTTGTCTGGTCTCGTTGTTGTTCGTCATTTGGTTGGATATTTTCCTATCGGTGCACAGAGATGTGACTCACGTTTTTAAAGGAAGTGCACACAAACTCAGGTGCTTTTCCTGAATAATGGGTTTCCATGTACCCATATTGATTTCACGCTTTTATGCAGTTACAGATAGGGTTGGGTATCGTTTGATTTTGAACGATTCCGATTCCTCATTCCGATTCCTATCGATTCTCTATTTCGATTCTTTTAAAAGGCAGGATATCAAAAAAAAAAAATCATGGTTGAAATGAGGGCGCTACAAGAGCTCTTCTTTTTGGATGAAATTTCTGAACTTCTCCATGAATTTTTAAATCATATTAACTTTTTAAGAACTTTACTATGAATTTCTCACATGGCTGTTTTCAACCAGTATATAAATATCAATTTTTGTTTTCAGGTTGTTTGTCTATGAAAAAGTACAAGGGCTAACGTTAGATGGATATTTAAGTTTACTCACCGTAAACAGTACAATTTGTTTACCGCTTCAAAGTTAGCAGAGGACAGAAGTAATTTATTGTTTCACTTATCTGATCCTGACTGGTTAGCGTAAGACAGGTGTTGTGCTGTAGAATGCACCCCTGCCGTAGAATGCCTCCCCTCCACTGATTAGCTTCTTAAAGTGGAAGACAACGATCTCATATTAAAAAAAAACACGAGTATTAGATCATGAAAACATGTCAAATGGAGCAGTAAACTCGTTTTGTTTTTATGTGTCTCAAAAATGCACACATAGAGGTGTACTTGGGTATATAAACTGTACAGAAAGCTGTTAAGGTAGAGAAGATTATATTTTCGGGACAGTAAAATTCCGAATCAGAGGGCTATTGTTTTCGGCATATCTGAATAGACTGAATGAAATCATTAAAGGCACACGCTTTAGATTCCGTTCAACGGGAAGGAAAACTTGGATTGTTTCGCCTTGTTGTGTACTTCCAACCGCGCTCCCGTCAGGGGTGCATTCTACGGCAGGGGTGCATTTTGAGGGACAACACCGGCGAAGCGCATCAAAGACGAGCACTCGGGTATTTCTCCTCCATGAATCCTGAGGTGTTTAATCATGTTGGTCGTTTACCCTCCTTTGCATGATACAACTGTATTGCTAATGTTGCATTGAGATAAGAGTTCATTCTTCCTGCTAAAGTTAGCCAAACTTTTGACCAACGAAGAAGAAGGCGCTTAACACCAATGAGGACGGAGCGTATGAGACGAAGCCACAGAGAGAGAGAAGAGAGACAGACAGAGAGAGAGTGTGCATTGTAACCCACAGCGGCTGCATTGCTGTGGGTTGCAATGTACTTTCTCTCTCTGTCTCTCTTCACTTTCTGTGTGGCTTCGTCTCATACGCTCCGTCCTCGTTGGTGTAAAGCGCCTTCTTCTTCATTGATTTTCGGCGACTATTTCTTCCGGTCGGCGGACTCCGGCATTGAAACTTGGAATCGAAATTTTAATATTTGAACAATACCGGAAGAATCGTAATGTTAGTCCCGGTCCCCATCGATACTCGATTCTCGATACCCAACCCTAGTTACAGATTTCTCCTTTCTTGTGCTTCAGAGACACAGTGTCAGTCAAAGACTAAAGTGTAAAACTAAAGAAAAGCAGTCTGCAGTGCCCTGATTTCATATATTATGAGAAACTTTTCTTATTTCATGTTTGACCTGCAGGGACGTCCAGAAGCAGAGAGCTCTGGTGAAGAACGAGTCACTGTCGACCATTTTATCAGGTGAGACACTTTTCCTTGATTTTACATGGAGACATTTAAGTGTTATTTGAAGGTTATTGAAAATGGTGACATGCATAAAAATATCAAAATAGTGATGATGGGTTGCTTCAACACTGTAAAAAAAGGGGTTGTCTTTTTTTTCTCTTGTCATTTAATTCAACATTTGTTTCACCAACAGCCAATCACTGCTTCTTCTGTCAACTCATCAGCAGATTTAGACAGGGTTGTAATTTGTGTCTCTGCTGTGGACATTGTGTTTTCTACTGCCACTATCCTGTCCTCCATGTCTCCTGTGTGCTCAGGAACACATGCTGCACACTGTATATAAGTTTCTTTATCCTTTAATTTCTCTTCTGTATTTGTATTTATGCTGCTGTAATTTTGGAAATTCCCCCTGTGGGACTAATAACAGTTTATCTTATCTCTTAACATCTTAGAGATGCCGGATACATTGATGTTCATACTGTTGTATGTTCCAGCTTGAAGTCAGTCACACAGCTAATATTTGCTGCTGGCATCTCTGTGTCATGTCAATGGCTGAGTCTAATTTAGGTGTATCTGACATAAGGCTGCCATCTTGACATGAGTGGGATTTTTCAGCCGTAGGATTCTTTTCAGCTGGTTTGAAAGGCTCTTTATCGACAGAACTGCATCTTCAGACTTTAATATCACCAACATTTTAAGGAGAATGTTTTAAATTACAGTTAAACAGAAATATCAGCGGGTCTGAGGAGTTTATGCTCTCCTTTGTTTTTTGTGTCTTTAGGTGCTGACACCACAGTGTCTCAGTCTATGCTGACTCAGCAGGGAGTCCCCGTCATTGGACTGTCCAACGGGAAGTCGTACTGCTTTAGCTCCTCTCTGGAGACATGGTGAGAAACAAACAAAAGGAGATACGGGAGATAAAGAAAAGATGAAACCTTTAAAGGATCCTTCTCAATGAGTGACAAGTGAACGTATGAATACGTTTCTTCCTAAATGGCATAAAGAGTTTGTATCTGTCTCTCTCAGGACTCTGATCGCCGATAAGGGAGACTCTCTGGTCCAGTGTGCGGACTTCAGGAGCTGCCTTCCTACCCATGATGCACCTGTGTCCTCAGGGCCGCTGGCTGTCATGCAGGGGCGCAACCTCAAGTATGGTCCTTCTGTTTAACTCCCACCAGCCTTTTTATATTCTCCAGATTTGATGCGATGAAAGCAGAAATAATGAAATCTTCTATGTCTACAGTGCTGGTCGGCTGGCGTCCCGCCTCTCCTCCACCCCCCATCACCTTCAGCAGAGTATGACACTCGCCTTCCTGGAGAACCAGCTGGCGTCTGCTCTGACGCTACAGTCTGCACAGGAGTATCGCTACTGGCTGCTCATTTATGCCCGATTCCTGGTCAATGAAGGTGCAGGACCATCACTGCTTGGCGGTTTTTACTCTTTTAACAATCTTGAAGGAAGTTTTCTGAGTTTTTTGCTCAAACTTTATGATTTCTGTTTGTGTGTTTGCAGGCTCAGAGTTTCGCCTTAGAGAACTCTGTCAGGAGCTGCTTGGTCCTGTCCATAAATCAGCAACGACATCTTGGGAGCCAACCACTCTGGTATGACAGCGACAGTTGTCTCTGTATTTAAGGGCCTGTGTCCACTGACAACTGAAGTGCTCTAGAGTTTTTTCTTTCATTCTGGGGCATCTTACAAAAAAGAGGAAAAAACAGTTGTAGCTTGAAATGTGCACTTTAAGGAAAATAAGTGTGTTAAATTTCTGCTTGGTACAGATCTCTGCCACTGCTGCAGACATCAGAAGTCCCGCCCCTTCTTTATTTTGATTGGTGGATAAGTGAGTGACAAGCACAACAGTGTTCCTCAGGTTAAATATTTAAGTGCAGAGGCTTAAAGCAGCCGACACCACAAGCGTTTTTACACAGTAACACCCTGAACTGTGCTGGTCCAGAATAGAACCACAGGCACTTCCCACAGAAACAGAAAAAAGCACGGGTGGACACTGGCCCTTCCACACAAACCTCTTATTCTCCGATATGTTTAGTTACCTCTCCACAAAGACCCCCCTTAAAGAAACAGATTGAGCTGGTAGGGCGTCATTATTACCTCAGTGGTGATTTTGTGGCAAACTGCAACATGAAAATAAAACGAGCGTCACCTCCGACTTCCCCTCAGTCATGTTGATCCCTCTCTATTCTGTTCTCTCTTCCTGCAGGGTCTACGTAAGCGTGAGTTACTGCGGGAGGTTTTACCCGTCATTGGTGAAAACCTGCGATTTCAGAGACTCTTTACTGAATACCAGGACCAGCTGGAGCTGCTGCGCAACAAATAACACACTGCTATACACAGACACACACAGGGAGACATAGACTGACACTAACAAGCTGTCCTTGATCAGCTCTTCTCGGGGCAACTCTGACTGAGAGCTGAAAACCACGTGCTGGTGTCTGATGAGAACTTTAATCAGAGCAAGTCCTCGGCTTCGAGCACTCGGACTGACTCGTGCTGCCGCTCACCGGGGAGAAATGGGTGCTGACTTTTTTATTTCCTGATCATGATTTCATTTGAACTGTTGTCTTTTTTGTTTTTTTTTCTGCTTGGTGTGTTTCTCTGACCTGTGAACCTCTCTCCTGCACTCCTAATCATAAATTTTGAGGAAAATTCAGAGAGAGGCAGAGAGGAAGGTCGCACCTTTGTTTATCAGCCTTTAAATCAACCTCAAGAGAGAGAAAGAGAGCTGAGACGCTCACGGAGGAGACGAACGAATCAGAGTGGATGTAAAGACGCAATATGCTTGTACCAAAATAATGCCTTTGAGTGAAGATGTTACCGCCGGCGTGTGTCTGTGGTGTGAAAAAGGAGGAGGAGATGGGTGTCCAGATAAAGGTTCAGCCACATGTTTGATAACATGTCAAATTTCTGTCCTGGATCTGCCTGAGGATGATGTTTATTAGTGTTTGAATGTCAGAAGTTGAAGCCAAAATATGAGGTCTGAGTGAGGTTGGAGCTTCAAAAGACTCAAACTTTAGAAATTAAATTATTTACTGAAACACATGATGGATATCCAGGAAATGGAGTCCGAAAAAGGTGAAATTTTTCAGCCATTTGTCCCGTCAAAGCCGTGTGAAGGCGGTCACATGGTGGATAAAAAGCACTTAAAGCAGCCTGGATATCTAAAAATGACTCAAAGCTCTGAGATGAAATCTTTTGGGAAAACTCTGCTGGTTCACTGTCTGACTCTGTTCGTTTCTTTCTGTATGTCATTTATCCGTTAGGAACAGGCAGGGGGAATTTTTGGCCGAATAACCCTTTTAAATGTTTTCTTTATCTGTGAGGCAGGTGAGGTGTTTTTGCACTATTCATCTAAACTCTCTGTAAGGGACTTTGTTTTTGGCGCCCCCTGTGGACAAAGTGCTTCTGAGACTGCAGATTTCATCTCTTAGTTACAAATAAAACTAAAGAATGGTTAGGAGTTAGCAGAAGGAAAGAAACAAAATAAAGGATAGAATTCATATTTTAGGTGGTGAAAGAGTAAAACTCAACAATGTGATGCATCAGTCATCATAAAAACATTGAAAACAGAACAGAAGGAGCCCCTTCTGTGTTTTCAGTTTTACTCCAATGACCCTCTTCAGGCCAGAAATACACCTCACTGCCTCACAACTTTGTTTGAGTCATGGGCTGGTGAGGCATGGCGCCCACTTGTGGCCAAAAGAAATATTATAACTAACAGCCTAAAGATTAAACTTTACTATTTGGAGGAACTTTTTTATTGGAATGATAAAATGAAATTGAAAAAGAGCTAAAATTATTCAAATAAAAACAGTTTTAACCCTCCATGGTTGCAAATACGTGAGAGAAAACAGCTCAGATCAGACTCAAAAAATGAATCAGTGGCTTGTTTTTCTCGACCCATCTCTCTGAACTTTATCAGTTGAAAAAATAAACTCCCCTGAACAGACTTGATATAGAGTTAAAGATGAAATCAGGATTCCTTTGTCCAGCTTCTTTAAGTGGAGATCTCTCCTTTTTAATATCTGTTTAAAGTCTATGAGTGTGACAGTCTTAATCTTTTTATCATATTTCTGATATCATGTCTTATGTTAAACTCAAGCAAACACTAAACCTGAACCAGGGATCAGATCTGCAGGTTTGAACCTCTCTTTGGTGTCACATGCAAACAGATCTTTTGTAAACACCAGGAGCTCCCCTAGGCCTTCCCTCCTGTTTCAGACTTATTGTCTGTTGTGTCTTTAACTAACAGCATCAGGTGCGGCTGTTTCACTTTTAAATTCAGAGTTAATTCTGATTCATCCGTCAGAACCATCGATCTGCTCTGGGACTTGTCTGAACATTCAATCGGCCATCTGTGATCAGGAAGCACCAGTGGAGTTTGGTTAGACATAATTTGGTCAGTTTTACTTCTTTTGTAAATATTCAGTCTCTAGTTTTCTTTGCTGACCCATTTTCTTCCCGTTTGTCTGTTTTTGCGTAAAAACCACTGGAAAGAAATCTGTTTATTTTTTCCAGGACTGAGGGGGGAAAGTTTCTGTCCAGTATCCATGAACTTGAGTTTTTCACTGACTTTAGGGGCCTGAGGGTCAAACACCTCACCGAACTTCAACAGTAAATTCTCTTGTCCCCAGTCAGACTGTGTGTATAGATGGAAGGGCTTGTTTACTGCTGTTACTCACTGCAGCATAGAGGCAGACCACAGTCCAGAGGAGGAAACAGTCCTCTTCCTTAAGTAATGTGTACAGCATTTCTCTTTCTTTCTTTCACTTCTTTGGTTTGTATTTTTGTTTAAGATTTTTTTCTTTTTTGCTGTTAGTCATTTTAAATGTTTGTATGAGGCATTTTTGTTTCAAATTTTCTATAAGAAAAAGAAAACTGAGCAGAAATGAGCTGAAATTTTGCTTTTGAGAAGTAAAAAAATAAATGTTGAAACAGCTGAGTTATTTTGTCATCTTGAGTTCATGAATAAATATTCATGTATTGTAAAACGGACATTCAGAGAGGCTGAGTCTCTCAGAGGGAAAGATGGAAAGAGGTTCCCCACTCTGTGAGAGAATCCAGAGAAATCTCTGCACTAAAGGGACAAGGACCAAAACCAAGACAGGATGGTCCTGATCTTGAGGCCCTCAGGCAGCACTGCATTAAAAAACAAACAACAACAAAAACAAAAACAGGACTCAGAAGTGGAAATTACAGCATGGGCTCAAGATCACTTCAAAAACCATTGTCAGTGAACACAGTTCATTACTGCCTCCACAAATGAGGTTAATACTGAACCATAAAAGAGGAGACCAGATAGAGACAGGATCCTGAAACACCAGGGACTTTCCTGAACCTGTGTCTGTTCAGAATCGGAGTAGAGGGTCCACCCAACTTGTTCTTAGCTCTCAGTCCAAAACCAGTACCCCTCATGGTATTGGGATCACCAGAGTCCATGTCATGGGTATCTTCCTCATCTGTGAAGGCTCCATTACTGCTGAACAATATCTACAGGTTTAGGAGCAACATCTGCTGACATCCAGAATAAGACTTTTTCAGAGGAGACCTTCATGTTTCAGGAGGACAATGACAAACCACATTCTGACAACAGGGACTACAACAGCATGGATCTGTAGGAGAAGAGTCCTGCTGAGAAACTGGTCTGCCTGCAGTCCTGACTGTCCCCCACTGAAAACATTTGGAGCATCATGACACCAAGAACAGGACAAAGACCTTGAACTGTTGAGCAGCTGAAATTCTCTATCAGGCAAGAGTGGTACAACATCTCACTGTCAGACTCCAGAACCTGGTCTGCTGGATTCACTAAGGTTTACAGAGAGTTGGTAAAGAAGAGCTGAGGACACACAGCGGTAAACATGCCCCAGAACAATATTTCTAAAATATGTTAATGGCATTAAGTTTAAAATGAGCACATATTTTTGTAAAAGAATTTGAATGTCAGTATTTGATATGTTCTCTTTAATTAGATATGAGGTTTAAATGATTTGCAATATTTCAAATTAAGTTTCCATCGTCATTTAAAGGGATATTCTGCAATCAGAGTTCTTGAGTCTCCTAAGACAAGTATCAGGGCCACATTAAGAACAAAAAAAAAGACTTCGAGATAAAGGTTGTTAATTTACGAGAATAAAGTCAGTAATTATGAGAATTAAGTAATTACTAATGAGAATAAAGTAATCACTTACGAGAATAAAGTTGTAATAAAGTAACTACACACGAGAATAAAGCAGGGCTCTCAAGTTTTGAACTAAGCTTAGAGTGAGATTTCCTTGGGGGGGGGGGGGGGGGGGTGAAGATAATTATTAGTATAATTATCTCTTAAATACAACGGAGTATAAGGGGCACAATTAGAAAAAAAAAACGTTTTTAAATCTTAAAGAATAAAGTTATTATTTGGGAGGATAAAGTCATTAATATCAGTATTAAGTCGTAAAGTGACCTGCTGTGAAGGAGAGTTGTTAAAATCAGCACTGTGGAGCATTTAGATGAATTGTACTTTAGTATAGGTTTCACAAACATGGAGATACTTAATCCTTTGGTATATGAGCGTTACACTGTCATGAGTATCAGAACTTATATTTGAGATATATGAGAAATGCTGCTTTTGTGGAGGGGGAAATGGCTGTACAGAGGCTAAATCCGTCAATACAGCTGTTAATAGCAATAGCATAGGGCTTTAGTTTAGTTTAGTTTAGTTTAACTTTCATCTTTCGAAAACACAACTTAAGACATGGTTAAAATAAAATGTCACAATTTATTTGCATGTGCAAAATGTGGTGCAGCCTCCGTGTCAACATGGCTGCTCTCCTTCCAGAGTTTCTTCTGTCCTTTTCAGTCACCAGCTGGATAACTGCTGTGTTAGGAGGCCACTCTTACACTTGTTAAACTATAATGAAAAGACAAAAATATTAAAATACAATATCCTTTAACAGATATCCACCAAAGTATGTAGAGACCAATCTTTAAGAAGTGATTACATTCTGAAAGAAAAGAACAAAGGATGCAGTCAGTGTACCTTCATGCCCGGAAACTCTTGTCCATGTTCACCATCTTTGCTGCTGTTCTCATCTTCTCTTCTTCTTTCGGCTGCTCATCATCTTCACTCTCATCCTTGAGTGTGTCTATTGTATAGAGATAAATATAAGGAGATGAAAGATGAAGAAAATGCAGGTCAATAGAGCAGCACACAAAGACAACAGTTTAGTGAAACATGACACATTCATCAAACTTTACTTACCTTACTTCTTCATGTTGTCTTGTTCATCCAATCTCCTTCTGCATCACGGAGTTGGTCGTCATCTTTGGCCTCCTCTGGAGTCATTTTAGGCGTTTGACTCTTTGAAGTTACCTGAAACAAACATGAATTTCAGCCCTTCAGTTAAAATTGTCTATTTTTTTTCTTAAAAGCCGAACCTTTTAAGTAGTTATAGAGTTATTTACCTTCAAATTCCCAGAAACACACAGTACATCCATCATTCATCTTTCCTTCGTCTCTCTCTTCATGGGCCTGTCTCTTGTATGTTTGGTCCTCCTACGTCTTCTGTCTCGTGCTCGGCTCTTCTGGGGGTTTCTTCTCAATTGAGGTCCTTTTCCTAAAAAAAACAAAAAGAAAATGGGTCCTACACTGACTTTGTTTCATGTTAACAATGACTCTGGAGGAACCAAACTCACCTTTAGACTCACTTACCCACTAAGTGAATAAATCAAGTACAGAGTTCACGCGAAAGGATGTGACACAACACAGCACATCACAACACAAACACACACGCGATGACACAACACACAGAAGAAAACAACACATCACAATACGAGGTAACAGAGCACATAACGACACATAACATCGAACATGACGACACAACACAACACATTAAAAAACAAGACATCACAACATAAACACATGCATGACAACACAACCCATGAAACAAAACAACACATCACAAGACACTATACTAAAACTGCGCCACTACACAAAACATCCCAACACATAACATCAAAATAAATTACCACACAACACAACCAAGGACTTTTGAAGTTCTGCCCAATGAGTCCAAGGTGAAGTCGTTTTTTTCTGCCTTTAATTGAAGCTTATTTGGTTTTTTTGGAGCAAGTGCGAGAGGAGGAGCAGGGGTCCGTTTCACGTAGCAGGTTTAATGGAAACTCCGAGTCTGTTAACCCTGAAATCAGGGAAACTCTGAGTTTTCCGTTTCACAAAGGAGGGTCAGTTAAACCAGAGAGAGAGGGGTAACTCTAACCTGTTTCACAAAGAGAGGTAACTCAACCTCGCGGTCAGTTACCACAGTAACAGACTCCGTGAACCTAAGCTGCTCGGGAGCAGGTTTAACTCAGTAAACCCAGAGTTTCAGGTGAGACATCAGCATTTTCTCATTTTGATCATGTTTTACATTGTCAAGTAAGTATTAAGTGACAGTTTGATCCCTTACAAAATGCTCTTTTCACACTCAAAAATGAATTTTACTCTCTTATTATGTTCCGTTAAATGATTAGGAATATTAAATACTAACACAGACTTTCACTCAGCAAACAGAAAGAGGGCAGATGCCAGAAAAACGGGTGGTGGGCCAGCAGCCCCACCTTTAACGGAGGCAGAGTAGCTGCCCCCCCTCGCGGCCGGTCCGATCGCAAATCCATTCAATCCCAGATTATACATTAACAAACTCTATGATTAAAATGAATAATAATTTTTGCTCCTTAACATCCTCAGTTGCTTGTGTAGTGTTCTTTCCATGGGTTTCCTCTGTTTGTGTATCCAATGCAATGTCCTTGTTCACATCCTCTGTCAGGTTTCAGTGTTTACATTGTCCATGTTTGATTGTCTTGTTGGGAGGTGTGGGTCCATTAAGGCTGTTTAGATCTCTGGAGTACCACCTTTCTTTAGCTGGTCTCCCCACCTGCTGTCCTGGGGATGAAAAAAAAAACAAGCAGTATCTTGCCAGAAAACAAAAAATTTTGTTTTGACATGTTTATCCTATTTCCCCCCTAAGTAATACCTCCCCTTTACATTATCAAAATGTAAACCTGTGTGCTGGCCAATCTTACCCAGAGGGTTTTTCATCACCCCATTCATTTTTTTTTCTTTTCACAGATACCCTGGCTTTGTGGATGGTACACAGCTCCCAAACATTGTTTAATTCCAAGTTGTTGTTTTTTTTTAAATCAATTTCACTGTTTTATCCACACACTCTTCTCCATTATCTTCGAATATTTAATCCGAAAGTTCCCATCTGCTTATGACTTCCCTACACAAGAACTTGGCAACATACTGAGCATCTTTTCGCTTGTTTAGACAAGCTTCAACTGTTACACTTTCGAACATTATTTTTTAGACACATTGTACATCTACTTATGACATAATCAAAAATTTGTGGTGTCCAAAAACCTATTCCTTTATGATGTTTCTTGTAACTTCCCCCCTTGCATCATTAGCTAACCTTGGCCTCCTGAATCGTTCTTTTCCAAGTAGGTCTGGAGGTGCCACCATCAGCCCTTCATGATTCCTCCACGATACTGTGGTATCCTGTGTTGCACCTCGGTCACGCCATAACTGTTTGTCTATTTCAGAGGCCGCTTCTTGCATTGAGACTATGTCTTTGAGGGTGATTTTATCTTCTAAGTCTACTTCATGAGTGATCAGAAGAACTTTGCCTTCTTTATCTGCCCCTGCAACAGCTTTTGCAGCCTCATCAGCTGCTCTGTTGCCCTGAGTTACTCTTGACATGTCCCCTTTATGTGCTGCACACTTAGCTATTGCTATTTCTTTCGGCTTCATCATTGCATGCAGCAATTTGGTTATCTGGGCATGATGCTGTATAGGAGACCCATCTGTTTTTTTTTTTTAAATCCCCGATTTTTCCACAGTGCTCCGAACAAGTGACAAACATTATGTGCATATGCAGAGTCTGTGTAAATTGTCACTCGTTTGTCTTCTGCCAAAAGACATGCCTCAGTTAGTCCTACAAGTTCAGCCAGCTGTGCAGATGCTGGTTGTTGCACTGTTTTTTCCTTTTTGACAACAAATCCATCTCCTTCAGCTTTTACAACTGCATAGCCAGCGCTCAATTTGTCTCCAATCCGATAACACGACCCATAAGTCCAATACTCTACATCTGCTTTCTGAAGTGGAAGGGCTTGCAAGTCTGACCCTAGTTTTGAATATCTCTCTGATTCCTTCAGTCCAATACCATTGCTATATCGAGACCACAGATGTTCTGGCACGTGTTGTAGCATGTCTTCTTTTATAGCGTCTGAGTCAAGTTTAGCACTGCAAATTGACTCACATGTCATCTGGACAGCTTGTGGCTGACCCTGTATGTGAGCAGAGATAACAATCCTTATGAACTGCTGATCCTCACTCACCCAAATAGCAGGATTTTCCTTAACTGGTGTGAAAATAGCTTTCTCTGCTTCTACCATCATTGAGCCTATATGCTTCTGTTCATAGGTCTCAGCTACCATCAAAGTCACGTGAGGAATGCTTTCTTCGATGTCATGTTCTTTTTCAAGATATTCATTACTCTCTATCTTCATAGCTGCTCCTTGTGGCCCCAAATTATTGAACTGGAGCTAAGCTGGACTTGTTTTGGTTGTTGCTTCAACCAGTCTGCTGAGTTGGTCTGTGTATCGTCTTTAAAATACTTCAGTGTACAGTGGTCTGGATACTCAGGTAACTTCACCTCAGTCATATTGGCCACAATAAATTTCTCCCACAGCTTTGCTGGCTCTAGCAACTCCTGGCTAAGGTTCCCAATCCAAAACACTGCAGACGCTTCAGTCTCTGTTTTCATAAATAGTTGTTGCCAACTATCACTTGGTACATCCACCAGACAGCCGTCTGGTGTGCATCGTATTGTGCACTTCAACCTACACAAAGCATCTCTGCCCAAAAGTGCAATAGGTGTTTGTTCTGACACTAGTATCGGTATTGTGGTCTTTTGATTTTTATAGCAGAGCTCAATGGGTTCTGTAAGAGGTATCAGCTGTTTCACACCCTCAAAACCTATTGTCCGTACCAATTGGCCAGACATGGGGAGATGTATAGCATCTTTGGGCCTAACACAGGTGAAGGCAGCTCCGCAATCTGCCATAACTGTCAATGGTTTATCATTCACTTTCACCTCAATGGTTGGCTCTTGTTCTGGCCCTGACACTACCAGCTGACACCCCCCTTTTAGGTCTTCTGGGCACCCCTAAAATCCAGGTTCTGGCCCCCTATCAGGGTTTACATGTCCTCTGAGTGGGCGCGATTGTCCCTTAGTGCTTCTCATGAAGCCTCCCCTGAGACCTAAAACTTATCAACACCCAAAAAAGATCAATCTGTGTGATTTTACCAAGCAGCAATGACAAACCACATTCACACGTTTCAGCAAAATTTAGACCTCTTGGAAATGCTCTTTTAATTCAACAATACTACGGTACTTAATCAGCCCTTTCAACTGGTCAGTCTAATGCCAAGCCTTTCTTTTTACCGACAAAACTACTGCTCTTATTGTCTAGCACTAACAAATATATACACCCAACTAAACGTGTTCCCACTATAAATGTGTATGTACAACTAAGTAGCAGCAGACACATAGGAGAAGAGTTTGTAGATAAAACTGTACTGGCCTGTCAAATGGGAGCAGGACCTGGTGAGCCTCTCATCCGCAAGCCCCCCTCTTGTTTGCAGCACAGCCAATTATCTTCTTATCTGTCTTATGGGCGCTCCAGCGTCAGATGCCTTTTATTCTCCTCTCCCCTCTCATGCATCAGAGTTAGGGACAAAGAACAAATCAAATGTTTAATTCACTCAATACACTTGAAAACAACATTTCCTACCACTATTGAAAGATTTCTTATACCATAAGACTACCTAAATTTATTATACACCATTCCCCTTATCACGGTATATCATTTAAAATTTTCACACAACTAGGATAGTTAAACTAGATGTTTTGGCTTTCTTTCTGTTCTCAGGCCTGTAAGAAGAGAAAGAAAGCGAGAGAAAAAGTTCCCTGGATTCTCCTAATCTTTAACTAGGACTTCCCTCTAAACATAATCATCAGCAAGTGACCATTCACTTTAAATATTCACACACACACAGAGGAAAACCATACCCATCAGTTAGCAAATCACTCTATTTTACCCCACTCTCTTACTCTGTTTTTTCCTGTATCTGTATGAAGACAAATGTGCTTGCTGGTTTTTACACTTCTTTAATTGCAATATTAGTCAAGGATGTTATCACCATCCAAAGTCCTCCTCATCTAATAAGGGGCTCATTTCTTACTATTAGGTGTACAAACGTCCTCTTTATCCTGAGAGGCTCATAGCAGTTACTTATTCTATTAACGTCCCTGTACAAAGAAAAACAGGGCTCATGTGGTTTTAACATTACAAAGGCAACAGTATCTCTTCCTTTATATGTTAATTTCTTATATCATATCATTATATATTTAATAAGAAATCATTTATCACTTTATCATAAGTTAATCACTTATACTTATGCTAGACCATTCCCCAACTTTGTGCGCACACCACTCACTGCACACAGACTCTTTTGCACTCACACTCACAGCTCAGCACCCATACACACACTCCTCTCACACACACACCAGAAGCTTCTCTCACACACTCAAACTTCAGCACACCTCTTCTCACTGAGCTCAATGTTTCCTTACTATAGTATTTGTACATAGTGATGTAGTACTCCAGATACCACATCAGACAAATCCAAACTCATTCAAACTGATTCAAACCTTTCTGATACTTCAAACCTATTTAACACTTTAGGACTTCTAATTATTTAAAATGTTTCCCACTTCAAAATCATTCCCATTATTTATGTATATTTTAATTCTTCAAACAAAATCCCAGTTCTACCACTACAATTACTACTTATATCACTTTAACTTGTATCTTCACTTCTACCTCCACTGCTCTTGCTTCTCTTAATATTTTTTTACTTCTACCACGAGCTCTACTGCTTTGACTTCTACTTCTTCTATTCTAAAACTACTTCTACTGCTTACATGACTACTAATATCACTAGTACAACTACCTATTATCATACTTCTTCTAGTACTTAAACTTAAACTTATGCCGCTTCTTACTTTTCTGTGTTTTAAGGTAATTTTCTTCCTTATACAATTATTTTGCAATTTCAGACCGTTTTTCTAGCCTTATTTAGCATGAATGCAATTTTAATTTATGAAGCACATTCATACTATTTGTACTTAAGCAATTTTCACTTTCATCTAACTTCTACTTTTCTTTCTCCAGCTCTTTAACCAAGTTTACATTTAAACCTTCCTCCATTTTTTTAGCAGTTTAGCATTGCTTTTTCAGCTTCCAGCACTCAGCATTTCCACGCATTTTCTGCAAGGAAATGCAATTTTTTCTAGTTTTGATAATGCCTGTCACAATAAAGTCATAAACACTGTAAATATCTATGCACACATTTAATCCTTGTCGATGCATGCTTAACCATCACGAAAGTCTCGACAGTAACACAAGTTTGTATGATAATATTGTCATGAAATCTTACGGTCTCCATGTCGTAGATGTTGTCCTCTCTGTTCAGGTGTTGGTTAGAGGTGTTTGTCGGAGTCCTTAGTCGTCTGGTGAGGTTTTATTTACGATGAAGCCGTCAAAAGTTGTAAATTCGTGAGCCGCTTAAGTTTTTCGTGCTGTTCTCTTCAGATTTGCTCTTCAGAAATGACCGCTCTCTTTTGCTTGTAATGATTTAAAGTTTTTACATCGTTACAGGTTACCATGGAGATTTAAAATGCTGTTTACTTTAGAAAAACCCTTACACTGGTAGGTTATATCTAAAAGTTTAATATTATCTTTAATTTACTTTAATCTCAATAGAATATAAATATCTCTTGAAGTAAAGTGGAGGTTATTTTTCGTCAACTAGTTTAAGAGTTTAAAGGCATTTTAATTTAAAAACCTTCCTTATTTCGGTACAAAACGACAACGTTTTGAAAACTATAGCTAAGTAGACCTATGTCTCATAGGTAACCCAACAAAAACCGGAAACTTTGTGTTTCATTATAAATTCCACTGAAGCCTTTACTTCAATTAAATTCAGTGGATTTTCTTTAGAAGGCTACTAAAAATAGTCTATATATACTCCTATCATATCAATATTTTAGAGCAGTAACTACATCTGTAAAGCTTTGTCCCCCTGTTTAAAAAAAAAAAAACCCAAAGTTGATCATTGTCATTGATCATTGTTTAATCGCAGGGCTCTAAACTTTGGAACTAAGCTTAGAGTGAGATTAGATAATTATTAGTATAATTATCTCTTAAGTACAACGGAGTATAAGGGGCACAATTAGAAAAAAAAAAGTTTTTAAATCTTAAAGAATAAAGTTATTATTTGGGAGAATAAAGTCATTAATATCAGTATTAAGTCGCAAAGTGACCTGTTGTGAAGGAGAGTTGTTAAAATCAGCACTGTGGAGCATTTGGATGAATTGTACTTTAGCATAGGTTTCACAAACATGGAGATACTTAATCCTTTGGTACATGAGCGTTACACTGTCGTGAGTATCAGAACTTATATTTGAGATATATGGGAAATGCTGCTTTTGTGGAGGGGAAAATGTCTGGAAATGGCTGTACAGAGGCTAAATCCGTCAATACAGCTGTTAATAGCAATAGCATAGGGCTTTAGTTTATCATATGAGTTTATATGCCATGAGGTGTTTAGGTCTCTGCATGTGTAGGTTACTGACTTACTGTAATCAAAGGGGCTATCTCGTCCTTATAAAAACCTGCTCTATTACGGCGAGTGTCTTCTTCTGTAGTCAAACGGTAAGATATCAAAATCTACCCGGATACAGCAATGCTGCTTTTTGATTGGCTGTTTAGTAGATATACTTTATTTGATTGGCTTGCGCGTGGCACGCAGCTTCTGAACTCTCGGAGGAATTCAGTTGATTCCTACCTGTTCCATAGTTAAAGAGGTGCAACTCGGTGGACATCACCATGTTCATTTAAATGCGTGAGAAATACAATGTGTGGCGTGTGAGCGTGTGAACGGGTGGGAATGCGTGTGTCACACGCTGAATGCGTGAGACTTGAGAGCCCTGATAAAGTAATAAAGTAATTACCCATGAGAATAAGGTCCTGATAACGTAATTACTCATGACATTAAAGTCGTAATAAGGTAATTACTCACAAGAATAGGAGGAGAAATGTGTAGGAGGAAATGGCTGGAACCGGTCAACTGCAGAGTTATCAGTGGGTGCATCAGCGGGCCATTCATCAACCTACACCTGCAGAGGCAGGTGTACACCTTAACACCTTATGGCAGCATTGACAGATTATGGCTGCAGATTATAGGCACTTTATGGCTGCATTGACAGATTTAGCCTCTGCACAGCCATTTCCCCCTTCACAAAAGCAGCTATTCTCCCCTAGTCCGCTTGTTTTTTGTTTTTTTTTTCTGCGGAAAAGATGCATTTATGACAATGTGATGCTGAAATGCCTAAGGATTTAGTATCTCCTTGTTTGTGAAACCTATAGCTACAAGAGCACAATTCATCTAAATGCTCAACAGCGCTCATTTAAACAACTCTCCTCTATAACAAGTAAGAATAGCTATTAGCTACGACTTTATTCTTGTAAGTAGGCCTATTGATTTTATTACGACTTTATTCTCGTGAATGATGACTTCGTTCTCATTGGTAATGACTTTATTCTCGTGAGTTAACGACTTAAATCTCCAAGTCTTAAGAAGTTAGGTGCTGTTCTGAGCATTATTTGTGGCCATAGAGTGGCTTTTTGGTTGCGGTTTACACGTGACTCGGTGGTACTGTGTGTTTGACCATTCACACCGCAAAATCCCTTTAAAACAGCGTCTCAACTCTGAAAAATTTGTAGTTGCTTGATCAACCTGAGAAAAGTGATTCTTTTGGGTTGAGGTCATTTATAGATTTCTGTTGCGGTTAGAGGGGTTTAGGGTAGAGCTCCAGGAAATGAATGTAAGACAGGCATGGAGCAATTTCCTCATCACAGCGACCTCAGCCGCTTATCTTCTGGTTGCCTCATCTCCCGCACAGATCTTTAACTTGCATAGGTGAAAATAACATCTCAGAGAGGGCGTTTCAAACTGTCTTCGGCTCATTCGATGGATTAGAGGGTCTGTAGTAAATAGATGGAGATCTTTGGATGTTGAGAATCAGCTGAAGTATTTGATAACTGAGTTAGTTTCATGATGAAGATGGACTTCAGGTCTCCTAAACTGCACCCTGCTCTCTGCACAGTGATGAGCCTCCTCCTCTCCGTGTTTTCACGTGGTGAGTTCAGTCTTGTTGAGTCGAACCATTCAAAGCATTCAGCTGTTTCTAAAATGTTGAATCCTGCAGACTTCATGTACAGACTTGAAAATCTGGGAAATGTATGCCCGGTTTTTTAGAGACAGTATGGACTGGGGTTGACATAAATCTGTCGTTCTGAGGAGTCTCAGGACTGAAATGTAAATCTCATGACACTTTCACTCTGTCTGAGCTCTCACCTTCATTCTGGGATTTTTCTTCTCATGCATTAATACCTTTGCAAATTGCTCTTGTAACCCACAAACAAAATTATACTTTTAATTCCTCTAGTTCAAGTGAAGTTTGGCTTCGTTGAAAGTCTGTTCAGTGGTGTATGTGTGCTCACTAGTCAGATTCCCATTACTCTAAGGACAAAGTCCAGGATAATGTCACGTAATCAGGAGGTTTCCAGTCTCTATGACTGATGTCCTCTAAAATAAACAAAACGCGTTGTGACCACAAGTCAATCACATCATGAGACAAACTCTTTCCTGAAAATTAAAAGTGTTTTTTATTATTATTATTTGGAGGAAAGCACATTTCTCTCTGGTTCCTGTGACTTTTTCTCTCTTTAACTGACACAGGGATTGAAGGAAAAACTTGATCTGGACTCAAACTCCATTAAATCAAGAATCTAGAGATGTGTTTCCCAGGTGGTGGCAAAGTGTCAGAACAGGCTGTGTGGTGAAGGTAATAACTGTAAAGGAGTGTCCTAACCAACCACATTCCCCGAGAGACTCTAAACTTGAACTTGACTGTGAAACCGTTAAGTGATTTACTTTAGAAAAGTAATGAGAGGAAAAAAACCTTAAGATTTGTTGGTAAAGTTTACAACTACTCTGGTTAAACTCTTATTTTATTGGAAAGTTCAGATTTTCAGAGCTTGCAGATAGGATTCACTGTCATAAACCAGATAGCTGTTTATTTGTCTTCATAAATGTTCATTCACAGGAGACCGGGAGCAGAAGCTTCATGTGGTTTTGGTGACGTGTGTTTTTCTGTTTGTGTATCAGAGGTGATGGTGAAGCCCTCTGATCTGGAAATGTGTGGACACCAACAAGCCTGTGTCACTGACCACAAAGACTGTGGCCCCAGACCTTCCGCGTCTACACAGAGTGAGGAGCCATAACAATATACACCGGCACACAAATACGCAAACACCCAAACATACACTTACTGTACATGTTTGAGCGCCATCAGGTTTGGACTGGGAAAAGTAAAACCCAGTAACTGTATTTTTAGAAACACTACCTTGAGGAACAGCTCTGAACTAATGAGGAGTTAATTATACATTTGTAACCCATAAACTTTGATTAATATGTAGAACTTTTCTTCCTGTAATGGTAAATTCATGGTTAGCTAGTATTCTGTGACTCATGTACCAGCTCTTAATATTTGTGTACCTTATCTACAGGATCACCAATACTAACCAAAGATAAACCAGTGTTAGTTATTTATTTGTTTCTGTTAATGTACGGTTAACAAATGTTAACTACTAGTTAGTTACACAGTCTTTGACTGGTAATTACATGATACTTGTGTACCTCATGAACTTTTCTTCATAAATGGTTTGGTAGAAAGTGCATGTGCTGCCCGGTTACTGGGCAAAATCCAAGTACTTCTCTACTTCTTAACTTCAGGTTAACTAATGGCCAACTAGATTGTAATCCCTCATTACCTATTTAGTCACTATTCAAAATGTATGTAACTCATTTAGCTGTCAATTTAAGATTAACTAATGGTGAACATATTCTTTTCCCATACGTTATCTTTCTGTTCAGTAGTTTTAATTTAGTTTTGATCTGAGTTCTGTAACTCTGCAGTTTATGTTTGTCTTAACTAGTAGTTAGTTACCAATTGTCACCTGGTAAAATTTTCTTACTTTCACTACCTGTTAACAGTTTACTTATAATGTACAAGTAGTTTCTTATGATTAATTACCCAGTAACTAGTTTACTAGTTATCCATATACTATGCAAAATATATGTACCATATTTATCTGTTTACCTTTGGTCAAACTTATGGTGAACTAGTGTTTAGGTACAAATTCTTTATCATGCAGTGATGCAGTATTAGTTTACTGTGTTTAACTGTTAATGGTTAATTCATGCTGAGTAACCAGTAGTAAGTTTTCCATTCATTACCTAGTAACTATATTTGTGAACCTGTTTTAAATGTTTTGAGTTGAAACCCCCAGTTTGAAACAAATTTGTGTAAAATGAGGAACTGGTTTATTAATGACCTCAAGTGTTGGGGCGATAAAATGTATCCTCTCTTAAAGTTTACTCTCTCCCGTTGCAGAGAACCTGAACATGTCCTGTTACTACGAGAACCAGAGAAAGTTGAGGACAGTGACGTGTGAGTGGAGTGATGAGTCAGAGAGCCACACAGAGCCGGATATTTCTCTCATCTTCAGCAGGTAAAAAACAAAAAGAGCAACACGTGAAAAATACTGCAAACATCTCAGCACATTCAACTCCAGCTTTAATCACAGCTTCTGATCTGATGTTTTTGAAACAGAGTTAGCAATGTTACATTTCTGTTTTGTAGAAAAGCAAAATAAAGTTTTATCTTTTTTTGTATAAAAGTAACAGAATCACATCCTGCTCTGTGTTGTTCAACCCGATGGCCGTCTTTAATGTGACAGCGAGGATAAAAACCTACATGGGGAGTGAGATCTGGTCCCAGCCTTATACTGCATACCTTTATAAAGCAAGTGAGTCACCAAAAATTTTGATCATTTGAGTCAAACAACTAGTGGGCAATCTCAAAATATAGATATAATTCTCCTCTCTTTCGATCATTGTCTCTTTCCTTAGTCAAACTCTCTCCACCTGTTCTAACTGTGCTTGGCTCCACGGAGGACACTGTTGATTTGTCGTGGGTATGCAGTTATGTCTGCACCTGTAAAATTAAGTATAAAGACAACAGCGCTCAAAGATGGCTCCAGGTTAGCACCACACAAACAAAATGACATTTTCACTTTCTAAAATTTGACACTAACTTGCATTAATAACTTCAAAATGTGGTCATCAGGAACAAAGAAAAATGCTGTTGGGAAGAAAACATGTATTTTTTATATTTTCAGAGGAGCGGTATCCTTGACTTTAGGAGCCTCACTCTTTTGGACGCTTGAAGAACTGCATTTTTTGTACTTTAGCTTAATTTTTATCATCCATCTGTGAAACCATTTTCCGGTTACCCTGTTTCCAGGCTCCAGATTTTGTCTCCACACATCGAGCTCGGACACTGACCTACACCCTCAGAGACCTCCTGCCGTTTACCGTTTACAGAGCTGCTGTATCTTGCACAGGGAGTGCTAACCTCTGGAGCGCCTGGAGCACTGAGGTCACTGCTAGGACTCTGGGCAGGGGTAAGAGCTTGAGTTCAAACAAATGTTGATATGACATACAGTATATTTTAAATAAAAAAAAATAATAAAAAATTGCAGAAGACAGCTTGAAACTCATCTTTGACCTACATGTGCAAACCTCTCCAATTAAAAACACAAATTATTATTTTCATGTTTGAAAACAAAGTTTCCTGAAATTATCTGAAGCATGTGTGGGTGCTGTAACAGTATGGATAGATGGCTGTAGTGAGTCAGTTTTTAATCAGCTGTTTTCATGTGTTCTGTCTTTCTCACAGCACCTTCCAGGCCCCCAAATGTGTGTTACAGACTTAATCGAACAGACTCTGGAGCTTCAATCCAGCTTCAGCTCATGTGGATGGTAGGGTGGGGTTTCTTGGAGAGATTATCTCAAAACATGTCTCCCCTTGTGTAAAACAAGACAAATAGAGGTATAACAAGCTCTTTCTGAATGAAAGTCCGGTGTCTTTATAGGACCTTCACCCTGAAGCTACAGATCATATCCTTGGACACCAGGTGAGCTATGAGCTGGTGAAGAGGCAGCAGGACAGATCTGAACAGAACATCACAGAGGGGACAGCGCTTGTAGTGGTGGAGGATGGAAACTGCAACATCACAGTTAGAGCTTACAACACGGCCGGTTTAGGACCTTCAACACATCTCAACATTGACACAAGAACACAGAAAAGTGAGTAATTAAGTAAATTGGAAGTTGTCAATTTTTATTGCTTGAACCCTAAAATTTGCAAAATAAATAAATTAAAAAATATAAAAAGTTTGAAAATATCGATTTTTTTTTTTTAAAAATAGACTTAATAGATTCAAAACAGCATCTAAATAATACAATACAGAAATAAATAAAATATAAATATAATTTTTTTTTAAATGACAAGATAAAAACAACAATTGAAAAAGAAAAAAGAATTATAATTAAATGAAATAAAAATTTACATATGTTATGCCCCAGTCTAGGGGTGCCTAGGACACAACATGATAAGGCCTCATCTTCCCCAAGTCCCAAGTAGTCACAAACAAGAGATTTGTTTCAATTTACAGAAAATGATTTATTTACATAAAAAGGTAAATGAACATATAGATTTACAAAAGTAACTAAGGCTGAGTTGTTAGGCTTCAGGGTGGACTAAGGCCAAAATAACAACCAAAATGATCCTGTCTATAGAGTAAGTAATTAACCTAACCAAACAAAGAAAACAAATGACAAAAGACTTACCTCCCTAACTAAATAAACAGGAGAAAACAAGATTAACAAAACTGGCAGCCCACCCTTACTACTCAAAGAAACCACTACAAAATACACAACGGTTTAAACACAGCAAAACAGTGTGGCCGGTTGGGAGAGGAGGAGGAGGCTGAGGAATGCCTGCAGCCCTGTACGCTGTGGCCGCCATCTTGGTTCGATATATACCAGGTGATTGTCAGTTTCAGCCAATACCTGGCCAGGACGTAGAGCCAATCCACCAATGACCGCACGGCTGTGGCACACACCTATTCGCATATGAGATTGACATGACAAAAAGAACACAGGGCACACACACACAGCAGACAGACTACAAAATATGACCACAGTCATAACACACAGAAAAAGATAGAAAATTAATGAACCAATTCATATGAGCATAAAAAATTTAAAACCAGTTTAAAAAAAGTGAAAATAAGAGCTAAAGGATAAAAAATATAAAGAGAAAAATCGACAAAATATTATAAAACAATAATATCTACAATAAATGCAAAAATTCTGACAATAAAACATTTACAATGTTTATATTAATGTTTATTTATATAGTTCATTTGTACTTATACAGACCTTGCAAAGTTAGATGTACCAAATAAAACAGATCAAAATTAAATTCAAAATAAGAATAAAAAAGCAGAAGTGAGGAAAAAGCAAAGTCTTCATATTTAGTATTTATGCTTGATGTGTTTTCCGGTTTCAGTTTACGACTGTGTTAAAAACAACAACAGCAGTGCAGATAAACTTTTCCATCACTCACACATTTACAAAAACATGTTTATAAGTTCAACTGGTACAGATTTTTATCTGCCTTTTACACAGACAGTATCAGATTTGATCTGGAGCTTCCACTTAAGCAACATCCTCTGTGTTCGTGTGTGAACACGGGCCAAGCCATGACTTGATATTCAGATAAAGTTTGTTGCGACACATCACTTCTGCTGTCAGAGTGTCTCTTATTAGCAAAAATGAAAACAGAACATTTAAACTGAGTGAGGAGAGGTCAGAGTTTGAAGTTTGACTAATAAATGATGATCTGTTCTGATGACGGTCTTGTTCTCTGTAAAACACCAAAAGATCTTGTTTTATTCTGCAGAACTTCCCTTGATCAGAAACTTGTGGGCCTCAAGTTCTTCCAATGGCCTTCTGGTACAATGGGAGACCCTCACAGATCCCCCGCCCTCCGTCCAGCCTGTCAATCTGTTTGCTGTGCAGTGGCGCCCTAAGACTCGACCATCCGCCGGCCACTGGATGGCAGTGGACAACTTCTCCACCTCAGCCGTCATACACAGTAAAGCTCTGTTAGGGTTTCAACTCTTTGCTCCCCTTCAAAATAGATGAGCTGAAAACTAAAAGCACAACTCTCTTTTTTCTCATTCTATTGTGACTTTAATAATCTACTTTACCATGACCTCAATCTGAAATTAAAATTATTCAAAACACAAACAGATGCACTTAAAAATAACAGGCTTTGTCTGTTTTAACCTCAAATGCAAACGGTACTTAAACTTAATTTCTCACAGACTGTCCTGCTGCCATTAATAATCACCAGAGCACTGATGATTGATCTACCGGCCACAGAAATAGTCCCGAATAAATGCACCTTTTCCTGTATATTTGTATGGTTATCTTTTAGGGGTGGGAGAAAAAAATCGATCAAGCATAGAATCGCAGTATTTTGTCTGGAGATATATCCTATTGTCTCATTTACCAAGTACCGTTTTTTTTTTTTTCAAATTGATTGCTAATGTAAAGTCAAATGTATGATAATAGAAAAATAAAATTAACTGATTGTCCAGTGAGGTTGACAGAGGTGACAGCATAGAGCAGGAAAAAGTTGGTGTAACAAATATATATGAGGTTTGCGAGATACGATAGCTGAAAATAAGATACTGTGTAAATGAGACGAACATAAAGGAAAGCCAAATTAGCCAAACAGTTGAAAAAAAATGTATAAATCACAATATATGGTACATGGTATCGCAATACTCACTGTATTGCAAAATGTTAAAAATCGCAGTAATATCGTATCGTGGCCCAAGTATCGTGATAATATTGTATCGTAGGGCCACTGGTGATTCCCACCCCTATTAACTTTCTGATATTTTTGAGAAAATTTGAAGAATATCCTAGAAACGTTACATTCAAATTAATTTGAATACAAGACTCAAAAGTCGAATGCTGATTTGTGCACATCAGAATAAAGAACCAAACAGAGTTGCTCTCTAATTTCCTATATAATATGACTCCATCTAGACAATGATCTGACACATATAAAGTCATATAAAGTATCAGCTGCTACTTATCTGAGGTTTTTAGCAAGAGGAAACTGCAGCTTCAAGCACCAGATATTATCTACACTGATCACACTGACAACAACAACAACAGATAGGAAAGGCAGCATGGACTTCAATTTTGACAGGGCAGAAAAAAACTCAGTTCAAATCAAGTCTTGTCTCAGCAAAGGTCCAACTCACCCTGACTTCAGGGAAATAAATACTGACTGAATGAATTTTCTGCTCCTGGATTTACATTTGCAAAATAAACCATGTATCATATGTTTGTGTTGTGTCAGCAGGTGTTGATCCTGGCGAGTCGTACCTGGTCAGTGTGTTCCCCATCTTTAACCAGCAGTGTGGCTCTCCTCAGTCTCTGCCTGTCAGTCTGCAGCAGGGAGGTAAATATTGTCACAGCCTGGTAAAAAGACAAAACAGTAAAGGGCATTACCAGAGCACTTTTTCATGTTTTATATGCAGGAAGGGCATCAAGGGAGGTACTATCACTGTATCATATTCACCAGTAGGCCAGAGAGAGGACACTTTTTTACATTAGGGTCACTGAAAGGGCATCCAGGGGGGTACTGTTTTAAAAAATGTGAGGCAGTGAGGCAGCTTTTTATTATTACAGCCCACGTCTGTGGAATACTCTACCTGAAGACCTGAGGACGGCACAGAGTCTCTTCATGTTTTTAAAAGTCAACTTTTAGTTAAGCTTTTAGCTGAGTTGACTATTTATTTATTAATTTATCGATTCAAGTTTTAATATTTCATATTGATTATTATCCTACTTTTATTGTTTTTTTACTTTTTTCAGACTTTCATTTATTCGCCTACCTAGTATTTTTTTGTATGGTTTGTTTTAGTGTTTATTTAGGTTTAAGTGTTTTATCATTCTATTTATTATGTCATTTTATTTATCTATTTTCTTAATCTTCTATTTTGAATTTTTACATTCTAATCTCACCGCTGGTGTTTCCTCATTATGATCTCATGATAGCGTTTCATAACCTCCTCAGGTCATTCTGTGCTGTTTACGTTTTATTTATTTAGTTATTTGTCCTATGTGTTTACACACATACAGTATCTACATGCACATGTATGGGTGTATGTATGTACTGTATATGTGTGTGTATGCATAATTATAGTTATCATTTTTAAAAAATTATTTCTCTTTTTAAACACTTAAATTATTCAGTTTTTTTAAGGATTTAATGATTTTCTGTAAAACACTTTATGCTACATTTTGATGTATGAAAAGTGCTTTACAAATAAAGTCTGATTGAATGATAGACTGAGGCACTTAGAGTGACTTTACACAATGGGTTTTTTACACAAGTAACAAATAAGAGGGAAATTCTGCAGCATTTTCCTAGACATAAGGGTGACACAGCATCAGTGTGAGCGTTTGACCTTTGTAAATATTATCAGCCTATCAACCCAAACATGCTTTGGTCATGTAGATGATGATGCTCAGTTTGGCCAACTCTCCAGTACTCCACTGATCTTTGGAAATAAAACTAATATTCATTTGCATCTTTAGTCTGTCAGGGTTATATCAGTCTGCTGTGTTTTGAAGTGTGTGTGTCTGCACGTGCTACAAGTTCATGTTTGTATTGGCTGATTAACACAAACATGAACTTCCTCTGAGATACCTGACAGAGTGTTTTTTTTAATTCCTTTATTCATTTCATTTCATTTATTCAGCTCTGATGGAGGCGGTGAAGCTCAAGGTGGTGGACATTACAGAGACAACTGTGACTGTCATGTGGGTGTGGCAGTGGAAGTTAGCATCCTCACATGACAGAGTGGACGGGTACAGTGTGATGCTGAGGAGAGACTCAGAGAGAAAGAGTGGGTACTCAGAGTTTTCCTCTAAAATGTAACACAGATTCAGTCTCAGTTTGAGGTCAGTGCACCTGTTTGATGAATCATCTTACACATCAGCTTATTATTAAAAATACACACTGAGGTCATGTAAATGATGAGGTTTGGGCTGATAAGGAGAATTTTTATTTTTTTTTAATTTAGTATAACATGAATCTGTACGGATGAGGATGAGGGCAAACACAACAAAACAAAGGTCACTTCTTTCTGTTCTGGAATGTAGAAGTCCAGGATCTTTTCAGGACTTTTTTCTAATCTCAAAAATTTAATTCTGAGAGTTTTATCCCAGAGAAAACTAAGAATTATGACTTTAACTTCATAATTCTGAAAAAATCAGATTATGAGGTTAAAGTCAAAATTATTTTTTTCTGAGAAAAAAAGTCAAGAATTTTTTTTTCCAGCCTTTATTTGATTTTTAACTGAGGGCCTCTTCCTGTGGTTAATCCTGTTTTCTCTGTTTCAGCTCTGTCTCTGTACCCTGACCAATGGCAGCACACCTTCATCAATCTGAGGCCCAACACTGAGTATTCTCTTCTTCTACTGGCTGATAATGCTTCCAGAAGCATCCTCACTGTTACTACAGACTTTGGTGGGTTTAAATCTCTAATCTGGATTTTAATTCACTTCCTCAGGAATGAAAAATCACAGCAGTGTTCACCCATCATTAGAGTACTGTCATTTATCATAAAGAGAGAGAGAGAGAGAGAGAGAGAGAGAGAGAGAGGAGTTTTCAGTAGTCACTCTTTCATTGTGACTTTAAAAAAAGTCTCTCTTTTTTAAAGAGGATAAACTATAATGTTTTTTTTTTTTTAAATTCAGACATAGTTCCAGTGGTGGCTACAGTGACTCCTCTGCTGCTGCTGACTGTGACGGTCTTCATTATCTCCATCCTGTCCAGGACTGTGTGAGTCAACAAACACATACCACCAATGTTTGGTGTTCTTTCAAATCACTGAATGCTAAAAATATAGCCAAGACACTCCACACACACTTGAATTTATTTCCCCTAAATTTGAATTTATTCTCATTCATGAATCTGAAATCATGCAGGTACAAGTCCTACTTCTTCCCACCAATCTCCAGCCCTCGTGGAAGTACAACAGGACAGTGGCTGATGGACCCAAACCACCAGGTGATCTGCTTTCTATAGACCTTAGTGAACCCAGCAGACCAGGTTCTGGAGTCTGACAGTGAACAGTTCAGGGTCTCCTTTGTCCTGTTCTTGGTGTCATGATGCTCCAAATGTTTTTAATGGGGGACAGTCAGGACTGCAGGCAGACCAGTTTCTCAGCAGGACTCTTCTCCTACAGATCCATGCTGTTGTAGTCCCTGTTGTCAGAATGTGGTTTGTCATTATCCTCCTGAAATATGAAGGTCTTCTCTGAAAAAGTCTTTGTCTGGATGTCAGCAGATGTTGCTCCTAAACCTGTAGATATTGTTCAGCATTAATGGAGCCTTCACAGATGTGGAAGATACCCATGACATGGACTTTGGTGATCCCCATACCATCAGGGATGCTGGATTTAGACTGGGAGCTGAGAACAAATCAGGTGGACCCTCTACTCTTTAGAGAGGAGTCCACGATTTCCAAAAAGAAGGTCAGATTCTGATCCATGAGATCACAGGACAGTTTTCCTCTTCTCCTCAGTCCACCTTAAATGGGTTTAGGTCCAGAGAAGTCTCTAGTGTTTCTGGATCCTGGTTTTACCTGGTTTCTCCTGTCATGGTTTAGTTTGAACCTCATTTGTGGATGTAGTGATGAACTGTGCTCACAGTCAATGGTTATTATATGTTACGCAGTGATTTACACTCCAGGGTCCTGTCTGTTTTAAAGCAGTGCTGCCTTAGGGGATACAATGCTCCAGCTTTACAAGAATCAGGGTATTAAACCATCTTTCTGCCTGACAGACATCTGCAGAGAGAAACATCCTGTACATCGATGACTTCCGAGTGATGGATGTACTCGGAGAGAAAAGCCTCATCACTTTTGCTTCAACCGCTGAGCCTGAGAAGCTGCATGAAGACGTCTCTCTACTGTCCTTTGGACACCTTATCAGCAAACTGGACCCTCAGTATGTGTCTGATGCTCCTGTATTTGAGGAGCCTGTATTGATGTCTCCACAGTCCTACCACCCGGTCTACTCCGTGAACTGTCCTCTTGCTGATCAGGATCATCACTTTTTCAGACCCGTGGAGCTCCGTGAGACTGACTCTGCCTCTCAGGCTAACAGCTGCTTTCCTCAGAAAGAGGAAGAGAGCAGACGGCTCACTAAGATATCTCGTCAGAGAGAGACGGTTATGAAGAGTGTGCTTCATGAATTCATGCTGAACACACCCAGACTGGGCGTTTATCAGATGAGCTGCGAGGCCCAGTATGTGGTAAACACTTCTTCCCTTCAGGGGAAGAGAGATGTTGAAACTAACTGTTCACTGACCTGTGACAGTGATTATATCGCAAACAGCTGCTTTACCACCGAACCTACAGATGGAAACAGAACGGCACACTAGACCAGAGAGATTCATGGATGTACAGTATATGCATACAGACCTGATGGTGACCCCTTGTGGCTGCAATTTGCATGATGCAGCATTAAAAAAAATTTAGCTGCTGGATGAAATACAAGAAAAATAAAGCGTAAATACGCAAACATTATCTCAAAGAAAGTGTGCTCAGATGATGTTTAAGATGTTCATTTAATTCTGAAAGGTTGCACAAGGTGTTAAGATTTCTTGGATTATCATGTGCAACAGAGATATTTCTGGAATGAACACAGTACGGCTTCAAAATGACTGAGTAATCAAAATTCAGCAGGCTGATGAAATCTACGACCATTTCTGCAGGATCCCACGTTAATCTCTGTTAATCTTCAAACTGAGGTAACCATTGTTCTCCAGAAAGTTTGTTTGTAATGTCATTGTTGTACAGATTTGCTTTCACCTGAAACTGCATGTAAAAAATCTGCAGCACTCCGGATTGAAACATTCAAACCACCACAGATCAAAATAAAAAAACACAGTGTTGATTGAGTCCTGGGATCTCTGCCTCCTTGTTTTTCACTACACCAAAATCAGCTGAGAGATTTAGTGTTTCAGATCCATCAGACAGAGGCCGGCTTAAAGTTTAAACTCTGAGTTTGTTAACCCTGAAATGAAAGAAAATTGTGAGACTGCAGTAATTACCAAGCCAATGGTTTTCTGCCTCCAGGTTGAGCTCACACATGGTTTCATCAGTGGAAGCCATGTGTGAAACCTCTGACCCCTGACTCTAGGCCTGACTCTGCTCATGACAGTCTGCCTGTTTATTTAGTTACGTCTGGCATCAACAGAGTAGTTTACATTCAAAATATTCTCTATGTTTAAATGAGCAAATTGTTGGTTCGGGCAGGGCATGAACGCCCAGGTCAGCTGACATATGAACTGATTCTTGTTCTGCTCTGTGTCCTGGAGGTTCTTTGCTGCTGCTTTCCCTACATTTACCCCAGCTCCTCTTTTCCTGCAGTGTCTGATTCTACCAAGGTCATATGTACTGTCACCCATGACTGTGTGGCTTATTAATGAAATACAGGGAACAGCCAGAGCTCAGGGTCAGACTCAGAGTTTGTTGAACCTCCTTTCTAAAACAGTCCCCTGGGTTGTTACAGTAAAACGGTCAAAGCTCAGAACTTTAGTACTTTATGGACCCTCTCTTCAGATCCTCGAAGTGTGTCTGCGCTGCTCAGAGGTTTGAGTTCATGCCGATCCAGTGTCTGATCAGTTGGTGGGCAATGGTCTGTCTGGGTGGGATGGTGAGGGCGGGGCGGGGTCCTTTCAGCAAAGTCTCAGTCACCTTATAAAAATACAAAAACAAACAAATTTGGTCTTAATCTTTAAGACTGAAAACTGTTGAAAAAAAGGTGATATCTTTATTCACAAAACCAGAATACATAGTTTCTAAACAGTGAACATGTCAGCTGAAATCCTTTTTATGTGGGAGATGTGGAGACAAACCCTGAGCCCCGTTTGTTGAAGAGATTTATCCGAATTTGAAGAAGGAGGAAAAAAAATTTGGCCTGATAATTTTCATGTTTCGTCTTCTTTGCAAAACAACAAAAACAAAACAAAAAAAAAACAGATAGAACACATTAAAAATATTTTTTTGGGCAAATTTTCAGGAACAAAACTTGTTTGTGGTCGTAGTACTCATTATGGCCACTGAGGGGCTCAGGCTTTCCTTAACCCCTCGAACTATACATGCTCTAATTCAAAGTTACAGAGGTCAACCTTTTCAACACAGAATCTATATATTTTATAGCTAAAGAAGAGTTTTGGACCTTTAAACTCACAGTCTTTATTTCATTCTTCAGTTATTTTTCATATCAATTTTAAATGTCTATTCATTCTCGAGGGGGCATTAAGGTTTCCCTCCAATGCCGTTGAGATTACAACAGTCAAACAAGCAAACATATGTAAAATTTACAAGACAATGGAATCAATTAAATCATGTACAATATGACATGAAATGTTTCGAAATCCATGTCCTTAACTCTGCAAAAGAGGGGAGAGCTTCAATTTTTTAAGTTTTTTTGGAGGGCATTCTAAGAGCTTAGGGCATCATTGTAAAATTTTGTTTTTTCCAAGTTCACTATAAACTCAAAGGATTTTAAAGTGTAGCAGATGGGAGGAGCGGGTCGTGCATGTGAGAGGGTTACACGCCAACAAGTTTAATATGTAAAATGGGAGTTTGCCGATGAGGGCCTTGAAAATAATGTTTACACATCTCTCCTCAAGAGAAGACCAACCAACCTTCAGATACAACACCCAGTGATGAGTATCTATCTGTCACCGGTTATAAATCTAAGGGCGGAGTGATAGACAGAATCTAGGGCTTTTAAATTGAAGCTGCTGCATGTCTGTAAAGAAATCACTGTAGTCCATAACAGATAAAAACACAGCTTCAGCAATACTTCCTCTACAGGACAAAGAGAAACTAGATTTATTTCTGTACAAAAAGCCGGAGTTTTTACATGGTGCTTAAGTGTAAAGTTTTCATCAAGCCATATGCTGAGATATTTGTATTCTGTGACTCTCATAATTTCTGAGCCATTTACAGTAAATATGTGTAATTTGTCATACTTAATGTTTCTAGCTCAGGAGAACGGCATGAATTTTGTTTTGATTGTATTTAGTAGCAGTTTATGGTCAATTAAGGATTTTTGATATGAATTTAAAGTAAGTTGCAGATGCTTAATAGGTAGTTGTACAGAATCTGCAAAACAATATAAAACCATGTCATCAGCATAGATGGTCATGACAGTTGTTTAAAGAGGAGACCACATCATTGATGTACAAAGTAAAAAGCACGGGTCCCAGAACTGAACTTTGTGGCACACCTCTATTGATAGATAAAAACTCAGATTTAGCATGACCCAACCGGACACACTGACGCCCGTCAAATAGACAATTCTGAAACCAGGCACAAGGACTTCTATCCAGACCAATGAAAGATTAAAAGATTATTTAAAAGATGGTGGTGATCAACTGTATCAAAAGCCTTTAAGAAGTCTATAAATGGGGCAGCACAGTGGTGTTTTTTTTTAATCTAAGGCTGATATTATGTTGTTTGTCACTAATGTAATTGCTAAGATTGTACTGTGATTGGGTCTGAAACATAGACTGTATATACTATGGACAACTTGGTTCCGCCTACCGCCTGTATACGGATTTGAAGCCAAAAAGCTCTCGGTATTTCCAGGATTTTTCTTCATTTCCTTGAAACCAGCGCTGTGCAGTAGCGTTGTGCGCATTCGGCCGCGCAGTCGCAGAGAGTCACTGTGATGACGCTCGGCTCAAACAGCGTATCCCCCGGGAGAGCTACTCAATCCCTGAATGCCCATAGGCTGTATCAGGTGTCAATCATAGCAAACATGAACCCCCTAATAACTTTTAAAAACGGAGCTGTACAGAAAAAAGAGGACATGAGCACAAACCAGTCTTACAATAACTACATGTCAGCATCGCAAGCAGGGGGGAGAAAAATTTATGTTCTGTGTAATAAATTTCTAAAGTTGGTCCACAGCCCCATAAGCTTTGCTGGCAGAGGCGGGATTTATGACGTATACTGCAGCCCACCATCAGAGGGTGCTGTTCTCGGAGTGGCTTCACCCAGCGAGGAGGCAGAATCTGTCCATTCTATATACAGTCTATGGTCTGAAACCAGACTGATTAGGATTTAGTACTGAGTGATGTGATAGGAAGGGCTTAAGTTGAGTGTTGACCAATGATTCCATGATTTTTGCTAAACGGAGTAGAGTTGAGATGGGAGGATAATTGTTTATTTCCTCCCACACACCGCCTTTAAGCAGGGGAACCACGTGTGCAGACTTCCACACTCTCAGAAATACCCAGTTGAAATGGAAATGTTGAAAATTGTCGTTAAGAGGTTTGTGATGAGGGAAGCAGCAAGTTTTAAACAGAGAGAGTGTAAATTGTCCTCACCAATGGAACATCTTGAATCTAAAGATTGTAGTGCATATAAGACTCCAGAATGTGTGAAGGGACGAAAGGAGAAGCGAGTGGTATTGCCTTCTGTTATTACACTGTCAACATCTGCTCCAGTGTTTTCAACAGCTGAGGGAAGGTCAGAATATTCTTTATCGGATGAAAACGCAAGTGCCTGTTAGAAACGCTGAGCAGATATCAAAGCATCAATTTTAATATTGGCAATATAAATATAGTTTTAAAGTTATTATTTCAATAACTTCAGCCGGAGTTTTCCTCATTGTGATAGCCTCTTTTATTTTTAATTCACACTTGCATTCTCCCTTTTATAGTAACTCTTTCCTTTACTAATTATAATGATAAAAATATAATATAATAATTATAATCTTTTCACCTGTTGCCGCGTAAACCAACTGGCGTCCTCAATCTCATTCTCGTCCACTTTGATGTCAGTCGATATGGCAACAGCGAGACAGCCAATCATGAGAGAGGATGGCATTGGCCAGGGTTGACAGGAGACGTAGCTGACAGGTCCCACCTTCACGCCGCTCTCTTCCTCCACCTCCCTCCTCACCGCCTCTTCCATGGACTCTCCTGCAGGGATGTGAGGGGAGGTCACTCTGTTTCAGTTCAACACATTCGGCTCATTTTGGGACAAAGTTATGCTTATAATTGTTTTTTTTTTTTTGGTTGTTCAGGTCAAAATGAGCTCAGGTTCATTTGTGTTTGCAATACCAGGCTCTACAAATCCAGCCAGACAGGAGAAGAGTCCAGTTGGAAAGATCTTCTTTCTTCCCAGTAAACACTGGTTTCCATCAGGATGAATCACCAACATGATCACCACGGGGTCTGCAACACACACAGTGGAGAGTTTCAACTTTAAATTGTTTGAAACTTTTTTTTCTTTTTACAGACTTGATATTTTAGCATTCAGTCACCACTACACTTCCTCACAGATGCTCTGGCAGCAGTCTTTATTAAAACTCACATTCAATCACTTTTACACACTCAGGCTGTGTCTCAATTCAGGTTCTGCATACAGCCCAGTATACTGCTCTGTATGCACCCTGTGCAAGGTGGATCGACTTTGTAAATTGGGGCAGTCTACCCTCTAAAGGACTTCCTGGTTGCGTCACCAAATGTCCCCGCCCTCAGGCTCGCGTCACGACTGACTTAAAAAAAGCTGAGGAGCGCAAAAGGTGCAGGTTTAAGCACGAGTTTTAGTAAAGAGAGCACGTGCTTATGGAGCCTGGGCTGATTGTCTTGTGTTTTTGGATTTTCTTTCTTCTTTTGTTTGAAAAGGCACAGCACCTCTAAATCTGACGTCAGAGGCAGGGTGGTTTTGTGGCTGAATTTTAAGGGCCCTCAGAAACACGTGGGACACCCTTGGCGCCATTTGAGGATGTCATACACACTGCAAATGCACACTGCCCTGTATGCAGACCCTGAACTGAGACTCAGCCTCAGTTTACACCAATCTAAGTCACGCTTCTTGTCCTCAGAGTTCATGTAGAGCTTCATACCAACTCGTGGATAGCAGGTGTTGTGAACTCCCTTCAGACTCCTGCAGTCTGAGTTCAGGCAGCGTCTCTTGTATCCTCCCTCCTCCATCTTGGTGCTGCTGCCACATGTCGGGCAGAAGCTGTAGCGACTGTGCCATGCCAACACCGAGCGAGCCTGAGCAACGACTCCTGGTGACGAAGATGGAGAACAATGAATAGTTGTTTCTATTTCATCAAGAAAAAAAGTTTTCTGTAAGAAAAAATGTGGGGATCTGGGAGGTGGTTTGGCTCGGCACCTCAAATACAGTGTCACATTTCATCTTCCCTTTTTTCTTCCAGGTTCCTACTCCTTTTTCCTCAATAAATGCATCAATGCCACTGAAAAAGAGGTAAAAGTAAAATCTAACCTGAAGCATGTTTACCACAAATCTTAGCAGGAGAGAAAAAACTGTAAATGATAACATACTAATGTGTAAACAAATTATTAAACAAACAAATCCAATACTATAATCCTGCTTTTTCATTACCCTGAATGTTTTTGTCTCATTGAAGTGGTTGGTGGTTATAGAAGCAGGAAAACTGGTGTCTTTGTTAAACTGTCAATTGTAGTGATACAAAACAGCCAATAGAGGGGAACTGTTTAATTCATTGGGTTTTCCACAACACTGGCCTCTAAATGCTTCATTACAAAAGTCTTTCGAGGGCATTAACTATCAAGTGGCCAAAGTGAAAATTTCAAATTTTTAGTGGTGTCTCGCTAATTCCAAATTTATATATTTTTAAAAAACAATCAGTTTTTGCTCAGGTTTATAAAATGTCAGTAGTTGTTTAAGTTTTTTTCTCTTGTGAAAACAAAGAAAAAAGAAAGTCGAGGCCAGATTTGAAACAAACATTTACAGTGCATCCGGAAAGTATTCATACCACTTCACTTTTTCCACATTTGTTATGTTACAGCCTTATTCCACAATGGATTAAATTCCCCTTTTCCCTCAGAAATTCTACACAAAATACCCCATAATGACAAAGCGAAAAACTTTTTTCTAAAACATTTTGCAAATCTATTAAAAATAAGAACACTCAAATGTTGCATATACACGAGTATTCACACCCTTTGCTATAAAACTCATAATTGAGCTCAGGTGCATCCTGTTTCCACTGATCAGCCTTGAAATGTTCCTCCAACTTGATTGCAGTCCACCTGTGGCAAATTCAGCTGATTGGACATGATTTGGAAAGCCACACCTGTCTATATAAGATCCCACAGCTGACAGAGCACGTCAGAGCACAAACCAAGCCATGAAGTCGAAAGAATTGTCTGTAGACCTCCGAAACAAAGTTGTATCGGCGCACAGATCTGGGGAAGGTTACAGAAAAATATCTGCTGCATTGAAGATTCCAAAAAGCACAGTGGTCTCCATCATTAAGAAATGGAAGACATTTGGAACCACCAGGACTCTTCCTAGAGTTGGCCGCCCAGCCAAAATGAGCAAGCGGGGGAGAAGTGCCTTGGTCAGGGAGGTGACCAAGAACCTGATGGTCACTCTGACAGAGCTCCAGCGTTCCTCTGAGGAGATGGGAGAACCCTGCAGAAGGACCACCATCTCTGCAGCACTCCACCAGTCAGGCATTTATGGTAGAGTGGCCAGACAGAAGCCACTCCTCAGTAAAAAGCACATGACCGCCCGCTTGGACTTTGCAAGAAGGCACCTGAAGGACTCACAGACCAGGAGAAACAAAATTCTCTGGTCTGATGAAATGAAGATCGAACTCTTTGGCCTGAATCCCAAGCGTCATGTCTGGAGGAAACCAGGCACCGCTCACCACCTCGCCAATACCATCTCTACAGTGAAGCATGGTGGTGGCAGCATCATGCTGTGGGGATGATTTCAATGGCAAGAACTGGGAGACTTGTCAGGATTGAGGGAAAAATGACTGCAGCTAAGTACATCGAAATCCTTGATAAAAACCTGCTCCAGAGTGCTTGAGACCTTCGACTGGGGCGACGCTTCATCTTCCAGCATGACAATGACCCTAAGCACACGGCCAAGAAGACAAAGGAGTGGCTTCAGGACAAGTCTCTGAATGACCTTGAGTGGCCCAGCCAGAGCCCAGACTTGAACATCTTTTTAAAGACCTGAAAGTAGCTGTGCACCGACGCTGCTCATCCAACCTCACTGAGCTTGAGAGGATGTGCAAGAAGAATGGGGAAAAACTCCCCAAATCCAGGTGTGCCAAGCTTGTTGCATCACACACAAGAAGACTGGAGGCTGTAATCGCTGCCAAAGATGCTTCGACCAAGTATTGAGTAAAGGGTGTGAATACTTATGTATATGCAACATTTGAGTCTTATTTTTAATAGATTTGCAAAATGTTCTAAAAAAGGTTTTTCGCTTTGTCATTATGGGGTATTTTGTGTAGAATTTTTTGGGGAAAAAGGGAATTTAATCCATTTTGGAATAAGGCTGTAACATAACAAAATGTGGAAAAAATGAAGTGGTATGAATACTTTTATGGATGCACTGTACTTGACTTCATGTCCTGCCACCTGCTTACCTGAACTACATACAGCCAGAAATCTAGTAGATAGATTTAATACCACCAGAAAAACTCAGCACAATCTAGTGTCCTTTATTTTGGTCATTTTTGAGCCCGTAACAGATCCAGTAAGTGACTGTTTTTTGTGAAGTTTTATTTCAGCATTTGACAATCAGATTCTTGTTGTTTTATTCATGGATAATTGTTCTTTTGGTATCAACAACAAAAATAATTTCAAAACGTTATCCAGACAAACTGCAGCAGAGTCATAAACATAACACTGACAAGAAGAATCATTAGGGATTAAGATTCAGAAATACACACTCTGAAGATTTACAAATCATTTAAATAGAATCACCTGGGTCAGAGAAAAACCAGAGACACACATCTTTAAAAAAAAAAAAGTCTTTCTCACCTGCCTCTTCCTCGCTGAGTTTCAGCAGATCTCTGTGAGGTAACTTTGGGAAACAGGAGTGTTTTTCTCTGCAGCGTTTCAGGAGTTCAGCAGCGTCTTCATCTGTGCTGATGGCAAACCAAGCAGGAGGCTCCTGGGTAACTTCCTCTGTCTGAAGGGGGGAGGAGGAGGAGGAGGAGGAGGAGAAGGGTGTTTTCCTCTTCTCCACTCCAAGAAAGATGACCAAAGTCTGAGGTTTCTGAAGGAGGTCTTTGACTGCCTCGAATCTGAACCGACACAGCCTGCTCTCAACCTGCAGGAGTTACAATTCAGTTCAATAACTCAAACATGTAAATTAGAAAAGCAGCTCTGCAGCTCATTTCATCTTCAGTCTAATCCATCTTAATCTGCGTTGATGCCACTAATGTTGATAAAGTCCTGCTTTAAGGCCTGATACATAGACCTGTATCCTGCAGAGCAAACATCCAAACACTCCAACAGCTTCACAGAAAATATGCATCCAGCTGTGTACCCTGTTATCCTCGTCCTCCTTGGAGCTGCTGATCATTGGATTGAGGTTGGAGAACAGGAGGTAGACTGTACCCGGGTCACTCCGTTTGGCCTCCATCCAGACTTTATCTGCCCTCTTCCCGCTGAGACGGTCCAACATTTCCCTGCTGAAGTAGTTCTCCTGCTGGTGGAGGTCTGAGCCGGGCAGGACTCTCTGACAGCCCTCGTCTGTGCGGCTCAGCAGGTTTGAGATGTTTCTGTGGCCCCAGAACTTGGAGATGTCATAGGCAGTCTGTGAGGAGCTGTTCACCAAGAACTTGTCACATCTGGGAAATATGAAAATAGAGAAGAGGTCAAGGTGAAAAGTGACTTCTCTGCCCCCTAGTGGCCATATGTCTTTCCATGCAGTTTTAAAGAGAACCTCATTGTAATGAGTCTCTGTTATGTATGGTGTAAATCTGGTTTCTCTCTGTACCCTTGTGACAGCAGCGCCTCCACCACACCGAAGTGTCCATTTCGAGCTGCAAGCATCAGCCCCGTCCAGCCGCTGTCACCCTTCTGGTTGATGAGCGAGGGGACGTGGGACAGCAGTGTGGACACCAGGGTCAGGTCTCCTCGGGCTGCAGCATCCAGAAACTTCTCCACCATCTCCTCCTTTGCACCAAGCTGGAGGCTCGTCATCCTGCTATTGACCCCAAGAGACAAAAACCCAAATATATTTACATATTCACATTTAATTTATATTTTACTGTGCTGATGAAGTACTGAGGTGGTCCTGAAGGTCAATGGCACATTAGTTCAGGACCACAATCAATAAATATTCCTTAAAGCACTAAATATTTCATTTAATGGAAAAAATATTTTGTGAAACCAAAAATTTGCACTCCTGAGATATTTGTCCAATTGACCTACAGAGCCACTGTTTAGAGAGCTGTGTTTTCATAATGATAATGTCAGGTCTGTCATTCTTGTGTTTTTAAATAAAAACGTGTCTGAGTGGACTTTGGAATTTTTTATAATCCTTCAGGGGCGGGGTCTCACTTTCTCAGTGGTGCAACCATCTGTCAGTTATTATCAGAGTTATGTCTGTTAGGTTACACACTGTAAGAACACACACCCATATACATACATACATACATACATACATACATACATACATACATACACAAACGCATACGTACACGCACGCACGCACACACACACACACACACACACACACACACACACACACACACACACACACACACACACACACACACACACACATCGTTAAAAATGCTGCTAACGTGAATTAATCCACCGTGGTGTGTTTGAGTGTCATCGTAAACATAAAGTGTAAGGTGGCTTGTTTATTAACAATCCTCCGAAAACTGTTTTGGTGTTAAACTGATGTTACTCCTCTGTAAACCAGACTTTTGTGGATTTTCTGCTGAACTGCAGTCTGACCACATAAAGGCTAAAACTCCTGTGAATGGTCCCAGTGTCTGTACGAGGTAAACTGCGCCAACGTTTTAACATCATTTTGCATAAAATATAATATTAACGATTCAATCTGTTAAGGAAAATCAAAATGAAAGACTCAGCTCACCTTCGGCACTTGGTTCTTCTCTTTCTGTTACGGAAGAGCTATGAAGCGTTTGATAACGGTGACGTGCTGCGTTCAAGAGCAGCAGCGACTACAACAACGGAAAAGTTGCATTCAAGAACTCTTTTGAAAAACGGATTTCATTCATCTATATATACACAGTGCATCCGTAAAAGATTCATACCACTTCACTTTCTCCACATTTTGTTATGTTACAGCCTTATTCCAAAATGGATTAAATTCCTTTTTTCCCTCAAAAGTTCTACTCAAAATACCCCATAATGACAAAGCGAAAAACTTTGTTTTAGAACATTTTGCAAATCTATTAAAAATAATGCACTCAAATGTTGCTTATACATAAGTATTCACACCCTTTGCTATAAAACTCATAATTGAGCTCAGGTGCATCCTGTTTCCACTGATCAGCCTTGAAATGTTCCTCCAACTTGATTGCAGTCCACCTGTGGCAAATTCAGCTGATTGGACATGATTTGGAAAGCCACACCTGTCTATATAAGATCCCACAGCTGACAGAGCACGTCAGCGCACAAACCAAGCCATGAAGTCGAAAGAATTGTCTGTAGACCTCTGAAACAGGGTTGTATCGGCGCACAGATCTGGGGAAGGTTACAGAAAAATATCTGCTGCATTGAAGATCCCAAAAAGCACAGTGGTCTCCATCATTAAGAAATGGAAGACGTTTGGAACCACCAGGACTCTTCCTAGAGCTGGCCGCCCAGCCAAAATGAGCAAGCAGGGGAGAAGGGCCATGGTCAGGGAGGTGACCAAGAACACAATGGTCACTCTGACAGAGATTCAGCGTTCCTCTGAGGAGATGGGACAACCCTACAGAAGGACCACCATCTCTGCAGCACTCTACCAGTCAGGCATTTATGGTAGAGTGGCCAGACAGATGCCACTCCTCAGTAAAAAGCACATTGAACATCTTTGGAAAGACCTGAAAGTAGCTGTGCACCGACGCTGCCCATCCAACCTCACTGAGCTTGAGAGGATGTGCAAGAAAGAATGGGGGAAAAACTCCCCAAATCCAGGTGTGCCAAGCTTGTTGCATCATAGACTGGAGGCTGTAATCGCTGCCAAAGGTGCTTCGACCAAAACAAACTAACTAAACTTAACTAATGTTCTGTATCAATAAGAATAAGAATAAGAAGAACTTTATTGATTCCCAAAGGGGAATTCAATTGTCTGTTGTCTAACATAATATGTCAATAAAAGTTATCTGTTATTTACACAAGAGTTATGAAACCTGATGGCTGTTGGTACAAAAGAACTTCTGAATCTTTCTTGTACTGCAGCAAAGAGAAAGGAGCCGTCCACCACCATTGGCCCTTTGGTCCATCAAGGTGTTGTGAAGTGGGTGATCCATGTTCTTTAAAATAGACTCCACCTTCCTCAGTGTAGATCTCTCCACCACATCATCCACTGAGTCCAGCTTGAGTCCAACCACAGAGCCAGCCTTTTTCACCAGTTTGTTAAGATGTCTTGCATCTTTGTGTTTGATGCTTTCTCCCCAGCAGACTGCAGCGTAGAACAGAACACTTACCACCACAGACTGATAAAACATCTGCAGCGTCTTACTACAGATGTCTATTGATCGGAGTCTTCTCAGGCAAAAGAGGCGGCTCTGCCCCTTTCTGTAGATGAAGTCTATATTCTTAGACCAGTCCAACTTATTATCCAGATGTACACCTAGGTATTTATATGATGTCACCATTTTGATGTCCACTCCACAGGTGTTCAATGGCTGAAGAGGGGGTTTGGATCTACGGAAGTCTATGACCATCTCCTTTGTCTTTGAGGCGTTGAGGAGGAGGCAGTTTTTGTGACTCCAGTCATTGAAGGCTCTTATCAGATCTCTGTATTCAGCTTCTTGTCCATTCCTGATATATGCCACAATAGCGGTGTCATCTGAGTATTTCTGGATGTGGCAAGACTCTGTATTTGAAGTCTGAGGTATACAGTGTGAACAGGTATGGCACCAGCACTGTCCCTTGTGGAGCCCCTGTACAGCTCATTAATGTCCCAGAAACACAGTTCCCCACCCTGACAAACTGTGGCCTTCCTGTCAGGTAATCTGTGATCCAGGAAACACAGGCAGGATCCACTCCCATCTCTGTGAGCTTGTCTTTGAGTATGGTGGGTTGGATGGTGTTGAATGCACTTGAAAAGTCGAAGAACATGATCCTCACATAAACCTCAGGTTCCTCCAGATGAGACAGGGCACGGTGAAGCATTTAGAGGACAGCATCGTCCACTCCAATGTGTTCTTTGTATGCAAACTGCAGGGAGTCCAGTTTGTCTTTGACCTCAGACCTCAGAAGGCGTAAAATCAGCCTCTCCAGGGTTTTCATGATGTGTGAAGTGAGGGCCACTGGTCTGTAGTCATTGAGTTCAGCAGGACATTTTGTTTTTGGTACTGGCACAATGCAGGATGTTTTCCACAGAGCAGGTACCCGCCTCAGCTGCAGACTCAGGTTGAAGATCCTGTGGAGAGGTTGACACAGTTCTGCAGCACAGTCTCTAAGCAGCCTTGTACACACACCATCTGGACCAGCTGCCTTCCCAGGACAAAGTCTTCCAAGCTCCATCCTCACCCCTGTTTCGGTGACAGACAAGGACTGGTGTTCTAGGAAGGAGGAAGTTGAAGTGGTTGAGACATTTGAACGAGATGGAGGAGGAAGGGGAGAAGCTGTAGTGAAGATTTGTTGTAGAGAGGGAGGTGGAGTAGGAGTGGAAGTGGGAGTGACAGCAATGTCAAATCTGTTGAAGAACAGGTTGAGTTCATCAGCTCTTTCCAGATCACCCACCACTGGCTGTCTTTTCTTTTTATCGCTGTCGCCAGAGATTGTTCTGATTCCTCTCCACACTTCACGGATGTTGCTGTGTTGTAGATTCTTCTCTATCTTCTTTTTGTATGATCCAGCTTTGCCATCTTCAGTCTCCTCTTCAACTCTTGTTACACTTGTTTGAGTTGTTCTTTGTCACCATCTTTAAAAGCTTTCTTTTTCTGGTTAAGGATTGCTTTTATGTCTCTTGTGATTCAGGGTTTGTTGTTGGGGAAACAGCAAACAGTCTTTGTGGGTATAACTTTGTCTCTACAGGAGTTGACATATTCAGTAAAGCAGTCAACCTGTTTGTCAATGTTCATACTATCCACATCTGTTTCCAGCAGCACATTCCAGTCTGTTGATTTAAAACAGTCCCTTAGAGCTTCACTGGCTCTTTTATCAATATCACATTTTGATGCTGAAAATAAAGTAAACTGCATGTAAATCAGTTGAGAAATGAGCAAGATGTGATTTATTTTCCATGTACATTTAATGCCTTTAATAGGAATGTTGCCCCCTGTTAAGATGGCTGCCACACAGGCACATGGCTAAAAGGGCTGCAACATAAAGCACAGCGGAAACCTGGCTATGTCTGGTGGACATTAGATCCTGTATAGTAAAAAGGCAGAAATCTGTCCGCACTCTGTCCCCTGTCCACACTCAAATGCTCACATGGCTAATGCTAATTGTTAAAGACAGCTAGCTCTCTCACCAGAAACATAAGACTCACAGGAACTTGTGGTTTTGTTAATATTTTAATTGAATAATGTACAAAATAATGTTACAGAAATTACATTCAAACTCACTCCTCAAAACCCAGTGGAAATAAAATACCCTGTCATAAAGAAATAATCACTGTAACATCAACAAATATTTCTAGATTATGATTTTAACATCATTATCAATAGGATTTTAAATGGTAGATGTTAACATGAACTTAAATTACACTCTCATTTACAGAAAACACACAGAAGCTTTTGAATATACAGCATGTTACTGTTTGGGGTACAACAAATGAAAGTCTAGATCTTATTTGTTAATTTGTTAATGAAAAAATTACAGGAAAATAAGACTTCAATGCTCTGACAGCAGAACAATAGGTGTGTAGTTGTGGTTTTTGTACACTAATAGGTGTGTGCTACGAGTAGAAGGTGAGGACACTCTGTTGGTTTCCTCTGACCAGCAGCAGAGGGGGGAGGTCTTTAGACAGAGTCTCCAGCCAGCACATGTAGAGAGCACTGGACACCGTGCCCTTCCTGGCCAGAGGCATGCTCCTGCAGAGAGAGATTCATGTTCAGACTGAGGAGAGGGCACGGACTATCAAAGAAAATACTCAGGTAATTTATAAGAAACATGAGGGTCCTCACTGCAGATTAAAACCAGTTATAGCAGAAATGAAAACTTTTTAAAAAAAGCTTTGGATTATATACAGGAATTATATGAAAGTAACTAGGAAGACTAGCTGAAAAAAAAATATCCAAGATTCACAGATTATTGGTCTGTTTGTTTTCTTGTTCTCACTCTGATTGGATACTATATAGTTCTGTCCCTGGTATGTAGATAGAGGAGACAACCAGCTGTTGGTCAGCATGGGACATCCTAAGCGTGTGGGAGTCCCTTCAAGCAGTGTCACAAGTCAGTTTCCCTGAGCCCCATCCACCAATCAGCCGCCGTCTGTTCTTCCCTCTACTTATATAAAAATGAATGCAACCGTCCCAAAAGAAGAAAGTTAAAGTTAATAAAGTCAATGAAGTTTTCTTATCAATAAAGTTCTTCTTAAGAAGGGTCTTAAATAACACTAGTGCACTTCTTTCAATTATGTATGTCTTAGTTCTTTACTTTATAATTAGGCCACATATGAAACAGCACATCCTGTAATCTAAATGTCAGGGTGTAAATTGTGGTGTTCTTTACATGTCTCCAGGTTCAGGTGGCTTATTTCTTCATTTGGTTGTTTTAAAGTAAGTTGGATCTGTGAATCAAACACTGCAGGAGCAATATTTGTTTTTCTTAATTTCTTTTTCTCTGTCTATTTTTTCTCAGTCTCTCTCTTTTTTCTCTCTCCCTTACTCTCTTTCTTTTTTCATTTTACTTTCTTTTACAGTCTTATTCCTTCTTTTATTTTCTCTTTTATTTGATGCTTTTCTTTTTTAGTTTCTATACCTTTATTTTTTATTTTTTATTTCTTTGGCTATGTCTTTTTTACCCAACACCACCAGACTCTACAATTAACTGTAAATAAAAGATGGCATAAAACTTAAGACATGAGAACTGAGATCATTAAAATTTTCCCTGAGAGATAAATACAGTTCTTCTTTCTTTTTTTCCTTTTTTTTTTGTCTTTCCTCTTTTTTCTTTTTCTGTCTTCTCTCCTACTTCCTTCCCCTTCTCCTTTCCTTCCTTTCTATCTCTTTCTGTCTTCCTTCTTTCCTTTTTTCCTGCAGCCTTAATCATTACAGATCCAGAGGACATGAAATGCTCCAGAATTTTCCGTTTCCTGAACAGTTGTCAAGCCTATTAAAAACTTAAATTCTTCATTAGTTTTAAGATTCTCAAAAATGGCTTCTCAGCACCCCTCTGGATGTTGAATTTTCTTTCAGCTCTGCCACGCTGTTCAATTTACCCGCATGAGTTTTGCAGGAAAAAAACTGACATGCCAAGACCTAAAAAAGTCCTCTTGTATCCTTACTCTAAACCTAAAAGGAAATCAACACTACAATCAACAGCTTTCTAATTTAAGTGCTTTTACCAGGTTCTTCTGATTATGCTCATAAACCTAAACATGTAAAATTACTTTGACATACGTAAACCATATGAGTGCTACTTTCTCCACTAAACAAACTCAAATATCATACATGTGTGATGGTTATTTTGTCAGTGACAGAATCTGGATCCCTTACATGACGATGAGTTTGGCGTTGCTGGAGTGTTCCTTCAGCAGCTCGTTCAGTCGGATCTGACGATTGGTCTGAAAGCCACACAGCATGTTCTCGTCAGTATTTCCTGTCAAACAGCAGTGTGACGTCTATGTCTGTGTGTGTGCGTGTGTGTGTGAGTGTATGAGTGTACCTTGGCCTTGTAGAGCTCCAGCTCGTTGTCTGTGATCCTCCAGGGCTCCTGAGCCTTCAGCCTCTCTGCAGCCTCCTGCTCCATGTCGTCTTCTTTGAGCCTGTACGGCTCGATCAGCTCCTTAAACGTCAGCTTACTGCAGAGAGCACACAGACTTTATTACAGCAACTCACTTTCACACAGGAGCTAAAAGAGCTGAGGTGGACTCTGTCAGAGGTCCTACTTGTGTTTCTTGGGTTTGGTGTTGATGTCTCCGAGGACGTTGATGTCAGAGAAGTCAATCCTGAACCTGCTGAGCAGCGTGGCCATCCTGAACAAGCGCGCACAAAGACATTCATGAGCACTTACAAATATACAGAGTGTGAAGGCTAGTTAGAACAGGAAAAGTACAGCAGAATATGCCAAACTTTTTTCATGTTTTTGTAAAACTCCACGGTGACTCACGCTCGGCGGTCGTGGTCAATACGGTTTATCTTCCCACCAATAAAGACTCGGATCCTGCAGTCACCCCATTTACTCCTGTTTGTCAGCAGGAAGGGAATCAGCAGAGTCAGACCTGCAAACAAAACGGCACAAACACTTTAAGATCAGCAGCGTTAACGTGGAGTTTTTATTCTTCTTTTTCTTTTCTCCCTCCTTCTTGGCAGTAAGAGAAACTCTTCCCTGCTCCCATCACCTCCAAAATCTAAAGCTACACGTACTTAGACACTTTTTAATTCCTTTTCTTATGCTCGCCAAGCACAGGCAACACAGTTGACATATTAAGATGTTTAAAATCAGTCTAGAGAAAGTTTTGAGGCAGCTTTTTCATCTCTATAGACATAAAAACATACCTCCATCATCAAACAGCCACCAGACGTCGATGGTTCCTTTGCCCTGTTTCTTCTTGAACTGCTGGCTTGTCTCTAACAGACGCTGGTCGGTCAAACTCAGAGGGATCTTTGTCTCTGAAGGGAGGAAGTCACAGAAATTAAGTCTGTTTTTAGAAATATCCATGTATGTGTGGGCGGAGCCCAAGAAGTCGTTTGGTGTTCATGTTGGGTCTAAACAGACTTCTCTCCCTCTTTCTCCTTTTTTACCTCTCAGGATGAGACTGCTCTGGGTGCTGGTGGTTTTTGAAAAGCCGGAGTCCGAGTCTGAGTCTTTGGCCAGATTAACAGAAACCACCACCTCCTTACCACCACCTGGTGGTTTCTCATTTGAGGACATCAGCTCATCTGCAGGAATAAAAACAGGGAGATTTATGGAGTTCATGCAGAAGATATTTCACAAACACAAAAACAAAGAGTTACCCTGTCCCTGGATGTGAGAGATATCAAGACCGTCCTGCAGCCGAAGGATCGCCACGCCATACTGCAGGTCAAAGGCGTCACTGTGACACAGAGCAGATACTAATACTCAGCTCTCAATAAAAAATTCCTTATGAATGAATGCAAAGAAAATAGACTGAATCATAAAACGTGGCTTTTTCTTAGGCGTATTTTCCCTTACTGTATTGTGTTGATGTAAATCTCCAAATTCCTCATGTCTCCCTCACTCCAGTTGTTCTTGTAACCCATGACCAACGTGTTTGGCCTCAGACGACCCAAACCGACCGCCTGAGAATCAGAGAGCAGAGATTTGACATCCACATTAAGATAACATTCATAGTTTTTTGTTGGACCTGACAGCCAATATCTTGTTTTCATAAATATCTAGGAGCTCTCTTTTGTACCAGGTGTTCATACCTGCATGAGGAACTGCGCCCCGTGCCTCATGTTGTCGGAGTAAACCGGAGTGTAAAAGGCTTTGATTCGTTTCTTATTCAGCCAGCGCTGACAGCGAGCGTGATCCTGAGACAGCTCCTTAAAGTTTGGCCGACGGGTCACCTGGAACAGAAGAGAGATAATTACAGGAGGAGACTTGTTAAAACTTCTGCAGGAAACTTTCCAGCAGTTTCTACAAGATATATAATCTGTTCTAGATGTTCAAATGTACATACAGTCTTGACATGAGCGCAGACCATGAGGCCAACGTTCTTAGTGAAAGAGTGAACCAGTTGAACCAGAGCAGGACGAGAGTTTGGGTAACCCACCAGCACCAAACACTGCGGTCTGAAAACATGACACTTACATCATCTCCACATCTCATAATTTAACTATAAATCCACTCAAACCCTTGAAAGTTGGATCTGTTCTTGACTGTAATTGCTGATCTAAGTTTTCTTCTCACTGTGAGCTGACCTGAAGTTTTTGACGTGGTCCTCGACTCCTGTGAGGTTCAGGCAATGGGTCAGGGCCTGGTTATAGATCAGAGCCTGAGTGGACGAACCCCAATTCACATCTACAGGGAATAAAACCACGAGTCAGGGGAGGGTAGAAGATTCCAGGTTGCGATATGATATCAATGTCTTGGTTGTGATCCAAGGTAAAGTCAAGGCAAACCTTTTGGTCTCAAAGAGATCAGAAATAGATCAGAGAAAATGTATATATTTTTTATCCACTAAGGTAAAAACTAAAAAAAAAGGTTCAAGGTAAGTGAGAGAGACTTGCAAAGTGGTACAAGCTTTTCTCCACTGTTGTGCAGATGCTCAAAGAACTCAGTCACTCACACAAACTAAGGGTGCACTCACGCTAGGCAGTCCATGATGTGCTCTGACATGTTTGACCTCTAATGACCCCTAAAGTCCATTTTGTTTGGCTGACTGCACCCAGGCATGGTTCTCCACCTTGGTCCTGGCACAGTTGGACTTTGGTATGGTACAGCTGCTCATTCATGTGCACAAACACGGCACAGTGGAGCACCTGACTTGTTCCTTTGTTTTTTTAGCTGTCACCCAAACGCCACCCTTCACACTGACACAGTGGTGCAGGGCGAACAGTGAGAGCTGAGTGATGTCAGGCTGTCATGTTTGCTCAACAGATAAATACTTCTTCTATGTAGAAAAGAGAGGAAAGATGGTGAAAAGATGACTCTCGTACTGGCAGAAGGAGGGGAATCTGAGTATCCGGGAGCCATGATCAGTCTTCTACAAATTGATCAGGATGAAGTTTAAAATTTTTTACACCACACTGACCTACAGGAGGGACAAGGAGGGCTCTGCTGACTTTGCTGGCTTTATAGGTGGAAATAAACAATGAAAACTAATGTATATTCTTCATCTCTTGCAGTATATTTACAGTACCTGCACTAAAATCCCACACTGTAAGCTACACTTGAAAGGTAAAAATCTTGTAAAACGTTTTAAAACACAAACTGACAGTACAAACTCAGAATGCGTGTGAATACAGGCACTGGAGATTTTTGGTTGACTGCAATAAAACTTTTCATTCTGGCAGATAATAGGATGAACATTTCAAAGCTCCATTGTTTTCATGGCTTACCTGACTCATGCAGCGACAGGTTATGAGGATCTGACTAGATTTATTATACTACATTATTTAATAACAAATCAAAATGTTCTCACCAGGTTTCTTGTAGCTGACGTAGATGTAGAGAGCGAGGACGATGAGCAGAGTGACCAGAGCCGCCCACCAGTTAATGACAAACATCACCACGCAGCAGAGGATCGCCCCCGCCAGAGACACCCACATGTTGTAGTACTTGAAGCTAGGGCGCCACCCTGTACAGGGACAAGAGACAGAATAATAACAGGGTATGAATTGTTTTTTTATTTGAATAAAATTTACAGTTAAAGTTTCGGTAGTTACAGTTTACAGCTTTGAAAATGTGTCATGGGCTCTGTTGAGCATGAAAATGATACGTGTGTGTGTGATATACTGATATACATGTACACTTGAGGGTAAAGGAAGATGAAACAGGAACCTAATGTGACAAAAGTGTGAACTTTTAACATCTTTGATAAATTATAGATATAAAATTTGTTTTTCAGTTAATAATGAGACAGGTTGGGAGCAGACCAAGAGTTTACCTGGAGAGTTGGCCAGCGAGGAGTGGAAGACAGAGAAGTTGATGAGAGCGTAGGAGGCCAGGAAGAAGTTGGAGATGATGGGAGCGATGATGTTCAGCTCAGCTGGCGAATGACAACAGAGGCTATTAATACTCTCTGGTTCTTATTCAGGCCTTTAAAATGGAATCTAAACACTGAAGCTGGAGTCTAAGTACATCCTACCAATGAGGATGAAGGCAAGTCCGATGCAAAAGGTCAGAACATAACCACGCAGAGGCTCGTTGTTCTTCCCATAACCCTTTGCAAACACACCCAGTCCTGGATAGATGTTGTCCTTACACAGAGCCTGAAACCACAGCAACAGCCTTATTCATTCGTTCAGTTATTCATTCAGTTCATCAGAGTGTGCAGAAACGTGTTATTTCAATTTTTAGAGGGAGAGATTTGACTTTAAGGATTTTGGCAGGTGTTGGATCTTTCTGAGATGAAAATACAAGCCTTCATGGTACCAAAGCTGGTTTACATGGTCCAGGTTTGTATTCAAAATTAGTTCACAATGTGAAAGACCTGAAGGAAACTCATACATTCTCCAATGAAACTGTACAAACTAGTTTTTGTTCATAGTTTAAAGCACACTGTGGCCTTCTGTATCACTGTGCAAACCGAGCAGAATTTACCCACTGATGAGGTTCATCGGACGCTTCATATATTAAACACAAATGTCTGACTTTTTTTATGTTAATTAAATTTGATGGTTTCTGACCTGGAATACTTTAGGTGCGCTGACCAGCGAGGCCAACGCTGAGGACAGAGTCGCTGAAAATATCCCAGCAGAGATCAGAGGACCAAAGGCTGAGACCAGACTCATCACCTGGACGAAAGAAGGACACAAAACACAAACCTTTAAGATTCAAACTATCAACAACAACAACAACAGAAACTGAACGAAAGGCAAAAACTGAGGGGAGGACTGGTCTGTAGTCTGATGTAGAGGGTTCACCCGACTTGTTCTCAGCTCCCAGTCCAAAGCTAGCATCCCTGATGGGGATCTTCAGAGTCCATGTCATGGGTAGCTTCCACATCTGCACACTGGGAGCAGCATCTGCTGCCATCCAGACAAAGACTTTTTCAGATAAGACCATATTTCAACATTTTTCTCCTACCCCATTTTCTGCTTTGTTCATTCTCCTATCCTCTACTTAAAGGTAAGAACAGGCCTTATGCTCTGCTTATAGCGAGAGGCAGCTTTACATTCACAGACATTAATTATGGAGTTAGGTTCAAACTCTATTCAAATAAATTCTTCTTTCTGTTTTTGGGAAATGATAGTACACGCTGGAGGGACTTTTTGTTTTTGCTTGTTATCATAATCTCTGCAGCTTTCACTAAATTCAGGAACAACTCTGAGGTTTTGAAACATCACTATGACGGAGTCAACGGATGAAGAAGTAAAGGAAGAAATGAGGAGAGAGAGGAGTTCACTCTACAGCAGAGTGTAATGACATGTTCAAGTGAACATTTCTGTCCGCAGTAGAGGACAAGTGTGCAGCATGTCAGAGATATCAGTGTCAGTGAGCTCTGTGTGTGTGTGTTTATATGTGTGTTTGTGTGTGTGTTTGTGTTTGTGTGTGTAAGTGTGTGAGCATTGTTCCCAAACAGAGTGCAGCAGTGATAATAGTGACTGTTGTTTTGAGTCACAAGGTTCCTGCTGGCTGGAGACGAGAACTGAATGAGAGCATTGACAACGTCCACCTACACACACACACACACACACACACACACACACACACACACACACACACACACACACACACACACACACACACACACACACACACACGCATGCATCTACATGATCACAACAATAGTTTAACATGAATCAGAGTTGTGATAACCAACCACAAAAGTATCTGCAGGTGTAATTCATTAAATAGTCTGTTAATGTGGTTTAATGGGCTTTATAATTTTACATGATTAATAGAAATATTTTAACAAAAAATTGTGTATTTTCTTTGTCATTTTTTGACCCTACACTTTTCGCATAAAGTCAATAAAACTTGCCACGGAGGTGCTCAGACTCAATATTTTTTTCAACCTGAGTAATTGGACTGTTTGATTTTATTGGTAAGTCATTTATAAGCCTGCTAAACTCAACTCTTGCACTTTAACAGAGAGAATATTGTGAATATGAAGGATATGAAAAGGCAGGAAAGAGTCCCTATACTTAAGGACATCGCTGATAGAGATTAATCTACCAGCTGATGTTTTAGTTTGAAAAGACCATCTTTCACAGTATGGAAAAGTCTTCACATCTGTGAATGAGGGCTGCCTGTCATTTATCTAAAATTGGTACTTTTTAGAAAAAGTGCTGACAGAGGTCTAAACTAAATCAAAGAAGTTAACTTCAGCACGGCTAAAAAGAAACTGACTGCAGACCAGTCACTGATGTGGGAGACTGAGTCTCAGGTTGTGATCAGAGCACTGGTTTAACATGGTTCTGGTGTTTCCTATTTGATTTTGACTTCCTGTGTTTCCCTCCAGAGCTGGCCCAAGGCATAAGTGAACTAAGCGCCTGCTTAGGGCCCCGCGGCCAATAGGGGGCCACCAAGAACAATAAAATAATAATAATAATAATAATAATAATAATAATAATAATAATAATAATAATGTTTTTTTTTTTTCTGCATTTATTATTGATGCTTTCTGTATGATCAAATATATATTATTGTAAAATAAATAAATAAATGAATAAAGTAAAATCATTTTAGTGCTGCTGCTGATGTAGGCCTATGATTCTTACTGCCGATATGTCAAAGCTGTGCAATGTGCACTGAGCATCCAAAGCACAGGTAGTTGTGGGGCAAAACAATGTCGCAAAAAAGGACATGTCCTTTAGAAGCAGAGAAAAGAAAGAGGAAGAAGAGAAAAAATGCCAAGATAAAGGTATGTTTGCATGTCATGGAATGTTAATCAAAGAGATTGATGAAGGTGAGTGAATGATCAACAATCAATATTATTGGCAGAAATAGAGGGCCCCAAAATCAAATTTTGCTTAGGGCCCCATTGAGGCTTGGGTCTGCTCTGGTCTTACCTGGGTCTTGTTCTTTGCACCTGTTGCTCTTTTATTTTTGTGTATATTCTTTCCCTCCTTCAGTGTTGGTTCATTGTGTCTGCTTGTCTCCTCATGGGCTCAAGTTTTCTCGTATTGCTCCTTGTTTTCTTAAAGGTTTTGGAATTTTTGGTTGGAACTTTTTACAGGTTATATTTTTACTTTTGTTTATTAAACTTATTTTGTCTTCATTTTGAATTCTTTCCATGAACTTTTTAAATTCAGAGATTAATCTAGGCTTTTTAAAAGATTAGTTTTTAAAATAATGATTAGATGACCTTCTCTGGATGGAGAAAAAATGGTGGCAGTCCCAGTAGGATCTTTGGCTTAGGGACAAAGTCATTAGCACAAGCACTTTTTGCAGTTCCATTGGTTCATTTCTGCAACACAAAACTGGATTACCCAGCAGTGCAGAATGACACTGCGGTCCATCCTGCAGTTGTAGTAATTAAAAGTATTTTTATGTTACATGACTTGGGTGTGTGTGTGTCACCTGGAAGTCATTCATCAGGCCATACTGGCAGCCACCCTCCTTACAGATAGAGAAGTCATAGCCCAGAGAGCAGGCTGCGTCCTGTACAGTACAGTTCACTGCGTCGATCACCGTGTCGTTGTGGTCACCAGTGGCGTCCCTGACGATGCAAGCCCCTGAAGTTGGAGAAAAAACAGCACACACTCTGATTTAAGGTTGCCGAAGTAAACTCTTTTCTGTCTCACATGGATTCAGTTTTTCTTTATTGCTTTGTCTCCGTAGTCTGACTAAGTCAACTTAAACAATGCCATACTAAGAAAAGACACTGACTGGGATTTATACTGAAGTTTATTATCATTACCTCAAGTTTATCTATTACCTGTAGAAATGGCGACAGCCACATAGGTGACTCCTGTGATGAGGATGGCCAGCAAAGTGCCTTTTGGGATCGCTGACTGAGGGTCCTAAAAATGAAGAAATCTAAGCTTTCAAAATTCAAGATTTTAGTCCTAATTGTCATTGTATTTGCCTTACAACAAAACAGTGTAAGGCAAGAAAACAGGAAAACTGAGGCAAATAAAACGAAAAATTGAAGTAAAATCCAACAATTAATTAGTTTTTTAGAGTAAAATTTGTCATAGGAGTTTCAAGACTTATTGTTATTAAAAAAAATCAGACATGAACATGTAGTTAGCTTAACTAAGGTTATCATTTACCTGCAGTCAAAGCATTTCAAACACTTAACTCAAGCTGCAGTGGGAAGAACTAAAAATAATGCAACATTTTTAATGGTTAAGGGCAACCAGAAAGGTTTTTATGTATGCTGGGGTATTTTTGCCTTTAATTGATTAAGCAGCTGAAAGAGACAAAGGGTCATGGCCAGGAATCAAACCAGTGACTGCTGTGACAAGGACTACAGCCTCCTTACATGTATTGAAACAAACACGATAGGGCCCAGGAATGAACCCTGATGTACACCAAAAGCAGTGTTGATTCACTCTATGCAGTGCTACTCTGGGTGACTTAAGTATTAAAAGCCAAAGAAAGTCTAGAATTTGGAAGGAAGCTTAATGACAAGTTCTTCTTCCTAAAACTCCTTGAGACTCAGTGACATTGGAATAACTGGGTTCATAAAATCACAGCAGTTGTTCCTCATCAGCAAAAAGAAGGTTTCGCCTGAGTTTTGTTTTTCAGTCTGCATTGCAACAGCAATATTCAATCACAATATATAAGAGTGTGAATTCAAACAAAATGCACAGATAAAAGATGCAAAATCGGAAACTCACAGTGAGGTCTCCAGATATGTTAGCTCCAGCCAGGATCCCGGTGGCTGCCGGAAAGAATATAGCAAACACTGAGAAGAATGTCTCCTCTTCCCTGAAGTCTGGACCCAGGTTCTCTAAGAAGATGGCACCTGGAAGAAAGACCATTTTTTTTAATACAGAGTTTTATTGAAATTCCAGCACAGGCTGATAGTTGAACAGAATAAGACAGAATAATAAGTTTTAGATTGACTGTTGTAGCCGAAGAATCCTTTGGGCTCTTTGCTTTCTGTTGGCATGAAGGTTCCTATGAAGTAGTTAACGATGGCTCCCAGCAGGATCACAAGGAGGACAATCTGAGCCTGATGGACGGTGACAGGACGGAGAAAATGATTAAGATGAGCTTCCATTTCCACTTACACAATCGGTGAGATTTCACTTTCCTCTGAGTTTAAAGTTTTGGCACACACAGGCAGCTCTACAGTACTGTGATGAACTTTGACCATGTGATTTAGTTTTATAATACACAACAGATAATATAATAAGGTACATAACACATGCAGCACGGCACACATGAAATCCATAGGTGCTGTTTCTTGGGTTTGAAGATTGCCTTTTTCTGGCTTCACTGTCTTACCTTTGCCTCCCACTCCATCCCTGCCACAGAGATTCCCAGCAGCAGGATGACAGTCAAAGTCCCCACGATTCGAATGTCGTTCAGCTCATCAGTCATCAAAGCGTCAACGTCCTGCAGACAGAACCAAAACATCATCAGTAACAGAGTCAGAGCACAGCACACAGACAGACAGACAGGTGTTTGAGTGGTTCTAATGAAGTGTTTCTCACATTTAGCATCTCTACGACCGTCTCTGCAAAGCCCACAACATACATGGCCACAGCTACAGCGTTGGCAAAGGCAAAGATGAGACCTATGGAGCCTCCAAACTCTGGACCCAGACTCCTGGAGATCAGGTAGTACGCCCCTCCTGAAAAGTGGTGATACACAATTAGAGAATAAAAGAGTTCAGGAACTTCAGGAGTCTCTTTGGGAGAAACTTGAGATATTTGTGTTTTTTATAAACACAGGCTTCATTTTCTTTACTATGATTTATGCTTATAACTTTCAGGGGGTGCTGACTCATGAAAGATACAAGAACGTTTAGTCCTTTAACCTCTCAGCTAGACAACACGAGTGACTATTTGTTCCAGAAACCTTTCAAAAGCTTTTCGCACACTGCCAAGCTTTTCACAGCCTGTAGAAGTTCTTTACATATGAATTTTTTTGCTCTCACAGACCCTGAATCCTCTACAAAAATAAATTCAACATTGTTGTCTTACCTCCTCGTACAAATCCATTGGTTGCTATCGCAGATGTGGACAAACCAGTGATGGTGGTGACCACAGTGGCCATTAGAATAATCCCAATGGTCAGTCCTGTTTTTTTCAAATAAACAAACAACACCAAAACATTGTTATCTGAGGTTTTAGCAGAATAATCTGAATACCTCAGCACCAAACTATGTTAGATACACTACAGGCCAAAAGTTTGGAAGCCAGATCAGATTTGTATAAAAAAAGACCAGTTTCATATATATAATTTGCAACACAATAAACATGACTACTGTGTAAAGAGTAACTTATCAGAAGACATTTTGACAATAATTTTAGATTTTATTGGAGTTATTGTTGCTTAGACTTTGCTTTCTATAAAGTAACCTCCTCTGGCTTTAACAACAGCTTGGCACATACCAGGCATTCATTCCACAAGTTTTCTAAGGTATGTTCCAGGGATTGCATTCCAAGCTTTCTTAAGTTCATTGAAAAGAGACTGTTGATTCATGGGACGCATTTTTCTGACCCACTGATCCAATTCATTCCGCACAAGCTCAATTGGAGAAAGGTCTGGAGACTGAGGGGGCCAAACCATCTTTTGAAGAACACCTTCCTCTTCTTTTTTGTCTAGGTAACCCTGACAGAGCTTGGCAGAGTGCTTAGGGTCATTGTCTTGCTGCAAAACAAACTTATGAGCCACAAGTCTGAGTCCAGATGGAACAGCATGGTGCTGGAGGATGGAGTGGTACTGCTCCTTCTTCATGATACCCTTAACTTAAAACAAATCTCCTACTCCATCACTTGCAAAACATCCCCATACCATGGAACTACCACCTCCATGCTGAATTGTGGGTGTAACACATGCTTCTTTCAGACGTTAACCAGTTTGTCTGTGGACATAGACTCTGCGTTTTGAACCAAACAGTGCAAACTTGTTTCTTGTTCTGTGGATAAAGTAGTGTTTTTTTGCAGATACACAACCCTTCAGACCAGCCTTTCTCAAACGTCTTTTCACCGTTGTCAGAGATATGGGTTTCGACCTTGTAATGTTGATTTCCTCCCTTATTTGTGATGGTGTCTTTCACCGATCTCTCTTACTGATGACAATGCTATGTTTATCCTCTGCTTTTGTAGAAACTCTCTTTCGTCCAGGTCTTTTTCTATCATCATAACTTCCAGGTTCCTCTAGTCTCTTCAGAGTGTAGTGGACTCCTTTGTTAAACACCTTTAGGCGTTTTGCAATTTCTCTTTCTGTGTATCCTTCTTTCCTTAATGGACAAATCTGTACTTTTGTTTCTTTACTCAGTTGCTTCTTTCTAGCCATTTTTGCGGTAGTTTGAACGCAGTTGAGATTTATTAGGATTTTTGTATGCAGACTCTTAAAAGCCAAAAAGTTGAAGTGAATAATCCAACTGTGATTTGTTTTTTTGCTTTTGCACTGAAGTTGTGACTCTTGCAAATGTTTTCAACCCTAAAACTAAGCCCTTATAATCTTTTGCTGACATACAGTATATTTGGTAATGGTCTGTTAACATCAATGTATATCTAAAGGTAAATGAAGTAAAATGGTGCATTTCCATGAAAGCAACATCTGATCATGGAGTAAATACATCCAAAATACATAAAACTCATGCTGAATTTTTAAAAAAGCATTGTGAACAAAAACTTCACTGTAATGGTTAGATGGGGTCTAGAGAGGAGAGGTTCAGGTGTTCTCATAAGAGCTCAGTCTTTGTTTTTTCTTAAAGGTATAAAGAGACTGTAGATCGAATAGAGTTTAATAAATTATTCTACCACTGAGGGACAACAGAGGAGAAGACGCTGGTGAGTGGCCTAAGGCCCTGTTGGAATATGTTGGAATAGGAGCACCAGGGAGTCCAGATCTGGGGGGACGTGAGGGACTGCAAGTAGGCAGGAGCTGATTTTGTTGCAGTTTTGCAGGCAGTAAGTTGGATTTTAGATTCTGTGCTCTGTGCTACTGGAAGCCATCGAGAGATGAACAGCGAAGTGATGCGCTGTTTTGGGTTGCATGCAGGTGGGCCTGCCAATAAGGAGTTACAGTAGTCTGTGCATGATAGAGCCTGGACCAGGAGCTGTGATGCTGCTCTGTCAGGTAGGGTCTATCCTCCTGATGTTAAAGAGGGTGAATCCACAGAATAGAGCAATGAAGGAAACATGAACCTGAAAGGGGGAGCACTGTTGAGCCATGAGTGAGTAGGTCGCACTCACCGGAGGCTCTTGCAGATTTTAAGTTTAAAACTCCATTTTAACAAAACCATTTTAATCAAACTTTCGGAAATTTACCAAGCAACAGATTTTGAACTTTTTAAACGAGAAGAGGCACGTCAAAAATGCTTAGCAAAACCAACGCAAAACCTGATCAGGACAAGAGGATGCATCATTTCCTATCAATCCTCACAAAAGAAACGCAATAATCAAAAGCAGATAGTAGATGCAGAAAATGCTGCCCGCCCTCTGCAGAGACGTACAATAAAACTTCAGCCCTCAAATATGAGCTTAACACACTTGTTTCTGAAAAAAATTCAAAAGCTTTTATTGTTACTAAACAGACCTTCTTTAAATTTGGGGATAAACCTCACAAAATGTTAGCAAGACAACTGCAGAAAAGGTAAAGTGATAGAGCTATTCATAAGATTAGATCAGGCACTGGTGCCCTTGTCACTTCACACAAGGATATTAAGAAAGTGTTTTGCCAATATTATGAAGTCCTGTACTGCTCTGAGGCACATGCACCTGAGACTATGGAACAGTTTCTAGATGCATGTCAGTTACCAACATTGTCAGAGAGTGATCAGAATTCACTAGAAAATGGAATTTACAGAGGGAGATATTAGGAAAACAATCAACTATCCAAAGAATGGCAAAAGCCCAGGACCAGACAGGATTTGTAAAGAGTTTTATAAGAAATTTGGCCATATAATATCTTCATCTCTTAGGATGTATTAGAAGTCCCTGGAAGTTGGCAAATTGCCATCAACACTGAATGGGGCTATAATAACGCTTATTTTGAAGAAAGGGAAGGACCTAGAGCAGATGGGCTCATATAGACCAGTGTCACTGCTAACTCTATCTAACTCTTATTTCATAAGGTCAGATGCTTACTTAATATTCTGTATTCCCCAGACATCAAAAAGAAAATCTTTTCATTCTGAGCTTGGTTGCTGAAAAAGCTTTTGTGTGCATAGAATTTCCATATGTGTATGAAGTATTAGGAAAATTCGGACTTGGAACAAGATTTATCTTGTGGATAAAAATGCTTTCCTCAAATCCCAGTGCCAGAGTTCTCACTGATCAGACAATGTCAGAGACATTTAACCTACATAGAGGCACTAGACAGGGGTGCCCACTTAGCCTATTGTTGTTTGCACTAGCACTAGAACCCTAAGCAACGACTGTTCGCACAAATAAGGAAATTCATGGTTACAACGCAGATTATACCTCAAATAAAATATCACTATATGCAGATGATATTTTTAACTTCATCACAGAGCCACAAATTTCAATACCCACTTTATTGAAGACAATTGATCTACTTAGTTCGTTCTCCGGGTACAATGTGAACTGAACAAAAAGTGAGCTGATGCCAGTGCGGTGTGTACTTAACAAACTAGAGTTCTGGAAAACTCTCCTTATTTCCCTGATAGGTAGAGTCAATGTAGTTAAAATGGTCTGTCTCCCTCAGTTACTGTGCCTTTTCAAAATTTAGCCATCTTTTTCAGTAAATCTTACTTTAAAAAACTAGACTCTATGATTCTTTCATCTATTTAAAATTACAAAATGCACAGGATCAGAAAGGGACATTTGTGTAAGAGTAAAACCTACGGTGGATTGGCCTTTCCAGACTTTGCAAGGTACTATTATGAGCAAACATTCGGTGTATCTCCTTTCGGCTGAATGAGACAGTGGTACTTGCCAGCTGGTTGGATATTGAGCAAGAGGATTGTATTCCCTGTTTGATTGGTGCTATTGTGATGTCTCCCATCCACCTTAAAAAATCCTATTATAACTATAACCCAATCATACACAGCATGATTCAAATAAGGAGGTAAATATCAAAACAACTCAAACTTAGGAAGCTATCTTTCACACTCCCAATATAAGCAAATCCCTCATTTACCCCTTTTATCATAGATGGAGGCTTTGACAGATGGAAAGAATTCAGACTGTACAGTTTGGGAGATCTGTATATTAATGGCTTATTTGCATCATTTCAGCAACTACAGAAGAAATTTGTCAAAACTGGAATTTTTTTAGATATCTCTAAGTCAGAGATTTTGTAAGGATGCACCTAGACCATTTTGAAAATGCCACCTCTGACAAGCTAGACAACTGCCTCAAAGATTGACTCCAGATTGGAGAGGAATGCAGTTTCAGTTATATGATTCATCGCAGGAGCTATATCAGGTGAACATGAAACGCATCAAGGAAGACTGGGAAGCAGAACTTGGTGTGGGAATACCACAGGAAATATGGAAGGAAAGCCTGAGGTTTATCAACATTCGCTCCCCGAATGCTAGACATACTCCCTGAATGCTGCTTGATTCAGTACAAAATCTTGCATAGACTGCACTACTCAAGAGTAAAATTACACAGAATCTTACCAGAAATATCACCAATCTGTGAAAAATTTAATCAAACAGAGGCAAAACTTGCTCTGTAGTTATATATTATACCCCAAACTAGAAGAGTTCTGGATAGCTGTGTTTTCATTTTTCTCAAAAGTCCTTGAGACTACAATAAGGCCAGACCCACTCTTAGTTATACTAGGGACATCAGAGAGCACTGGGAACCTGCAGAATATGCAACAGTGCGTTTTGTCCTATGGTCTCCACTGTGGAAGAAAAAAAAAAAACTTGTTCTCCTCCTGAGTTGATTCACTTTATGTATTATTTTTGTTCTCTTTTATTGTCTTTGAATTTTCTCCCACATTTAGGGCTCTATTTTGGTGCCTCGTCGGAGACGTGCCGCAAGCGCAGCGTCAGTCAGATCCGCCGCGCTGACAAGGCGTTCCCAAGCACATTTTGGTATTTTGGTGAGCCGCGCAGCCCGGCGTAAGTATCCCCCCTCCCTAACTTAGCTCCTCCCAGCAGCATAAATCGTAGACGGGGAGGAGAGAGGGCGTGTAGTTGGTTTAACACAGCCGAGACCTGTTTTCACCAATCACATAAGCTCCTCTCCTTGCCTTTAAATCCGCCACAGGCGAGGCGTATTACTATTTTCATGAAGTAGTCAAAGAGATCAAGAGATGTCTTAAGACAGTAATGCCACAAGATGGCGACAGAGGGCAGCTCCTCAACAAGTGTCCTCCACACTCTCTCATATGAGCACAGATGGATTTAGTGTGTGTAATGTTGGACCCACTGGTAAGACAAACACCCTTTTCCACAAATAAAGACACTCACATAAAGTTGTTCATATTCAAACCTCACGTGACAAAGGTGGGTTGAGCGCACAGATCACAACATAAACTCCAAAAATGGCATTAAAATCGGAACCATCTGTGCGTAAATGACGCATCGCGCTCTGTGGCCTGGCTCTTTCTTTCATAGATGTTGGCATATAAAATAAATTTGGCCCACAAAACTGAATATCATAATATCCGTATGTCGGCTTAAAGTAGATCACGCATCTGAGCACTGAAACAAATCATCTGTTCAGCTGCAGCAGCAGCAAGAGGGACAGAGGACACGGAGACGTGTCCAGGTTGAGCTGTGCGAGAAATAAGAGGAAGAGGAAGAAAGAAAAGGAGGGAGACACATTACATATCTTGTTAACTTCATCATGTGTGTTTATTTAATAGATATTTAATTTAATTTGATGCAGTTTCAGCTGTGTTGATTCGGTCAGGTTGTGTGTCCAAACGCGTGCCAAACGCGCTCATCAGATCAGATATAGATCAGAATATATCTAAATAGATCTAAATGTATGTGCTGACTCAGATTAATAGTTGATGATGATTATTTATTGCACTGAAATCTGCCTGACACTGTGGAAACCTGCCGGTGAGGCATCAGTGATGTATGTCGATACGCCGCCGGTCTACCAAAATACTACTGGACCAGCTGCGTTCCGCCTTGCGCTGAAAGCTGACCAGGTTTGAATCGGCGAGCTTTCAGCGCACTTTACACGCCGTTGGTGAGCACGAAAATGTCACTGCGCCTGCTGATTCTGTCGACACCTCCCCCTGCCACGCCACCACGCCCAGCTTGGCGGATCTCGGCTCGCCTCCGTGCGGCTCAGTCCACGAAAATACCAAATTGGCCTTACGCCGGGCTCCGCCAGACGAAAATACAACTGCGCGTGGCTCGACGCCCTCCGCCGCCTCACCGGCGCGAACGAAAATAGAGCCCTTATTGTTTTTGTCGTTGTTGTGTTAATGTTCCAAAACATTGAAGCACTGTATTTTTGATACACTGTTTGCTCGTCATCGATCTCCACACCTGGATTCTAAGCAGACTTAGTTAATTTGATTCAAGCTGAGTCTAGATCTACAGTTTTAGGAGAGGCGGGGATAATTTGGAGCTGGCATTTGTTGTGTAAATGGTGACTATGATGCTGTTTTTGCAAAATAAAGCAAAAGGGGAGCTGTTGGAGAAGACAGACTATACGGCTGCTGAGATGAGAGACAAGGATGGCGGTGATACTGGAATTACCCGCCACAAAACAGACCAAACACAGGGCTTGTGTTCTGTGCTGCCTAATTATTGCATAATGCAGGCTGACTGCAAGCAAAAATGCATAATTACATTTTTGAGGAGATGCGCATCAGGCTAAGTGTGTAGGCTTTGTGGGCAAGTACACAGTTAACTATGACATATGCGTCAGCAGAGGTCTGATGTTGAAGTATGAGCCAGGTTTTAGCATGATCCAGAGTGTGTTTACATCCATACCACACATATATCAGACAGTTTGTGGCTTATACCCACCAATTCCAGCCTGTCCGACAATCCAGGACATCCTAATGAAGAGCATCACACCCCAGATATTCAGCATACAGCGGATCTACAACACAAACACAGTATAAGGGGGTCCAGTTTGTTGCTCACATGGTCAATGTGATGGTCAATCACAATGAAAACAGCTGCTGTCTTTTTCTTAATTAATCATATTTGATCAAACTAACAAACAGAGCAGCAGACAAATGCTCATGTTTCATGACTTCATCAGAACACTCACCAAGACTCCTTTGACCCATCCAAATTTGATCATTCCTCCTTTCCCTTCTTTTGCCGCCAACATTGCCACCTCTTCAACTGCTGACGGCTCCTCCCCATAGGCCAGACCATCCTCAAATGGCTCCTAACAACCAATCACAGCACAGGGGGACAGAGTGAACAACAAATAGAATGACAGAACTGAAACAATTATATCAATGTGCTGTTCAGCAGATTAATCCAATCACAGTTCACTTGCACTTTAGTGTTCAAACCCTTGTTTCCTGTTTTCAGGTTTATTAGAAGGTGGCAACCTTTCGGCAGGTGTATTAATTATGTGAGGATAAAAAGCACAAGTGTTTACAGCATAAATGTTTACAGCTGCAGAATTGTCATAAGAGCCTGTCCACAGAAGTGCAGCTATCACTACAAGACTTCTACGACAGCGTATTTTTCATTTGTTTTTTTAGTCTTGCTTTTAACTAAATTTTATATCATTAACTCTGTTAAGGTGTTTTAGCATTTATCTCTTTCTAGTTTTAATCACAGGATCATCTTTTATTGAGCTATTTTGGTGCTCTTATTTTAGTATCTTTTACTCTTGTTTTTATTAATTATTTATTAAATTTCATTCTTTGTTCCTTTGTTTTTTGATTTTAACTTAAACCTCCAGTCTTTCCTTATCCTGAGTTTTAAAATTATGTTTCCTCAGTGCGCACATTCCTGTTTCCAAGAAATCAAGCCTTTTTAAGTTTATGCATTTTAATACTGTTTCTGTTGCAATTAGATCGTGGGGTGGGAATGAGGGGTTGGGCTGGGGTTGATTTGGGTATTCTTTTAGTCTTGGGTTGGGGTAAATTTGGGTATTCTTTGTTTCTTTATTCCTTTTTCTGTGTGAAGCACTTTGTGCTACATGTTATGTATGAAAAGTGCTTTATAAATAAAGAGTGATTGATTGATTGATTGATTGATTGATTGATTAATTGATTGATTGATTGATTATTCCAACCACAGGCTCAGGCCTAATCCTAACTGAAGGGGAGTTGAAGTCGTATGAGACATCCAACAAATATCTAATGATATTATTTACACACTGCTTCAAGAGGATCCATGCCTATGAAATGAGGGAAATGAGATATTTTTACTGTGTGATGTGCTGCAAACATCAGTCTGATCAGTTTTTTTTCTCCACCTCTAAAGTCACTGTGATGTCACCGAGCATCACGCTTACTGCTCGCTGTCTCTGTACAATGTCGGTCTATGTTGCAGCTACCTCGTCCTGTCAGAGGAGTGGGATGCTGCAGGGTCATGAGAGGCAGCATTGTGAATCCCAGTCATGCCTGCAGTGATGTCACAGAGCCCACTCAGGGTCTCTGAGACACAAATGAGTGGAAAACATTTTCTGTTATGGCAATAAGTAGACTCCAGTTGGTTTGAGTCAGGGGGGAGATTTTATCCCAACAGAGACTAAAGAAACAAAAAGTCAAAGGTGTCATGTAGGTGTGTGAAGTCAAGGGGTCCAGTGCCTAGCAGATATGGCCGTGGTAAAATAATTGGGCTTTAAGGGCTTTAAGGGTGATCAAAAAACTTCTTTGCAGGCTGACTGCAAGCTTTTTTTTGTTGACTCTTCACACTACTGTGCTTGTTTATGCTGGAGGTAAAGAAATGAAAATGGAGGTCAGTTATTTAAAAGTTATCAATAAAATTGAGACAGAAGTTCATAGTTGTTGTTTTGCTTTGATACTTTTAAGGCCAAATATCAAAACTTCTCATGCTTGGCTCGGTTCTTTTCTATGGCTGTACTCTGATAACAGGGCCTCTTATTTGATCCAGCTCCAAAGATTTGGACATAATTCAACAAAAGAACCTTACTTGATACTAAAGTACAATGTATTCGCTTTTAAATGCAGGGCTTCTCTTCACTGATCTGTTTTTCACTTACTTTTGAGAGTTGTCTTTAGTGATAAGTTCAGATTCGTCCCTACCATTCATGCCTCCTTTATACTTTTCATAATCTCACTGAAACATGATGCAGTGTTTGAGAAATCTCATGATGATTTCAGTGTGTGTGTGTGTGTGTGTGTGTGTGTGTGTGTGTGTGTGTGTGTGTGTGTGTGTGTGTGTGTGTGTGTGTGTTACTTTATCGAGTTCATCGTGCAGCTCAGACAGTGAAGGTCTGGTCAGCTTCTCTCCGAAAGGCGCAGCGGTCTGCCGATAGAAGTCGATGTTTGGCACAGCGTCTATGGTGTTGTGCCCGAAGGTCCGATTGTAGTAGGTGTTAGAGTGAGAGTCTGAGATATGTGTGTGTCCCGTGCCTGTTGAATGGAGGCTGACAGAGTCGCTCCTCATAGTGTCCGGTTCGTGGAGGACATCAGGAGGGAGACCAATGTCCATCGCACTGCCAAGCGCACCTGGGTCCATGAACCCCACCGACCTGGAGCGGGCTTTGGACTCCTCAGGGGGCTTGTATTCATCTGTGGAGGCCGGGGCAGATGGAGCAGGAGGAGCTGGAGTCGGTGCTGTGGATGATGCTTCTGTCACTACATCCACCTGAAAACGTCCGCCGCTCCCCACGGACGGTTTCTGTTCCGACATGTCCGTCCGATAGACGATAAAACCTGTCCTAAGAGTCACTGATGCAACGAGAGGGAAACAGTTACCGTGAGCCTAACTCCTGATCCAAACTCACGAGGAGGTCCATGCAGTAGTGCAGAGCGATGAAACACAGTCTGGAGTCCAAGTTAAACATTTAGATTGAGAAAGTACGCACAAAAAGCCGTTCTCTTCTCTGCCGTCTTCTCGCACTCTGGTGGTGGATGCCGTAGGGCGCACGGCAAAGATCTGTGCGTAATGTGCGTAAAGGACACAAACCCTCTCCCTTTGACTCTATGCCTCTTTTTCTCTCTCTATCTGTCCATCTGTCTGTCCATCCACGAGTTGGCGGCGTGTCATCCCGTCAGATGGTAACTCAAACAGTTTATTGTCATCCCCCTCTTTCTCTCTCTCCTCCTCCCGCTAGACTCTCGAGACATCCCAGCATGTCAGGAACCCGTTGGAGCGGAGGAGGAAGAGGGAGAAATGGATCGGTGTCCGTTACGCACTAAACTTTGGCACGCGTCCTGTCAGAGAGGACACACGAGAGAGGAGATTTTACCTTATGAAGTCCAGGTAAAAGGAATCAGCACAGATGTGTTATAAACCAAACCTCAAGTCTCTCAGTTTGAGGTACATGTGTTTTTAGGCCCCAGAAATGTCATTAAACAGGAAAAACTTTAGGAACAAACATTGTGTTTCATGTACGAAGAACATGAATGTGAGTGTTCGTGTCAGTTTGTGTGTCTGAAACACAAAACAAAGAGATTTGTCATCACTGCTGCTGGTGACACACTGAGACATTCTCACAAAGGCATAAGGACGCACGCAAGGAGGCAATGGGCGTGTGTGTGTGTGTGTGTGTGTGTGTGTGTGTGTGTGTGTGTGTGTGTGTGTGTATGGCAAGAACAACAGCTGCTTTCTTTGTCAGAGCGCTTGATGCTAAAGCCAAACACTGAACAATAAACACAAGAACACAATGACAGGAATTTAGATTTATTCACCTCTAAAGTTTAAATAACGTTTGTTAAGATCATAGTAACGTCACAGTTCTAAAAGCGTTAACTTTGAACATTTGATTATGAAGTATGATGAAGCCCATATGGGTGGCACAAAAGAAACCACCACTCTGTTAGGGAAAATTCAATTCAGCGTTTTCAGAGAACTGTTTCTGAGAGTAAAACTGCAAAGAACTTGTGTAATCTGTCAAGCAAAGTAATTAGACACTCTTTTGGAAACCATGAAAGTGTTAAAGAGGCGACCACCTGACTTATAATCAGCCCACAGCTCAAAGTCCAAATCCAGCATCCATAGTGGTATGGGGATCATCTGAGTCCACGTCATGGGTATCTTCCACATCTGTGAAGGCTCCATGAGTGCTGAACAATATCTACAGGTTTAGGAGCAACATCTGCTGACATCCAGACAAAGACTTTTCAAGGAAGACCTTCATATTTCAGGAGGACAATTACAAACCACATTCTGACAACAGGGATTACAACAGCATGGATCTGTAGGAGAATAGTCCTGCTGAGAAACTGGTCTGATGCTGTCCTGACTTGTCCCCCATTAAAAACATTTGGAGCATCATGACACCACAAAGGAGACCCTGAACTGTTGAGCAGCTGAAATCCTTGATCAGTAAAGAATGGGATAATAGTTCACCATTAGACTCTAGAACCTGGTCTGCTGGGTTCACTGTGGTCTACAGATGATTGGGGAAAGTGTACCAACTTTTTTTGTAAGTGCATCAAGATGAGGTTCATGAACCTGATTTACAAGGATTCATCTCTCAATTGAACTCAGTCACGGTGACATTAAAAATAGCCAAAAATGAATCTGTAACATGTTTTACACTTTACGTGTAACAAGGAAGGTGATAAAGAGATGAAGCTGCAGCTGCTTTGATAAGTGCTAAACACTGACACCTAGTGCTGTACTTGAGGACTGCATGACCAGACTGTGGACTTTCAACAAATCAGAGCCTACTATCTCAATTTTAAATACAACAAACCCAAAAAATATTGACAATTAAAATTATTATTTTGTCACTTAAATTTTTTATATGATGTTCACAGTTTGCAAAAACACAGCCCAGAGCACTGCAACAAAACATTTCAGGTTTTAATGTAGGAAGACAAGGCAAGCAGAAATGCTGCTAGCAAAGGTGCCTTTCTCATACCTGCAGAAATTACACGAAAAGACACCGTCTATGCAATTAGAAATTAGTAGTCAAGAAACTTTAGTGTTCAGGCTTTTATTTAAGCTTCTTAAGATTTTGTCTTTGTGCATTTTTTATTGGTGTTTTAGGGTCATGCATAACACACTTGTATCCACTTTTACTCCATTAATGCAGCTGTATTTGTAAGTATTAATGTGTCTTTAGGTTTGGTAGAGCTGCCTGGTCGTCACCACAGAGCTGTTATACCTGCAGAAAAACAGAGGGAAAAAAGATTTGACATTATCACCTTCAGGAGACAAAAAGTTATCTGTTTACTGTTATTTATCACTATTGTTATCATCAGGAATTAGACATCCAACCAATCAACTCATTCCATGAAAAGAAACTCAGAAAACAGTCAAAATTCAGCATAATTTATGCAATGTGGCTAAACAAAGAATCTGTGATAAATTGACTTGCTGAGTGTGAATGGCAGCAGAGCTAGCATCACCAGCCTTTGGTCCAACCCCACAAGTTAAAGGGATATTCCGGGGTAAATTTAAGCCATGGTCAAACACACCATAACAATGAGTTAAATGAGGAAATGAATTAGACATGTCTGGTCACCTTAGTTAAAAGCGCATGTTGAACAGTGCTATTTCAGGGTGATAATGGCATCAAAGATTTTTTGTGCACTATACTTACGCATTGAGACTGTCGGCAATTTTCTGCCAGCATTCCTTCCGTGCTTTTGCAGCGGCGACAGTGTTGCTTTTGAGGTTTATGATAGATTTGAATTCTTCATACTTTCTCATGATGGTCTCCTGCTCCTCATTTGTAAAGTCTGTGGTTCTTCGCCCTGTTCACGATTGGTCAGATGCGGCGGGCTCCGACTTACATGTGAGCACGCGCTCATAGCTGGATCCACTTATGAGGTTGATAACCAGCGTCGTAAGACCGTTTGAACTTGCTTCGTAGAATTGGCCCCAGGGCCAGTGCACATTGGCAACATGTACACACAGGAGGCAAGCATGGAATATGATTGGTTTAAAAATGTGGGACCCACACGATGTGATTGGTTGGTGTTTTCCCTGTTTTACTCCTGCTGTAGATAGCGGCAATGTTTCACTCTTTTTAAAGAACACATCAAGTTCTGGCTGTCGTGTGGGCTGGAGACACTGCAGGAAAAAACCAGAGGAGACAGGAGTTAATGAACATGAAAATAGTACTCAGCCTCAGCGCCGGGGGAGGGGAGGAAGCTCTGGAAAAGAGTGAAGCCAGACCAGACAAACAAGGAAACACAGGAAGTCCAGCCAAAATAAAACAAGATGGAGGCGTCTCACCACAGGGACCCACACGATGTGATTGGTTGGTGTTTTCCCTGTTTTACTCCTGCTGTAGATAGCGGCAATGTTTCACTCTTTTTAAAGAACACATCAAGTTCTGATTGCCATCGGAACATAAAGATTATTTGAACAAGAATAACAAAAAGTGGACCAACATCAGATTACCAAACCTACCTTTGAAGTGTACAGTTGTTCTGGCTGGTGACTTCTTTTTCTTCTCTCTTTTTTTTTTTTTTTTTAAGGAAGATTAAGTATTTAGCGGTTAAAGGAGGTGGATAAAATATCAAGTGAAAGGTAAAAGCTTGGGAATGATAGAGCAAAATACACAAAAGACTTTCACCCAAGAGAGAAGAGACAAGAATGTCTGGGATGGTAGTTCATGTTGCAGAGACCCGAATGCTGACAGAGACAGACACACTTAGACAATTTGATGATTTATTGTTTGACAGACAGCTCAAAGGCAAGTACTAAGGGGATGGTATGCAGGTAAACCAGTACTATGAAGGTATGTCTGTGACCCAAGAGAACAAAACCTCATCCTGTACAGCTGTCATGAGAAGAGAAATTAGCTAAAAGACCAAAATGTTTTTTTACGAAGCTGTGCTGTGACACTCAGGGAACTGCAGCTTTTCTTTTTTCACTTAAATATCTGATTCATTCTCAGCCATGAAGTTAAGTGCTGAAGGTGTCAGATCATCACATTTAAAAGCAGTAAACTGAAATAATTCAGATCTGGAACATCTCAAGCACTGACTTTTCTCTTTCCTAACTTGACCTGAATGCTGCACCTTAGGTTTCTTACCTGGAGAAGTGGGAGGAGTGATGAGCTGTCAGTCCTGTCTGCCTGAGCAGAGTATAGGAGGAAGAGGAGGAGGAGGAAGACAGAAGGCTCTGTGAGGGATCCTGACAGTGGCACAGACGCTCTCGACCGAAGAGACACAAAGACTCCTCCAGAGGAACCACAGGGATTCCTGCCAGAGTGGCGTTCTGACACAAACACAAAAAAACAAACAAATGAGTGTGACCGCTGAGGGTGAGGTGTGTTTGTTCCCCTCTCTGGAGTCTACCTTCATCACAAGACCTTGGTTCTTCATGTCCTGTTTCCATGGCATCACATACAGTTTGGGGATCATGGGATGTTGGGCTGAGAACTTGGGGATATGGGGGCAGGATTGGCTTGAAATAAAAAAAGCAAGGCAACTAAGAATTCAGGTATTGTGGCAACAGTGACAAAGCAGCTATGTTATCTTGCATGTGTGTTTTCTATCCATCCTATTTTTAAAAAAGAATGAGACAGTTCACTCACCCATGTTCAGAGCTCCTTGCTGCAGCTGCCATGTTTGTTGACTGTGGGGGTCGCCTTAGAAACCTCCCAGTGCATGGTGGGTAGAGGGTAGGGTTACATGTGGAGACTTTGGGAATTAATCAGTGATGGTTTAAAATGAGTGATGTCCAATCTATTAAAATATGTATTATTACCACACACACATGTTGACTATTGATTTTACTAGTATTATTCAAAATGACAGTAAAGATTTAGGGCAAAACAAATTTACCCCAAAGCCTTTTTTAAACTTCATGTATATCAATACTGTAGATGCCTGATTTCAGCAGCCTGAAAGCAGCTGAAGTGAAGATTTAAAACAATGATACACAAATTTAACTTATATTAAAAACATTTACAGTACAGCTATAGATAAAAAAGAACGCATACACATTTCGGCAAAAATAAAATTTTATTTTGAAGTAGACCAAAATCATTTTTCCATATTAACAATCATTCACATCTCTGTAACAGTCTATTGTTTAAATCTTCATGAAAAAAGGCTCATAATCAGATTTACATTGTGGTGATTTACCTAAGTTCATGTGGTTTCATGTCAGAGCTGCTTTTCAGTCCTGAATCTCTTCTAACAGAAATGTTTCCCTCATATTGATTGTTTAAAATCATCAAAGTGATCAACATAAAGAGGCAACAGCCAAAAGATTTTGCCATCAGCAAACAACAGAAACATACATAGTCACATAATCTTCCCAACCTCTGTGCCAGATAACATGAAATATTTAGACCCCGTTCAATTCCAGGTTATAAATCAAATTTTCCATGAGATATTAGAATAAGACATACTAAGCTTCACCATAATCAGAGGAATGAGCCAAACTTGGTACAACTTTGACCCACAGAACAGAGATGAAAATCCATGTGAAACTTTAAGTCAATGTAGATCATTCTGACCCCACCATGGTATAGTTCCTGAACTTGACCAGGTTTAAAAGTAAAGATACAAAGATCTGTTCACCAAACTGACTGGACTTGGCATGAACTTTATTTGTGTGAGGGAAATAAAGACAGTTGAATATTACTTCAAAACACAGGCTGAAGGGCACGATTACCAGACAATGGTACCTTGTAAGACCTGCAAATTAGGACCTTAGAACAAACATTTAAATGTTGAAATGAAACAAAAATTGTGTTTTTAGAAAGAGGATAAAGGTTGCCTTAAACAGACACTACACAAAATCTTGAAACAAAAAGAAAATAGAATAAGAAGAACTTCACTGATCCCCGATGCGGAATTCAATAAGGAATATTGACCATAAAAAGATGATAAACGCATCTGTAATAAATCCTCAGTGGTACCTTGAACAAAACTCCTTGCAAAAGCTTTAATCAGAGGTAAAAAGGTACCCGAAAACATCAACTTAAAGACAGTGAAACAGAAACTTATAGATTTCTTTTAAAAGATGTTCACAGGTACCTAAAAACATTTAGTCCATTTAAACATATTAGATAGTACCTCATCACAGTCTCCATGGGGAACCTTACAGCAGATTTTAAAAGGTACATGAAGACTATCTGAAGGGGTCTCTCAAAGACTGTTGACTAAAGGATATACCGTTTAGTGGTGGCTGGTCAATAGGGGGCGCTACTGCTCTGGACCAGGGGAATGGTGGACTATTATTGAACAATATCTACTTGAAGATAAATCAAGATTTAGATTAGTGAAATAACCAACTGAGTAAAATGAATAGGCTGCAGTTAAAATGTAGATTTAGAGTTTTCGTGTCTAAATTTACTGATTGATCATGTATTTCCGGCTCAGGCCTCTGTTGACTCCCATTATAAAGTTGCACATGTGCATTCCCTCCTCTGAATACAAGAGAAAGGAGCTACTTTGGGCGGGAACATACGGTCTATAGGCGCAAACGATCATGCCCTGGTCCAGAAGAAGGTGACCGATCAGCTGTTCTATGACCGCAAGTTCACCACTGCTTGCAGTAACAGTGGTTAAACCAATTACTTTTAAAAATTGTAATAACATTATCATTATTATAAGTGAAATTCTAAAGGACTTGTTGATCACTACTCTTGTTCAAATATCCCCCAGCTTCAGCAGATTAATCCTGAAAGCAGTATATTACTGTAATGTACTCTGCGGACTCAGTAGCTTCAGGAAAACATGTCAAAGGAAAGCTAAGTTCATCACATACTGACTCTGGATCTATTTCTTTAAACCATAATCGCAACAACATCAGTGGAGCAGCAGATATTAATGTGGACAGAAAATGTTAGCTGATTCACTGAACTGATGGGGTGCTGATTTAGATTCTGGTCCTGATACACTGAGCCTGTGAAAAGAGATCTAAAGACTCAGGACAGCAGCAGGTTTCAGGAGGAGAGCCTGATCATTGATGTACACAGTAAAGAGCATGGGTCCCAGAACTGAACCTTGTGGCACACCTGTATTGATGCATAACAACTCAGATTTGGCATGACCCATCCTAACACAATGTCAGATGATAGACACTTGTCAGATAGATAATCCTGAAACCAGGTACGAGCACATCTGTTTTCCAGCTGGATGTTGTGCTGGAGTGGCAGTGAAACGCACTGCTTTCCCACAAAGCCAGCACCCACCAGGATCCAAGGCCCCTGGTGAGATGGAGTGGAGCTTACTGGAGCCTTAGCCCCAATAGCATCCTGGTATCGTCAGAGTTGCATACTGTTGCAGGAGGATCCATGGTATGGGAGCAAGCAGGGATAGCGGGCTCCGGGGAAGAGTGCACTCCAGCAGTGGAGTCACGTAATCGGGCAGAAGCAGTGTCTGATTTTGCTGGCTCAAGGACAATGGTGGCCAACAACTTCTCAGCCTCATGGATCTGGAAGAAGGTGGATATTCTGCCCTCAGGCTCTGCTATTTTCTCAGCCAAGTGGGTACAGATGTCACAGTTCAGCAAAATGGTGAGACTTAATAGCGTGTGTGTGTTGGGTTCACATGTGTGCATGTAGCATGCGTGAAGTGTCAGTTAGTGTCAATATCAGCCTTGTGTATGTAAAGTGTGAACTGCAGACTGAATCTGTATTAAACTTCAGTATTACACCGAGGCAGTATATTGCATGAGCTCTCCATATGCTGTTTAAGACAAACGTTTATGTATGTGCTGCTTTCACTAAACACAATATCTAAACTTCAGACCAGGAGCAGGTACATTATCTATGAAGCGTAGGCTACTGAAGCGAAAAACAAAGAATAAGTTACAGTGACTCAGTAATTCAGTCACCTATGAAAGGAGGCTGCAGTCACAGAAACTTCAGTCTCTCAGATGAATGCTGTTTGAGAGGAGGTCTTTGCAGGCTGACAGTTACATGGTTTGGACCTGATCAGCTGTGCATTTAAATTAAACAGAGGGAAAGATGAGACTTTTGAAAAACTTTAGATACTGGCGAGAAAAAGCTTTGAAGCAAACAAGGGTCCATGTGGAAAATGTTCATTCAATTGAGCAAAAGCATCACATAGTATAGTCTAATTTAGCTGTAATTTCTGTTGTTGCAGCTTGTGTAGAATATGTCTATTTTGGATTTAGTTATCACGCCCCTGGAGAAAACCTAACCAGCCACCACTGGATACCTTTTAAATAACTTAAAAGCTTGTAATAAATAGTCTTTAAAAGTTCCTCCGACACAGGCTTAGATATCCTGTTGTAAAGGATATCTTAACAAGAGACAAATGGAGGTGAGCTAAAACACTAGGGCTGGGTATTGCCACTGATTTATCGATACGATTCAATATCGATTCATTAAGGATATTTCAGCTACAGTACCTGTTTTGCTTGAATATGGAGGGGGGTCTTTGAGAACTACTACTAGAAGTTATACTCCCAGTTGAATTATTTGTAAGAAACCTTCTTACTCGGCACAACATTTAAAATATCAAAGTTTACATTAAAAAGTGAATATGAAATGAATCAATATTGAACATTTTGATAAAAAAATGTATCTGAATCGGAAAAATCAATACTTTGAACCCAGCCCTATGTAACACTGATAGTGGAAGACCTGTTGCCTCCCAACATTAACATGTTCAATATGCCACTGTTCACTTCTACATTTAATCCAGAGTGATGTAGACACATTTACAGGAGGATGCAAGAATCCTTTGAGCTGTTTGTGCGTATCATCTTTTTCAGTTCCTTCATTACTGTCAGGATGTAACAATTACTAAAATAAACTATATATCTTCAATTATATATTTACAGTACATTTACAGTGCTCTTTTAAACACATCCAGACTTTCTGGTTTCCAGTTCATTCAGATGGCTTCATCCAGCAGCCTCTGGAGGTTTTTCTGCACCTGCAGAAACAGAAGCTTTGAGTTACTGTAATATTGTGCTTTAAGAAATTACCCTCAGATGCACCAAAGTCATTTGTTATGATAACAGAAAATGTTTAAATTGGTCATCATCTTAAGATCATGTCCAATGTTCTCTGACCCAACACAATATGAGACTTTATAGTGTGATGGGATATTGAAGGGTGAAACTTACAGTTTGATTACATACAATACACTGAAGTAACATGAACTGTGATAGGATGTGATAAAACTTTCTGAGCCTTATATTTGTCAAATCACTGAAAATTGGATCAGCTGGGTCAAAAAGAAACAAGCTTGCACATTAATCGTTATGATCAAACTGAGCTTTATTTTGACATCTTGAGTATGAGTGTGGCTGTCAGCTGTTTCTGTCTGTAAACAGACAAGTGTTAGTCTGAAATGTTGATGTTTCTCCATCACACTGAGTGCAGAGTGATGAATGAGGAAAAGAATAGAAGAATAGAATAGTCCTTTATTGTCATTGTAACCAGTACAACGAAGGAGCTCCTCTTACAGGTGACGTCCATGCTTCTCTATGAACAGATCACTGACTATAAATGTTTGATTAACAGAAACCAGAGTCTGGTTACGGGTCGCTCTCTGGAAACACGACCTGAAGCTTCACGGTTCTGTTTTTGAGGTGATGATTAGTTTCACAGCTCAATGAAGGGATTAACATAAGGGTACTTTAAAATAGGATTTTGTTGAGAGACTGTAGTACAGTGGAGGTTTATCTGACTATATCTAGAACCAGACAGTTTAGCATATGTCAAATAAAGACATCTGTCTCTTCTCTTATAATGAATGGGGGAAAATGTGAAACCCCCTTCTCAGGGTAAACTGGCTGGTTAATCTCTCATAAAATTGAAAGATGTTTGAAGTTTCGAGGATGGACACACAAGTTGGGCCATTTTTAGCCCTTTATATTAAATGAAAACCTGTTAACCAATGACTGACCTTCTCCAGCTTCAGCAGGTTGATGGTGAGAAGTTCAGAGAAAAGCTCTGTGTTCATGTCACTTCCCTGAAATAAGTCGTTTCTAGGAAAAAACAAACAAAATATCTAGCATGGATTATTGGATATTTAAAACCAACATGACATCCAGTTAAGTATGGTGAATAAAACCAACTGAATCAATAACTTTGCTGTGCTGTTCTGAATAAGAGAACTGAGTTTGGACTTTTGCAGTAATTACTGGTAATGACTGCATGTACTAGGAGGCATTGCATGTGAGTCATGATTTTCTTATATTGGAAAAGGAGTTATTTTGAAATGAAGGAATGGTTTATCTCAAAAGTTATTTGAACGATAAATATTTCTTCATTACTTTTTACTACCACCTGTTTGTGGAACAAATTCCAGATGGTAACATGGTTATCAGGTGAGAAGCATCAACAAGAACAGAAACATAAATAAAACATCTCTCCAGCTGTTCCTTAAATATCTCTGTCTTCAGCCTTTTTACTGGTGTGGGTGTCACTGACAGGCTGTGAACTCACTCCTGGTGGGTGAACTCTGTGACGGAGCCAATTGTTAACAGCCTCTCCTCCAATGAGATGATCTTAAAGGCAAGGTAACATGAGGACAAGACCAGGACACAAACTCTGTGAAAAGATCGAAATGTCACTTTAAATAAATAAGTAAGCATATTATTGGATAAATGAAAAGTTACATTTGAGGATCAATGTGCAAACTCTGCAACTTATTCTGATGATTGATTACATGAATGAAAATATACTGTTTGATAAATGATGGATGAAATCAAAGTCTGTTTAAGTTAACAGGTGAAAGATGCAGAGTTACTGGTTGATATTAAATGCCCGGTTAAATGAATGAATAAATGATTAAATGTCATGGTAAAAGGCGTTTAACTCACAGGAACAGGTACACAAACAGCACAGTGTTGAGTGAAACTGGTTTCAGGGTTCTTGTGTCAATCACAACCTCAGAGCCTGAAAACAGAGAAGAAAATACTGCTGGACAATTCTTTAAAAAAGACAATCAAACTTGATCAGATCTTTATTATATGAAGAAGGATGCAACTAAAATAACAGCGTTGTTAAGGAGTTATGGAGTTTGTAAAAGAGAGGATTTTCTTACCAGAGAGGTGTGTCTCATGCTTCTTTCTCTCTGTGCTTTGCTGGCACTGATGCTGGTTCTGATCTTGGTTCTGGTGCTGGTGCTGGTTCTGGTTCTTTATTTTGTGGTGATGGTCTGGATGCTCATGAGGAGTCGTTCCCTCTGTGTGCTTGGACACGTCCAAAAACTGAGTGACAGGAAACTCTGCAGACAGACACAGGCAGACATAGAAACTTGATTTTTATCAAGCCCAGGTGTAAAGGTCCATCCCTCTCTGTTTAACCAAGCTAGTCTTAGGATTTGGGTATAGTGCTGGAAAAATAGTTAAGTCCTTTACCTCTTCCATGAACCATGAATGAACTTCCAGATTAAATCCTAACATATCTATCTTTGAACATAAACCTGAGTTGACCATTTGTTGAGGCCTGAAAATCATGCTCTGTACTAGAAACTGGTTGGTGAAGTCATTTGTTGGTCTATTAGTTATTTGTTGATTGCCTTACTGTGTACCGAACCTTGGACTGAATAAACCCTGATTTTTGCCTGTAAGAACTAAGGGGTATTCCATGAAGCTGGCTAAAGAAGGCTGGGCTATCGCCGGTAAGCGTGGCTTGAATAAGCGGCCACTTTAATCTTAGCTGCAACTCGTTCCACTAACGAGGCTCAGCTGTTTTTCAGAGACGCTTATTCTAGCCAGGCTTATCCAAGCCGCGGCTATGCACGCGTCTCCATGGTACATTAAAAGCCCCGACGTATCGATTGTCGAAATGACGAGATCATGGGAAAAAAAAGGGCAGAGCGGAGTCTTTCTCAGTGGCGGAGCAAACACTCCTCATGGAGTTGTACGAAGAGTACAAGGGAAAAATTCAAAAGAAGGGCAACACTGTTGCCATTGTGAAAGCCAGGGAGATGGCGTGGTTAAGTATCGCAGACCGTTTAGATTTAGCCGACAAATATTTTACAACCGACGCATGTCTCGATGCAGTCAGCCTGCTTGGCTGTCTAATTTTATTCCTCACTTCTGCGTATGTACTGTAAACACTTTTTTTTTTAAAAACTTTTCATCTCGTGTCTGTGCAGCTCACTTATACAGTCTGTCAGCCTCTGTGCAGCAGCTTCGCTGCAAGCAGTGGCACTTACAGCAGCAGGGGGCGCCAATTTGACAAGAGTTAATACAAAACCGCTTTGCGGTGCAGATTTATTATTATTATTATTATCTTTTTTCTTTCTTTTTTGGAAGTGCTCGTGCCGCCCCCCATGAGTCATGACACAAATGCCACCCTGGGCGGCTGCCCGGTTCGCCCGTGCCTTAAACCGCTACTGTACTGTAGGCATAATTCATGTTCTTGATTTGACAAATAGATATCGCATAATGGATTAGTATAGCAGCTACAGGTAAGACCTAAAACCAAAGCAGGCAAACTTAGACAAAAAGTGAAGAAAAACATGTACCTGGAGATGTCTTTTTTTTATTATTATTAGGGATAATAGTGGCACAGCGCCCTTCATTTAAATGAGGGAGAAGACACAAATGAGCTTGTACACAGAGTAGTCATGTCCTCATTTGCCATCACCTTTACATGATCATCATCATAATCAGAATGGACCACTGGTGAAAGGAAGGTTTTTTTAATGGGAAATTGTTGCTGTTGTCACCTTCAGTGTTTTGGATGAGATCGTTTGTGCCTTTATTCTGTTATGTGTTGACAGTACATTGAGAGTCACAGAATAAAAGAAAGAAAATCAGATATTTCTAAATAATTACAGCTGACGGGATCTAACCCACAGAGCAGTGAAAAACACACTTTACCGGAACTTCTCTTTACCCACTCAGCTACTGAATTTCTCTTTCTCTGAGGTTGGCGTAGTATTGGGCATGTCCGGATTCACGTATTCCTAAGTTGTTTTAAAAAGCTCTCAATGTATTTTTCCAAACAAGAGCATCATTTATTACAGATAAAGATGAAATTACTGTGTGACACGCGGTTCACAAAGCGTCTTCTGGAAGCCAGTCGGACCTTCTCTGAGACGCAGCTAAGGTTAGCTTGACCGTAAGCCTGCCTGGGACCAGGCTTGTTGTGCTGGCTGAGTTACCATGGTTACCTAGCCACGCTAGACCTAAGCCTCGTTTGTGGAACCGAGCTCTCACTAAAATTAGCCAAGCTAACCGAAATAAGCCAGGCTTTGAGCTAAGCCAGCTTCATGGAATACCCCCCTGGTCTTGAGTGTCCTGCATTTGAGTCCCTCTTTTGGTAGCTTGTTCTTGACTGACTGACTGCTTGTTGAATTGTTGAAACAGTTGGTAGATCAGTTGATTGGTTTGTTGAGAGGTAGTAAGCTGGTTGTGTGGTTTGTTTGTTGGTTGGCTTTTTTTTTTTTTTTTTTTCCTGCCGTTGTTTGTTTTTTGTTTTTTTGGTTGAAGGGTTGGTTTGTTGATTATTAAATTCACTCACAGAATTTTAGGAAACTGATTTCTTGATCGGTTGGTTGGTAGAGAGGTTGATCAGTTGCTGTGTTTGTTAGTTTGCTGGTCATTTGATTGGTTTGGTTGAGTTGTTTGTTTATGCGATGGCTGGTTGAGTTTTTGGTCATATTTGGTCTATAAGTGTGGTAACTGGATGTTGAACAACTTGGTTGGTATTACCTGCTATCTTGTCGTAGTCGGGGGTCTGGGAGTCAGAGCTGCTGCTCTCCTCCATCTCCTGCCTCCTTTGTCTCACTGCTCCGTCCAGATCGCTAAAATCACCTCCAAAATTCTGCAAAAACATTAGGCATCATGTAAGTCATAAGCTCTGTTGCTTTTTATTTTATTGTGAAGCGGTGATTCCCAAAACTTTTCTGGGTCTTCTTTTAGATACTGAATAGAGCTGATGAGCAGAAACGATAATGGTATTGGCACTACTTAAATCATTTTTGTCTGACTTACTAAAGGGAAACGAGGAGTAAGAGGTGACCTTTGGCCTCCAAAGCTGATCTCTGCTGAAGAGGGGATGGGGCTGCTACACGGACTCTTCTCCTGTTCACGTACAAATACAAAGCACATGCAATTTGAGTTTTAGTCTTGGAAAAGTAAGTTAATATCTCTTAAAAACATCAATTCCTGGCAAACTTTGACTCAGTTTAGATCAGCAACAGTATCTCTGCTTTGACACTGACATAAATAAAATAGGAAAAAAAAATAACTAAAGGCCAAACAACAAATCATTCATACTTTTTACATGAGTGTTGGAGGATTCATGTTTTTTTAAAGAGTTACTCTTAATGGGAAAAACTTCCATGAACAGTTTCATGGTCAATGGCAGATAACTGGGACATGCATTTTTGAGGCCGGTCCTACCTCCAGATGAAGACAGACAGACATCAAGAACTTGTAGGTGTTGTCTCTGGATAGGAAGGACACGAACATGTACTGCAACAAAAACATAACAGGACATCTGCAAAATGTTTTTCTCTGTCAGATTTTTAAACCGAAGTACAGTTAACATGGAAAAAAGTTGTTTGTTGAGTTGTTAGGTCAAACAAACACCACAGTTTCAGATGTTAGCTCACAGAATGAAGTCTACGGGCTCTATTTTCTTGCCTCGTCGGTGAGGCAGCGGAGGGTGGCGGACCCCGCGCAGTTGTATTTTCGTCTGGCGGAGCCCGGCGTACAGCCAGTTTGGTACTTTCGTGGACTGAGGCGCACAGAGGCGAACCGAGATCCGCCAAGGTGGGCGTGGTGGCGAGGCAGGGGAAGGTGTCGACAGAATCAGCGGGCGCAGTGACATTTTCGTGCTCGCCACCGGCGTGTAAAGTGCGCTAAAAACTTGCCGATTCAAACCTGGTCAGCTTTCAGCGCAGGCGGAGCTCAACTGGTCTAGTAGTATTTTGGTAGACCGGCGGCGTATCGGCATACGTCACTGATGCCTCACCGGCAGGTTTCCACAGTGTCAGGCACATTTCAGTGCAATAAATAATCATCAACAACTAATAATCTGAGTCAGCACACACATTTAGATCTATAGATATAATCTGATCTATATCTGATCTGATGAGCGCGGTTGGCACGCGTTTATACACACAACCTGACCGAATCAATACAGCTGAAACTGCATCAAATTAAATTAAATATCTAGTAAATAAACACACATGATGAAGTTAACAAGGTATGTAATTCGTCTCCCTCCTTTTCTTTCTTCCTCTTCCTCTTATTTCTCACGCAGCTCGACCTGGACATGTCTCCGTGTCCTCTCTCCGTCCTGCTCCAGCTGCAGCGGCTGAACAGATGATTTGTTTCAGCGCTCAGATGAGTTATCTACATGCGGATATTATAATATTCAGTTTTGTGAGCCAAATTTATCTTATATGCCAACATCTATGAAAGAAAGGGCCAGGTCACGGAGCGCGATGCGTCATTTACACACAGATGGTTCCGATTTTAATACCATTTTTGGAGTTAATGTTGTGATCTGTGCGCTCAACCCACCTTTGTCACATGAGGTTTGAATATATGCAACTTTATGTGAGTGTCTTTATTTGTGGAAAAGGATGTTTGTCTTACCAGTGGGTCCAACATTACACACACCAAATCCCTCTGTGCTCATATGAGAGAGTGTGGAGGACACTTGTTGAGGAGCTGCCCTCTGTCGCCATCTTGTGGCATTACTGTCCTTGAGACATCTCTTGATCTCTTTGACTACTTCATGAAAATAGTAATACGCCTCGCCTGTGGCGGATTTAAAGGCAAGGAGAGGAGCTGATGTGATTAGTGAAAACAGGTCTCGGCTGTGTTAAATCCACTCCACGCCCTTTCTCCTTCCTCACCACGACTTACGCCACTGGGAGGAGCTGAGTTAGGGAGGGGGGATACTTAAACCGGGCTGCGCCTCTCACCAAAATACCAAATTGTGCTTGGGAACGCCTTGTCGGCGCGGCGGACCTGACTTCAGCCGCGCCTGCGGCACGTCTCCGGCGAGGCACGAAAATAGAGCCCTGCGTCTTGTTTAAAGTCCTACAGTACATGAAATAACTTTCTTCTCACCCTGTCATTTGCAGTAGCGATCACCAGAGCATTTGGCAACAGGATGGCAGTTTTGGTCTTCTTGATGTGTGAGATGGACATCACTGGGATGGCAATCTGAGACACACAAACACCAGAATGGACAGCTCTGCTCAGCAGAGACAACTTCACTCTCTACTGGTACAGTTTTACTCGTCCTGTGGGAAGTCTTGTTCACACTGTGAGAAATGATCTGAAGTCTGAAGGTGGAGAATCATATAGGAAGCTCACGTGTCGTTTAGAGGACCTATCTGAGAGGGTCAAACTCCAGCAACACTGCAGACAGGACAACTTACAGAGCACAATTTGAGAAACATATTTGCATCTTTTTATCCATGCGCTACACTTACAAATTCTTGTGAAGCAACTGCATGTTCTTTTTAACAATTGAATCTCTCTTTAAATGTAACATGCAGGACTGTTATCAACTCATGGACATGTTTAATGCAGTCAGTAACACTGTGACGCCTCAGTTTGAGTCTCTGACGAGAACCAAAAAACAGAGAGAGAAACTCTGTGCTCCTTGTGATACAACCCCTCCAGGGTGAAATCTTGGAATTCTTTCGCACAGAGCCTAATGTTTGAAACCTACTTTAACACACAGACAGGACTTCAAAATAACAGTAAGCTGTCCTGAACTGTCTTTTTAAAAGCAGTCTTACCTTTGTGTCTTTTCCAAACACCTTGGAGTGGAAGCAGATCCAGTGGTCAGAGACAAACATGCGTCCCTGGTAGAGGATGTCTTTTTGCAGAGCACAGGTGTAACCTGACAAACAGATAAACAGCATCAGGTTACTATGGGAAATCTGAACACAACTGTTAGATAGGGAGAGAGAAGAGGGCAAAGTGCTTCATTATTGAAACAACTGCAATGGTGACATCAAATTTCAAGTGGCTCTTTGTCCATATCTGTATTTTTCAAGTCTGTTCTGGCTGCAGATGAAATCATGTAAAATCAGCAGAAAAGTTATATAAGACACAGAAGAAGCTTCTCTAGATTCTTCAAACTGTGTTAGACTTTCTTCAAAAAATTCCAGTTTTTGGTGAAAACATTTCTCTTTGATTGGGTGAACAGTTTGTTGGTTGCCGCATTCCTGTTCTTACTGAAACCCAAAAACATTGATTAACCGTCATCATTAAAACAAATTGAAACCTACATTTAATGAATAACAGTACAAACAGCATATAAATTATTGAAAAATGAAAAAAGTTGTGTTATACTGAAAAAATACTGAAAAAAAGTCCTGGAGGGAAAGATGGGAAGAGGTTCACCACTCTGTGAGAGACTGCGTGAGCTAACAGTTCAACAGTTTCAGAATAATTTTCCTGAGTATCAAATGTAAAAGAATGAGTTCATCATTTCATCATCTACAGAACATACTACCATTCAAAGATTCAGTGAATCTGGAGATATCTCTTGACCAAAGGGACAAGGACCAAAACCAAGACTGGATGGTCCTGATCTTCAGACCCTCAGGCAGCACTGCATTAAAAACAGGCAGGACTCTGGAGTGGAAATCACTGCATGGGCTCAAAAAGACTTCCATGCAAGTTAAAACAGGGCCATGCAAAGAGGAAACCAGATAGAAACAGGATCCAGAAACACCAGAGACTTCTCTGAATCTGAGCCCTTTTAAGGTGGACTGGGGAGAAGAGGATGTATCCTCCCTCTTTAGGGAGGATAGAGCAGAAATATGAAATATGATGGTATGGGGATCATCAGAGTCCATGTCATGGGTATCTTCCTCATCTGTGAAGGCTCCATTAATGCTGAACAATGCCTACAGGTTTAGGAGCAACATCTGCTGACATCCAGACAAAGTATTTCATATTTCAGGAGGACAATGACAAACCACATTCTGACAACAGTGATTACAACAGCATGTGTCTGTAGGAGAAGAGTTCTGCTGAGAAACTGGACTGATGCAGTCCTGACTGTCACCTATTAAAAACATTTGAAGCATCATGAAAACAGGACAAAGTCATTTGAGTAGAAACTTGATGTGTATCTGGAGTTAGAAGAAAGTTCAAAAGGATCAAATGTTGAACTTTCATCTTCACCTTCATCCAGTATTTAAGGTGGGGCAGAAATATGTGATCATTACAGACTCACTCTGTCTGAGCTGCTCCTCTTTGCTGATCTCCTTGAATATTTTATGATACTGGCCATTGCTCTTCGAAAGCTGAAACACAAACCACACACACACACACACACAAAAATCAGAGAGAGGACTGACAGATTATTGACTAATTAAAAGAAAGCAGCCAGCAGAAATTCAGTCTGGCTCAGAAACAGGTTCCTCACAGTAATAAAACCTCACCTGGCTGTACTGAGACTTTTTCCTCTCTAACTTGGAGTCAGTGTCTGGTTGGACCTGAGTCAGGAGGGAGTGATCGAAGGTCTTTGACCTGCACAGAGAGATAGAGAGAGAGACAGATCAGAATTGATGGAGGATAAATATATTGTTTTATACCGCACCTGACAGGATGGGCTGTTTATCAGAGACACTTTGCACTCTGATATATTTGTATAACACCAGCAGTCAGAGGTCACTGCGTCATATTACATAAATTTTATAGAAAATATAATATATGGACAACAGCTATGAAAAAGCATGTGGCGATGCACAGTACATAAGAAAAATCTGTATTCACACATACAAACTCCACGGTGAGCTGCATGTGTGAACAAAAACATCTCAGTTTTTCTGCCCAAATTTGTCCAGACTTTTCCTCTCCTGCTCCCAGTAAAAAATGTGGGCTGACCTGAGTTAGAGCTGATGATGTTTATGTCATCGTAACAGTGCAAACGTGGAAAAATGGACATGTAATGGGATGACCTTTGATTTCTGGGGGACAACAAAAAGTGGAACTTCTTTTTCTCATGATGAGTTTGTGTAGATCCATTTTTTCCCCTTGTTTTGTGTTTAGTCTGATTTTTGTGTATTTTTCATTTTCTCTGTGTGTGTTCTTTGTACTTGTGTTCCTGATGTCCTTTTGTTTGTTTTTTTACTCTTTAGTGTTTCCTGTTTTATTTTGTAGTATTAAGTCCTTGAGTGTCTACTTCAGTTTACTTGCTGTTTTCCCTCCTTTTTTGAAAACTCTCATTAGTTTTGCCCGTGTCTCCTGTGTTTCACTTGTTGCTTGTCTCCCAGAGGGAATCCATTCTGTCATTCCCTCTTATGGTGTCAGCTTTTTCTGTCTGTCCTTGTTATCATGAATCCTGCCGTATCTTCCCTGAGTTTCTCTTGTCTCTCAGTTGGACCCTGTTTTGTTGATATTTTTTTGTCTTTTTGTTCATATGATTCCTTTTTTGTGTTTGATTTGGGATTTTTGTTCAAGTATCATACAAACAATTAGCAAAAAAATTTAAAACACTGTTTAAGTTTTTAAAAACTGAACACACATTTATATTTTCTTCCAATTTTTTCCACAATTTTTTTCTAAAACTTTTTGTTTCCAAATAATTTTGAAGTTTTGATAATGAATTTGTTCATTTGCAAATTGTTTTCAAAATTTATTTGTTTTCCAAAAAAAAAAAAGAAAAAGTTTGTATTTTTTTAATGTTTTATTTGCTTGAAACATGTTTGTGTTTTGTAAATATTTGTCAGCTTTTATGAAACATTTATGACTTTACGGGCCATCATACAAATGATACAAAGCTTTATCAATTTAAACTTGGCAGTTTTTTGTGATGCAGTTTTTTTCAAGTTTTCCTGCTTTTTTTTTTGAGCATGCTGTATTACACACAGCCCAGAAATTTAGTGGCAAATATCACCAAAATATGTAGTTTGGTAGCTGTAGATGAGATCAACGGTTTTTGATTTGCTCACATCACAAAGACTGAAAGATATGGGAAATACATGTTCAACCTTAAATTTCTCTCAGCAATGTTGCTATTTTTTCTTTTTCTCCTCATGTTGTCTTTCTTATCCATTTTCTAGTGTCATGTAAGTCTGTACAGGATGGATGCCCTATTGATACATCTCTGAGGAAATAAGAAGAAACTACAGTAAATAAACCATCCAGGGTTAAAGAAGGAGAATGATCTTTAAGATGAGAACAGTGAAGACATCTGCTCACCATCTCTCTCTGTTGTAAAAATGACCAAAGGCTCTGTCTCTGTTAAAACCCTTACAGGGACTTTCACAGACGGATTTTGATTTCATGTCCTGCTTGAGACTCCTGAGAAGTCTTTTATTGTTTGTATTTCTATTTACAGTCTGACTAGAAACATATGAAGAGCTGTTTTTATGCACAACCTTTAAAAAGAGTTTAATACCGGACTAACGCATGTTTCCTCCTGCCTGCAAGCTCCTGTTGCTCTGGATCTACCACCGGCAGTGGATCGCTGACCATCCTCTCGTATCTGTGACGCTCATCCACGTTTTCTACATCTGAACTACAGACAGACAGACAGAAAAAAAATGAACATCATGCATAGTTAAAGAGAATACTCCATTTACCATTAAGGAGAGCAGAAACAGAGAGAAGATTATAAACCAGTTCACAGAGGATAATCCAGACTGGATTTAAAATATATTTTAATTGTACTAACAGGTCAGACAAAGTTAAAGTCAGGGTGAATTTAAATCCTTTAAAGCTTGTACACAAGAACATCAACAAAAATTTCCCCACCAAATAAATGTTACGTTGAGAGACACGTTGAGACACAAATGCGTATTTATCAACCTCACATGAGATTTCATAAACACAAAAAACATGTTTCCACCAAACGACCAGGAACTTTTGACCTCAGGAACCAAAAAATATGGTAATTTTTCTGGGATTTGATTCAGAACCTGGTCCCTTTGACTAAAACACACTTACAGGTCCTCAGCCCCCTTTGAAAAGTTCCTGCAGAGAAATCCACTAAAATGACCATTGAATGCAGCTCTTGGGCTTACATATATACTTATAACACAGAATGATCCTATATGACGTCAAAGATGACATTACCGTGGGATAAGGACTCGTACTGTCCTTGATAAGCTGCAAGCCTGCAGTACTGTTTATCAGATGCTGTGTGGATACAACTGGTATTAAAAATATGAAGGATTGATCTATAATAGCAAGCAGTTTGGGTTTGTATTTGAGTCAATCTGAGAACCTTTCAGTGAACGTCTGAACCTCTAATGTGATGCAGATGAAATCATGTATGAGTGAACTGCATATAAAGTCAATGGGCAGACATCAATTTAAGGTTCTTTTTGGGCGCCACAAATAACAGGAGTATGCTGCACAAATTGAGCAGGTTGGATGTCTGACTGATGCAAATTTGAGATGCATTCAACATTCTACCCACACGTTTGCGCACTCACATATTTGTGATATTTTATTCAAATAGAACAACTGATATGCATGAACCAAAAGGAAAGACTGTCTTTCCAGCGTCCTGCATTTTTTTACAGTCCAATAACCAACTTCAGAAGTAAGGATGTATCAAGACTCAGATTTGCTCCTGCAGTTATGTCTGCAAAGTGACACTGTTGATTATTGGCTCATTAAACCCATTCAGTAATCAAGAGTAACCAACAAAAACACTCCCTTCACACTTCAGTGCAATCAGGCAAACACTTCCTTCACTCTTCAAGCAGGATCAACTCTGAGGAAAGTAAAATCACTTGTTTTACATGCTGTTTTACATACTTGTCAAAGACAGTTTTCTCGTACAAATTCCACAGATCTGTTTGGAAGCTTTTTGTGGCTTCGACATTTAGGCATGCAGGTTTCAGGGGCCACTTCATGAGCTCACAAAACTGCAATTTTTGCTCACTCTCTGCTTAGGAGAGCAACAGTTCATATATCTTTGAGGAGTCACAGTTTTTCTGGAAATAGTTTCTCCACAGACAGATAAACAGTAAACCAGAGTGAAGCCTCTGGGAGACTATTTACAAAGAAACTGACTCTCCACAGACAGATGAATAGTAAACCAGAGTGAAGCCTCTGAAGGACTTTTTACAGAGAAACTGAGACTCTCTTTTGTTCTATTTCTGCAACCAGATCAACCTTCCCCATGTTAGTACACAGTATTTTAATGAAATTAGGGGAACAGAATTGTGTGTTTTTTCCACTTTTCTGTCCGTATTTGAGTAAATACACAACTTGATGAACTATCTCTGTTGGCCAATGAATTTAGTGCTTTTGGTCCTTTGAATCATTACAGTCCGCCTCATCCATATTTTAGGCATTGTTATTTACATGTTTGCTTCTGTATCATCATCTTGTAATTAATGCAAATGTTTTTTTAACTTTCTAGAAACATGTCACAGAAAAGCAGAACAGCATCTTGTATTTGAAGCTGAGAGAAGACAATAGTTTGTAAATTTGTCAATTTTCCCACTTACTTCTTGAACACAATAGTGTAACTTCTGTTAAAACACTCTTATAACTACTGGCACCATCATGCACTCCTACTGCACTACTTTAAAGTGTAAGACACACATTTCTGCAGAGCATATTTCAGATATCTGAGGCTGTTTGCAGTCCGACACTCACGGATTGTCTCTCTCCTCGTGGTTTGAGGATCCTCTGTTACCCCTGTGAGGTTCTTCCAGCTGGTTCACGCTCTGCTCTGTCATCATGCTCTTCACTTTGGTCTCCCCACCGATCCTCCTCTCCTTTCTCTTCCTCTGAGTGTGTGTTTGAGTTTGTGTTTGTCTGTCTGCGGCAGTAAGAGCTGAACTAACCCTGCAGCCTGACCCTCCCTGCTCATTCACCTGTTTGTGGGCGTGTCTCAGGGGCCTCCTGGTCTCACATGTCACAGCCAATCAGTTTGTAGGACAGGGTGGTGTGTGTGTGTGTGTGTGTGTTTGGGTGAGTGTGTGTTTAAACCTTTGATCTGTGACATCTCTACACAACTTTGTTTCAAGCGTCATTTTTCCCCCTGTTACTTGGCTGAATTATTTTGCTCCAGCAGGTAAAACTCTCTTTTTCAGCTCAGGTTACACAGGAACAAAACTGTTTTCCCTTTTTTTCATGTTCAGGCCGTCATGACTGCCCAAACAGGAAGAAATCTGACCAGCTTCCTTTTGTTAACATAGAGTCTTATTTTCCCTTACTGCAGGAGGGTCAGGTAGCGAAAACACTTGTAACACGCTGCTGTCCTGACCGCTGAGCTCATGCTTTCTTGGAAAATGTGAGTCAGTGTTTTGAGTTTGTGTCAGAAAATCAGAAAAATCTGATTTCACCTGGAATAATTCAGGTCAGGCAAATTAAACTCCAGTCAAGAGTTTTTAGACATTGATGAAACAGAGCGGAATTCATATTTGTGTCTTTTTATTACAGACAAAAACAAACGAGACCATCAGCAATGAGACTGATGGTTTTTCAGTGTAACTTTTCATCACCCCTAGAGTGAGGGGTTAGGTGTCAGCCGAACAGCTGAAGAAACAGCTCTGTTACAATTTCTTTATGAAATATTCACAATAAATGATGAATCTGACTGTCAAAAGGAATTTCAGGCTATTTTTTAATCAACACAAAAAAAAACTTCTTGCAGTTGCTTTAATTAGTAAAACTAAGTCAATTTGGAGTTTCTTGGCTTTCAAACTAAATATCTGTATTTCCCCTTTAAAAGAGTACGGTTGTACATTTTGGATGAAGATCACATTGAATAAGCTTCAATTAAAATAAAACAAGGACTTCCCACAGTGCCGAGAACCTGAGGTGCTGACTGGTCAGCCTTTAAGTGTGTGAAAATGTTAATGCCTTCATTACCTTCATGTTCAGCCTGAACAGGGAAATATGATCCAGCCATTATCCTGCCTCTTTGTGTGTGTGTGTGTGTGTGTGTGTGTGTGTGTGTGTGTGTGTGTGTGTGTGTGTGTGTGTGTGTGTGTGTGTGTGTGTGTCAGAACTAAAATCAGAACTAACTGATATGAACTCTGGGTCACTGGGCCATAATAACTGTCAACAAACAAGTGTCTTTGTGTCCACATATCAGTCTCTCCTCTGTCCTCTGCCTCTAGATTTCATTATCGTACACTACACTGATTACACACGCACGCACGCACACACGCACGCACACACGCACACACACACACACATTTAAGGTTTTTGTTCATGGCATGCTTTCACCAAAATGAGAAATGAATGTAAACACACTGAGCATGTGCAGAAAAAGGTATATCCACACACAAGAATACCTAAACTAAAGCTTGTTTCTCTCAATTCTCTTATTACAAAGTTTATAAAACTCTGACTCCTCTAAAAAATGGCCAATTCTGAACTTTCCTGATTCTATTTCTTTCAATGAAGATTAAAAACATTAATTTTGTGGATGTTATGTCACTTTATGATCTTTGATAGTCTTTCCACATTTGTTACAGATACAATAATTTTTGTCTGTAATTTCTCTCTCATTATTTCCTGCTCGAGAACTATTTTTGTGTACTTTGATTTGTTACATTGTCTCTTTTTGTCATGCATAAAAGCTCTCATTTCTCCATTGTTAGCATTTCATTTCTGGATCATTTCACTCCAAATGCTCTGCAGGAAATTCATCTTAGTTTGATTCACATTAAGTATCAGTGACACACAGTGAGCCAGTGATCATTACTGCAGACTGAGTCTCCTGCATGCTGAGCTGTGCAAACAGACAGCAGACGCCCTTTGAAACACAAACACAAACCAGATGAACTAAAGCTCTCTGGCTGCTTAAATCCTAAAACATCAGCAAGTTTTCTTGCAGGATAATAAAGGTCCCTATAGAATCAAATTGAACAACATTCTTAAATGTGTACCCCGAGAAAATGCAGATTTTAAAGCAGTACTAAGTTCTTCAGGTGAAATCTTTTACAGATTCAACAAAGCTCACAAAAATATCCAGCACATTTTGGAGAGAGAGAGACAGCTCTGGACAAGGTCTGCACAAAACCCATGACAAAGATGTTATCATGTCTTTGTGTCTGCAGAGGGAACTTAGTGACAGCTGATGAATACCTTCAAGTGATGTCCCTATAGCGTCTGCAGTTTGCATTGCTGACCACAGCCTTAAAATGAGAAGGAACAGTTTATTTAGAGTTTGAACATTTGAATTCCCCCGAATTTGCTCGCTGTCTGTCTCTGCACAAAGCAAAAGAGACCTGGCGTAAAAATTCCTGAATCTTAACCCGAGCTGCTGCAAAGTGAGAATCTAAAGTGGCAAGTTTCTGCAAAAAAAAAGGGTACAAATATACTGTATAAAATGATACATAGTTAGTGGATATGCTCCCTTTGAAAGTTGGGTGCCAGTGCACAGATTGCAGGGCAGGATGTTGCTCCACTTTTCTCAGTCTGAAATGTTTGCAGTCCTATAGCTCCCCAGGAGGCTCTGTGCTGGCTAAATATTAATACTTTCCCTAATCTCTAAGACCAGACTCTTGGTTTTATCATGGTATTTTGTATCACCAAGTATAGAAGTAATCATCTATAGTGATACAAATAAAAAAGATGTGATATAAAAATCAACCTCTTGTGGTGCTTCCATGAACAAAGAGGCCAAAACAGTTTAGTTATACCAGGCTGTAAACATGTGTGGTTCTGCTGTAAAGTTAAAGACTGTAAAATTGGGCTCTATGGGGATTGACTTACTTTAGGGGGCAGTCTCTAGTGGTTACTGAAGAAACTGCAGTTTCTGGCACTTTGACACGGTTTAGTAGGGTTTGACCTATCACAGGCAAGACGGCTTTACTGAATGGGAATCAAAGTAGTCTGTGTGTCTTTAATATTTTATTAGAAAGACTACTTCATAAAACAGCTAGTTTTGGCAAATTTTCCATCACCATCTGAAAAAATGAGCTAGTTAGGACTAGAAGGAGCTGCAAAACATTGACAAACACCAAGTTATCAGATGTTGATTAGAATGTTGTTTTTTTTCTGATTCACAGTTCATGTGTTTTTTTTTTTTTTTCACAGTAACACAAAGTTCAGGCAGCAGAGTCACATGATTTTAGCAAAGTGTCCCCACCCAAATAATCAACAATTGGCTTCAGACTGTCTTTTAGAACAGTTTAATGTTATTAAGACCGTCGACTGTGTAAAAGATCGATGTAATAACAGTCTATGACTGCACTCATGTTTTTTCACAGTTTCTATTTGCAGTAAAGATGGGCTTATTAGAATGGGTGTGTATGTGGTTTCTGCTGTTTTTAAAGCCAACTCTAAGTAGGTACTGGAGGAACTGCAGGTTTTAGTACTTTTGCATTAGCTCCACAATGTAAAAATTGTGGCAGCCTGAATGTTGACTTGTCAATAATAGGTGCTAGCCCCGAACCATATTAGATGGAAGAAACTTTGAAACTAAAGACTAAGCCCATGAACTCATTACTAAGGACGTTATTCTCTCATACAGCATGTTTACATAATTTTAGAAATGATGGCCTACTTGCCTTTATCAGACTGAAAATGGGCTTTAAATACATTTAAATACATGAGTCAGACTGAAACTGCACTAAGTCAGATTGCTCAAGCCAGACTTACATACTTAGATCATGCAGTGGGGGGTGGATTTTCTCCTGCATGTATAAACCTCAAAGACCCACTCCGATGAAAATCATGTTTTTATTGTTTTTTTATACTTTCATATGGCATTTTTCTGTGGCTACAAGACATATCATGAGAAAAATAAATACAAAATTGCATTTATGAGTATTTCTGCATTCAAACTGCTGTGAACCTCTGGCAGACCCCAACGGCAGGATCAGAAACAGTGAGACCTTGCAAATCCAAGCTCTGGCCCCAGAGCCCTGCCATGCAGGTCAGGCTCAGAGAAATAGAAAGGACAATGGCGGAACAAGCGTGTGCATTAGCGGATTACAATGTTCATTACAAAGCTAATTATGATACTAACTTTCATGATGCCTTAAAAAAAATTTGTGGCAGAGAGCTGAATAGCTCCTATGTTACCTGGTACTTCTACTACACCAGCAATGTTAGGCTACAAGCTCACATGAAGAGTAGTGTGCGGAGCAGCACTGTCTCCGCCCACAACTCAGAGGGGATTTGCGAATGAGCTGTTGGAGCTCTGCAGAAGAAAAGCCCTTGAAAATGAGACAGGTTATGTGATTCTTACTAAAAAACTTAATAACCACAATTTCAAGACCACTGAGAACACTTTTAAGTAGTAAATGACTGGAGTAATAGGCTGTATTGGGACAGAGGAAAAAGTGCCTAGAAAGTGAATCTCGTTCCACTTCAATGGGGCAACATAAACTATGGCACACATAATTACTCAGTGTGTTGAAGGTGGATTGGTCAAGGTTAAAACTGTTGCCTAGATTTGCAAACCCAGTCAGGTATTCTTCTTTCTGACAAGCAACAGAAAATGTTTTTCTTTTGCCCTTCCCATGAAAGGCACTGGTCGAATCACAACCTGTGAATGTATGGATGTTCTTGTATGTCTGCAAGACTATCTTGTACAGATTTATGTCGTTGCCAAGCATGTGAGAATGCTTCAAAGGAAACAGAAGAAAGAGCTGCATGGGATGATGACTCCGATGAAAGTGATAGTGATGTGTAATATACGCACCATGTCACTATGTACAATTTGTTTTGTTTAAAGGATAGCTACACAGAGATTTGAGATTTTTATTATTTTCATATTTGTTCTACATTTGTCTGTGTTTGTGTTTTGATCTTTATTTTCATATTCTGGAGGGATTGATAAATGTCAGATGTTTTGACACTGTGATACTTGAATAAATGTTTTATACCATATTTTGAATTAATTCAGACCTTTTGTGCATTTATTTTTGTCTTGTTACATTTTTTCCATTTTCCAATTTTGGGGGGCATGGTAGCAATTTGATTCACTTTCAGCCATTTATGGCCATAATGTGCTGTTTATATTTTATTGCTTTTATTACACAGTAGGTTGTGTCATTTTTATGTATGAAACATAAGCTTTTAGCTAAATTTACTGTATATATTTTATTGTGCTGAGTGCAAATCACTTGAGTTGAGACGTTTTCTTCAAGAAATTTGCTACATTTCATAATCTGAATTCACTTATGCGTATACTAAGGCACCAAAAACTGTTTCAGATGTTAGGTAGATGTATTTATGACATTTAAGAAAGATTTTGTCTTGCCAGAATCGACATAGCAGTTTCTACAAGCAAAAACAGCAGCACTATATAATTGTTTTTTGTGTTACTCACATATATGTACATTTCTGGCTGGTCCTTTGTCTCACCCTGTAGAGAAAACCACTTTCTAATACTAGTTCTGTAAGTTTCCCAACGTGTCCTTGTAAAGTCGAGAACGTCTTCACTCCGGACAGATGATAGATGCATATAGCATCGTTTTGTTCCTTTTTTATGCACTTTTGAAGGCTGTTTTCTTTTTTTCCTGTTCTTTTCTTTCTCTTCGCTTGTCTCGCTGCTAGATGCGCTCGTTGCCATGTTTGTGTATTTCTGATACTATGGCAACGCGACACGGCTCCTATTGATCCATGTGACAAAAATCGCTTCACCCCTCTGCATATTCGATTGCGCGTGTGCAAGTATCACTGCGCCGCAGAAAGGAAATAGTTCGACACCGAAACACTGATTACTAAAAATCGACTGGATGTCATGAGTAGATATTTCTTTTTAGTACTTTCTATCAATATAGCTATTTTATGAATCACAGTTTATGTTGCCCCACTGAAGTGGAATGAACCAACACAATCTCGCTCAGCCAATACAGCCTATAAGACTTTAATTGGACCAAACTGGCCTGAGCCTTATGCACATACTCCACAGTTTATTCACCATACTTTGACCCATATGGCACAGTAATGTGAAGAATAGGGCCAGTGTGGTTGTCTCCCTAAAGTTATCTTCATAAGTTTGGGAGATGGTGTGAATCTTATTTTTACCAAAAATAAAGAGCAGATTATGTGTGAAAGGCACAGAGCTGTAATGTACAAACAGTTAGCTTCTTGCTAACTTGTTTGTTGATTGTTTTGCTAACCCTTAACTTCACCATGCATGTACTGACAGAAATCTTTGCAATCAGACTCCTTCAGACCTGTGAAAAAATGCTCTTAGTTTTCTTTGAGTTTTAATGTTTGTTTCCTTTTTTTTAGTGTTGTTCGCCTGCTGCAGAGTGGGATGTCGCTCTGTTAGTAGTAGATCTCTGCGGGTGACATAATTTACAGAAGACCCCAGCTTGATTGGGGAAAGGGAAGCAACATGAGTGACCAGGTATTTATTCACTACAAAAGGACATGAAGTTGACGTGATAACAACAAGACGAGACACCTTAAAGGACCTGAGTGTGCTGAACAAATCAATAAATGCTTAGTATAACAGAAGTAGAATTAACTCAAGTCTCACAGTAACAACATACAAACTGCCAAAAACTACCCAGACTGTTTCTCCAGTTTACAAGCAGACTACAAATCAAAAAGGAACTGAGGGGGGCTGATTACGAGACTGCTCCTAAACAAAGACATTGGAGTCCAACAGTTTAAGGCAGTCCTCCACTGGTGACATTTTTCAGACCAGGACACTTTGACACTTTTTATAAATGGTATCATTCTCCTGCATTGATTTTAAAATTATTCTCATGCACAGTGTGGCAATGTAGAACGGTATAACTACAATTTATGCACTAATCTAGAGCAACGGTTCAGACATATCCATTCCTATCTTGGGTCACTCAACCCCCCCCCCCCCCACACACACACACACACACACACACACACACACACACACAGGTGCTGCATTTACTGACCTAGCATGGACATATATTAACAATAGCAAATGTGTTTATTGTTTAAGAATTATTGTGCAGACCACATCTTCTAAATGCTCCAGATTGTCGAGAGAAAACAGACCCTGTAGATCCGTATTTAAGAAGGCGTCTCTTACCGGTGATGTCCACTGACGGTGTACAGAGCACAGCAGTTTTTGGACATGGTGCTCTTTCTGCTGTGCCGATACAAGTTGTCTGGACCGTAGCTCTCCATCACACCAACAGGATCATTCAAAGGCAGCTTTTCTTAGCTGACCTGAACCACACCACATGTTGCATATCAGAGACATACTCATCTACATAAGAAACTTTCACTGCCTGTAGCTCCAGTAAAAACTCACCACTGCCGCTGCTCCTGGACCTCTGCAGACTGAACATCCTCTCTCTGAGTGGGTGACTGTCTGTACAGTGTCTCTGTTTGTTTGGCTTGATGACAGTACAGTGTGTTTCAGACTTTTCACCCACCCTCTTCGTCCTCCTGCTGCTGCTGTCCCAAATCTCTTATCAGAGACCCTGGTCAATCATAGACGAACTGGAGGTGTTTTGGACTTTCACTGGGAAACATCAATCCACATTTTATAAGAGCTCTGCAGACTTTAGGTGGGATCAAATTGGGGAGATGAAAACAAACTGATGTTGAAACAAAGCTGGTTAGAAATTTTTTTTGTCATGTATTACACCAAATCGGGACATGATGTCTATTCAAAGATTATATTTAATGGGCCAACCTGCTTAAAATGTTTTATCTTATACAAGTTATGCTTTACATTGACCTTCATCTTGGCTCGAAATTTAGGTGAATTTTTTTTTCTAAACTTCTCCCCAGAAGTCTGGCTTTAAGTCAGAATTGTGAAATTTTCTCAGACCCCTGGTTCAAAGGTCAAATTAACAACTTTATTCTCAGTATTCTGTTTTTTTTTTTATTTTTATCAAGACTTCTAACTCCAAAATCAGAATTTAAACTTCTGTGGAAAAGTCAGAAATCTTTAAAAACCCACAGGAGTCTGAGTTGAAAAAGTGAATTCTGAGATTACAGAAGATATTTGGACACCAGTGTAACAATTTAGAGAAAAAAATGGTAAATTAAAAATAATAATTTCAAGGAGTTAGACCTCCAACTTTTCATTTCAGTCTCTGACCTTATAGGGTCAAATACTGTACATATTAATTTATCTGGAATTTTAAATTTGATCTAAAAATTCTGACTTTAAACTCAGAATTCAGATTTTTGGTCAAAATACTAATGAAATCAGAATCCTGGTTTATACTCCAGATTCTGAGTTGAAACTAAGAATTTTATCATTAATGTAAGAACTCTGAATTTGCTTTAAATCAGAATTTGACCTGATTTCTAAATTCTGTGGTAATAAATCTGGATTAAGAATTTCAAAATTCAGACTAATACAAAGTCAGAATTCTGAGATTAAAGTGAGAAGTCAGGAGACTTTTCTTCCACAATTTTGGCTTTGGTTCAAAATTTTGAAAGTCATTAATTTGGTAAAAAATTGGAAATTGGAAAAAAAATCTGAAAACTTTAATACATACATATATATATATATATATATATATATATATGTGTGTGTGTGTGTGTGTGTGTGTGTGTGTGTGTGTGTGTGTGTGTGTGTATAGATTTATGAAATATATATTGAAATATTGAAATAACTCTAGTTTAGAAATCTGAAATCTGACGTTAAAGCTAAAATCATGGCATCAAAGTCAGGTATTTGGCTTTGTCCAAAATTCTGCTTTTAGCTGGAATTCTAAAATCTAAACCAAATTTAAGATTTAACTTAAAATTCTTTTAAGTCTTAAGTCGAGTCTAGAAGCACATCTGAATTTGAAGTCTGAATTCTGACTTTTTTCTATGAATCCTGAAATGAAAGTCAGAATATTGAGTTTAAATTCCAAATTCTGCCTTTTTTTTTTAGAAGTTTGACATTTGTACTTAAAATTTTAAAAATTAAAATCGAATTTGGAATGGGAAAAAAAGAATTCTGGTTTAAAAAGTCTCAGAGTTCAGAGTTAATTAAAAAATTCTACCTTTCTTTTTTAGTGGCCTTTATTCTTTTATCTTCTGTTAACATATCCATGTTTTGGAACATTTTCCAGCCACACACTTTAAGATGTGATTTTTCTGAACCCGCCTGGTTTTATTTTTATTTTCCTCTGGGGCCCGCTCAACACTGGGGCAAGAGGAGGCGACGCCCCCTCAATCAAGTGGCCTGCCCCCTCAAATCAAATTGCTTAATTGCATACTTAACAGTGAATGGGTGTTTACGGATGGGGAGGGAGGGGCGGGTGAGGCGATCTCTGACTGCAGGGTGTGAAGAAACGCTGCATGGAGAGGAGGAATGAGAGAAGAGAGGAGGCTAATACTTGTGCTTGTGCTTTTTCGGCGGATTTTCCACTTTTTGATTTGAGGTGAAAATGAGGTGAAATGCTTAATCAGCATTTCCACTTTATTAGGCCATCCAGTTAAGATAAATGTTATGTTGTTGGTTGTTAAAATCTGGATGAAAGATATTTTATTTTACTTTTCATTTGTATTTTTCAGTTTTCCCCCTGAGGGATTGCCACCTTATTGTGGTCGGGGGATTTGTGTGCTTCAGTGACCCTAAGAGCTATAACAGCAGGAGCTTTAGTCCTCAGGTGGGACACCCAAGTTGGACAGGTCTTAGGGTGGAGCCCTGACAGAGTGCAATCCACTTCTCTAAGTTGAGAGCTGGACACACAGCTAACAACCGAGGCCGTAAAGAAAACACTAACAGTGTTAAAAATTTGTGAAAAAAAAAAAAAAAAACCCTCCTCACATTTCTGACTGCCCCCTCATATATGCAATTCCTAGAACTGGCCCTGTTTTCCTCTAGTGTTTTTGAGATTATAGTCTTGGCTTTGTGTTTTCAGTTGGCAGAATCAAATGAGACCAAAGCCAAAAAAGTTTAAAATTTTAATGGCTCTCAAATAAAAATGACAGTGTATCAGTCTCACTTTCAAAACCTCACTTGGGATCAAAATTTATCCCTCTTCAAAACCCAATAACTTCCACTAAATACCCGTCTTTAAAAAATTGCTGCATTTTGATGAAAAGTCGCTACATTTAGTGATTGTTCATTTCTGTGCAGTTGCTCTTCAGGGCCACCGTAATTATCACTTATCACTACAGTCTGAATCTTTCACTCAGTACCCCCCCCCCCCCCGGCCAAACAATGTATCTATCTTAACACTGACTCAAATGTGAGGCTTTTGTCTCTTTTGTATATAGTCCATAGACTGTATATAGAATGGACAGCATCTGCCTCCTCGCTGGGTGAAGCCACTCCGAGAACAGCACCCTCTGTTGATGGGCTGCAGTATAGCTCATAAATCCCGCCTCCACCAGCAAAGCTTATGGGGCTGTGGACAAACTTTAGAAATTTATTACACAGAACATAATTTTTTCTCCCCCCTGCTTGTGATGTTGACATGTAGTTACTGTAAGACTGGTTTGTGCTCAAGTCCTCTTTTTTCTGTGAAGCTCCGTTTTTAAAACTTATTAGGGGGTTCATGTTTGCTATGATTGACACCTGATACAGCCTATGGGCGTTCAGGGATTGCGTAGCTCTCCCGGGGGGATACACTGTTTGAGCCGAGAGTCATCACAGTGACTTTCGGCGACTGCGCGGCTGAGTGCGCGCATCACCTCTGCGCAGCGCTGGTTTCAGGAAATGAAGAGAAATCCCGGAAGTATCGAGAGCTATTTGGCTTCAAATCCGTATGCAGGCGGTAGGCGGAACCAAGTTGTCCATAGTATATACAGTCTATGATATAATCGTAGAAGGAAAGTAAAATAAACAGCTCTCTCCCTAAATATAATAATTTGACAACAAAAAAGAAGGATGATGAAATATTGTTTTATTGTCTCTAGTGCCAGACTAACACAGCTATGTTTAAAGGGTTGTGATTTTTGCGGTTTTTCAGTGTGAATCGTTTTTTCACCCAAAAATGTATTTTTATTTATTGGTAATAGTGTGACCTGGGCCAGCCTCCAGACTCTGAATCTGTCTGTGTCAGAAGCCTGAGCTGTCAGTCAGTCAGTCACTGCTGGAGTTTTTGGTGTAGCAGGCCTGATCCAGCTCCCTGATCCGGACTTACAGGAGTCCAGCTCGGCTAGGTGTCTCACTGCGGCGCGCAACGATGACCTGAATGCTGATTATTGTGGAGATCGACAGAGGATTCTAGGAAAGGAAAGGAGGAGATGAACCGTTTCCTCAGAGCCGGAGAGAATGGAGGGCTGCTGACGGACTGCAGGGAGCTGTCACCTAACCACACCGCTACCGCCTCCTCCTCTTCCTCTTCCTCCTCCTCCATCTCCATCACCACCCTCTCCTCCTCTTCCTCCTCCAGCGCCACTGGCTCAGCCGACAGACACGCGGCCCTGCCCTCGCTCCAGACCCGGGGACCTGTCGGCGGTGGCAGCGGCGGCGGGTCGGAGCCTAGGAGATCCGCGTTGAAGCGCAGCCGAGCCGGGCGGGAGGGTCGAGAGGAGGCGGAGGATCAGACGGTCAGGGTGGTGCAGCAGCAGCAGCAGCAGCGTCTGGAGGCTCAAGGACGCTCCGACGGCGTGGAGATGCTCTCAGCGGTCAGCAGAGACGTGGACGGCGGCGGTGGCAGCAGCAGCGTGAGCGGCAGCATTAACAACAACGGCGTCCCTGAAGCGGCCACGGCCTCTCCTTCTGCGTCCTGCGCCAAAGGCAAGGAGGAGAGGAAGGGGAAAAACGTGATCCGGGGCTGGAAGAGGGAGAGAGACAGGGAAAGGGACGCCGCTCCTCCCGCTCCTGCAGTCCGTACGCGGAAGGAGAAGCCCGGTGATGGCTCGTCTCCTCCTCCCTCCGTCTTCCTCCCAGCGCCCGCCCTGCCCGAGCATCATCTGTGCCGCGACGGCCCCGCACACTGTCTCTGCACCGCGACGGACTCCTCCAGGATCATGGGAGATAACGGCAACGTAAACAATAACAGCAGTAACGGGAGTAACGGCGGCGGAGCTGCCAACAAAAGCGCACTGGAGTGTGGAGTAAAGAGCGGTGGAGGCGCTATTGTTGTCAGGCGGCAGCATGACGACACGCCGGCGGCCAAGAAACACAGAGGAGCCGAGAAGGTAAGCTGCTTTTATTGTCTGGAGGCAAATAGAAGAACTCACACACAACCAAATAACACATACCTCACCTGCCCTGACATACAGACAGACTCTTCACCTTCAGGCTGCATGTTTTCACGCGTAAAACTCTCAGTTTGAGGTGAAATAAAAGGAGGGAAAGGAGCAATTTTTGATATTCAGAGCACACACAGGCAGTCAGATGCAGGTGTGAAGGCCACAAAGAGCCCGAACAGCACACACAGACACACTCAGACACACACTCAGCAGGAATGTTTAAATGGAGGGATGACCGCCTGCCACATGATATTTATTTCCTTTTGTTGGTGCCCAGCTGGTGTCATTGTTCCCAGCTCCACTGTCTGTCTGCTGATATTTACCACGCTGATGGACTGAGATTCTTCCTTTTGGGGGGGAGATGAAGAGGAGGAGGAGGAGGAGGAGGAGGAGGAGGGAGGGGAGCAGCAGCAGCAGCAGTGTGTCCTCCATCTCCATCCTCCTCCTCTTTTCAGGTCCATTTAATCCAGACGCTTCATGTTTTTGCAAGAGATTGGACAGCAACTATTTGTGTCTGCAGCAGTTTAGAGTAGATGTGAAATCTGCTCTTTTGTTGCATCTGCACGGACTCTGTTTGCTCTTTTTATTCTATAGAAATTTCACTGATTCCCACATTTATCAGGTGTTGGATTATGCATCTGAATCTGTTCATTTGAGACAGGAATCCTGCAGTTTGAAAAGGGTGGATGTGAACACCGTCTAAGCCTTTTTAGGGAGTAAAAGAGACTCTTCGTAGTTTAAATAAATAATCTAAAGGAGAGACAAAGATGGAGGAAGATAGAGGGAGAGTTTGCGAGGTGAAATGGGGAAAGAGATGTTTGATATGGAGGGAGGAATTGGACGTGACAGACAGAGGACGCAGGCTGAGGGAGTCAGACAGACGTAGAGAAAAAAGAAACAGATGGAGGACGTCTGGGAGGAGTTTTTGGTTATTTTTGTGCAGGATAAGATGAAGCGGGAAAAGCCGAGGCGTCCTCCCCGCTGCTGGCAGATGCTGCTGACAGGAGGAACGCTGGCCTGCCCCGGCTGCTTTGTTTATTTGTTGATCTGAAGGATTCCCATTCGGCTGTGAAACACACTCACACACACTCACACACACTCACCCTGAGCTCTGTGGTGACTGTAATTCATTCCCTGTCAACAGTAATCTGGGCTTCAGTGAAGAGCTTCAATGTCCTGTGATGGTTGTAGTCAAGCTCAAGAAGATTTTAGACCCTGAAACAGGGACAAAAGATCTAAAGATGATCAGGTGAATGTTTTTTTTTTCTTTTTCCTATTACTGCAGACAGGAAATCAATTTACAATCTGAAGCGATATGATTGGATATGACATGATATGACATGATATGACATGATATGACAGAAGTCACTCAATCCAGTACCATACTACTTGGCTCTGCCTTCCATCATTATATGGATTTGAAGCCGAATTGCTCTTAGTATTTCTGGGATTTTCTCCACTTCCCGGAACCACCACTTGCACAGTTACGTTGTACGCATTCGGCGGGAGGGTCACTGTGAAGACACACGGCTCAAACAGTGTATCTCCCAAGTGAGCTACGCAATTTTCATACGCCCATAGGCTGTATCAAGTGTCAATCATAGAAAATATGAACCCCCTAATAACTTTTAAAAATGAAGCTTTATAGAAAAAAAGAGGACTTGAGCACAAACCAGTCTTACAATAACTACATGTCAACGTCTCAAGCAGGGGGGAAAAGAATTCATATTCTGTGTGATAAATTTCTTAAATTTGTCCACAGCTCCATATGGATTGCTGGAGGGGGTGGGATTTATGACCTATACTGCTGCCCGTCATCAGAGGGTGCTGCTCTCGCAGTAGTTTCACCCAGTGAAAAGGCAGACGGCGTTCATTCTATATGTTTTGATTCAACAAGGAACTCTACGGTACAGTTTGATGGGAAACGTCACAATAGGATACGATTAAGGAGAAAAGATCGATTCTTTTGAAACAGTAACACAATACAATATGATAAACCACCCTTTAATACGATATTATTCTAATTTCAGTTCAATTTGATAGGATTAGATCCTTCAAGATTTGATATAATACAATGGGCTATATTATGATATGATTTGTTGCGAATTGATGCGCAGCAATCTGATACAGAGTGACAATATCATATAAACCATTGTGTCCCATTTTTGAGATAGATAGATAGATATGATGCGCATCTCAACCGCCCCTTTTCCAGAATCTTCTCTTTACTAGGATCTCACCTTCCTTAACCCACCTCCTCCTCTGTCTTTGGCTCAGAGCCTTCAGCAAATATCCAAAGGGCCTGGGGGGTTCAGGAGGCTTATCACGATGTCAGAATGATGCTGTGGTAGTCTTGATGTAAAGTACAATGATCCTGTTCAAAATTTAAACCTCTGATCACTTTATGTAATGCTTCCAGACAGAACTCTTATTCCCTTTATATAAAAGGGGCTAATATCAAATTTAGGATTTAACAGTGAAGCAGTTCAGTTCTCTACTGTAAACATAACTGCCAGAATTCATATCAAGACCCAAAAATCAGTCGACTTTTAGAGAACAGCAAGGAATTCATCAACAAATCCCCAATCACATTACCCGTGTGTTTAATGAATAATGATCAATACATCCTGTTGATAGTGATCTTGGCTTGTGAAACAGCACAACACAATACAATATGAGAGTGCAAATTTGAAGTAGTCTTCACGATCGATCTTTTGAGTTCATGAAATGTCCACTGAGCCAAATCTTAATGGCTGTGTTGACTAAAATGAGTTATTAGAGACCACGTCTCTGACTCTCCACCGACTCTGTTACAAGTCATAGAAAAGACTCACTCCAGATCTGTTCAGTCCACTGTATACGAAGCCTGGTCCATTTCCTTGGATAGTCCAATACATTAGGAGGGGTGAGAAAGCTCAGAAGAACTTTGGACCAAATAAGTGGACTGTGGTCTGCTTGAAAATGCAGGTCTTAGTACCAAGTGATTATTTTGAAGGTGTAAAAGAAAAGCAGACTGACTTCCAATCTAAAGACAGAAAGCGGCACAAAGAGCGTTTCATCTGTGTGTCAATACCTCATTCAGCATCTGTGTAACCACAGCAACATGGCGGTCTCACCCTCTGGTCAGGGCTCACCTTCTTCTTTGTACTGAATCATTGGTCTCCTGTAAAGAAAAACAGGCTGGTCTCTGGGCTCTATTTTCGTGCCTCGCCGGAGACGTGCCACAGGCGCGGCGGTCAGGTCTACCGCGCCGACAAGGCGTTCCCAAGCACAATTTGGTATTTTGGTGAGCGGCGCAGCCCGGCGTAAGTATCCCCCCTCCCTAACTCAGCTCCTCCCAGCAGCGTAAGTTGTAGCATGGAGAAGAGAGGGCTTGGAGTGGGTTTAACATAGCCGAGCCCTGTTTTCACCAATCACATAAGCTCCTCTCCTTGCCTTTAAATCCGCCACCGGCGAGGCGTATTACTATTTTCATGGTGTAGTCAAAGAGATCAAGAGATGTCTGAAGACAGTAATGCCGCACGATGGTGACAGAATGCAGCCCCTCAACAAGAGTCACTGTAAGCGCTGCATTGTGCGTCCTCCACACTCTCTCATATGAGCACAGATGGAGAGAGGACACGGAGACATGTCCAGGTCGAGCTGCACGAGAAATAAGAGGAAGAGGAAGAAAAAAAAGGAGGGAGACAAATTAAATATCTTGTTAACTTCATCATGTGTGTTTATTTACTAGATATTTAATTTAATTTAATGCGGTTTCAGCTGTGTTGATTCGGTCAGGTTGTGTGTCCAAACGCGTGACAAACGCGCTCATCAGATCAGATATAGATCAGAATATATCCATAGATCTAAATGTATGTGCTGACTCAGATTATTGGTTGTTGATGATTATGTATTGCACTGATATGTGTCTGAAACTGTGGAAACCTGCCTGTGAGGTATCGGTGACGTATGCCAATAGGCCGCCGGTCTACCAAAATACCTCTAGACCAGCTGCGCTCTGCCTGCGCTGAAAGCTGACCAGGTTTGAAGCGGCGAGCTTTCAGCGCACTTTACATGCCACTGGCGAGCACGAAAATGTCACTGTGCCCGAGGTTCACCACTTTGTGAACAACTGCGTGAGAAAAATAGTTGAACAGTTTAAGAACAACGTTTCTCAAAGTACAATTGCAAGGAATTTAGGGATTTCAACATCTATGGTCCCTAATATCATCAAAAGGTTCAGAGAATCTGGAGAAATCTCTGCACGTAAGCGGCACGGCCGGAAACCAACATTAAATGCCTGTGACCTTCAATCCCTCAGGTGGCACTGTATCAAAAACCGACATCAATGTGTAAATGATTTCAACACATGGGCTCAAGAACACTTCAGAAAACCACTGTCAGTAAATACAGTTCGTCGCTACATCTGCAAGTGCAAGTTAAAACTCTACTATGCAAAGTGAAAGACATTTATCAACAACATTCAGAAACGCTGCCGGCCTCTCTGGGCCCGAGCTCATCTAAGATGGACTGATGCAAAGTGGAAAAGTGTTCTGTGATCTGACGAGTCCACATTTCAAATTGTTTTTGGAAATAGTGGACATCGTGTCCTCTGGGCCAAAGAGAAAAAGAACCATCCGGACTGTTATGGACGCAAAGTTCAAAAGCAAGCATCTGTGATGGTATGGGGGAGACTCTGGACTGTTGAACAACTGAAGCTGTACATCAAGCAAGAATGGGAAAGAATTCCATTTTCAAAGCTTCAACAATTAGTCTCCTCAGTTCCCAAATGTTTATTGAGTGTTGTTAGAAGGAAAGGTAATGTAGCACAGTGGTAAACACGCCCCTGTCCCAACTACTTTGACACGTGTTGCAGCCATGAAATTCTGAGTTAGTTAGTTAGTTGGTTAGTTAGTTAGTTAGTTTATTAAGGATCCCCATTAGTCTACACCGTAGTGGAGACTATTCTTCCTGGGGTCCAGGCAAAATACATTACAGTACAAACATAAAATGCCGTACAGCATGATCATCAATCCTAGAGTAAAATATACAAACGTAAAAAAACACAATTTACATTAATAGTGGAATAATGGAAAAAACAAATAAAACCAAAACACAGTCCATCAGTCAAAAATGTAATCAAATTTGATATCTTTTCTGATTATTGCTACCTTAAGTCTCTTTTTGAAAACAAAGTTATTTCTCATAATAGTCAAGTGTGGTGGAACCATATTCCAATATGATATGGCTCTGTACATTACCGTTTTCTTAAGTGCATTGGTTCTGGGCTTATGTAAAGCAAAGTTACTACTTAGTGCTTGCCTAGTATGATATCCATGTCTCTCACTTGCAGGTATTATTATGAAATCCAAGTATAAAACCCCAACAACTGATTTCATGTCAATCTGTTTGAGCCACTCGTCAGTAAGACATGTCAGTGCAGTGCTCGTAGAGTAACCTTCTTTATATGCATGCTGTTGATCTGAGTTAATATTGTTTTCTGCAAGATATTGCTGGATCTGCTTGAACATAATACCCTCAAGAGTCTTACTTAAAACAGGTAAAATGCTTATAGGTCTGCTGTTTTGACCTGTAAATGACTCCCTACTGTTTTTTGGCAGAGGAGTAATTTTTGCAATTTCCCACAAGTCCGGATAAGCACATTCTTTAAAACATAAATAAAAAAATATGCCCTATAGGCTTAGCAATTGATTAAGCTGATAGCTTAAGTAGTCTTCCATCAAGTTCGATCGAGTTAATCATTATTTGCAAAAAAAAAAAAAAAGTTTGAGTTTGAACATTAAATATCTTGTCTTTGTAGTGTATTCAATTGAATATAGGTTGAAAAGTATTTGCAAATCATTGTATTCTGTTTTTTTAACGTTTATCACAATTTCCCAACTTCATTGGAATTAGGTTTTGTATTTCAGCATTCAAAATCACAGGCAGAAATGTGTTCAATAATCCCAGAGCATTTGGCTCTTATTGAAATGGATAGATGTAGTGAAAAATTATTAATTTGTGGCCATTTCCATTGGCTCTATGCAGTTTTTGCACATTTAATTTGGCATCTTGGCATCAAAATGTCTGCGAGAAATGGTAATGTCAGACTGTTTATGTGAATCGTGAGTAGAGACAAAGCCATTGCAGCCATTTATTTATATTATTAGTTTGTTTGACAAGGTTAATTTTTCAACAGTTTGAGTTCAAAGGAGAGATTTGATTGATATCTGCAGGGATTAAGGAGTCTTTTAAAGTCTGCTCAGTGATCAATGATTGATAGATCTCTCCTCCACCCAGACATCAACACAAATCCCTCCCACACTTGTTTGGTTGAACACTCGGCCTGATTCTCCATCTTCAGTCAGACAGCAGAAATATAAGACAGCTGAAACCCGCGCAGGGGGATTGATCAAATATCTATTATGATTTTGACCTTCTGTTATCATTAAAAAACAAGATCATCTAGACTGAACTGATAACTGCTGCTCTCTGCTTGTTTTCTCCTCTTTGGTGCACCTCTTCATCCTTCACAGCAGAGCGAGTAGGTTATATTGCATTACCTTCAGGTGCTCAGATTAATACACACGTTTGCAAAATGTATTCAGTGGGTAAAGCTGCCAGAGAGAGTAGTTGGAGGAGTGTGTGTGTTTGTTAGTAAAGCAGAGGGACAGAGTGAGCGTGAGGGGAGGGTGGGGTTTAGGTATCTTTAAAAGCAGGTGAAGTTTAGATTGGTCTTGGTAGTAGCAGTACTATGTGTATTTTCAAATAAAAATTATTTATTTTCTTTTATTGTAGAATGATTATTTCACTATTGTAGCTCAACAAACATGTTTACTGATGCTCCACATATTCTGTCTGTTGTTTGAAAATCAAACAGATCGTGTCGTTTTTCAAACAGGGTCCCAGGCATTTCAAATAATGTCTTTAAAAGTAGTGTTCCCAGTACTGAGATACTGTAAGCTGTGACATCTTTGCTTGGGGCTACAAAATCCTCAGATTTTAAACTGGCCCACGCCTACACTTAAGTATTGCTTCATTTTGTAAACCGTAGGCTGTTTTGCTACTTTCTACTTCATATCAGAGCTGATGTGGTAACAGTTTTTCGGTATAGATGAACATACAAAGCACTTTGCATTGTTGTGGTAATATTATTATTTTATTTTTTTGGATCATGAAATGCGCAAAGAAACACACCAAGTTCAGTTTTCTGAAGATCATGCTGCCCATGTCAAAGCTCATCATAGAGTGATGGGAGAAGCCAGAAGACCAGCAAAAAAATGAGGCTCCATCTTCTGCCAACTTTGTGTGTCAGAACCAAACTTAAGATCAATTTAGGAAACTGTTTTTGGAATCAAATCTGTCACTGACCAACAAAAGCTGCTGAATTGAAGCTGAACATATCCACCCATATGGGTCAAAAACTGTCAGTAACACCTGAGATAATCAATCTACTATTTCTAATCTGATCCAGGTTTGTTGACAGAAATGAAAGCGGTTCTGTGTCTGCTGAATCTCAGTCTGTCATCTGCATGACGATAAGATGCACTCAAGATTGTCTGTGAATGACAGCGGCTGCTCTGCTGTCACTTTCTGTCTGTCAGTGTGGATCCCTGCAGGCTGCACAGAGACTGGACATCAAACACACTCGGCTCCTGACTGCTTTTATTCGTTCATCTTGAATCCTGATCATTTCACAGGAACGTAAACATGGCTGTCCTAATGCTTATCCTCCTCATTAGCTCCTCAGTGTTTTTGCTTTTGTACTGTCACTTGTTGTGTTTGCTGTGTCAGCAATGATACTAGCTTATGGTTGATCTGAGCAACAGCAGCACCTCCAGAGTCAACTCATTTACCCGGAGGTGGGTTTTAACAGGTTTGCTCAGGCTGTGTTTCCACGGTGACATTGACATTATGGGCTCTATTTTCGTGCTTCGCCGGTGACGTGGCGCGGTGTAAGTCAGGACCACCGCACCGACAAGGCGTTCCCAAGCACAATTTGGTATTTTGGTGAGCGGCGCAGCCCGGCATAAGTATCCCCCCTCCCTAACTCAGCTCCTCCCAGTGGCGTAAGTTGTAGCGAAGGAGGAGAGAGGGCGTGGAGTGGGCTTAACATAGCAGGGACCTGTATTGACCAATAACATAAGCTCCTCTCCTTGCCTTTAAATCCGCCGCTGGCGAGGCATATTACTATTTTCGTGAAGTAGTCAAAGAGATCAAGAGATGTCTGAGGACAGTAATGCCACACGATGGCAACAGAAGGCAGCACCTCAACAAGTGTCACTGTAAGTGCTGCAGAGAGCATTCTGCACGCTCTCTCATATAAGCACAGACGGACTTAGTGTAAGTTTGGACCCACTAGTAAGACAAACACCCTTTCCACAAATAAAGACGCTTACATAAAGTTCAAACCTCACATGACAAAGGTGGGTTGTGTGCAGAGATCACATCATAAACTCCCAAAATGGCATTAAAATCGGAACTATCTGTGCGTAATGACGCATTGCGCTCCGTGGCCTGACTGTTTCTTTCATTGGTATTGGCATATAAAATAAATTTGGCCCACAAAACTGAATATTATAATATCTGTATGTAGGCTTAGCGTAAATAACTCATCTTATCACTGAAACAAATCATCTGTTCAGCCGCCGCAGCAGCAGCTGCAGCAGGACGAGGAGAGGACACGGAGACGTGTCCAGGTCGAGCTGTGCGAGAAATAAGAGGAAGAGGAAGAAAGATAAGGAGGTAGACAAATAACATATCTTGTTAACTTCATCATGTGTGTTTATTTACTAGATATTTAATTTAATTTAATTTGATGCGGTTTCAGCTGTGTTGATTCAGCCAGGTTGAGTGTCCAAACGCATGCCAAACAGGCTTATCAGCTCAGATATAGATCAGAATATATCTATATAGATCTAAATGTATGTGCTGACTCAGATTATTAGTTGTTGATGATTATTTAATGCACTGAAATGTACCTGACACTGTGGAAACCTGCCGGTGAGGCATCAGTGATGTATGCCGATACGCCGCCGGTCTACCAAAATATCTCTAGACTAGCTGTGCTCCGCCTGCGCTAATAGCTGACCAGGTTTAAATTGGCAAGCTTTCAGCGCACTTTACACGCCTGTGGCGAGCACGAATGTCACTGCAGCCGCTGATTCTGTCGACACCTCCCCCTGCCACGCCGCCACGCCCAGCTTGGAGGACCTCGGTGCGCCTCCACGAAAATACCAAACTGGCTGTACACCAGGCTCCGCCAGACGAAAATACCACCGCGTGGGGTCCGCCACATCACCGGCGTACACGAAAATTAAGGCTGCACGATATTGGAAAAAACTAACATTGTGATTTTTTTCAACCCTGCGATGTACACTCGCCGGCCACTTTACTAGGTACACCATGCTAGTAACGGGTTGGACCCCCTTTTGCCTTCAGAACTGCCTCAATTCTTCGTGGCATAGATTCAACAAGGTGCTGGAAGCATTCCTCAGAGAGCTTGGTCCATATTGACATGATGGCATCACACAGTTGCCGCAGATTTGTCGGCTGCACATCCATGATGCGAATCTCCCATTCCACCACATCCCAAAGATGCTCTATTGGATTGAGATCTGGTGACTGTGGAGGCCATTTGAGTACAGTGAACTCATTGTCATGTTCAAGAAACCAGTCTGAGATGATTCCAGCTTTATGACATGGCGCATTATCCTGCTGAAAGTAGCCATCAGAAGTTGGGTACATTGTGGTCATAAAGGGATGGACATGGTCAGCAACAATACTCAGGTAGGCTGTGGCGTTGCAACGATGCTCAATTGGTACCAAGGGGCCCAAAGAGTGCCAAGAAAATATTCCCCACACCATGACACCACCACCACCAGCCTGAACCGTTGATACAAGGCAGGATGGATCCATGCTTTCATGTTGTTGACGCCAAATTCTGACCCTACCATCCGAATGTCGCATCAGAAATCGAGACTAATCAGACTAGGCAACGTTTTTCCAATCTTCTATTGTCCAATTTCGATGAGCTTGTGCAAATTGTAGCCTCAGTTTCCTGTTCTTAGCTGAAAGGAGTGGCACCCGGCGTGGTCTTCTGCTGCTGTAGCCCATCTGCCTCAAAGTTCGACGTACTGTGCGTTCAGAGATGCTCTTCTGCCTACCTTGGTTGTAACGGGTGGTTATTTGAGTCACTGTTGCCTTTCTATCAGCTCGAACCAGTCTGGCCATTCTCCTTTGACCTCTGGCATCAACAAGCCATTTCCGCCCACAGAACTGCCGCTTACTGGATATTTTTTATTTTTCGGACCATTCTCTGTAAACCCTAGAGATGGTTGTACGTGAAAATCCCAGTAGATCAGCAGTTTCTGAAATACTCCGACCAGCCCTTCTGGCACCAACAACCATGCCACGTTCAAAGTCACTCAAATCACCTTTCTTCCCCATACTGATGCTCGGTTTGAACTGCAGGAGATTGTCTTGACCATGTCTACATGCCTAAATGCACTAAGTTGCCATGTGATTGGCTGATTAGAAATTAAGTGTTAACGAGCAGTTGGACAGGTGTACCTAATAAAGTGGCCGGTGAGTGTATATTGCGGTATTAAAAAATACAGGAATTTTCACCAGATGACCTGAATAGCACTTTATGTTATGCTGCACTGCTGAAATCTTGAGGACAGTTAACCTGCACTGATCCTACCTCTTTTTGTGAGTGTTTGTAGTATGGCTTCTGTCTGTCTCAGAGATATTTTTAGCTCCTATTGTGCTGGGACGTTATTGTGGAAATAGATGAACACAGAAGACGTGTTTTGGTCGACATTATCCATCTTGTAACCAAAATAATTCCAGATAACTGACTTTTCTTTTTGCCAACAAATATCATTTTGGTTTTTTCTGTTTTTTCTCTGTTTTTTGCTCAGTTTGTGATCATTGTTGTTGTTGTTGTTAACGGGGTTGTGCTGAGAAACGCATGTCCTCCGAGAATTGCATGCACCTCACAACACGCGCACTGCTTATAGTAGAGTGGTCCACGGAAATATACATTTTAAAACCCATACAGTTCTTATTTGTTGGGCTGAACAGTGCTGAAGAATGTTCCGAAAGTAATTCTTTGCGGACAAGCGTTTCTCGGCATAACTCCGGTAGCACCAGCGACTCCCTCCATGTGCAGGACATGTGCAGGGGTGGGTTTCCTCCTCTCTGATTTTGATTGACAGCTGGCAGAGTAGTCTGATTGGCAACTGAGAACATAGTTTGATTGGCAACTGAGTAAAGAAAGAAGGTGATTGGTGGATCGCTGCACAGCACATGCAGTGTATCTCAGTCAGCTACCCTTGAAATTAACTGAGTTCATTCACCTCCGACATCGCAGGCTCTGCGATGTGACTATTGCACACACGTACATCGCGATGACGACGCTCAAACGATATATCGTGCAGGCCTAACGGAAATAGAGCCCTATGTGGTTTATTTAGGAAGAGTTGTGGTGGAGGTGTGATGTGGTAACTAAAATGGCTGATTCAGAGCATCAGGACAGAGTTTGATCAGGAGAGAGGGGCATGTACAGTAATAGAAAAGTCTTCAAGGAGACAAATTACAACTATCAAAAGCACTAGTGCTGTTTGTTGTCTGAAAGAAGTTTGGAAATTGGTCAGTAGTTTTAATATGCCAATTAACAAATGGAGATAAGTAAAAATGTAACTTTGATGTTTCTTAGCAGTATTTACCTTCTTACAGTGACTTACAAGAGTTAAAAGTAGACTGTCCTTTTTATTTAGTATGTTATCAACAGGAAAAGGTCGCCTGTCCTCAGCAGGACACATCCTGTCTGCACCTGAAGCTGATAATCATCGGCGCTCTGATGTTGTTTATTTTTTCATTTTCAGAGAAGATTGGCAGCAGTAGCGTCCGTCTACGCGGTCACACAGTTATCTAACAGCCAGTCGCTCTGACATCTTTCAAAAACACCCAGCTCTCGTTCTAAAGGCACAAAATGTCTGACTGTTCACTCTTCATGTGGATTTCTAAACAGGCAAAAACACCATCGGGGATGTGACTCATGTCTGCTGAGACGTCAGCTTTGACATGTGCAAAGACTCACATTTACTGCTGTTTAACAAGCAGTTCACATTGATCTAAAGGGTCTGTGTCTGTCCCTCTGTGAAAAACAATGACGAGTCTCAGCATTCAGAGCAGACAGGTTTGATTTGAGCTGAGTGGAGACAGACAGGCCTGTATGAAAAATAAAGCTCATTACAATCAGATAGATGCACCATCACAGCAGGCGTGTCCTCCCAGAGGCTCAGAGAAAAACAAAACTACAGATATGCTGCTGTCAAATGCCAAACTGCTCTTTTGTATCACACAACATCAGGGTGTCCCCTAAATGTAATTGGTCGTGGCGCACCACCATCACAAAATAAAAACCACCAATTAGTTGGGTTTTTTTGCGTGGTGCCACCTTGGACACAGTATGTGTCACTGCAGGTATTAGCTATTAGTTCGTACCCCCTAACCCTAACCTTGCCCCCACCCCACTCCCATTCACGTTCCCCACACCACTAGGGCTGAACGATTTAGGAAAATAATCTAATTGCTATTTTTTACCTCAATATTGCAATTTAATATGAAATTATTTTTTTAAGGTCTGTTCTAATGTATTTTTTCAACAAACACAAACAATAAATAAATAAATCTGTATTACAGTATGCAATATCAGATTAATTATACAAAAATTGTTCTTTCTGGCAGGTATCAGTTGTCACACAGACACACACACACACACACACACACACACACACACACACACACACACAGGCTCTCTCTGCTCACACACTATCACGCACACACATGCATGCGCCATCATATATGTCATGATACTAATCTTCAGTATGTACCGATGGGTAGATGTAATTTGTGCTCAAAACTCTGGAGTTGGATCTATTCATTCCGCTGTGCTGCCATCACCATATTGGATGCGTTGTCCGTCTTTATGCAGACATGGTTTAAGGGTTTAAAGTTGACGGGCTGGTGCTTTAGCCATTCAACTATTGTACATGGCTTTCTGGTGTTTTTTAAAGTGTTGATAAAGGTTTATAGTGTCACCTCCTAATGTAGCTACGGTAGCACTGCAGGTTCTGTACACGTTGCGCAGCGGCATCTTTTTTAGCTAATATAAATCCACACAACTGCCGTCCTACCCCTCTTTGGTTGCTACTAAACTTTCTGCAGTGTCAGCTTCTGTCGAGCATTAGCCCAATAAGCCCGCAGTGTGACACAGTGCAGTGTTGACTTCTCTCTACCAGCCATGTTTCGCTCTGCTCGCAAGTCACATGACCAGATCATGTGACCAGTCGAAATCGCAGCCTTTGCGGTTCGAAAATTGCATTTTATCGCATTTTTACCGTGATGTAATCGCAAATGCAATTTGTCATTCAGCCCTACATACCACAAATAGATTTACGTCCTGTAGGAAACACTGAACATGACATTTCTGAAGATGAAGTCTGAAACTGCTACTATCCAGGTTACAGACAGTGTTTAGAGGCATCCCCAATTTTTCTTAACTGGTTCTTGAAATTGGAGTCTGAATCACAAAAAGCTCAATCTGACACCTGAGGGGTTTTTGGCTAGTGTTTGTAAATGCCAAAGTATCAGTTCATGCCTGTGCTTGATTTAGCAGGTTCATCAGTTGTTTATGAAGATAGTCAAATTGTTTTGGATGCTCACCAAAAAGCAAACAGTTGACTCTTAACTCTTTACTTACCCACCCATCCTATAAATAACAGCTATAAACTAAAAGACAGTGACAAGGGACACATGTAAACAATTTAAAGAAGGCCTTGACAATAATGATTAACAAACCAAGATTACATCTGGCAATGGTAGACAGAACAAAGGAGAAAAGACAGCAGGATTTCCAGCAGGTGGATTAGCTCAGTGAAGGTCGAGTGGAACTTTTTGAGAGTCCTGAGTTTGGACATGTCAGTCTAGTCATTCAGAGTAGTATCAGTGACCTGGTCCAATCAATGTGAGTACTCTGCTTTTACATCTACTCGACTCTAAATTGGACCATAAGGGCTGTTTGGTTATGGTAAATATCATAATCACAATTATCAGGAGTTTTTCCATGATTTGACATCTGCACCACATGCATGTATATAACTTAAAACCTGCTAATCCTTTAAAAGGGTTGATAAGTGGAAAAAACGGTGTAGCTTACCTCTTGTGTTTGTAAATCTTTGTTTGTCCATCTAATTGGATGATATGAATCTTTAAAAGACACACTTACTGCTGCTGACAGGGACCATGCATCAATTCTCTACTTCAAATTAAGAGCAGCTCTGTCAGAGGATTTGAAGACTGCTTTGAGCTCTTTTACTGCTCACATTTTATCACAGGCTGCAGATCAGACTCAGAATCATTCAGTCTTTTCAAGCTTTTAGAAACTGTCCTTTGTCATGTCCAGATGTGGGCTTGTGTAATATTATGACTGACAACGATGTCTCTCACTTTTTAGCCTGCTTCTTGGCTCTTAAGTGCTGGTGAAGCTACTGCCTCATTCTGTCCCTCTGCTTTGTAGACACCCACCTGCCTCCGCCTGCTCCTCTCCCTGCTGTCCTCTCTCCTCCTCTGCTCCTGCTCCTCCTCCTTCTCTCCTCCTTCTACTCCTCTCCCTGCTCTCCTCACTCCTCTTCCTGCTCATCTCCTCAGTCTCTTCTCTTTTATGAGGTTTATGATGTTTATGATAATTGATTTCCAGGTCAAATAACAGCATGTGATCTGTGGAGCATATTTGGGGTCCAGTTCAGTGTGCAAAAGACAGTCAAACCCCTGCTCAGTGTGAATTCTGTCATCCTAAAACACGTTTGCATTTGTTTTAAAGGTCCAGTTGAAGTCAGGCGAATGGAATAAATTGATGTTGTGAATATTGTGGAAACTTGTGGCTGATGGGTTTAAACTGGAGGTCTGCCAGTTGGTGGACCATACTCCAGTGTGTTTTTCTATCATGATATTCATTTTTTTGTCTGGTCCAGAGTGCAGACCGCCACCCTGCCAAAGACCTAATAGATGTGACTGACACTTTATGTTTGTCTTTTTACATGAATATTAAGTGTCTCCGTTGGAATTTGGGAAAAGCTTTTAAATTCAGCACCTGAATCAACGCAGCTTCATCGTTTTGTCTGGCCATCCAGTGGTTTATGATGGGGGTTTGTTCAGATCTATATGTGAGATTTCTTGCTCCACTAAAATTCAACAACAAATAAGAAGTGTTCAGGCTCAGTCATTATTTATCATTTACAACCCCTAGAGACTGGGACATATTTGTGAGGAGTAAATTCAGCTTTAGCTTCCATGACACGCAGCACACCTGAACTGCAGAAGGGGGTTCAGCTTTAGGCAGCTCCATGGCTCTGAGGCTGAGGGGAGGTTAGTGAATGAAAATATAGAAACCACAAAGTCAGGAAGCAGGAGCAGACCCCCCTGCTGAGTTTGAGAGAAATCAGAAGTTTTTTTCAGTAAAAGCAAGTAACCTTGAAAGTGTTGTTTTCTTTAAATGTCTGACTCCATCAGCGTGCCTCTGTGACTCCTACCAACCTGAAAAACAAAAAACAAAAACATCAGTATGGGGATCTGCAAAGTATTACTGCCAAAAAAACTGAAACTCCTGTTTCAAAATGTATTAAATTTTTAAACAGCAAGTATTTCTAAACCAGGGGAAATGTTTGCCATCCAGCTCTGTCTAAATCAGATAAGGATGCTTCAAGTGGGATGCATTGCCACCTCTTGTAAATTCAATCTCTTGGTATACCCACACTTTTTTGTGTACTGGGACTTACCGAATGCCTTTACCTTTCCCTTTCTTCTCCATATTACAGTTTTTTTGGTGAACATTACCCATGGTGCACTTTGTGACCATTGCATATTTTTACAGGTGTTGCATGATGTTCACTAGTCTGTTTTTACACTACAGGCCAAAGGTTTGGAAGCAAGGACATTACAGGCCAAACAGTTGGGAGTAACTTCAAGTTTTTGTTCACAATGCTTTTTCTTAAAATCCAGCATGAGTTTGATGTATTTTGGGATGTATTTACTCCATGATCAGATGTTGCTTTCATGGAAATGCACCATTTTACTCCATTTACCTTTAGATATACATTGATGTTAACAGACCATTGCTAAATATATGTCAGCAAAAGATAATAAGGGCTTAGTTTTAGGGTTGAAAACATTTGCAAAAGTCACAACTTCAGTGCAAAAGCAAAAAAAAAACATCTCAGTTGGATTATTCACTTCAACTTTTTTGCTTTGAGAGTCTGCATACAAAAATCCTAATAAATCTAACTGCGTTCAAACTACCACAAAAATGGCTAGAGCAACTGAGTAAAGAAACAAAAGTACAGATTTGTACACTGAGGAAAGAAGGATACACAGAAAGAGAAATTGCAAAACGCCTAAAGGTGTTTAACAAAGGAGTCCACTACACTCTGAAGAGACTAGAAGAACCTGGAAGTTATGATGATAGAAAAAGACCTGGACGAAAGAGAGTTACAGCAAAAGCAGAGGATAAACACAGCATTGGCACTAGTAGGAGAGATTGGCGAAAGACAGCACCGTGAATAATGTAGGAAATCAACATGACAAGGTCGAAATCCATATCTCTGACAACCATGAAATGACGTTTGAGAAAGGCTGGTCTGAAGGGTTGTGTATCTGCAAAAAAACACAGAACAAGAAAAAGAGATATGAGTGGGCAAAAGCTCACAAAAATTGGACTTAAACAAGTTTGCACTGTTTGGTTCAAAACGCAGAGTCTTTGTCTGCAGACAAACTGGTGAACGTCTGAAAGCACCATGTGTTGCACCCACAATTCAGCATGGAGGTGGTAGTTCCATGGTATGGGGATGTTTTGCAGGTGATGGAGTAGGAGATTTGTTTGAAGGGTATCATGAAGAAGGAACAGTACCACTCCATCCTCCAGCACCATGCTGTTCCATCTGGACTCAGACTTGTGGCTCATAAGTTTGTTTTGCAGCAAGACAATGACCCTAAGCACTCTGCCAAGCTCTGTCAGGGTTACCTAGACAAAAAAGAAGAGGAAGGTGTTCTTCAAAAGATGGGTTGGCCCCCTCAGTCTTCAGACCTTTCTCCAATTGAGCTTGTGTGGGATGAATTGGATCGATCGGTCAGAAAACCGCGTCCCACGAATCAGCAGTCTCTTATTGATGAACTTAAGAAAGCTTGGAATGCAATCCCTGGAACATATCTTAAAAAACTTGTGGGATGAATGCCTGGTATATGCCAGGCTGTTGTTAAAGCCAGAGGAGGTTACTTTAAAGAAAGCAAAGTCTAAGCAACAACAACTCAAATACCTAATAATTATAGTCAAAATGTCTTCTGATAAGTTACTCTTTACACAATAGTCATGTTTATTGTGTTGCAAATCATATATATGAAACTATGATCTTTTTTTGAACAAATCTGATCTTGCTTCAAAACTTTTGGCCTGTAGTGTACCTGTGTTATGAACAGTGATATATGAGGGCAGAGGTTCTGCATTGACCCAAATGATCTTTATTATGAGAAATGTGCCACAAATGGTTGAACATTGCAGCCTTATAGTAACATATACAAAAATAATAATACACAAACATGACAGTGAGCGACGGGCAAAGGAACAGGAGCAGGAGAGCAGCGAAAGAGCAGCAGCAGGAGGAGAGAGGGGAGCAGGAGGAGGAGTAGGAGAGCAGGAGAGATGAGAGGACCAGGAGGAGGAGAGCAGGGAAAGGAGCAGGAGGAGGAAGAGGAGAGAGAAGAGCAGGGAAAGGAGCAGGAGGAGGAGCAGGAGCAGGAGAGTGGAGAGAAAAGAGCAGGGGGAGGAGCAGAAGGAGGAGGAAAGAGGGGAGCAGGAGAAGCGTAGGAGAGCAGGAGAGATGAGAGGAGCAGGAGAAGGAGAGCAGGGTAAGGAGCAGCAGGAGGAGGGGAGCAGGGAAAGGAGCAGGAGGAGGAGAAGGAGAGAGGAGAGGAGCAGGGGGAGAAGAGTGGAGAGAGGAGGGCAGGGAGAGGAGCAGGAGGAAGAAATTGGGTGTATCTGGGTTTCCCAAAAGCAGAGGGACAGAATGAGAGCCTGTAGGGATCATGACTAGAACAATTGCTCACCATGAGGTGCTAACATCTGCTGCATTCAAAGGTGAAAGACCTTATTCAGAATTATAAAGAATTACAAGCTAAAGTCTGGGAGTTAAAAATTAGGTTGTATTATAGCTTGAATAGACTAGAGGACATGTAGCAGCCATCATGTGGTTATATATATGTATTTAACTTCCTGTGTATCTCTAACCTCAGACTCTGGAGGGATCCTGTTGGTAATGTTTTCAACCTGAGACTGTTTGGGCAACACAAATGGACCTTAAGGGTGTTACATTGACAGCCTGTCCAGCCAAAGTAAAATCTAAGTGAGCATATTTTCAATTTCGTGTATAACTATTCATCCAGGCCACTAAATTTGTCCATACAGTTATCTGGTCAATATCAGATTAATGATCTGTGTCATCAGAGTGAGGAGATAGAGACCAGACTGTCAGCGATTTATTAGTGTATTTGTATTTTGATTAATTGGTGTAATTGTGAACATAATCCATTTGATTCAATAAATAAACAAAAGATCAAAGAGATGGAGGAAGAACAAGTGCAGGCGGAGTAAATGTGTGTTGTTTGCCTCTCGAGGCTGTAAAGTGTGTTTTCAGAGCAGCTCATGTGGAGGCTGAGCTGAGGGTCCATTAGGTATCAGAGTAACAGTGCCAACTGGAGTGAAAGGGCTTCATGGTACGAGGGTACGCCCACGCGCTCTGCACACTGCCTCTGCATTCATTCAGCTTAGACTCTGCTGCTGATAGAAACACAGAAATAACATCCTGAAACCTGCGCTCAGAGTCTGTTATTACCTCCGAACAATCACCTCATATCCTCTTTTCCTGCTGTGACTGTCAGATTTTATTCAGCTGCAGCTTCTCTGACCTTTAGTCTGTATTTACTGAGCGATGCTTTAGATCTTCTGCTCAAACAAAGCCCAGTTTTATCAGAATCAACTGATACTGTAAAAACAAAGGGGCAAGATACAAATAGGGAAATCTGATCGAAGTCCAGAACCTAAGGTTGGGTTCATAGCGACTGGTCTAAGGTATGTTTAGTTTGTTACCAGGTGTGTCTGTGTCTCAAAAGGGTGTGGTCAAAAGTGAAACAGAAAAACATTGTTTCAGATTGTAGATATTATGAACTTTTACCATCAAACCTGAGAAGAAGAAGAGGAAGAAGTAGAAGAAGAAAAAGAAGAAGTTTATTAATCCCCGAAGGGAAATTCATTACAGTCCCAATTTTTACAAGGTCAGACTGAAGTTCTCTTCTTTAAAGCTGTATCTGAAGCTGGATCCTGGATTAAGGACTCTGAATGGTATTCAGAGTCTGGTATTTGAAATGTTGTTCAGATGTGTTTTTTTTTTTTTAAATCTCATTGTATATGTTGTAAATGAAGCTGCTGTGACGTAAGTTAAATTTTAGACTAATAAATTCATGTCTAAGACTGTGATTTGACTGAAGCTGTTTGTTGCCATTTTTTTAGGTGAATGTAGGTCCAATGTTGATGGGGAATGTCACAACTGTCTTGGGCTGGGTACCAAACTTGGGTTCTCTTGTGGTACCGATTGAAATGCTTTGGTGGTACCGAGTATTGAAACGAGCTCCGTCTTTCAGTGCCAAGTTTTGGTACCCTGAGATTAATCACGTGATGAAGACCTGATACTGCTGCCGGTGATTGGCTTTAACGTGATTGCAGCATGCAAGAAAAATAGTGGTGGATACATCTTGTGGTTCCACCCACAGACGGGGTTCACGTGTCTGTGTTGTGACTGAAAGCTGTAGTTGTGTGCGTCTTGAACCCGGTAAAAAAAATGTCTCCAACTCCGAGGTCAAAATTGTGGCTCCATTTTACCAAGATTGATGCCAGTAGTGCGCGATGCAATTTATGCAAAAAAGTGCAAATGACTAAGAATGCCAATACAACTAATTTGATGAAACACCTGACCGTGCACGGCATCAAGTTAAGAGCAGAACGTTGCTCTGTTTTTGACTGCAAGAAGAGCGGACTGCAGCCATCCTCCTCTCAGCATTCAAGTCCACCTGTGGACGTTACAGAGCCGTAGCGGCTTGGTTCCAAATGCCCACCACCACCGGACTTTGCTTCATCTGAGAGTACCAACGAGGGCACAGGTAAATTTACTTTATGTCACTACAATTTAATATGTGCATCGCGAAGCGAGTTAAACTGTGGCGATGCTAACTTACGTTATAAACGTTAGCATTGTGGCTAAATCAAAATCTAACTAGAAATTGACAGTAACAGATTAAGCTTAGCTTATCGATTTATCAAGTGGATCTTCTCACAGTAGCCTCTTGACTGTGGTGTGAGGGGGACAAGGCCAACTGTGAATCCATTCACCCTGGCAGAAGAAAGAAAGATGACTAAAAAAAAAACAAGATGAGTGCCACAGGGCAGTCACAAACTTTGTTGTTAAAGGTTTGCTGCCTTTTTTAACAGTGGAGACTCCATGGTGGAGGTAAGTAAAGGAAATTGTTGATCAGTTAAGATTTTATCTCTCAGTGTAGATAATGTTTTGTTGATTTTTTGTGTTATAATCTCAATTAGGGAGATGATAAAAGCCCTAAACCCCAGATATCACCCCCCCAGCAGAGACACGCTGTCAATACTCTCATACCTGCATGGTATGCAGTAGAGAATGGAAATGTCAAAGGAGAATTGCAAGACGTCAGAGATGTGGCTGTCACAGCGGATAGGTGAACCAGTGTGGCACAAGACCACTACTTGACTGTTTCAGTCCACTTTGTGAGAGAGGGTACCATGAAGGAGAAAATCCTCCATACCAGGGCAGTCTACACATCACAGACAGGGAATGTAATAGCTGAGGAGATAGGGGATATTCTTGATGAATTCAACATAAAAGAAAAAGTTGTTGCAATCACTGTCGACAATGCAGCTAATATGGATGCAGCAGTAAAAAAAGATGAGCATTAGAAAAATTAGCTGCTTTGCTCATACACTAAACATTGCTGCTCAAAAGCTGTACACCATACCTGTCATCTCAAAGTGGGCAGGAAGAATCAGAGCTATGGTGGTGTGGTTAAAGAGATGCAGCTTGGCTAAACCTGTCCTTAAAGAGAAGCAGCATCTTCTCTGTAAGTGTAAATCAAACTTAGTGCAACGTTCCTGGGCTGGCTGAATCAACTTTTGAACTATTACTATAGATAACCACTTTGACAACCACATGATGCACACTGTCTCTCTCAAGGTCTTCCTGTAGATTCTGTCATTTTGGATGTGAGGAACAGGTGGAACAGCCTGTTCCTGATGGTGGAGCGATTTCTGGAGCAGTTTCCTGCCATCCAGGCAGCCTACATGGACCCTCGGCTAAAAAAATCAATGGAGAAGGACAGGTATAGATAAGGATGGGCATTGTTATTCTTAACTAATTCTTTCATTAATGTGAACTAATGTGTTGGCCTGTGGTCTAGCTAATAAAAAAATGTATTTTTTTCAGACTGGAGAGACTTTCTGATGATGATTACAGAAAGGCAGAAGAGTTCATCAGAGTAATGAAGATACTCTATACTTCAACCATCTTCATCTCTGCTGAAAGGAGTCCAACTTTGGGCCAAATTCTGCCCATCTTGGGGAAACTCCAGAATCACTTCACAATCACCGATGAGGACTCCTTCTTTACACGGACCATCAAGGAAAAGATCTGTATGTAAAGTATGTACAGTAGCATGTAGATTTTTAAGTTGTTTTTATTAGGTATACTCAGAGATTTGACTACTATGCTATTTTTTGTCTTGCAGGATGAGAGCATCAGGCAGTTCTTGGAGGAGGGCGTGGCCTTAGACCCAAGATTCAAAACGAAAGTGGGCAATGAAGTGTGGACAAGACTGCAAGAGGAGCTGGTTACTAGTATGTCACAACAGGTGTTTTTGTTATTGATAATATCGTATTTCTCTTCCATTGTAGATCAGTTTTTATGACTCCTATAATCTATTGAATACAGAATAAAGGTGTGACCCAGGCCCAGCAGATGGAGCAGGAGCTTGAAGAAGCAGCTGGTGACCATGACAACTCTTCTGATGAAGACTGTTCAGCTGCAGTAACAACACTGGTAAAATAAAATTCTTCATACAAAGACCCCCCCCCCCCCCCATTTTGTTTTCCGAACAAAATTAACTTGTTGTTGGCATCTATTCTTCTTATTCTTATTTTTCTTGTTTCCAGAAGAAGCCAAAGCTTTCTGCCCTTTAGGAGCTATTTGCCGATGAGAACATGGCAGCTGAAATACAACAAGAGGAGACTTTGAGCACCACAGAGAAGATTGAGGAAGATATACAACGGTACAGAGGTCTGCCATCTACCTTAACCTCAGTGAATCCAGTAACCTGGTGGTGGAATGCAAGGGACAGTATACCAATGCTATCAGACTTGGCAACCAGGTATCTCTGTGTCCAAGCGTCATCCACACCCTCAGAGCGCACTTTTTCTTCTGCTGGGGGCACCATCAGCCAGGAGCGGGCCTGTCTGTGTCATGAAAAAGCAGACATGTTGATTTTTCTGAAAACTGTTCAGTGAAAAATATGTAGCTGTGAATATCATATTGATTTGTCACTTGTTTGCAAGTGTTCTTTTGCACTGGAAATTGTTCGTTTGTATTTTTCTTAAACTGCCAAAGCTGAAAAATATAATTCAAGATTTGTGCAATATGTAATGTAATTTTCTTTTTGTTAGAATGGATCATAAAAAATTGGTATTGAAAAAAGTCTTGAACAGGAACCGGTATTGAAGTGGAGGCATTGGTATCGGTACCGGTATTGAAAATTTTCTAACAATACCCAGCCCTACAACTGTCTCTGTAAATTTCTTAGTGAGAGCTTTCCTATCATAGACAAGGCTGTTTCTTATAATTGTGAACAAGCGTTGCCTCTTCTTGTTTGTCTACATGCTTTTTGCTGTACTCTGTAGCAGGAAGAAATACTGTTGAATATGTTTCCTTGTCCCTAACATCCCCTGCATGCTGACTTTAGGAGGTGAAATCAATGTTAGTAATCAAGATTTAAAGGTGGGCTAGTTTGATGTAAAACTGAAGGTTGTTCGTAAAAATTACAGGCAAAATATTTGTTTTTGTTCCATGATATCAATCAATCAATAATTTGTAGTACTTTCTGAACAATGAGATAAAGCACAAAGTGTTTTACAATGTTTTTGATTAATATGGTGAAGTAGGAAAGAACCGGTTTTGTTGGCTTGGGTAAAGTTCACCAAAACAGGAACATGATGATGTTCAGACAGGATTAGTGTTGGTTTTGTGTATTTTCTAATATGGTACAGTGTAGATTTGTGTGCAGTTTTGGAATATGTATTATGCCTTTATATTTGAGCAAATTGACGATATTTAGCATGTAACATTCACATGTTATATGTAACATTTCATCCATTCATGTGGATGAAATGCTAATGCGACAAAACCTTTTCGGTTTACTCCTGAATTCATTTCAAGACGGGAATATGTGGATGGGTTGATACTGCCTTCAGACGTACTTTGTAGCGGGGAGTGGTTTGCTCTTCATCTGAAACTGCAAAGTCGTGCTAATTCCACATGACTGACTTGCTCCTACCCTATTTAGCCACGAAATTATCACCTTCTTTTGCAGACACCATGTTTGTTTACACTGGTGTGTGTGGGAACTGGGAAGCCTACCAGGAAGGGGAAGCCTACGGTGGCCTGGAAGGGCAAGATATAATAGAGAGGAAAATCGATTTGATAATTTCAATTTTTTAACATTGTCATGATGAAATCATCTGATTATGATTTAAAATCGATTTTTGGTGCAGCCCTAGTCCACAGTTATATATTGCAATGTATGCTGGTGATACAGTAATCTACACTCATGGCAAAACTGCAAAAGACATTAGCTTCAACTCACTATAAAAGTTTCATAAACAGTTTGCATTTATTCCACAATGAGGATGTTGACCAAAATATTCTTATCTCAAGGCGAAGATTGCAAGCTGTGCAACAATTTAAATTCCCAGGTGTTGCATTGACTCAAACCCCAGCTTCAAGAACAACATCTGAAAGGTCTGTAAGAAAGTCCAGTTCAGTTTGACAAATCATAGATTATCAACAACTTTCAACTTTTTTTTTTTTTAAATAACCAAAGTGAATGTAAATGTTGGATGTTTTACTACCCTTTCCTAATCCACAAGACCATCAGAAGTCTGTGAGGTGTGAAATCAGTGGTCCACTCATATCTGGTGCGTCACTATTATGCTCAAGTCCCCTTGCACAGGTTCAATAGGCACTAAATACCAGATCAACTACTGCATGTACACACTGCACACACATCACTGAAGTTGTTGTTACCACTTTGGCCACTCACACTGACTCTCCAGCTTAGAAATAAATGCTCTGCAGCAGCACGGATTTTCCCAATACCCCTGTTCTTGGCACACTCACATTGACACACTGTAAGCATGTTCTTCTGTTGCTGTTCCAAATTTTCACCTCAGGCTCAGACGGTGTACCACAGTTCAGGCAACACAAGCTTGAGATTAAAACATTTTCTCTGACCTTAAACAGAAAACTGATCTCAAAGCTTGGTTTCATTTTGGGCGCCGTCTTTTCCCAGAAGAGCAGAGACCATGTTCTGCTATAGTCCAGGGTCTAAGGAAAGGAACTGGATCAAATGCGTTCACTTGGGGTCTGTTTGGCTTAATGAACAGAAGTAAGGATGGACTCACTTTGTGAAGACTGTTGCTAGGCTTGACCCCCTGAGCCTCCTTGAATTAGGAACAGACACTTTGCCTTATTTTGTTTCATGAGATATAAACATAATTTTAGCAGTTGAACATCATAGGAAACCTAACTGTCATGATCATGCTTTGTTGTCCAATCTCTGTCCTGGGTCTCCAAAACTTAAAATCTAACTTGATGGCTTTTCTAATTCATGCCCACATTACAAATCATTTTAAAAAAACTTAACTCTGATAATCAATGATTGACAGATCAACTGATGCTTGCGTAACTCTGCTGTGATGTTTTGCTGTGCTGTTAAAAGGTTTTGGCCGTCTTTAAGGTCTCAGATTTCCCTGAAGAAACTAGATTGATTCTCTCGTCTATTAAGAGCGTCTCTGGTGTTACATCTGCCTCACTTCTGATGCTTTTTAATAACATCATTATGAAAACACTGCTTGCAAACAGTGCAGCTCTGGGAGATTAATTTATGCAGAATTGGGCTAACATAATTATTGTTAATGCCTGATTGTGCAGCAGCGCTGATGTGGAAGGAAGAGAGCGTTTGTTAGTTTTCAAACGTTTCTCAGCAGCAGGAGTTATTACAGCAGCCATTAGAGCCTGTCTGTCAATGTGAAGGTAAGTGGTGTGTGTGTGTGTGTGTGTGTGTGTGTGTGTGTGTGTGTGTGTGTGTGTGTGTGTGTGTGTGTGTGTGTGTGTGTGTGTGTGAGATAGATGGTGATACTGTAGGGAGAGAAGAAGACAGAGCGGAGAGATGAGAGGCTGGAGAGAGAAAACAGGAAAAATGGCTACCACTTGCGAAAACACACACATGCTGCACATACACAAACAAAAACACACACTATATATCACAGCTTGTCCACAACCCCCCCTTCCTGCACACACACACACACACACACACGCACGCACAGAAAGGCTCCTCTTTCAGCATCCTGACAATAAATGATTTCTGTCTGAGGAAAAAACAGAGTGTGTCGGCTCAGCGGGGGATTTAATAGAGAAGGAGGGGGAGGGGGAGAAGGGGAGGACATGAGGACAAGGAGAGAGAAAAGAGAAGGAGGGGAGGGTATGAGGACAAAGAGAGAGAAAAGAGAAGGCTCGGAGGACATGAGGACAAGGAGAGAGAAAAGAGAAGGAGAGGAGGGCATGAGGACAAAGAGAGAGAAAAAAGAAGGAGGGGAGGACATGAGGACAAGGAGTTAGAAAAAAGAAGATGGGGAGGACATGAGGACAAGAAGAGAGAAATGAGAAGGAGGGGAGAAAAAGAAGAATGAGGCAGAGGAAAAGTAAGCAAGGAAGAACAAAGAATAAAGAAGAGAAAAAGGATGAGAAAATATGAGAAAGGGAAGATACAGGGTGGCAGAAAAAAGGATAATCAGGGCAGAGAGGAAAGAAGAGAAGAGGATGAAGCAGGAAGGAAGAAGGGATCGGTAAAGAGGCAAATAAGAAAGAGAAGGATAGAATAAAATGGAAAACTGAGTCAGGAATTTAAGGTTGAGGGGAGGACAAGAGGAAGGGAAAGGGGGGATAAAGAGAGGGGTTAAGAATGGAGGAGACAAGGAAGAGATGAGTAAAAAAAAGGCTATAGGGCAAAGGAGAAAGACCATCAAAAGAGGAGAAAATTTAACCAAAAGATGAGAAAGAAAAAGGAAAAGTGGTGGGATAAAAAATGGAAAGCGGTGTAGGAGTAAGAAAGGATCCAACAAGAGAGGAAAAAAAGGGAGGAAGAAAATGAAATACAAACCCGATATGACTCTTCAGTGGGAATCATAGCATTAGCTCAAAATCACTCCTAAAAACGTTCAAAAGGTCTTCATTTTATTCAGTCAACATAGTATCTTAGTCCAAGAGAAGTGGACTTTTGAAATACATGTAGAGACGTCAGTCTGACAAAAAACACCACATTCAATCAGAAGTGTCACCAGGAAGTCAATAAGAACACAGTATAAACATGATACAACAGCTTTGTCTTTCTTTACTGCCCAGGTTTTGGTTACTACACCCAGTAGACTCTTGTTAATGTGTTTGTCGATTGTTTTGGCGTCTTATGTAGTAATAAGCCAATGGGAGATGGCCAATAAGTAACAAATTAAAAAAAAGACTTCAAAAACACAAAAAAACCCAGCAAAAACACCTCAGAAGAGAGGAATAAGGAAAAGACGTGGCAGAAACATTAAGAAAATGAGAGAATGAGCTGAAAGAAGAAGACATAGATGCCATGCAGCTTTGTCTCATCAAGTGACTCGACTTAATTCATCTTAACAGCCTTTATAAACACTCTTCTATTCACTAACAGAGCTGGAGAGGGAGGCGGATAGATGAATGAATGGATAGATACAAAGATGGATTGATAAATTAGATTACTGAATTGATTAAATCTCTGTTCTGATCACTTTGCATCAGCATCAGAAGTCAGCATTCCCCTGCAGCCTGGCTCTCTTCAAAATGGGATTGTAGCTGAAAAAAGAGCATCAAGGATGAAAAAACATCTTTGTTTAATTATAGATTTTAGAAACAGAATTAATGAAAAACCCAGATGCTCCCCTGGTACCCCCCAAACCATCCTCTCTCTCTCTCTCTCTCATGTTAAATCAGGCTCAGTTTGTGAGTCAGTGCAGCTGTTTGAGATTCAAGTTTGACACAAAAACCTGCAGTGTGTGTTGGGATGAGTCTGTTTTAGGTTGGACTGCTGATTATTTTGTGATCTGGTTTCTTTTCCTTCCTGCATCCTCAATATTTTACAATGAAACAGACATAAATGAAAAAGCAGCTTTTCTCTGTTTCATCCGTTTTTATGTCTACATTTTCTTGGAGAGTTTAGATTGAGGGCTGAGTCATTCAAAAGTAATCCTGAGAGCAGGTTGTTCAAAAGTAGAAAGGAAATCAGCTGAGATCAATTGACTCAACCTGTTCTTTATTTAAAGTAAAAGCCAACCTACACCTGACTTTGTAGACCAGTTTAGCTGGGTGAGCGAGTCTTGATTCATCCCTTTCCTTCTTCCAGTTAGCGTTAGCAATAGCTACATGTGGAATAAGATAAGAACTTTATTGATTACTAAAGGGGAATTCAATGTGGTATATAATCCCCAATGCAGTGAGCGATAAAGGAAATGTAAACAGGCAGAGGCATGCAGAGTAAAGATTTCCACCAATGAGTGTTCCAAGTGCTGTTTGTTCTTATTTCAATGGAAAAATATCTCCCGGTTGATTCAAAACAGCTGCAACAGCAGATTCAACAGAGTCAATCGTGCTATCATGAGATCCATTCGAGCTACTGCTATCACGTTAGCTTAGCAAGAGTATTTGAGATCCAGACATCATACAACATGGAGATTACACTATGAGTACTGTCAACTCTTCAACTGTCGTCTATTGAAAATTTATTTTGCTGTGAAACCCCATATAATTTAATCTTTATATGGGACACTCTAGTGGTTGTTTCTGTTATGACAGGAGCAAAGAAGAAAGCTGCTTTAAGGAACATGACTTTCATTACAGAAGGTCAGATTTTTCCTTGGGCAGCAGATCTGAATTTCCTGATATCAGCTTCTTAGTTGCCTGAAGAAAAACAGAATCAAAAGGTTTGAGCTGGTTTGCTCATGTCCTCAGAATCACTTTTTTTCTGTTTAGAAAATACTTCAGAGTATTTTCTCTGTCTGCTTTTTATGTGGCAAAAGTGGGAAAGAAATCCAGTAAAAGGTAACACAGAGGTTTGTTTGGTGATCCAGTCTGAGAAAGGCTTCTGTGTTTGTGCACAGCTCCAGGGTCCATGCATATTTTAGAGTTATTTGGGTCTTTTGTATTTCCAGTTCCTGCGTGGTTTAGTTAAAGCAGAGATGCTGCAGTTTCTCACTTTTTAGACACCAAAGGACTCGCTGAACAAGAAAGTGGAGACAGGGAAAAAAAATGCGGCTGCTGAAATCAATGATCAGAGAAGCTGGAGGCAAAAAGGTTGATGCAGCATTTTAATCAAGAAGAGAAAAGAAGTGAAAGAGACATTTACTGCAAATATAATCAATAACTCTTAGACTATGAAGGCTTCCTTTTGAAACAACAAAATATGCTGTTAATAATAATAATAACAATAATAATAATAACTTCAAATCAGGACCTTAATGCATGGCAGGTCTCTGTCTGTTGTCTTAAAGACAAAGGAGGCACTTTTATGAGGCCAAGATGAACTTGGTGCACCAACAACACACAGGTTTTAACACTTTTACTGCCATGAATGCAGCAGGAACATCGGGCTGCATCTGAATGGAAAGATGCTGTAGACTTGAATTAAAAAAATGTCTTTTTACTTTATCGGAGAACATCCTAAACAAATCAGATCTGGACTTTTGAATGCCAGTGTTCCTTCATGACAGCAGATCATAGGGATGAGCCCAAATCTGAATTAGTATCTGGAAAGCCACAGATATACATGAGAATGAGAATAATCTTTGTATTTGAAAATTATTATCATTATTATCAAGAAAATTGTTATGAGCCTAATTGACACTCATGTACTGCTTGCAGTCATCCACTCCTGTCAATTTCCTCTGCCTCAAGCTGTGGCTTCATTTCAGTCAAACCTCTATGATGTTCTACATCTACAAAGTCAAACTTCGAATCTGTCTGGTGCATACTAGATCAGTTTCGATGAGGGAGTGTTTCATGGTTAACACTGGCTGGCAGTGATTAAATAATCAGATCTGAAGATTTGAGTGCATGGGTTATTTTTTCAAGGTCTGATAAAAAACATTTTGGTCTGGCACAATTGTGCAACTTTTTTATGTGTATTTCAGAGGTGAGGTTACAATCTCAAGGGCACTCTCAATAAATTGCACAGAATTTTGTGGATTGAGCAGCAACATTATGTCTGATTTTGGATTATTTAGCTGAGAAAGTTTAAGTCATCCAACAGTTCAAACTATTGACAGCAGCTGAGCGCTGAGGGCCCTCAAGACTTTAAGGAAGTTGTATCTGTGTGTCATCTGCATATCAATGAAAAGAGACTTCAAAGGGCTGAGTTATTTGTTCAAAAAGCAGCATATTCATGGAAAATAAAATAGGACCGAAAACTGAGCCTTGGGGTACACCACAGGTCACACCAGTGGCGGATGATTGGTCATTAAGAATTTCTAAGTTGTTTAAATAGCAGCTTGAAACAGATTTCAAGTTCTTGATCGCCTCAGCAGTTTCACTCTGGAAAACAACCTTGTATCAGAACATCTCATGACAACATGCACAACAATATTGTCATAGCCAGTACACAGAATGGACAGCGTGTTGTTAAGTTCATATATTTCTTGGTTTAATTCTGATGAATGGGATTTTACAGTTTGTTTTCTTTGGCTGTTTGGTTCCTTTTTTCTTGTTATTTTTGTTTGCCATCTTTGGTGTTTGGCCTGAAAGATGTAAAAGTCTTGTTAGTGTCAGTTAGACTGTGAGAGAAAAGTCGGACAGAATATTGCTGTGACTGCCTTGCTTACAGGCTGGGCCACACTTGTTTTTTTTTACATATTGAGCTGAAAACAGTCAGTCTTTCTTCAAGCCAAAGCAGCCTGTGGGTCTGTTGTGTCTGTGATTTTCTGTATGTTTAGGGTCTCTAATTAAGGAACATCGTGAGAGGGGGTGATTTGTGTGAAGTATTTGACACACTGGGGACCAGGTTTGTGTTTTTATTGTTGTTTTGTGTGTGTGACTTGGGCTGATGATAGCTGATGATAGCTGCTGTGTGAATTGCGGTGAAGCTGGCGTTTTTATTCTGGGCATCTCACGGAGGGAAGAGCAGAAACCACCGGGGACCGTGAGTCTTCTTTTATAGTTAATTTGCTCTGTGATTTGGTGGAAGAAGTCCTCAGTGATCTTTGTCAGCAGCTGTGTGGGAGTTAGCGCACGCTTCCTGGAAGCACAGGGGATCAACTGTCTTTTGTTTTATTACTATTTTGCATGATAAATATGCATTGTTTATCAGGGTTTAACATAAGAGTGGAGAAACAAACCACTGAAACAAAACTCCTCATATAGAAACTCACAGCACAGGAGACAAGTGAGGAGACACTAAACCTGAACCCCGAGGACCCACTGAGCTCTCTCTGCTCACTGAGCTCTGCTGGTATCTGAGGAAGGAAAAGTTAGTGTTTGACAAGTTATAGGCAAAGATTTAACTTGATGCGGAGGGAGAGGAACACTGTGAGGAATATGTATTATCTGTTTCCCTGAATGAACCCCTTTAAATATTTGACTTCAATGTGCAGAGACTGACTACAAGTTTTATCAGAATATTCAGTTCAAGGCCAGCATCCCTGATGGTATGGGAATCATCAGAGTTCATGTCCATTAATGCTGAACAATATCTACAGGTTTAGGAACAACATCTGCTGCCATCCAGACAGAGACTTTTTCAGAGAAGACCTTCATCCTTCAGAAGGACAATGACAAACCACATTCTGACAACAGCATGGCTCTGTAGTAGAGGAGTCTTGCTGTAAACTGGCCTGCCTGCAGTCCTGACTTTGCCCCCATTGAGTCTGCGACGAATTTCTGTAGGCCTTGTTTATGTATAAAAACTCCTGATCGGGACAGTTTGTTCTATCAGAGCTGTATTCACATGTGCAGAACTCCTGAAAATTATCAGAATGAGCAGCAAGTAAGAATGCACACTGATAAAATGTACATTCTGATTTTATCTGGACTTTTTCTGCTAACCCTCCCTTAAAAAAAAAATCTGCTTGAAGATCTTTTTTGTTAGTTTTTGCTGATTAAAAAAATCTCTTCCTGGTTTCTTTGAGCTCTTGGATGTAGCACTAACTTATCTGTGCTTGGCCTTGTTTGCTTTCATTGGTCATAAAGAAACGTATGTATTCATAAACTCTTCATGTGCTCTTGTGCTTCTTTGGTCTTTGCGAGAGAGATTTTGATTTTGAAGGATTTGGTGGTTGAATAAAGGTTAAAAATTGTTGAATCTCTTCAGGTATTCAGCCAAAGTGCTGCAGCTGCTCCTGTAACCTTGGCAGGAACCTCTGCAGAGTGAGCTGTTGTAAAAGAAAAAAATAGCTCTGCGAGCCGAAGTCTTTGTTTTTCTCTCAAAAGAAGCACAGAAGATATTTTAGAGAGCTGTAAGAGGGACCTGTGAGGGTGACTGACTGATGTTTGGAGTAAAAACAGCAGAGGTATGAATCTTTTCATGAGAAACTGAACACCACAGATGCTGGCTGTGTTGGAGCAGATAAAAAAGCTGCTTTTTCCTCGAGTATTTACAGTCTCATCCTGGTGAAAATGTTCTTTGTCAAACTGGGAAATGGCTCTGGAAAGTGTTGGAGTGAGTTATCTGTCAGAGCTGTGATCTTTATTGAGTCATAACTGAGAGAAAAATCCTTCATCGCTGATTGCCGCTGCTCTCTCAGCAGAATTATTTCCCAGAGCTGTTGTAATTGGGACCATAATAAGTGAAGATAAGAGAGAGGCTCTCATAGGCACCAGTGACTTAGTATTTCATTAGATGTTTCCATGGTGATGACAGCAGTTAAGATCATTCACGTTCTTTGAAAAGTAAAACTGGATGTTCTTGGTTTTATTAGAGCTACTGGAGACCAGAGACAGTTCAAAAATATAATGTTTGTCTGAGCTCATTGTATATCAGAGCTTTTTAATATCTGTGTTCATAGAGAGTCTGACTGCCCTCTGTTTATCACTCTGCTCTCAAACCTTATCAGCACTGATTTACTGTGACACCAGGATGAGAGGGAGCCAAGACCAGCAGTCACTTACCAAACCAAACCTAGGGTCTGGTTTCAAGTCAACACGATGAGGACTACGGGTGTTAAACTCTGAAGGCCTCACCCCCACACCGTCTCTCACACACGTCCACCCTGTTTGTGTGCTCATGTAGAGGGTGAACCACGCAGAGTGAAGAGTGGGAGAGGGCTGTGAAGCCCACTGACAGTGACACGATGCCGTCTCACTGAGCATGTTCTTGTTTTTTTTTTTTCTTGTTTTTTTTTTTTAATTGAAAAGGCTCCACGATCTGAACAAATCAGCTACTGTAAATAAGAAAAGTGAGGGATCATGTACACTGAGCAAAGAGAAGGCTGTGTAAATCAGAATTCTGACAAGGTGAGCAGTGCAACTGTTCTTATAACCTGTTCATTGAAGATTACCCTGGCTGCTCATTACCTGCAGCCGACTAAAGTTATTAATAAGTTATCAAAAATAGAGATTATTCATGTGCTCAGCTACATGGTTGGTGACATCTCCATGACGACAGATCCTTATTAACCTCCTTAAACATTTTAAACTAGGGCCAAATGAAAACATTAGCCTGCTTATTTGTACTACTTCACATCAGAGTATTGATGGCATTAATAATGTGAAACCAAAACAGAAGAAGGACAAAGAAGCAGCAGCCACAACCTGCTTAAAAGGAAACTCTTAAAACTGATGATATAAGATTGATTGTGGATACAGAAACAAGAGAGGAGCCTTTTTGGGGGTGCCGCAACATTAAAAATGATACTTTTCTATCATTTTTATTGCCCTTTTCATTGCATAACTTATCATGTATAAGGTTTAGCGGGTGTGCCATTTCAAAATAAAAGCATTGGAAAGAAAGCAACTTAAATGGAAGACAGTAAAAATGTCAAAATAAAAGCATCGCAAAGAAGCATGAGACAATCTCTCCTGTAAGGCGAACACAAACTGGTTCAAACCATGTGGACACATTGTAACACAGATACACAGATACAGGGGAAGACAGTCAGTTTGAACTTTATCAGATGTTTCTTGCACAGGGCTGGAGGAACATTACTGAATATAGTTGATCATCTTAAATCATAAAGTTTTCAAAGTAACTTGTCTCCCCACCCTTGTCTTAGCTGTCCGTAGTTTAAGTGATTTTTTTCCATAAATATTGTGCTGTGATTGTTATTTTTGATCCTCTTTAGGCCACAGTAACTGTACATGTACTTAAAATATCACAGCTTTCAGCATTGTCCATGTTATCCTTATGACTCGTGGTCAAAGTTAATTTGTAGAGATCCACAGCTGCTCTCCAGCTCTGCTGCCATTGCACGGATTGCAGGACAGGATGTTGTTCTACTTTTCCCTGTTAGAGATGGTTGGGGTCCATTAGCTCCTCGAGCTGCTCACACATCTATGCCCCCTGTTGTTATTTCCCCACTCAGCAGGTCATCAAACTGGGCCGTGGTCAGCCTCATGTAGCCGTAAGCAGCAGGGAAGTTCATCCAGGCACACTTCATGGAGGGTGAAGGGGGCTGAACTGAACTAAACTGTATCATCAGATGGTTTTTGTTTCCGATGTCTGAGCTCTGGGGAGTATTTTAGTCGACTTTTGGAGGCTCATCACTTTGGCAGAGTCTGAGTTTCCCAAACAGAGGTGATGACACAAAGGGCAACAAACTGAGAAAAACCCAAGGAGTGAAGAAACACAACACATCCTCTTTTTAACATCTTGTTCAAAGAAGCCCAGAAAAATCAATAAAACAATCTGCATATTGCTGAAGTGAATGTCCCAGCAGGAAACTTCACCAGCATACAAATCTCATTTTCCTGGTTTGAGTCTCCCTCCAGTTATGTTGCCTTATTATACTGCTGCAGACTTTTGCCAATTCTCTGTGTGCTGAAGTGGCAGCTAATTATACTGTGTAACTTCTGTGCATACATTTGAGCTTCTTCTCCCAGAAACCTGTGAGCGAGGGTGGAAATATTCCTCTAACCGACTCTGACAGTCTTGAGAGACAAATGCAGATGAACTGAAGTAGATGGGGTGAAAAATAAGGGTTTTTCTAAGTCTGTATAAAGTTGAGAATGAGCTGCCACTCAATATTAAGAAGCTAGAGAGTGCAGACAGCAGATAAAATAATGAATATGATGACATTTTGAAAGAATGTCTCCTCTTCTAAAATACCCCTCCATTATACAGCAGGATCCTTCACTTAAATAATCAGATGGAGTCACGTCACTTTTATGAGAATGACATTTATAATCTCTTGACAACATCCCCTCCTTCCTCTTCTGCAGGAAAACTAAGCACAGCCATGAGCCTAAATCTCATTGAGCATTCCGATAACTCAGCTAAAATGTATTAATACCTAAAAAAAGGCTTGTGTAAATTATCAAGAGTCTACATTTTTGTGATCTTGTTGGTTCAGGTGAACATTGATGGATTTTGACGGTTTCTGTTTTTGTTTTCGAGCCAAAGTGATCATATTATTGCAAAGAGGTGGAGATGGAAAGGAAGGAGGACTTCCTAAGTAAAGCACTCCCTCTGACATTTTCTCTCCTGTGTCCAGTAGTCAAATATATTTCACCCTTTACCCACAAGAGTCAGACATGTAGACCACTTTCCTTGTCAGAGACACAGAAATTTCACCTTCAATTAACTGACCCGTCAATGACTGTCCAGTCAAAAAACAGTCAAAATACAAGATACCAGAGTCTGCAGGTAAACAATATCTAATTGGTTTGCAGAGTATGGCTAACATCAGCAGCGCTAGCACCACTAGCCCCCATGTTAATGACATTTTAAAATAATCAGTATCAGCCAATGTCTGCACTCACATGGCTGATTTTAACAAACAATGTCTGCAAACACTGTAGGCAGCCTCGTTTTTTTTTTTTGCTCAGGTAACCATGTTTATTAGATTCCAGTGTGTTTGTAATAATAGGTGCTGTCAGGGGAGAATTGTTGTATTTAATATAATGCGAAAAATAAACAAAAACACAACAACAATCTAAATGTGATACCGGTATTTATTATAAGTTGACCAACAAAAACAGTATCTGTAGACCTCTACCTTATAGACTTGTTCCTCCAGTAAAGAAATCAGTCACAGTTGTTATAAAACTGGATCCTCGTTTTCTGGATCAAATATGCCCACTATGAGATTCAATCTGTGCTTGTTTACATCAGGGTAGTACAGAATTATAGCAACACAGCAGCAGCTCAACTGTGCACATCTTGACTTCGGGCTCTAAAAATGTTTCTAAACAATTGCAGTGTAAACTTGTTTTTTGGGGTTGTGCGTTGAGATGTTTTGTGACGGTCAGGATTCTGTTTTTTACAGTCATCAGAAAGAAGGCAGGATAAATTCCAGCACCTGGGAAACAAGCAACTTAGTGACAGTGTGTCCCACTCAATGAAGTTCATTGTGTGGTTGTTCATTTACTAGACTAGAAAAGCTAAAACAGCTTGCACACTTGCCGCTCACTAGTCTTGATTTTACCCAGCATGCCAATCTCTCTTTTGGATTCAGAGCGAATCCTTTTTGTACTGGTCTCACCAGCAGATAGGTTACTCAGTCAGCTAAACACAGAGTTCAATAAATCCAGTGGAAGCTAGGACTTGTTTTGGATGCTTTACTGAACCACGGTGGGAAACTGTTACAAAACATGACAAAGTATACATATTACAGATAAGTATAAAAAGTAGTAAAACATATGAGTACAGCACACTGTATGCGCTGTAAGGTAAGTGAAAAAGTATACTTTAAACAAGAGAAATATACTACAGCACAAGAGGTAAGTATGTAAATACAAATAATATTTTCTATTCTCTCTCTATTCACAGACAATGAAACCAGGTGAGACTGTAAGGTGTAAATATGCATGAAAACACAGTAGCACAGGGGACCATACACCACCCAAACTAAATTAGAAACAAAACCTAAAATTGTTGGCTGTACTCAACAAATAATGCACTCTAATCATCAATATAAACCTTATAAACATGTGTACTGACAGAAATTGCTTTAATAAACGTGATGAGGATGGAGGCAGATAAAACACACATGAAAAATGTCCTCGCTGCAGCACATGTAGCACACAACTTCCTGTCTAGCCCGGAAATGATGTAAGCACTAAAGACATGAGCGATTCTCCCATGTAACTGCCACTGAGGGGCTCCAAACAACAAAACAAAGAACATGCAACAGTTTGTAGCATCCTTGACACTTTTCTTTTTTCTTTCTAGGTGGACCCCATGTTCACGGTGCCAGCCCCTCCTGCACCAGGCCACCCAGGAGGCCCTGGATCCTCCCTGCCCTCTGTGCCGTCCTTCTCCCCTCCGGCCTTGCCCACCACTAACCCAAAGCAGCTGGTTGTCAGGACAAGGTCTATAGGAACCAATACCCAGGATGGAGCCGGCTCGGGAGCTCTGGAGGGGGACTCGGCCTGTTTAGGGCCTTGCCAGCCGGGGACCAGTGTCAACCTGGAGGGCATTGTCTGGCACGAGACCGAGGAAGGTAAGAAGAGCTTCACTGAGATTTCTAACTGGCAAACACTTTCATAGTGATGTGAAACTGTTTCAGTAGTTTTTTTTAAGGCAGCACTGAGAGATCCAGATTTTTTAACCTCCAGAAACCACATGCTATACTATCAACAGATAAGAGTGCCTTAAATATATGCACAGTCTTTTTAGACCTATCAAGGTCAAACAATGACACAATCACTGACTAATCCTGGCAGAGGCAGACAAGCAACTCCTCAGCAGTTGGAAGTAAATGCGTATTATTGAGTGTTGAAATCAGCAGACAGTAGAGATAAGTCTAAATGTTTCCAGATAGGCAGTCAGTGAGTGGATGAGGAAGGACTGATGTGTCAGATGTGGGTGACTAAAACCCTTTTGTTGCGGCTCAGTGAAAACCAAGATGGTGGAAACACATCAGCAGCTTTTCTGATCTACAAGCTCCACTTCACTTTGAGAAAAATAAAGAAAAACTTTCTCACCTTGATGTTTGTGAAAGCTTAGATTTTCTCTGTCAAGTATTTTTTTATTCCCATTGTTGTCACTTTTGAGGGTTGGTGTCCTGAACATTTCATCTTAAACTTTAAAGAGAGTAAACATGCTGACAGCCAGAGATGAAAGTCTTTTTACTGAGGGCAAACTGAGTTCAAGACACTCTCTGACTTTCCCCTAAATTCTCTGAGACGTTTGAGGATTCAGGTACAGGTTCACGGCTAATGGTTTGTTTTGGTCCTGCTCATTAAAAATAAAGACGCTGTTGTTTGCAGAGGAGCTTGTAATTGGAGACTCTTTATTTAGAAGCTTTGTAAGGACAGTGTCTGAATTTCTGACAACTCCAGGGAAAACAGTCTATCAGGACAAAGAGCTGAGTAAACATTTCTTCCTCTACAGCATTTGTATATTCTCTAAATGTCTGCTGGTTATGGCGTTCACTCCTGCTGTGAGTGCTTTATGTCTGTTTTGCAAGTTTTTTTGTAAAGTTTGTTTTTTAAAGCTGTAAAAAAAAAAAAAAACAAGCACTCATTTGTCAAAACGTAGAGCAGGTAAATAAACCTGTAAATAAACCTGTAGATACAATATCCAAATAAGAGCACTTAGAGATATAGATACAGATAGAATTAGGACCTCTGAAACTTCCCAATACATTCAAACCTTAAGACCTCCATTTTAGTTTGCTGCATCACAGTCTGAATTGTAATTTGAGAAGTGGCGGAACACAGCAGGTTTTGGGCTTTGGTAGAGCAGGTATATGAAGGAAAAGAGGTGACAGTGCTCTTGTCCTCTGACATCCCTAAATTATCCCCACCCTGTGAAAGCAGCATAGTGACACCTATCGTGGCTGCAAGCTCACTCATTATTTCATAACATAGTCCCTGTACACATGGAAGCAATTCAAAGATGTGACTTTGGACCAACTGGGAAAGTGATGAATATTTTTCCAACATGATGAGTTTTTATAAACTACATGATAAAATTGTGAAATCTGGTCAAATGAATCAGCATAATAAATCAGAAAAACTGGTAACTGCAGCCCTCTGTGTGAACCAATGTGGATCTAATGAGCTGAGCATTTGGCCCCCACTCAGTTGACGTACCCACCCACTTTAGTTAACCTAATCAGGCGTCTGTACAGCTATAAAACACATGCCACAAAGACAAAAGTAGTTCTTATCTTTACGTTCCAGGACGAAAGTCTGCTTCATTTATGGAGACAGCTGGAAATCCTCACAAGGGTAGTTTTGGCTTTAAGATGCCCATTTTTGTGAGTCCAAAACCTGAAGAAAAGTAGAACCAGAGACCCGTCCAATGCTACAAAACGATGCCATGGGAAAACCGGGCGTTGGATCAGAAAGACGGATGAATCACCTGGCGATTTCAACGCCATTGCTCTTTGATAGTCTGTTAAGGAGGACAGCGTTCAGCTCGGCGGCCTCTCAGTGGAGGTGTGATACCTTTCTGCAGGCTGCTAATGGATAAATCCCATCTCTCTGCGCCCATCTCGCTCTGCCAGCCGCAGGGCCTCTGAAGTGGATAGCGGGGTTTGGCGGAGAGGCGTTTGTTTCCCGGCCCAGTATTAATTAACCGAAGCGACACTCGCTCAGCTCGGGCAGAATAAAAACAGGAGAAGAAGAAGGAGGAGAAACAAGCACAACACAGGGGAATAAATCTGAGGCTGAGAGTGCTTTTAAACAGGCCAGAGAGATGGAGAGAAGAGAGGGGGAGAGATAGACGGAGAGCAATCCATCTTCTACTTCAGTCTGAGTGAGAGGAGGCCAGACGAAGGAGGAGACGTCATCTTCAAACGGTGCAGAGAGAAAGCTGAAATGTAATATATTTGAAATTATTTTAAAGGTCAAATCAAAAGACACAGAGAACAGCTAAAATATAGATAATCATGGAAGATTAACATGTAAGCAAAGCATTCAGAGGTGACGCATAAGAATGCACATTTTTCATCGCTGCAAAGTCAAACTACCTCCAGGGATGTGACTCATAACTGCTGAGACGTCAGCCTCGACATGTGCAAAGACTCACATTTACTGCTGTTTCTAAAGCAGTGGACATTGAATCGAAACAGTCTGTATGTGTCTGTGCAAAACAACAAAGCATATGTTCATGTATCTGTCTTATTGTGAAGGAAAGGCCCAGAGTTTAGAGATATTTTATATGATAAAAGGATGAATGTGTTAAAACTTTAAAGGTTGGATTACTGTCCATGAAAACACGCAGGTGTTTTTCTTCATTTCAGCCACCAAAGAAAGGAGAGCTGAGATTAGCTGCCATTTCTTTGGTTTAGATGTAAAAAGCTGGTTTTCAGCCATGAGTTGATATCATTGAGCCACTAAATGAATAAATGAAACTGAGATTATCTGGTGATAACGATATGTGAAACTGTTAATGTGAGGAGGGCTGTCTAAGTGAAGAGGGTGCAGATTGATGTAGCTGGATGGAGCGGTGGAAAAACAAAACAAATATGGCGAGCTCCCCAGAAGAACTCTCATCAGTTCACAGCACCGAATCAGACCCCAACAACAGGAAACAGCTGCAGAGGTGTTGCATGTCTCTGAGGAGTACGTCAAAACTTGGAAATTAGTCCAACTGTTGTATCGTCCCTGTGTAATTTTATGTGGTTAGCCTGAGCAGTCAGGTGTGAAGTAGTCGGCACATAAAACACAAACTAGCACCAGCTGTACCTGCTATAATGTGCATAATAAACAACAACCAGCGTTGTCTGAGGGGCAGACAAATGCAGAGGCAAAAAAAAAAACCTAAACTAAAATGGCAAGTGCTACAGGAGAACTTGCACCAGTACCAAACCACATGATTGGCAAGACTGTGGACAATTGTGTTGGTCTTTGCAACCAGCAAGAGTGTCTGGCCGGTCTGGCTCTAATCTCTGACTCTGCAGCAGGTGGAGTGGGAGTGGTTTTGCATGCATGCCTCTGCAAATAACTCCTGTTGTTACATCACCACAGGAGCCACAGTAGCACAATGCAAAGTCTTATTAGCATCCACATCTTTGAGGTGACCAGGCTGGAGGGAGACTACAGTATCTCGAAACAGAACAAGCTTGTTTTTTTTCTTTGTTTGTTTACAATTTGGGACCTTTATAAATAAAACCCTTGTCTCTTGACGTCTTGTTACTGAAAGTCCCAACAAATTTCTGTCAGTTCACCTCACATAGTTGTGAGATTTCCTTCTTGGAATCAAAAATGAGAAACCAACAACAAGCACGTTTCCTCCTAAGTGCTAGAAATAGATTCAGGAAACATCAAAGTGTCGAGTTTCCAGGTTTGTGAGAAAAACCAAACAGCATCAGTAAAAAGACGAGGCACAGAGGAACAGGGTGCAGAAATAACACCTCAGAGAAATCTGGAAAATCTTCAGATACAGAGTAATAAAACACTGAACAGTGACATTAAAAGAGAAAGTGTGTGTTTGATGTAATGTGCAGGGAGAGTGTGAGGAAGATGGAGGGAGAGAGGAAGGTTTTTAAGGAGATACATGAGGAAAAGAGTGTGAAAATGGATTCTGTGCTCAGCTGATGTCTGAGAAGGCTGACAGGACAGACAGATGGATGGATGATAGAGGGGAAGAGAGGAGAGAGAAGATAGACAGACAGGTTTTGTCTGTCTTTCTTAATCATCTGGAGGGTAGAGAGATGGAGAGGAACATAAGAAAAGAGACAAAGACTGAAGATGGATTGTTTTAAGGTTGGGCATCAAAGTCAAAAGAGAGAAAAGACAAAAACAGACAAAGAGGGAGTGTGTTTCTTCTTTGTGTGTTTTTCTTTCTCTCTCCTGTTTGGGGACTATCTGTGAGGAGGTGGAGGGATAGCAGGAGCCCCCTCCATGTGACGGCGGAGGGATACGCAAGGAAGATGCTGGTTGCATGTTAATTAAGCAGAATACTAATTGGAAAGCCAGGAAAGAGAAGAGGGAGTGGAGACCATCAGACAGTTTTAGACACCCCCCCCCCCGCTTCTTCCTCCACCTCCTCCTCCTCTTCCTCTCTGCAGGAAACCACAGTCTGATGAGAGGTAATCAGGTTGTGATTGGTTGGGCTCTTAGCTGAGCTGCAGTGGCTGTCGGACTTTAAGATGACCCGTCTGTCTGCCTGTGATAAAGGAAAGTACAAATATTTTAAATAATCTGACTAACAAGGTGTTTTGCATCTCATAAAAGCATAAAATAATCAGGCATAAAACCGATCTGATAAAGCTTATTTCTTTTGCCTTTTTTCCTCTGAAGGAGAATCCATCCTTAGAGGAAATGAAGCTGATTCAGTTACTTTAATTTGGAGACATGGATAAAATAATGATACTAAAAGTTGAAACTTATTTGAAGAACTTTTGATGTTAATACTCACCAAATATAATAGCAGATTTTATTCATAGTTATTGAAAAATAAGAAACCGAATTCGCCCACGCTCCAGAGTGCGAGCTGTTCCGCGCGCGGCGCTTCCTGTGTGACGCCTGGTTCACACAGGAAGCGCCGCGTGCGGAAGCGCTCTGGAGCGCAACCGCTCTGGAGCGCAACCGCTCCGCTTCTCTCTATTTTTTGCGCTAGCCGCGGGCGCCCCAAGCACCAATTGTAAAGCTGGACAGAGCAGATAGGACCAGACAGGAAGACGGGAAAAGGAGATGCGAGAGAACCCGGTCAATTTTCAAAATAAAATATATTTTAATAAATTAGAAAAAAAGGATTTACGGTGTTGCTTGTCGGTCTATTTTTTCCCGATGAACACGCATGTACGCACGAACGCACACACACACACACACACACACACACACACACACACACACACACACACACACACACACACACACACAGGGAGAGCTGCAGAGATTTACTGATGTTAATGAAACAGAGGAAGGGGACTTTATTACGATAGAGTCAATAGCCTCGAGCTAACAAGGCTACACATACAATGGAGTCAACAGACTCCCCAATTCATTCGTTGTTAACCCCTATATAATAATTTAAAACAATACTTGAAGATGCTCCCAATATTTAATTTATGTATGACGTAATAAAAACATAAGTAAATATTGATTACCCATGTTTAAAGCGCTCCTAAGTGTGGAAAACTGAGGGCAGACGGAAACAGCCGAGCACTGCCGGGCTCAGTCGATGTCTGACCGGCGCGTCAGAGCGCAGCAGAAAGCGCTTTATGTCTGAACAGCCAAGCGCATGCGCGTTGGTGCTGCGTGCGCAGCGCTGGCATCCTGAGTGAACCAGGCGTGTAGAGTTGAACAGTGCAATTCTGACTTTTTCAAATCCGACCCAGGCCTCTTATGTATGTGGATATAAATCGGATATGTAGCCGATGTAACTGCAACGTCACCATTGTTCGACAACACAAACAGGCTTGGAAAGCAATGGCGGATGAGGGAATGGAGAACAGCCTGTTGTGCGCATGCAGGTCACTTACGGATGCATTGCATTCACATTAGATGCCGCATTCATTGTTGTAATGTGAACGACCACACAAAAAGATCGGGTTTAACAAAAAATCCAAATTGTGCATCATGACCTTCAGTGTGAACATAGCCTTATTTTGACGCACTGGACTGATGAAACTACCACAACCTCGGTGTGATGGCATAGCTGCAATTAGAAATGTAAAGACGGTGAAACTCATGAAAACACCTATCAGACCCCATCAACGGCCACAAAATAATTTTATATGCAGGAAGAGTCACTCAAAGAAACAATCTGGGCCTGTCAGAGACAAAGTCTGGAGCTCTTTTCAGATATACTTTGATCAGTACATTTGCTCTATAAGAAACATTGAAGCCAGGGCTGTCACAACATACTGGTATGTACAATAACAGTCTTTGAAAAGAAATGAAATATTTTACCGTATAATGTCCTTAAAACTGTTTTTAGGCTTATCAGGATGTTTTATTGCTGTAATAAGAGCTTGTTTAAAGGTACCAGAACTCTCAACCTTAAAGCAGGGCAGCATTAAAATAAACATGTTTGTGGGGTTGGCTGCAGAGCAGAGATGTTATGTTGGGTAATGTTTGTCTCTGAGCTTCAGTAGAGCAGCTCAGTCAGAGAGCATTGCAGAGGTGATGCACAGAGAGGAACATTCTCAATTGAACTGTCTAAACCAAGTCTCTGGGTTTGATATTTTTACTTTTTCTTAGAGCTGCTGACCGAGTTCAGGGAAGAGAGTCTGAGAAACAGGAAGCATAAAGGAAGAATAAACGTAACCTTTGAGGGGCAGACATTGATTTTTTATTTTTCATGATTTTTTAAATATTTTGTTGAGGAGGTAGATGGAGATGAAGAGAGAACATTTTCTTTTTCTCTGGTAATAAAATCAAACCCTGAAGTTAGAGAGACAAGGTCTTTATAAACAGCACTTTTTTTTTTTAAAGACTGTTTTTATGGCAAAAAAGGTTTTAGAGGGACTGCAGCTGGAAGGTTTATTCCTGAGACAGGTGGATGAGGATTAAGAAAACAGACTTTGAAGGATGTTGAATGTCACACACATTTAAAGGCACATCGGGCTGTCGTGAACACACACACAGACACACACAAACTCATGACAGAAATGAAAACTGATGAGCTATCGAGTGTTTTGGCATCTTCTCAAGAAGAGTCACGCTGGCTAAAAAAAGAAACACAGTCACGTTTCAGAGCCAGTGAAACTTCAGGGGACACGAGGGAGGAGAGGAAAAACCTCCTCTGTCTGCTGCTGCTGTGAAATCAAGTTCATGGGCTGAGAAAGCCAGAAAAACAGTCATCAGGTGGACAAAGCTCATAAACATCACATTTTGGCAAATAAAGCTCTGCCTGTTTGGCTTTAATTAGATTTAATTTAATTTAACTATAATTTCAAAGCTGCTCTAATTTATCCGTCCTTCAAAGTATGTACATTCAAGTTCATGTTTTCACCACAGGCTCAGTTTGCTTTTCTCATGCTCTTTTCATGCATGCTCTCCTAAAAATTCTGGAAAATTTTAGGAGCCACAATCATAATCATAAACATTCTGACTGATAACGATTATTAAAAATGATTACTCATTATTTCACACCTGCATCACCTGCATCTATGCAACCAAAAAAAATCTTATTTCTGGGTGAGTAAAAACAGTTTTACTGTTTTTATTCTGGATTATATTTATCAACAAAAATCACATAAAATGGTGCTCTAAAGGACCTTGCTTCACTTCTTCTCTTAATCCTTAGAGCTTTAACCTAATTTTAATAATACTCATAAACAGTGGCGGCTGCTGGTCTTTCAAGGAGGGGAAGCTCATTTTTCTGGCCTACATCATAATTGTGTTTGTTTATTTGTATGTAACAGAACAGAGTCGCCAAACACAACGGCAGTCGTTTTTAACAAAGACAAATGTCGCTGAGGATCGGTAAGGTCTCCGGAGCAGTTAAGAACAACAGAATGAATAACTTGGAAAATGCTCTGGTAGATGTTTTGTTCTTCAAGATTGCTGATTCGCCTGTTTAGCTGTCAATCAAAAAAGGATTTCGCCTCAGACAGCTCATCCAATCATGGATGCAGAAGCTCAGCGTCCACGAGAAAGTTGGGACCGCCCTCTCGTCATAGAACTCCAGTGAAGCTGAGCGTCCGATGGGCGGGACAAAGCCCAGCATTTATCCAATTAGCGTCTTGTTTCGCTGCTGGAACAACCCACTTTGAGCTTCCACATTGAAGTCAGCAGAAGCCCAGCGTCCGGCTGTGTGAAGCGCTGAGGCGCTGCGAGGATGAATGAGAACGAAGTTTAGACCTGTGATTATCAGCTTCTTATCACAGTGTGATAAGAAGCTGATTCTGAACAAAAGATGAAGGCTTTCTAGCGCGTATTTAGGTAATGAGATGTACACACAGCAGTACGTATTTCACCACTTTTTCTTTTTTTTTGGGGGGGGGTGACATTTTAAGGGAAGCTGAGCTTCCCTTGCAGTCTTAGAGCAATCGCCACTGCTCATAAATGAAGTGCCAGATTTCTCTTAGAGTAAAGAGTTTTAGCTGACCGATTTAAGCTCTTTCACCACTTGTATTATATCACTGGCTGCAGATCCAACAAATCATTCAGTCTCAGTATAACAGTCTCTATGGGGCTCTTGGGCTTGAGTCTTGTTCTGTTTTGTCACATTGACTTGTCACTTTTTAGCCCAGCAGTCTTAGACAAACACACCCAGGGTAGGACCGCACGATTTGGGCCAAAAACAATATCCCAATTCTTTTCTCTGAAAAAAGATTTTTTATTCAGTGACGACTTCACCAAACAAACACCATGGGGAGCAGAGCATTCAGTCGCTCTGCTCCCTGGCTCTGGAACTCATTACCAACCGATCTCAGGAACACTGACTCTTTCACCCTTTTCAAATCAAGACTCAAAACACATCTGTTCAGAACTGCCTATCCACCATAATGTCCATTTCTCTGTCTCTTTTGTTTGTCCTTATTTACTTATTTATTTATTTATTATTTTGGTTACTGTTCTTAAATGTGTTTTAAATGTTTTATGCTGTTTTTAATGTGATTTGTACGGTGACCTTAAATGTGAGAGAGGAGCCTTCAAATCAAATTTATTACCTCCGCCAAGGAGGTTATGTCTTCGGAAGCGTTGGTTTGTTTGTTGTTTTGTTTGTTTGTTTGATGGTTTGTTTGTCTGTTAGCAACTTTACAGAGAAAGTTACAGACGGATTGACCTGAAATTTTCACCAGAGGTGCGTCTCAGCCCCAGGAGGATCCCATTAAATTTTGGTGGTGAGCCGGATCGCCTTCTGGATCCAGGAATTTTTTGAAGGATTCTTTATCATTGTGAGATAGGGCAAATTTTTGCATTTAACTCTATAAAAATGGTCAGAGTCTTTAGTAAAAAATTACACAAAAGGATCTCAATGAGTTTTATGAGGTGTCAAAGGTTGATCCTGATCCAGACAAAATTCTGGATACTGTGATCCAGAACACACAAAAATAAGGGTGTCGTTGGAATTTTCAATGCTGAAAGATAACAGATGAAGATACAAGGAAGTGTACGCTTACAAATACTGCATAATAAATCATGCATTTATGTATCTAATATGAGCTTTGTTGTTTTAGGAACATTATGAACAGTGAACATACCAGTTTAAACACAAATAAACGTTAATAAAAGACACGTAACAGTAAAAGTTTTGGTGTGAATCACAATACAAGGGGGGACATGAGCTGCTTGGCGGAGGTCTGCGCTCTCCGAGTGCTTTTCTAGTTATTATTATTATAATTATTAACTTCTCTTTAATAAGTTTTTCTATCATCTCTCAAAATGAAACCACTGAAAATGGTGTAGTGCATATGCCAAGCCAGTAAGTGGCGCTGTAACACTGCCAATGCACAAATGCCCGAAAGACAGAAGAGTTCAAGGCATGCGTATAAAGGTTGTTTTGGCCAGACACATGCAGCCACCATAAAAGAGTTACGCTGTGTGTTTCCAGAGATGCAGATAGACATCCACACAGAGATGAAATGGTCATCCTTTACAGATTTATGCACTCTCTGACTCTTTATAAAAAAGTACCGTGTACAGTCACCCAAAATGGTTGGCCTGGTTGCCCTGGACTGATGGCTGCTGCAGACCTTCCTGACTCTAGCCGCATCGTCTATGATTGTCCGCCTCAGGCCCTGAGCTCCTTCTTCTCTTGGATTCCTCTGGACTGTTACTGCAGACATGAACATCAGCCTCACTGACGTTAATAACATAAAACTAGAGCTGACTATGATTAGGCCTCCTGACTGTAATCACATTTAATTAATTTAACATTGTCCATAATCACTCATATCCTAACCCTGTAAACTGAACTCATTTTTGTTTCACCATTACATGAGCTGTTGTTGTTGTTGCTGTTGTTTCTGCTGTCCCCTGTCTCTCTCTCACCCTTGTTCTCTACTCTCTCTCCCTCTCCTTACTTATTCTCTCTCGCCTTCCCCTATCTTGTTGTCTCTCTCCCTCCCCCTGTCCTCTCCCCTCTCCCCTCTTCTCTCTACATTCCTCCCCAACCCAGCAGCGGCAAGGTGACTGTGTAGCATGAGTCGGGTCCTGCCCAAGGTTTCTGCCTGTTAAAAGGAAGTTTCTTCTTGCCACTGCTACTCATGTTAGATGAGATGGGCCAAAACCCATCTTAGGTTGGTTCTTGATCATCAAACAATGAGCGTGTTCTAGACCTGCTCTTGTTCCTTGAAAAGCGTCTTGAGATGACGACAGATGTGAATTGGCGCTACATAAATATAATTGATTGATTGATTGAAAATGCCGTTTCCTCCTGAATTTGTATCCGTGTGGATGGGTTGATACCGCCTTCAGTCAGACTTTGCAGTGGGGAGTGGTTTTCTCTTTGTCTGCGAAGCCTTACCAATTCCAAGAGACTGACTTGCTCTTGCCCATTTTAGCCACAAAATTATCACCTTCTTTTGCAAACACCATGTTTGTTTACACTGGTGTATGTGGGAACTAGGGAGTGCTCCCACAGGAAGGGGGAGCCTAGGTGGCCTGGAGGTGGCCTTGAGGATTTTAATTTTTTTTAACATCATCATAATCAAATAATCTGATTATGATTTAAAATAGATTAATTGTGCAGCCCTAACCCAGGGGCACCAAGGTGGGCATGGGGTCACTTGGTCAGTGGGAGTAAATAAGACAAGTGCATGGGATAAAAGTAGCTGACACTTGTACTGCATTCCAGGTGCACAATAGAGTCTTGTGTTGCAGCCATTACTGCCTGTTTGAGTGCTGGAGCAGTTTACTGACTGTCTGCAGCTGGAAATCTATAAAGACTGTCCCAGGTTTAAACATGCTGAAATTTCCTTTTAAGTTATGACTAATCACATCAGAGCGGCTCCTACTGAAGAGAACACAGAAAATAATTACCTTCCTCCATTTGTTAAAATGAGTGACAAACCTGTTCCCAGTCTCTCATCCATCTGTGACGGGCTTTGGTGTTTGGTGACGGTGGCAACCTTCAGGCAAATGGAAGAGCCAGAAGTCGTGTGTTGAAGTGAAATCTCGTTTTTAAGCTTTAATGCGTCCAAATGTGATTTGTGCCGCTGGCTCATCACATAACTGAGGTTAATGGTTTTCAAATGTCAAGCTGAGGGAGAGAGGGAGGTTTATTTCACCAGGCTGAGTCCTCGGACTACAGCAGAAGCCTTGAAGTCTTTATTTTCTGACAGGACTAGAGGACGTGGTTTTCTCCCTCTGTGTTGTTGACTATTTGGAGTCATTACTTTCGCCAAATTTAACAACCAGTTTGAACCATTTTGAAACGAATTGAGCTTTTTTCATGGTGCTGAACTTCATCCGCCAGATTTCATTTCCAAGCTGTTACCTCCTGCTTTCTCAGACATTTGCTCATCAGAGTGATTTTCTTTCATCTGAGGTGCTCTGTGCTCCCTTCATTAGTGCATATTTGTCTTTTATCAGGGTTTCATTAGTTTCCTAATTAGAGGAAAGAAAGGAGGATCTTCACTGAAGCTGATATATGCGACAGAAGAGTGAACAAAAGCAGCAGACAGGGTTGGATGTGTTGTAAAAGGACTTGTCTTTTGTGTCTTCAAACTAATAACATATTCAAACTATAACGTAGCTTAATTGTGTCGCACTTCTTTTTTTTTTTCAAAAAATGTTCAGATGATTTAAAATAACTTCAACACAAAAACCAACCATGCTTTTTGAAAATCCTGATTCCTCTCAGAGTTTTTAGGAAGAAATTCAAGGATTTGATGCTGTGGTTCATGACATGTTAGTCGCTGAAGCATACAAATATGAATTTCAAGGCAATGTCTTGAAGTGGCTCTGTGATTATGTATATAGTAGACAACAGTACATTAACATAAACAGTCTGAGAAAGCTGGTATACATTATGGAGTATCACAAGGTTCCATTTTAGGGCCACTTTAATTTCTCACTTACATCTGCTTTCTTGCATCACAAGTCTTCTAAAAACGTCTGGAGAGCTTCAACATTTCACTCTCAATGCTAAAAACAGTAGTTGTCTGCTCTCCATGTTCAAATGTTGCTCCTACAGACTCTTTACCAGAGTAATTTCTCTAAGCTATGCACAGACACTTCTCCATCTTTCATTACTTGAATAAAAACTTTGTGTTTTTGTCTCAGTTGATCCAGTACGAACTGTTGTGTCTCTGTCCTTTGTGGTGGACAGGTGTGCTGGTGGTGAATGTGACATGGAGGAAGAGGACCTACGTGGGAACTCTGCTGGACTGCACTAAACATGACTGGGCTCCACCAAGGTGATGCATACCACAACCTGTTGTACTTTCTTTGCCACTCCAGAGAAAACTGTCTCAACACAAGACACAAGAAGCAAAGAGAATTGTCAGCAAAACCAGACAATTTTCACATGGGGCCCTACTGGCCCAGCAATCCAAGAATGCACCAAATAGAGAGGTTGTGTTTCAAGTAGACAGGCAGGTAAAGCTTTATTCTGCGGCTCCTTTCCTTGTCACTTCCCACTCTCTCCTCATTTTCTGCCCAATCCAATGTCTTATTCTGTCAAATAAAGGTACAAAAAAACTGAAATAATACAAAAAAAAAAAAAAAAATCCATATAGCCTCTCATTTTACACACCCTTTAGAAGAGACCAGAGCTGGGAGGTTGAATTTAGACTTGGGGTGGGAATTGAAAAAACAAAAAAAAACAAAAAAAAACGGTTGTGATCAGAACTCATTCCAGCTAGTTTGAGCCATCCCTTGTCTTTGAGCATATAACAGAACAGGAGTGGTCCAAATCACTGTCATATACAACGAAATAATGTTGTGCTTACAGGATCAGCTCTATAAATTGAAAAGTATGACATAATAGTTTCCTATTAGGTCTACTGAACATGCTAATAGAAGACTGCCATTGTTGTTTAGGCTTGTTGACCAATAGGAGGTGGTATCTGTGATCAGCTGACCTTTTAAGGCCCAAGAAGAGGCTAGGCGTCCCTGTCCCAACACAACGGTGTAGTCCAACTGGCAGGAGACTCAGGGTAGGCCTGGTTCTTGCTTGAGCGATCGTGTATCATACAGCTCAGGTACCCCAGACACTTAGCTGGAAAATGTTGGTGGCGAGGGAAGAGTGGAACATTTTGAATGAATTGACCCTGCAAAAAGGGAAGAGAAAACCTTGGCAGCAATGCCCCCTGTTTGGTACTATTCTATATCATTTGTTGAAATTGTCCCCATGCTTGGACATTTTTGACTGCCAGCTTATTCTAAATGTAACCGCCCATATTTCTCCAACTTGGCTGTGATTTGTTTGTTGTGTCACCACAGAACAGCAGGGAGCAAAAGACACTGGTCTAAATTTTGACCACAAGCAAGCATGTGAAGTTAATGCTAAGCCGAGTGTTTCTGCTGTTAGTCTGTGATAAAGGCACAGCATTTAATGCATCTAAATATTAGAAACCAGACTGACTTAGATGGTGAACTCAGGCTTAGAGTTATATTGGAAATGAGTCTGAGTCACATGGTTCACACATGTTAATGACAGTATTATTACATCTGAGGTCTGCTTGGTTTATTTCCCCCTTTGATCATTGTTTCAACCATTGTTTTTCTTATTAGCTTTTATTTGCTGATGATTGCTCATTGATTAACCAATAAGAGCAGTCATTTTTTTAAAGTCCTTAGTTGTTGCTTCAATGACCAGGAAACTAAATTGGCTGTGGGGCTTTCAGCTGTTGTTTCGTGATGAGCTCTGACAAAAAGACTCTCCACTCTGCATCCAGACCGCTTCACAAATGGAGGTTTTTTGTTTTTGTAATTGCTGAGTGGAAAATGTGACAGCCTGTCCTCACAGGGCTGAAACCTCTCAATTAATGCTCCAGTATGTAAATGATTGTTGTCATGGCAATTACAACTTCATCTCAGCTACCAGGGACTAAATTGTTCTTTTTTTATTTGGACTCTTTCCAATGTGGACATCTGTCATTGGAGACTGAATGCTCTTTGTTATATAATTTAATGGAAAATGCCGTCTTTTTTAATGATTTATAATTTGGCATTGAATGCAACTCTGGTTTAACAATAAAAGATGCAATTTTTGAAGAAAGGACTGAATTAGCAACTCGCACAATAGGAACAAACCTATAAAACTGATTCTTCAAAACCCTCTGGCACCTACATATGTCTTTGGGAACTATGGCCAACCATACCCAAGACGTCCTTTTCATGCTGCACTGTTTCAGGCTCAAGAGTGCTGAGAAGTTTACACCTAGATACAGTATGTTTGGAAAGTAAACCCTGATCTTTCATCACACCACCTAAAGGGCACTTATTCACAGAAGGTCTCAGTTTCTCTGTAAATAAAAATGAAGAAAAAATGAAGAAAAAAAATCTGTGTAAGAAATTAATGGTAATTTTTAGATGTTACGTTTTCTGAAATAATATCATGATACAGGTAGGTTGAAAGTCAAGCTTTGTTAGGTCTGTCTTTGAGAGGAGAAAAAACTACTTTTATTACATTTCTTTGTCAAATAGAGGTTGGATCCATCATTTTTTATGTCAGGAAGTTATGAAATCTAAACGCTGATTGTCTCAAGTGACTCAGCAGCAATTGGATAAGTGCCTCAGTGTAAATGTTTGATCTAGTTGAATGCATATATCTGTCAAATTGCAGCTAGTAAGAGCCAGGATGTCATCTTGGTGGATTTCATTGCACTTCCTTTTGCATGACATATGTGGACTACTTTATATTTGCATACTCAGGTACTACAAACAAAAACTTGAACATCTCGGTACAATTGTGGTTGCAGTAAAATGTAAATGCCATTTGAGTCCAATACAAATTTCCCAAAAGGGTCATATTGTATCATATCGTATCGTACCTTTCATATCTAAATCCAGGTCCCATCCACAGATTCCACATTTTTCAGTGGAGCACTTCCTCCACCAACACTTTAAGGGCTCCTATGACTAGTTGGTTAGATAGATGAATTAATCAAAAGAAAGCTAATTCCAAAAAGTTGGAACTGTTCTGGCAATTTTTTAGCCAAACTGTCAATGAGTTACCTTTTCTTGCCTTCATGTATGATGATTTTGAGTTTTTTGTATATCCAAGGAATCATCTATTATTAATAGGTGGATGCAAATTAGAATTCCATCAGAGTAATGAGGGATACTGTAGGTGACCATCTCTGTTGCAGATGCACGTGCTGCAGGTAAGGATGAGGGTTCACTTTTCCCTTATCAGAGACAGTTGGGGTCTAGTAGCTCCTTAGGCTACTTTTATGTCTGTGCTCATTAAATGTCAGTATTTCCCAGCTCTGACAGACCAGCCTGTCATAGACATTTGCCACGGTCTCAACAGGCAGAGGTATGTTGGCATGTTATTGGTACTACAAATGAAGCCAGAACCCTCTCTATATTAAACTCAGACCCTCAAGCACAAGTTTATTAGAGTTTGTAAAACAAGATTACAGAGTGTTACAAGTGTTTTAATTTTAAGCTTTGGTAATTTTTTTGAAATTATCTAAATCACTCAGTCAGTCCAATTGCTTTTTAAATAGAGGTGACAAATCCCCTCGAAATGCCAAAATAAAAACATGAAATTTCCACTGGATCTTCCAGTAAATTTACTGGCATTCAGGGACACAGTGATGTGAAAAAGCAATTACAAACATCTGAGGAAACATGAGATATCATCATCTTTGAATCACAGAGGGGGTCCAGTCTTGACGTGCATTGCAGTCCCTTCCATTAATAAGGTGATTAAAACCCAAAACAGTCTTTCCAAGGTCAGAATTTATTCCCTGAGTATTCAACACCAACCGTCCCTGTGATGTAGTTTGGTAATTAATGCATTAAAAGACCAGCACAGATGCAAGGGTGCAGGTTGTAGCTTCAAAATAGAGCCTAACTCTGCATATGAATATGAGTCAGTGTATTCCCCTCTTCCCAGCAGGCACTTTTTTGATGAAAATAACAATGTGTGAGTGTGGAGAAGAATATCCTGTGTTCAGATCTGAGGCACTCCTCTAAACAGCATCAAAAGACTTCAAAGTACAGAGGACAGCATGTGAATACAAATGTCTCAGTATCATATGCTGAGATAACCGTGGATTGTGCAGATTTTTATGTTTTCAAAAGATAAGCAGACTTCGTACGGAAAGAAAATCAATTTTTTATCCTCAACATCAGGGCAAAGTGGTCCACACGAGCTTCAAATATTAATCAGTCATATTTCCAAGGCATGGAACAAGAGTTTAAATCAGGTGACAAATTGAACAAGTTGTTTAAAAGCTTTTGAAGAACAACACGTCAACTGGAAAGCTTTGTGCTCAGTGTCAGGTTTTTCTGATTGTTCATCAAGGCTCAAAAACAATTAGGGAGCCTGATGCAACATGATGTGAAATAAAATGGTACAATGTGAAAAAACTGGAAAGATTTTAAGTAGCCTAGTGAGCAGGCTGATTACCAAAGTCTGGGCCAAAACTAGGACGTGTCTGCCTTATCATGGTATATTAAGCTGTTCCCTGCAAGTCCTAGTTATCGTTAAAGCAGGGGTTCAAATTCAGATCCAAAAACCATCACATTGTAGCCTTTATGGAGGGTCTGCAGCCTCTCATTTCCTAACCTCATTATTCATGCCGTGGTATGAGTGGGCAGAGAGGCTATGATAATGAGATGCTGTGCTGATTGGCTGCCTAGATGTTGTCCAGCAGGCCAGGGGACTGATGCAGTCAGATGCAGAGTCGGAAAAACACCTAATGGCAAGTACCCCAGAAGAACCCATGCCAGTACTGAGCTAAATGTCTCTTGTAATAAACCGTGAATACTTCGGTGGTGTTTGCAGCTTCTAACAGAGCAGCTGGCGTGTCTGGCTCCAACTTGTCATACCTTAATTTGCAACACTAAAGCAATGCCACAACAGTGTAGGAGAAAGTGGAATGTTTTAAGAGAGAGAGAGAGGGGAGAGTGGGAGTTGTTTTGCATGCATACCGTTGAAAAACCCTCCTGTTGTTGAGTCACCACGTGAGCCCATTTCAGTCACCTTGTAGAAGCTCCTTTTTCCAGAAAGAATGCTTTCTTGATTCTGCATTCTCAGGGCTGGAGGATGACTAACTTATACTAAAACAGGCTTAGATAAAAGTGTTTTTTTTTTTTTGTTATTTGTGACTGTAGCCACTGGTGAGCAAAGGAGAAAAAAGTGTATACCTCTAAAGCAACAAACTTCTGTTATATATGTTTGGGCTGAGAATACACCAAACATCAGTATAAATAACAGGATGGAGTGTCATCTCAACCTTTGTGAGTGAAGTGTTTATGACCCACAACCAAATTTAATGGTACTGTGTTATGTTAATGTTTAGCTTGAACTGAGCACTCATGTTAAATGGGAACAGAGGATTTTTTTTTCCTATCAAATTTCCTTTGGAGACTCCCACTATCACAATTTGGTGTTGGTTTGTGGTTCATCACTGTGTCTAAATAACGCTGTGACAGCTGTGCCATAAACAGTCAGGGAAATATAAAATCATACATTAGTAATATCACATACAGCTTATCCTCACCATCAATCCACACCTCATCACTAATCCAAAAGGCATTTCTAGTCTATAACAATATGGTGTCTAAAAACATGTTTTTTATGATCATCCGTCCAGGTTTTGTGAATCTCCTTCCAGTGATCCTGAGTTGCCAGGGGGGCGTGGCCGGGGTAAAAGGATGCGGATGGCCCTTGGTGAGCGGCCCTGTATTGAACCAGCCCCTGCTACCAAAGTCAGAGGTTTATCACAGCACAGGAGCCGTGGAGGTGGGGTGGCTGGAACTACTGCTACCATCCACAACAAGGGACGGAGAGGGAGCCTGAACCTTATCAACAGCAACTGCCGAGCACCTCCTTCTTTCTTTACTGTGGATGAGGTGAAACCCGCCAACAGCACCTCCTCTCTCTCCTCAGGGAAGCGAAAGAACAAACCACCAGCTGAGCTCGACCTCAGCTTGGTCTCCTCTGAGGACATTAAAAACGGGAATGGTAAGCGGATCCGAGCCAAATCCCGCAGTGCCCCATCCACACCACAGGGCAAATCTGACCCCTCGTTCATGGACCCTGGGGGAGGCTGTGCTTCCTCACCACCTCCCCCGCCCATCCTCATTGACTGCCCCCACCCCAACTGCACTAAACGCTACAAGCACATCAATGGCCTGCGCTACCATCAGACACATGCACACCTTGAAGTCGAGGAGCAGAGAAAGCCTGAGCTGGAGCCCACAAAGGATGGAGAGAGTGAAGAACGACTGTCCGACTGTGATGACACAATAGGCAACTTGACATTTGACCTCTCTGAAACGAACAACAGCAGTAATGCAAACAGCTCCTCTAAGAAACCGGCCCCTCTTTATAAGGTGACCACAGTAGGGTCTCCTAAGAACAGGCGGCTGCTCCTTAGTACCGACCACAGCCCCACAGCCAACTCCAAAACCAGAAGAACCTCACTGCTGAAAGATGGCCTCATTGATGACCTTAGCAATCTGCCCATCATCTCTAACATGACTGTAGTTCTGGAAAACTGCATGGTCCCTGACAGAAACTCAACAGTGGAGATGCCCAAGCTGGAAGCTGAAGGTCTGATAGATAAAAAGGGTACTGCATGTGACAAGGGCAAGAAGGCAAACGGGAAGGTGGAGAAGTTGTCCAAGTCACGAACCAACCGTCTGATTGCCCCTGCACCTGCCCCTCCAAAGCTGATAGCCATACCCAACACAGCATATCCAGCAGGCACAGCAGATAGTGCTACCTCGCAGCAGCCCTCACCAATGGCAGCAGTAGGCCTGACCAGTAAAAACCTTCCCTTGAAACCCATCAAACCAAAGCTGAGCATCGTTGTTGAACCGAACCTTGTCAAGACCACCTTGGTTACCTGCAGCAAAGAGACCAGAAAGAAAGAGAAGCGGCGGCTGAAGGACAAACATAAAGATTTGCCAATCCGCACGCCTAATGGTGATAATGGAATCAAACTGGAAGACAGTGGTGGTGGTCCAAAAATGGGCGTCAAGGAAATCTCTGGAAGCCTTTTGAAGGAGCACCTCAGTAAGCAGGATGTAATAAATGGGCTGAGTGAGAGCCAAGAGAGCAGGATGGCCAGCATTCGAGCTGAGGCTGACAAGGTCTACACCTTCACGGACAACGCCCCTAGTCCTTCCATCGGTGGTTCATCACGGCTCGACTCCAGCAGTGGTTGCCTTGTCACAGCAGACAGCAATAGTAAGAACAACAGTCCTGCTTACTCCGACATCTCAGATGCCGGGGATGATGGAGGGTCTTCAGAATGTCGCTCAGATGGAATCAGGTCCAAGTCCAGCTCCTCTGCCTCATCAGAGGTGAGCTCTAACTGTAACCATGGTAGCTCTGGTAAGACACCCCCCACAGCACCTGCCCTATCATCAAAAGACCCCCAGTCCCCTTATTACCACAACTATGATCCCTATTACCTTCAAGGATACATGCAGTCAGACCGGCAAAACAGTGCAAGTGTCGCTTTCCACAAGAACTCAGCTCTTGATGGCAAAGGGAAAGACAGAAAGGACGAAGTGAAAGAGGACGATAAAAGCTCTGCCCATGAGTTTTCGGAGTCAAAGAAAGGTGAAGGACCACCTCAGTCGCAGCTCCAGTTGGCTATGAGTCAGACCCAGACTGCCTTGGCCCAGTCGCTCTACTATGGCCAGTACTCCAGGGGACTGTACATGGACCAGAAACTGCTAATGGGCTCCAAATGCTGTGACCAGTTGCACAGTGGCAAGCAGAGGGGTGAGAGGGGACAGGGAGTGAGGGACAGTGAGGAGGAAAAACACATGGTTGGGGGTTCAGCTGGTGGACCGATGCTAGCTAAAGGTCCAGATGGTGCTAAAGGCTGCTGCCCCAAACCTGTCCTGTCCTACGTGGAGATGAGTGAAAGGGGAGAAAGGGGACAGGGTCTGGGCATAAAAGCGGTGCATGGTGGCATGGTGGAGCAGCACCAGGGCTTGATGAAAGACTGTGATGACATGAAGTCATCTTCCTCTTCCTCTTCATCATCACTCCACAACCCAAACAGTCAGACAGATCTGGACTCAAATGTTTCCTTTTCCAGTGTAAGTTTCTCCCTCTGTCTATAACCTGCCGCCGCCGCCGATGATGATAATAATGATGCTGTTGTTGGTGTGCTTTAATGACTGTTGTTGAGTGTCACAGAGAGATTAATCATACATTGTGCACAGCCAAACCAATAGGTGCTAACAACAAAAACCATATGGCTTCTGGTGCTGAAGCTCTTTAGTTGACATCAAAATCATGTGGTTTGATTTGATGGATGCAAATGTTTAATGTTTAGAGTAATGGCAAAAATGTACCTTTAGCTCTAAGTGTGAAACATAAAGAACAAAATATTTCTATTTCATAAGTGTTGGTTTTCATGCAAGCGTGTACAGATTTTTAATCATGTCATAGCATGATGCAGATAACCACTAACTCTGGCCTTGCTGGCTGGTAACAAAGGATGAATGAATCAACTAGAGCCGTGTTTGGCAGGGTTGTTTCTTCTCTTCAGTTTGGCTAAACTTCTGCCATTGGTCATGTATGAGACATGACTTCATTCGTGTCATTGAGAGGGATGCCACAATCCTCACATCCCACCTGTGAATGGCCACCTGCTGTTGAAACGCCGTCATCCTTCATCAACATCACACCTAGAGCCAGTGATAGATGCTCTGTCTATGGTTCTGTTCACTCAACAGTGTTTCCTCTATAGTCGTTCAGCAGCGGTGGGCCACCACAGTGAGAAATTCCCAACCATGCTCAAAAGAAAATGTATAAGTTATGATTAGCCATCCTTTCCCTCCAAAAACTACTTGAGACAAAAGTTTAGATTAAAACTGACATTTTGTTTAAAGTCTGTAACTGGCAGTGTAATCAAAAACTGGGACAAAGACTTGGACCGGAGTTGAACTGACTCTAAAATGACCTCCACCCACCACTGTTAACAAAACATTATAGTGGAAACACTGCAACTAGCACCAACTCTTTTCCCCAATCGATCTAGCCCTCAGATGGCCCAGCCTGGGCTCACTGCCTGCCTCACAGCAAATACTCAGAGCTACAGAGTCAACATGGGGAGGAGGCCGAGGAGGGTGAAGTAGACAGGGGAAAAGAGTGGGGAGTGACCGTGGAGCCTACCGGGGCCAAGATGACCTCTGGTGGAGGACCTGGTGGAGAGAGGGGCGGGGGCCTTGGCGGGGATGCTAAAAAAGCCAGGATCCATGGATCCCAAGACCTCCTACCTGTCATTGATGCAGAGGATTCTGACAGGCTGGAGGGGCTTGATGATGGAAGCCAGGAGCCAATGGGAGGGCTCTCTGAGGAGTCCCAGAGTGCCAGAGCAGCGGTGTCTCCACCCATGACCCCCCAGCAGCCCTACATCCAGTACCAGCACTCCTCCTACCAGCCCTACCTGTCAATGTGTGAGAGCGGTGGGGGCTCCTACAGAGGTGTGTCACCAACCCTGATCCACAACTACCCAGGTAAGAACCTGAGCAAAGGTAGGGATTTTCTTCAGAGCGTAAATGATGGTTTACTTCGACCAAAGTGGGCAGGGTTTATAGCCGTTGACATGTTGCTGCTGCAGCTGAAGGGATTTAGCTAATGAATAGTTCATTAAAGTTCAGCACTGAGGGTGTTTGATTCATTGTTTGAAGTATTGCAGATTTAAGTTTAAGTGTTTTAGCCTCATCAACAGAGTAACAGTGTCAGTGTGTTCAACTCTGAAAGAGGCAGACTTGAAAAGTCAGAGCCAAAGCAGGGGAACTGTCGGCTCAGAAATAAGAGATAAAAGCTTTCGATTCTTGATGCTGAAAGCAGTTAAAGGCAGAAGTACAGCCAGTTTAAATCAGAGAAATAAGAACATTGGAAAAGCCGTCGGCTTTGGTGCCATACTATGCTTTTTATCCTCTTTTGGCTTCTTGTGTTGCCCTTGTTTCCATGAAAAAAGCCCTGATGAACTCACTCAATACTATCCTCTCAGCAACAAAAAGACAGTTAGACACCAGCAAGACATTGGAACATTTTCAGGAGTATTGGACTCAGGGAGTATTGGACTCATAGAAGTCTGTTTGGAGCCCACTGTGTTGCTCTGGGTCAACCTGAAATCTATCATATAATTTACCTATGAACCGCTTATTTGATTCAAAAATCTGAACATTTTGGGAACATTTTATTTTTCCCTTTATGGGAGCAAGCATTTTAAATCATAAAATGAAGTTCAAAAAGTGTGTTTGGCTGTCTGCGGCTGTGTGTGTGTGTGTGTTTTTCTGTGTTTTTCTGTCCACCAGGTTTCCACTACCCTCTGTATGGTAAGACAGCGGGCAGGGAGGAGTCAGAGGTGACTCCGCCCAGCAGAGGGGGAGCAGTGAGCGGCAAGCAGAGTAGTGGAGACTCCTCATCCTCAGCCATGGAGCTGCTGCAGCAGCAGAGCCATCAGTACCATGGAAAATCTCCTGCGGTGAGACTCACTTTACTGCCACTTCCACACTGCAGCTCACATCACCAAAATATGACTATTTGGACAACAGAGGCTTCATAAGCAACCGAACAAGCGAAAGATTTAGGATGTGGGCCTAGTGTTAGACCTACAACTCTGATGTTGGGGCAGTGGAGTAACTAGGATGTCAGTGGAGTTGGGTGATTTAAAAAAGTGATGTTACATTAATAACTGGTTTAAAAATAATGAGTTTCTGTTAATTTGTTAGACATGTAGACCTTTAACTTGAGCCTGTCAGTGGCCAAAGATAAAAGCTTGTACAAGACATTATCTGACACCCTTAACACGACTGGATGAAATACTCAAGACTCACAAGAGGAACACCCTTCATACATAAAACAACAAGCCTAATTTCAAAGAGTATAAATCCAGATGTGTGTTTTTATATTGTCCTGCAGCCCGGTGAGAAGGGTTCCCCTGAGGGAGAGAGAGAGACGGAAAGAGAGAGGAACCACGTGTCCTTTGCCAGACACCTTCACACACACCACCACACACACCTGGGCATGAGCTACAACCTGATGTCAGGACAGTACGACATCTACCAAGGTACAGATACACACTGAGACACACTAAGACATGAACTTAAACATATCCATATGTGAGAGAAAGGTTGGTTTAAGAGGAATCAGGTCTTATTCTTCCCATCAGTCCTTTAACATGAAAACACATGTAACTTTCACGTGTTGGCTAAATACTTGTCTGAAGTTTAAGACTTCTAACCCCAATATGTAGTGGGTAACTGCTTGTAGTTTTTTGCCCATTGGAGTCTGTTTTGATTCGTTCATAAAATCCTTTCAGATGTTCATTACAACTGGCTTCATCAGCACCGCCGTCTGCATTGAAATGAAAATTTACGGCATGCTGTAGAAACAGATATGCTTTGGTTTTTCCACAGCAAAGATTCTCATGAGCTGCATGTGAGATTTATGTTCAGAAAACATTATTAACACCATTACGGGACACTAGAGAGGCAAGTTACTGCTTTGTCCACAGGGGGCGCCAAAATTAACACAAACAGCTGGTTCTTTCTGCTTTGTGTTGAAGGTTTGAGCTCCAGGTCTCTGGTCTCCAGTCAGCAGGTGTCAGGACACTCCTCCACAGGTGAGTCTGACAATTAGAACTAAATGTTGATGATCTTCATACAGGATTTACAGCTACGCTGGTTTACACAGGGCGTCATTGCAATATCTCACTGTTTATATGTAGAGATCTCGGGAATCATAATAAGGGAATCAGATGCTTTTAGACGTTTCTTCTGCGTGCTGTAATCTTGTTAAATTCAGAACCTACACTAATGCACAGACTTGTTCACTGTCCTACCTCTTGTAAGCTCTGTGATTTTCTTTCCGGCTCTTGGATGATTTGTCTGCTCTCAGCTGAATATTTTGTCCTCCTCTTGAACCAGACTCACAGATCATCCACCAAATTTGCATTTTATGAATCAGACTGGCTAAATTTTCCTTTTATGAGATGCAAACTGGGAGCAAAATGAGGCTGAAGATTGTCTGGTCTGCAGTCTGTCTGCTGGGTCAATAAATAGATATCTAACCCTCCTCTCCTGAGACTAAACACTCTCTGCCTGAACAGCTCTTCTTCATTGTTGCCAGAGTTTTCATCCTGCAGATCATTATCTAATCTGGCATTTTTTAAAATTTATATATTTATATAATCCATATATCTCTACTTTTGTCTGAATGTGTGAAATATTGCAGAGGGAACCTGCCGGGCAGTATAACACCATAATGTGATGATTACCTCAAAGAAATAAAGACTGCAGTTAATTGTAAAAGGTGATTGCTCTGAAAGAAGCAGATTAACAGACAAGATGCTGATAGAGACAGAAATTACACAATGGGAGTTCAACGCAGAAAAATACATGCTGGGAATAATATTTACATGAATTAAGATGTTGGCCTTTTTGGGGGACAGACAGGACTACATCAGTCTAGTTTCGTAGTTTTGTAGGACTCTTTTCCTACAGATCCATGCTGTTGTAGTCCCTGTTATCAGAATGTGGTCCTCCTGAAATATGAAAATCTTCTCTGAAAAAGTCTTTGCCTGGATGGCAGCAGATGTTGCTCCTAAACCTGTTGATTTTGTTCAGCATTAATGGAAGCCCTTTTATGACATGGACTCTGATGATCCCTGTACCATCAGGGATGCTGGATTTGAACTGGCAGCTGAGAACATGTTGGATGGACCCTCTACACTTTAGAGAGGAGGATACAGAGTCCATGTTTTCCAAAAAGAAGGTCAGATTCTGACCCATCAGACCACAGGACAGTTTTACTCTTACCCTCAGTCCACCGTAAACAGGCTCAGGTTCAGAGAAGTCTCTGGTTTCTCTAGATCTTTTTTCTATCTGTTTTCCTTTTTGTACGGCCCAGTTTGAACCTCATTTGTGGATGCATTGATGAACTGTGTTAACAGCCAGTGGTTTTTGAAGTGATTCAGAGCCCATGCAGTGATTTCCACTCCAGAGTCCTGTCTGTTTTTAATGCAGTGCTGCCTGAGGGCCTGAAGATCAGGACCATCCAGTCTTGGTTTTGGTCCTTGTCCCTTTAGTACAGAGATTTCTTCAGACTCTCTGAATCTTTGAATGATGTTATGTTATGTAGATGATGAAATGTTAAACTCATTCTTTCACATTTAACACTCAGGAAAATTATTGTAAAATTGCTGAACTATTAGCTAGCTCACACAGTCTCTCACAGAGTGGTGAACCTTTTCCTATCTTTTCTTCTGAGAGACTCAGACCCTCTGAATGTCTTTTTTATGTCCAGTCATGGTACTAACCTGTTGAACATTCACCACATTACTTGGAGATGTAACAACTTTGGTACCTGTTTGGTTTTTCCTCTTTTACAACTTTATAGAAATATGTTGCTGGCATTAATTCATTTTAAATGAAAAAAATAAATATTTTCAATTTCAACATTTCATATTTTTCTTTAAATGCTTCTGGCAATGAGAATCTGTCTTTATTAACATTTTACTCAACATCTAAACTTTTTTAAAGTGCTCTTACAATTTCATCCATGATGCAGGCTGCAGACCCAAACAGGTAAACAGTCTGCTGCGGTAAAGAGTACAAACTAGTCTGTCATCTGTAATGTTACTCACAGTCCTTGTTTTGTCCTCTTGTCTTCACAGACAGCGAAGGGAAGAAGTAGGACCATGTGACCACGTCTCACATGAGGAATGGCAGATTTATCAGACATCAATTCCATGGTGTTGAATAAGCTTCGCCTCGCTGAGAGGCAGTAAACTGAAATAAAGAATAAACCTCTTTCATTTCTTACTTATGATGACCACCTGTTTTATAATACGTCACAAAGAAGCAGACAGGACAGCAGACGGAGGGACAGGAAGCAGGAGGGACTCTGTACAAATTCAGATCTTGGACTTTTGAAGCTCTCAGTTTTGCAGGATTTTGACAGAAAGCACTCAGTAGAGCCGTGCTGTGGTGTGGGTTTATAAAAATGCACATGTATCGTAGTGTAAAATGACGATGATATGACTGAATGTACTGATGAGGACGTACTTTACCCCAATAGTGTTGATGGTTTTTTAACTCCTGTTGGGAAGCAGCATTAGGAAGCTACAAAGTCTATTATTCTACTTATTATTATCCTGATTATTGAAGTGCTCCTCCACCCTCCATAGTGCTGACGCTACATTTGTATTACTAACCTGTACTTGAGCGTAACCATGTTGATTGTATTGTCTTTATGTGAGAGTAAACCTTCACATCAACCTGCCCGGTGCCATGTAGGAGCCCAATGGTGTAAATATTCTGTACAGATTCATGGCAGAGCACTAACATGCTTTCTGTGTCAATCTCCATCAGCCATGCAGGGAGCAGTGGGCAGAGCAGGAAAACCAGCACAAACTAGAAACTAGAAACTTGGATTTGTCAGCTGATGTCAAAACAGCTGCAGGAGTTTTTCCTGAGACTTAGGCTGCACAAATGATGATGCTTTTGCACATGAATAACAATTTGTGCACTGTCAGCTTCCCAGAGGTTACAGGTTCTGAAAGGTGTACGGCCAACTTTTGGGGCTTCCAGTTGCAAACAATAAGCAGAGTTTTTGCCGAGACTTTCTTTCCTGCCTGTTGCATCTTCTTTAATTCTTCTGGTGTTGAAGTTGAGTCACGACATTGAAAGGCAGATTTTTAGCTGCTTTCCAGACATTTACTTAAACTGAGGTCCAGATCTAAACAATTTGCTCACCTTTTGTGCACACTCTACCTGTGCAAATAAGACAATAAGAATACAGTCCAATTCATAAAGTACATGCAAAGGGTTAAATACTCCTTAAAGTGTGATGCACAACAAATAGCACTACAGTGTTGCTGCTGTTTGTGTATATTCAAACTTTTTGCATTAATTTGGGGCAGAACTGGGGAAACAAACCTTGTTAAGTGCTTGCTGTCTGAAGTTATCTGGTCTGATACCCAACCCTTTGTTTATCTAATCTGTCATGAATCAACTTTACAATACTCTAATAAGCAGTGTTTCTTCCCCACCTGGCTTGCCGTCTATGTGTAGACAGTTGTAAGTTCTGTCAGGATGAGAGTGCCCAGAAAATGAGAACAAACTGCACAGCTGCAGAGCTTTATGAGCAGGTTTGCTCTGGAATGCCACATTAGAAAATGTGTTTTGTGAATTGGACCCTGAGACAGAGTAGACTGTGGGTCAGATGATGCACAGTTCTTGGTGCTATTCACAGTTGCAGTCTGTTGTTCATGACTCTCTCCTTAAACTGTGAGCAGATGATCACTGGCGGGTTCTGATCTGACATTTCTTTTGATTGCACTTCCTTTCTCTCACACTCCACATGGACTACTACAACAAGCAAAACTCTTAACAAATCTGAAACTACACTCTGGTTCCAGTTCAACACTACGTTTTTGTGCAGGAGAGATTTCTATTGTGATGACAGACCTCTGTCTATTGTCCCACAATCCTTTGCTCTGCACCTGCTCCCATGCCACCAACAAGCCAACTAGCTCACTGCAGAACCTCTGATAGACACAAGGGTCTGGTTTTACAAACCACTGACAAATTTCCAAGTTTCAAAGCCTGACTAAGAACAATCAGGCTTTTTCTGACAGTATATCCAACAGTGTGGCCTTTCAGACCCAAGCTGACCTCCTGTGATCAGCTACAAGATGAAACTCTGACAAAGAGATGTGTAGAAGATGTATAGTGAGCAGGTTGTTATGACCAAAAGACCACTCCACTTAGATCTCAAGTCTTGCTCACCCTTTTGGGTTTTAATCTGCAAAACCACCCGCTCACTCTACACAATCCTGCCTGTTACCTGGCAGCCAACTCAACATAAGATGACCTAAAATATTGGTTAAAAGATGTTTTCTTGATTTAAAGGTACAGTGTGTGATATTTAGTGGTATTTATCAGAGCAATCTTTGCAGAGATGGGAAATAATCATAAGTGTGTTTAAATTAGTATGTATTAGCCTGATCATTGTATTTTTGTACAGTTAGAATAAGCCTTTATCTACAGAGGAGTTGGTTCTTTCTCTACAGAGGCTGCCATCTTGCACCACCATGTTTCTACAGTAGCACAGAGAGGACACACTAGTGACATACACATTCTGTATTTATCTAAAAATGCACCAGTTGGAAGAAGAATAAGAGTTTAGATTAAAAGATGTTTTGGATGGAAAAAACTTGACAAATGAAGCTTTTTGTCCTCAAAGGCCACCATCATTCAGTGACTGAAGGGGTGAGCAAGGGAGCATTTGAATGTAGCTAGATAATGCTAAATATTCCCATTTCTACACACTGTACCTTTGACAAAGCCAGATAATCACAAGCATATTTTATATCTCTGCTGCCTTGAATGGAGATTAATACCTGCAGCAGAATCAAACTTTTAAACAATGTGACTGACAAAAAAAAGATTAAATAAACTCACTTAATGTGTGTGTATTTCATGTTCATAAATGAAATAATGAATTGTAGGTAACATTTTATATGAATGTAACAGTCCCAAGTGAAAATAAGTCAAAGTTGTAAGATCAGTATAATGTCACAGTGGTTCAGACTGGAAATCTCCCGATCCCAGTGACCCGTCCTGGTCTATCAGCGGCTCTGCCTCACCTACACAGCACCTCACCATAGTATCAGTGATCGTTCTATTACTTGAATATAGTGCTATAAACTCTGTTTACAAAACGCTGTCATCTTCTGGGAGACACAGTGTTGTCTTATAAAGGCTGCTCGGTTTGTTAACGTCATCCACACCCTCGCAAACACACACCCGGTGTATCCAGTTAATAACACACACTGAAACCGTATAAACATGAAAACCTGCTGTTGCTTTTTTATACTGTATATGCCTTAATTCATATGTTTGGCAATCATGATTAAAGGATGTTTATATATATAGATATATATATATATACTTGCTTTCTGTCCTGATAGCTTTTTCTTTATAAGTCACACTAACAATGTGTTTGCTGCTGAGCACTGAGAGGCTTTAACAAACAGTCTTTAACCATAGTATAATTTAACCTCGGAGGGTTTAGAAATCAAACTGTTTACAAATTTAAATATCTTTGTACCAACGTAAAGAATAATTTAAATAAGATAATTAAAAAACCTTCTTTGTCAGGTCCTCACTGGTTAAATATATAATAAATCTGACTAATTAATCCACATTGATTTAAAAGTGAAACATATGAGATGGTTTCACTACTCGCTAAGTCAGTGGTTACTGTTATTTTATTCATTAATTTCTTTGATTTTGTTGGACCTAGTTGAATTGGCAAGAACTATACTTTTACTTTAAAAATCTAAACTTTCAATAAAATTATCAAGTGGTGTCATATACAAGTACAACTGTCAAGAACAAGTTCCTTAAAGCGAACTACTGAGACACACGGTGTTTACATACTATTAACTGGAGATGAGTTCTCAGTAACTAACAGCCTTTTTAGCAAAGGTTTATGGTTTATCTTAATAATTATTAAAACAGAAATAGATAAGCAACAATATTCCATTTTATTAGAGTATTAATTTTATTAAATCTAAACAGTTTAATTAAACAGTGGGTGTAGGGCAGAAGTTTCACCAGCAACAGGAGCAGTTGTCTAGTTCATGCAATTCCACCTCCTACCAGCAGATGGCACTAAAAAGTGAAGAGCCCCTGTCATCAATTCCGGTTTGAAGACAAAATGGGTGGCGCCAAAGCTTGACAACAAAGCGGCTGTAACGGACAGTCGACGTCCGAGTGAACGAAATCTCCGCTGTGTAAAAGTTAAACCTCACGAAAATGGGGTTAAATCAGTGACAGTTTGCTGAAGAGTGGATGAATTTGGATCTGCATTTTAACGTTAGCCGCTGGAGCGGTTACAAAACTCATTATGGCTTCGAAGACGGACCAACTTCTCATCGTGGTTTCAATCCTGGAAGGTAAGCAATCAGGAAGGATTTAAAGCTGTTTAACTTTAAAACTTCACACTTTGCTGATAATAGTAACACAAGCGGTACCACGGGGTGAGAATATAAGTTATTTTACTATTTACAACAGCATAATTAACTTTGTTAGACGAGTATTAACGGACTTACAGTCTGAAATCAGTGTTGAAGTTACCAGGGGTGTTTGTTTAACTGTCACAGCCAGAACCCCAGGGTTATAATGTACAGTGCACTTTTAGCATAACCCTGGTGAATGTTACTAGCAGCACCCTGTAAGTGAGGATTTTCAACTTCTCTGTAAACATCAAGCTAATTTAACCATTCGTTTACAGGTCGTCACTTCCCAAAGAGTCCACGGCTCAGTCTGGTGGTCCAGGCGAGCTTTGATGGCGAGCATTTGGCCACAGACCCGGTGGAGCACCGAGAGCAGCCACAGTTCAGCACCGAGCTTGCCTGGGAGCTGCACCGCAGGATGCTGCACCAACACAAGTCTGTCAAGTATTCAGATTCAGACGACTTAATTCGCTCTAACAGTCTGAATTAACACAATAACAAATGTGCCAAAATTGAAAAAATATACTCTGTTTAAAGGGCAGATTTTTCTGCTTACACATTTGTTCCAAGATGGTTAAAAATGTTTACAATTCGAGTCACAGACAGTTAGTTGTTGATACATTTGCAAAGCATTTGATAGCAGCAAACAGAGCAACATAAACCAATGTTTACTACATTGGTTTATGTTGCTCTGTTTGCTGCCATGTCAGCGCTGTCTTTTTGTCTCTGGTGTTTGAAATAATTTTGCTCTGTAAATACTGATGCATCTTGACATTTCCGTCCTTCCAGGCTGCAGAGAACTCCCATCAAGCTTCAGTGTTTTGCGATAGACTCTATGAGCAAGAAGAGAGAGAACGTCGGCTACATCGTGCTGGACCTTCGATCTGTGCAGGAGGTCCAACAGGTGAATAACTTCTCCTCCTTTCTGTAGATAGAGAGGAGATCAATTCTCTGAGCAGTCATGTTTATTTTCTGTACCTGTACAAAGGCTGCATTTTAAAACTACTGTCTGTGTTCATGTCTATCAGGAGCCTCGCTGGTATCCTCTGCTAAACAGCAAATACACTAAACAGAGACCAGCTCTCCTGCTCAGCATGCAGCTAGAGAACGACACCAAACCCTCTGAACCCTCTCCTGATAGATTCAAAGCCAAGAAGGCCCCACCCCGACAAGGTCAGTACAACTTTGCTGCTTTTGACCTCAGTATTCTCTAATCTGTTTTAAGATGTTTTTGTTTTTCAAAATTCGTCGATGTTAGGTGCACTGGCCAACTTTTTAGTTAAATTTTGAGATTATTTGTTGGCTTTTAATGCCTTTAGTTAGAGGACAAAACACTGGATAGCGTAGAGAGAGTGGGGGGTTGCATGCAGCAAAGAGCCAAGGGTCAGAGTCAGACCAAGGCTGTCTGTCTCGAGGTGGATGTCCTCTACATGGGGTGCATATCATTGAACTAAAATGGTGGCCCGTAACTTAAATGTTTTTTTTAATCATATGTCATAAATTCTGATGCCTCTGCGCTTCTGTGTTTGCTGCTCTGCTGTCGCAGGTTCTCCTTCAGTGACTGAGCTGCTCCCAGAAAAGCTGGAGGCCTCACTGATCCCAGACCAGGGTTTTCATCAGATCGGGCCTGCAGATATCTGCTCCGACATGTTCGTCCTTTCTGTCACTGTGGCCTTCGCTACTAAACTAGAACAGGTAGGTCTAGTTTAAAGTCTGAGAAGGCTGTCACCTGCTGCTGACATGGCTTAACTTTTTCACTCTTCACTTAAATGATGAAAAGATCATCGAGTTCCAGTTACCTGAGACAGTCCTCTAAAAGTGACAGTCTGAAGTAACCAACCTCATGAGTGTCCTTTTTATTTCCTCAGTTGATCCCAAACACAATGAAACTGTCATCAGAGGGCTCCGAGTTCTTCTTCTTCTACTCTTTACTCGGAAATGACATCACCAGCGAGCCTTTTAATAACCTGCTGAGCCCCGACTTTGAGCCAGAGCGTGCCTCTGTCCGCATTCGCAGCAGCAAACAGATCCTCCAGACCTTCCTGTCTCAGCAGCCCAGCTTAGAGGTGAGTCTGATGAGACGCTTCTTTACCTTCTGTGTCCTTATCTTGTCATTTTCATCATATGTCCCTGTGTGTCGTCCTCAGATCCATCTCTGCTGCGGGAATCACTCTCTGGGCAGCACAGACGTCTCTCTCTCCGCTCTGTCAAATATTTCTGTCGATCTGGAGGACAAAGCAGCAACAGTAGAGGGAGCGTTCATCCTCAAACCTCCTAAACGCATCAAACAGACTCTGCCGGCTCTACCTCCAGACCTGCAGCCGACTGTCGGAGTTGCCGTGACTCTGAGGAGGGAGGAGGTCATGCCACAGGTACATGTTTCAAGAAAACACCTTTTTTTTTGCTTTATTGAAATGTTGAAAATATTGATACCCAAAAGTTGAACTTAAATGTGCCCTTATTTGGAGGTCTAGTTTTTTATGTATTGTTATATTTGGGCCAGTAGTTCTAAACTGAACAACTTGATGGAGCCGGTGTACACACAAACGATCAGCTGATCCTGGTCTGGATCAGTAACTCTTGCAGTGTGTCCTCTGGCTTCCTTTAATATCACTTTAAAGTGGACTCATCCTCGTCTGTCCTTCCTTCAGAGGATAGGGGCTACAGGAGGAAGCGGGGCTCAAACAAAGTCCAACCCCCCATCACAGCCTCCTCCCTCTGAACAGAGACCTCGAAGCTCCTCTCCAGTTCGAAAACCTCCTGATTCTTCTCCTCCCGTTCATCCTCTTCCTCCTCCTTCCTCTCACACAGAGAGTGAAGCAGAGAGTCTGCTGGAGGAGCTTCAGCGTGTCAAAGAGCAGGCGGGGTTGGCAGGTGAGGCTGGAAATACTTTTAGACTAGATCAGACCAAACGGGGTAAATAAGATACTTTTTTTGTTGGTGTTTGCAGCTGCAGATTTGGAGGTTTCCGTTCAGCGGCTGAGTCAGACTGAAGCTCCAGCAGACGGTGAAGCTTCATCTGTCAGCGTCTCTGCTCCTAAAGTGTCTATCCCGTCCTCTGCCCATCACTACTGCTTCTCTCTGGACCTCCACAGCCTCAGAAACCTCAGCCTGACACACCCCATCAACGCCACACTCAGGTAAGAACTTCACCCAAAAAATGAGAAAATATTGGACTGAGTCAGAGTCAGTGAAGGTCTCATACACAAACAAAGAAGAGGCCGTCATATAACCAGGTAATATCTTAAGAAAACAACTTTGATTGGTAAAATAAAGGGATTCAAACACATTCAAGCCAAATGATTCGTAACACCCCTGAACCCTAACAAATAAGATGCATGCTGGGAAAAAGCAGCAGAAATTCAACTCTTGTTTTCAGATAAAATGCAACAAATTGCTACGATGTGGATTTCAAAACTTCAATTTATGGCTGTAAAAATCTTGTTGTTTCATCTGGATAACTTATCTTAGGTGTGAGCACTCTACTGTCTAAATGATATTTTGTAGTGACGATCAATGACCTCATGGTGGCAGTAGCTGCATTAGTTATTAAAAAATACTCATGCAGACCTGCCAACACTCAGTTTTTTCAGGGTTTCTCTCATATTTTATGGTCTTATCATTATTTCAACTCTATGAAGTCATGAAAGCAAAATAAACTGTCCTCAAATACACCTCAAGTGACTGTCATTGCAGTCAATGTCAAGAAAGTCTGTTTAAAGTCTTCATGTTCATACACTGTAAAACCTGATGAGTAAGTTCAACTCAAATGATTTGAGGAAACCGATTGCCTTGACTCATTTAAGTTCATTTACTCATATTAAAGCCTTTCTTATTCTATACTCATGAATCATTTTTTCCACACTCATAACTACAACTAATCTGAGTTGATCTCCAGTTGCACGTACTCAGTCTTCCACTGAAGCAAATTGTTAGATTCTAGTTAAAACAACTTATGGCTACTCAATTCAACTGAGGAAACCGATTGCCTTAAACACTTAAGTAGTAGTAACTCAATGTAACACAAGTACAGAACAAGCAAACAATTAAATAAGTTTAACTCAACAGATTTACAAATGCAAACATTTCAAGCCTAACATTTTTATAAAACAAACACGTTTCTTACCTCATATGTTAATGCTGACGATATTTCCCTCTTTGCCAAACAACAACAAAAAAACATTATGTGACTCAACTGAAAATTTCATCTTAAAGTAAACAAAAAACACTGTTTCTCTCTAAATAGAGAAGAAAATTTACTTCATTCTATGATAAAAATGAAAAAATGTAATCCAAACAGTATTAAAGCAGAGGTGAAGTGCAGTAAAAACTATGACATCAATTGTTTAAAACACTTTAAGCTGAACACTGCCATTTTAAACATACAACAGTTTCATGTCCAGTTTTGTGTAGCAAGCTCAACAACTGACAATGTTATTGTCAGTAGGAAAACTTGAACATCCTACTCAAGTTTATTTCTTAGAGCCTGTATTTTAGGTTTCAGCTGCCTCTTCATTCACGACTGCCACCAGAGCCACTGCTGCTTTTGTTGCCACCAACGTATCCTGAAGGAATCCTATCCCAGAAGACATGTTTGATATGACCAGAATTGATGATAAAAAATAAACACCATGCAAGTAAGCGTTATCAAAAAATTAAGTCATAATTATGGTCAAAAGTGTCATCTTTGAGATGGTAAGTCAAAATCATGAGATAAAGTTATAATTTAGTATCTACATTTAAACCTTTGACCTCATAAATTTGACATTTTTTCCCATAATTAAGACTTAATAGATCATAACTTTTACTCATATTTTTGACTTTCTCATATCTTAAAGTAGCAACTTACCTTGAATATAAAACCAATCCGAGTCAATTAGGGGCCAAAACTAATGCCAAACAGCAGTCCCACTTCCCTCTATGGTTAAATATGAAAATGGCCGTTGAACAAGGGCATGGCATGTGTCAAAGGCGCAGCAGAGTTTCCTACCCACGTTAGCAGGGCTTACACTTTCAACACAAGTTAAATGAGTTCATGAAAGCTACTCAGCCTGAAAGAGTTCATGTGACAAACTTTAAATGTTTTACAAGTACTCATAATGCTGTATAATTTTATGAATACTCAAAACAAGTAGTAGTTGACGCCTCAGTTTTTAAATTTCAAGTACGGTCAGCTTTATAGGGATAAGTGACTGTAACTTTTTTGAGTTTTAACTTATTTGAACTTATTTTGATTATTGAAATACACTGTTAGGTTTTACAGTGTATTTGCCTGTGTGCAACCTTGTGAACATCTCAAAGCCAGAGGGACCTGCCGTGTGTGTGTGTGTGTGTGTGTGTGTGTGTGTGTGTGTGTGTGTGTGTGTGTGTGTGTGTGTGTGTGTGTGTGTGTGTGTGTGTGTTCGTGAATGCGCGCACAGAGGCATCTTCATAACTGCCCCTCCTGAGCAGCTCAGTGGTTTGATTGTCTTTGTGTGTTTGTTGTGTGTCAGATATTCGTATCAGTTCTTCGGAAGTGCAGCTCCCATCATGACCAACCCTCCTGTGGAGCTGCAGAGGAACATGGAGGTTTCTCTGCCTCAGTCCTACTGTGCCTTTGACTTTGCCGCTCAGCATCAGCAAGTTCAGGACACTTTCCTCAGGTAAAATCTCTCTCTCTCTCTCTCTCTCTCTCTCTCTCTCTCTCTCTCTCTCTAATGTTTCTAATGCTTGAATTAACCTACACATTCCGCCTTTTAATCTGCGCTAATAGTTCTGAATTTTTCACCTTAATTGTATATATTTTTTTACCTTATATTGTTTTTTGGGGTAAGTTTGCAGTTTTTTTATCCCATCTGAAAGTTTTGTGTGTTTAAAAATAATGAACTCCACTCTAAGTGCAACTAAAGACTGAGGTCCTGGTGATACAAAATGAACTTTACATCATTAAGATAAATCATCACAATGTGACAAACAGTTTTTTATGATTCCTGAGACCGAGTTAAAGTGATTTGGATAATAAAGGATAATAAAGTCTTTGTTGTCTTTGTTAACTGCAGGATCATTTTTGACTAACAGGTGGTGCTACAGGACTGTGAGTCTTCAGTCCATGAGGCTTGTAATGTATTTTAAACATGAGTGTGTGTTTGATTGTTGTAGAGTTCCTCTGGTGGTGGAGGTGTGGCACAGAGACTCCACTAGCAGAGACCAGCTGATCGGACAAGCCTTTATCCAGCTGTCTCACCTGCTGAGCTCTGCGAGGAGTCGACTCCTCGCATCCTCAGGTGAGGAGGGCTGGAGACAGACTCACCAGGACCGGATCCCTGTGGTCAGAGCACAGCGGTGAGAAAAACAACCCTGGAAGTTCTCTCAGTGATGTGATAGGTGCTTTTCTCAGCTGATACATGAACATGTTTTTATCCTTCAGGCCAGGTGAGAAGGTGGCAGAGCTGAGCTACACAGCAACACTTGAGGACCTGGGGCTGATTAAAACCACAGAGGTCATCCTCTCAGAGTCTTCACAGGTGAGACAGCTCTGTGTCTGGTTGGTTGAGGTCAGACAGCTTCTTGTTTTAAATTTCAAAAGGACAAAATGCCTGGACTAGGACAAACCTCCTCTGACAGCTGCAGTCTTCATTTATAGTACGTGGTGTTTTAACCCCTTCTTACTGTCATGTGGTTTTAGAATGAGCCTGCTGTTCCCCAACAGCCGCCTCCACACCCTGCTGCTCCAAGTTTGAACCCCACTCCTGTGGGCCCCACGGCTCCAACGGCCCCCAGAGACACCCTGGAGTACAGGACGGCCCTGGAGCTGGAGCTGTGGAAGGAGGAGCAGGAGGATCTGTTTGATCATCAGGTAAACTGGACTTTGATCTCCAACACTAAGAAAGAATTGATGTGAATACGGTTTGTTTTTATCATCACTGAACTGTCTGAACTTCATCGAAATGAATGAAGATCTCCTTTAAGAGGACTGTTGTTGGGGAGATTTCTTCAGTCGACGTTTTTTTGAAGGATGTGTTCATGTAATTATTTTGTGTTTTTCTTTATTCATGTGTTTGCTTCAGCTGAGGAGGAAGGAACTCAGCCACATGCAGGCTCTGGCGGAGGAGTGGAGGAGGAGGGACTCAGAGAGAGAAGCTCTTATGAAGAAAAAGGTGGAGAGTCATCGGCGTGCTCACGTTACAGCAGATTTACTCCTGAGTTTCCTTATTCACACGCAGGGGGAACTCAAATGTGACTTTAATGAGCGGAAAGACAGTTTTTCAAACGCTGACGACTCTTTATTTCTCCCCGTTCCTTCCTTGTGTTTCCTCTGGTAGGAGGTGGAGTATGACAAGATGGAGGAGCAGCTTCAGAAGACTCTGTGTGATCTGGAGAAAAGAGAGAAACAGCTGGTGGAGGCCGAGCTGGAGGTCAGACCCTAAAACCACAGTCAGAAGTAGAGCAGCCCGATTACTACAAAAATCGTCAGCAGCATTATTCTGATTGATCTGTTCATCAGAGACAGTGGCCCTCATTTATTAATCTTGCACAGATCTGAGCGCAGGATTATGGTGGCAGTGAACAGCGCTGCCGCGGAGTAGCGGACAGTGGCTAAAGTTTGAATAAATCATTAGTCAATAAGATGCTCATGATGATAAATTAATATCTCATACATGCCTCATATTTGTTTATTGCCACGACATAGGGTACGTTGCTCCTATAATTGAAAGTATTTAGTTTTAATTTGTTGCCTCTTTGTAATGTAGAGCAGACTGGAGAGTCTGACAGAGGCTGAACAAAAATAATTATTAATGTCATCAAACGGTGTGTTGCTGCCCCTGAGGCACATTTTTATGGATTTCTATTGGATTTTTATCACTGATTAAATAGCAAGAGCACTTTCTAAACTTATACTTTACATCAGAATACACTGATAAGGTCCTGTCTCCTCTGTACAGCACCTTTGTGGAGTCTCTCCTCGTTATTGTTCTCCGGGCATCGGGTCCTCATGTTGCACCGGCACAGCCAACGGCACTCCATTTGCCAGAGCAACATTGTGTAAAACTGTACTGGCCCAAATGATGTCCCACACCCTTTCAGGAGTGTACAACAATGTCCCTGCTGCTGGGCCAAGACTGAGACACCTGCCTTTCAGGAGTCAAACGCAGTACTCCACAGTGGCGTGTGTGCATGTGTGCGTAATGTTAAAACAGCGCTCCTGCTCTGTGGTAGTGTTTATGGGCAGAGTTATTAAATAGGCCTATTCACTAAGGACATAACAAATTTATTTCATTTTATTTACGTCTTAAACTTTAATGAAATCTGGCTGATTGTGCTTAGTGACAGGTTTGAGGTTTGTATATCAACTATTTTGAGACAGATATTTGCTGAACCGCAGATCCACACTCACTCAAACTTGCGTACACAATGTCAGACCTGTCGTGAGATTTGGTCGTAGTGTACGCTCATGTGCAGATTGATAAATGACGATCCTCAAATTTTTGTACGCAAGGTGTACGCAAGTTTTCTGCCGTACGCAAGCTTGATAAATGAGGGCCACTGTCCCTGAAGTGATAAATGCTTCAGTGTGAATACATTCAGTACTTTTCAAACCTCTTTATTGGTCTTTTATTGGTCTTCATTAGTTTCATCAGAGGATATTTGGCTCGGCTCTTAGGAATATACTCAAGGATTTTTCACTCATTTCTGTTTTCAAAGTGCGCTCAGATTTGGTTTTGGTTGGTTTTAGACGGAGCGGCTGCAGAGGGGGCTGAGAGCTGAACACGACCTGACCCAGAGGGAGCTGCAGGAGAGCAGCAGGAGGCTGCAGCAGGACTGTGACCACCGGGTGGCGCTGGAGAGAGACAAAGTGCGGCTGATGGAGGAGGAGCGGGGCCGGCTGCTGCAGCAGGTACAAAGACAGACACAGACTCCTTGTATCTGCTGGTTTAACTGATGAAATGAAACTTGAATTCTTCTGTGTTTGACGAGCAGATCTCCGATTGGGAGAGTCGCTACAAACAGCTGGAGAAAGAGTTTCAGCTCTACAGAGAACAACAGAACGTCAGGCCAGAGTTCAGACTGCAGTCAGAGGTCAATCTGCTCACTCTGGAGAAGGTAACACCACTTTTTTTTTTTCAATTCATCTGACCCTGAAACCAGGTGAAAAACTTCAACTCAGACTTTGGTTTTAAGGTGGAGCTGGAGAGAAAGCTGGAGTCCACCACCAAGTCCAAACTGCACTACAAGCAGCAGTGGGGGCGCGCCTTAAAGGAGCTGGCCAGGTTCAAACAGGTACTGGGCTCTGTTTTTATATCAAACACTGAGACTGTATCATGTCGGAAAAAACAAACCTTTGTAGAAGACCTCAGTGACATGCTCATTCCTTATTTGCTTCCGATCATCATTAGTTATTTGCTTTTTGATTATTGTCCTTTACTCTCATTTGAACACTTGCAAACCCAGAGTAAGTAGATCTAAAAGAATAACAAAGAATTTTACACATTCAAGAAAATATTCATAAAGAAAATCAGTTGCCTATGAGCAATAAATCAAATGTTTTTAAGAGAAGTCTTTTAGAAATTCAGCAGACAACATTTCATACCCCCGTGTATGAAAATAAAAACTTTCCTTATGTCTGCAGATTTTTATTATCATCTTTGACTAATACCAATCATTTTTCACTCACTCTGAAAACAACTTTGATCAAAACTCAGTCAGTTATTTCCAAGTCAAACTAAAAATATAATAATGGTTCACATAAACAGTCATACAATACATTATCAACTGCATACTCCAGGAAATATTCAACAAAATCACCACAAACCCAGCAGGAATCGACAAGAAACATCTGACATTTACACCAAATTATGTTTTTGTAAAAAAGCAAAATATCTCAGAAAAAATAATTTATAAAAATAATATAAAACTAGAGAAGCACTCGAAGAGCGCAGACCTCCGCCAAGCAGCTCATGTCCCCCCTTATATTGTGATTCACACTGAAACTTTTAGTGTTACGTGTCTTTTATTAACTTTTATTTGTATTTAAACTGGTATGTTCACTGTTCATAATGTTCCTAAAACAACAAAGCTCATATTAGATACATAAATGCATGATTTATTATGCAATATTTGTAAGCGTACACTTCCTTGTATCTTCATTGGTTATCTTTCAGCATTGAAAATTCCAACAACACCCTTATTTTTGTGTGTTCTGGATCACAGTATCTGGAATTTTGTCTGGATCAGGATCAACCTTTGACACCTCATAAAAGTCATTGAGATCTTTTTGTGTAATTTTTTACTAAATACTCTGGCCATTTTTATAGAGTTAAATGCAAAAATTCCAAAATGTGCCCTATCTCACAATGATAAAGAATCCTTCAAAAAATTCCTGGATCCAGAAGGCGATCCAGATCACCACCAAAATGTAATGGGATCCTCCTGGGGCTGAGACGCACCTCTGGTGAAAATTTCAGGTCAATCTGTCTGTAACTTTCTCCGTAAAGTTGCTATCAGACAAACAAACAAACAAACAAACAAACAAACCAACGTTACGGAAAACATAACCTCCTTGGTGAAGGTAATAACTGTGACTGATGTTAACCAGCCCGAAAACCTGACTCAGGTTTATCCTCCATCCCCCACCCCCCTTTGTTTTTTTCTGTTTTCCTTTCTTTCACCCCTCACCCGTCTCTTTTCCTTTATTTTGATCCATTTTCTTTATTCATTTTTGACATCCATCCTTTTGTCCTTTTCCTATTTTTTCTCTCTTCTTTCATCATTTTCATGCTTTCTTTCTCCTCTTTCTTAATTTTTTACTTTTGTATCATCCATTTTCTTTCTGTCTTTACATTTCTTTGTGTCACTTTTCATTCCTTCTTCACTTTACTCCTTTTTCCTGCTCTTTCTGGTTGTTTTCTCTCCTCCTCCTCCTCTTCTTCTTCCTTTTAGTGCCACATCACTGTAAAGAAAACAGGCTGTGATTTATTTGGCTCTGCAGGGGTTCAGCTGTAAGTGTCACCCCCCTGTCTATTAATCATCCCTGGGATTGTGTTGAGCAATGAGCTAGCCAGGCGCTAACTGTTCAGACGTCTCACTCTCGCTTTTTTCTAAAACATCAGGCGAGTGTTTACATGAATGTCCGTCTGGGCGCTCTGCGGGTCTTAAAGTCGGAGCTTGTTTGGTTTTTCTCGGCCTCTCCTTGCCTCTTTATTCTCTCCTCTCAGCGCCTGCATGGCGTGCTGTTTGGCTCAAGTCAGATCATAAAAATTCTTGTCCGAGGAATAATGTTCTTTTCATCCCGGGAGGTGGAGGCAGAGCGAGAATTAACATCCACATCAGAGAGACAGCCTCGCTCTTTTTCTACTCATAATATTGGGACAAGGAGCTTAAGCTGCTGCTTTCAAAGCAAAAATATTGAGACAAAGAGATTAAAGTGAAAAGTGGAGGAGCTAAATGTGGTGTTTCTAAACCCCCAGAGCCAAACCAGGCGGCTAAATGTGGCTCTGTAAAAGCTGAGTGAATTGATGCATCAGGAGAAATGGCTAAACTTGGTCATTTCAGCAGGTTATAAAGAAAGACGCAAATAATTCAGGACGTATTTATGTCTGTAAATCTTACAGGAACATAAACCACCAGCTCTGATGTCAAGTTTGAAAACAGAGTCCCAAAAATATCCCTCTCTGTTCCTGCAGGTCTCACATGTCTGTAGACAAGTCTCAGAGAAGAGACAGAATTTAAGAAGGGAAGGCTGCCTAACCCTAACCCTACCCACACACGAAATCTCAACTTAAAAAAGTCCAGAATTTCAAGATGACTTTATCAATTAAGGTCCTTACACACCGGGACTGTTTTTGTCGTGCGATTACTTTGGACATTTTTTTTTGTTCAAACCCGTATCCTGTCAATACATGCGTTCACACCAGCGACGTTTTCCCGTTCTGCGATATTGCGGCATTTATTTTTTCGGATCATGGTCGATTTTTCTAAAGTTTCGCATACTTTGTGTCCACTTCTGACCAATCAGATTGCGTGTTGTTGTGATGTCTGATTCACCAGTATATGCAACATATCCGACTGGCTGATTGTTTATGTATCGGAAAACAGAGTGCTTTTTGATTAAAGACACAAATATTACAAAGATAACGACCTGAAGGACAACTTGTGGAGAGTCATAGTGTCTGATCTCTAATATGACGACGTTTTGTGTGCTTTAACAGTTTGCAAAATGTCTTTGTCTTGACTTTCATCTGTGCTAACGTAAGCTAACGGTTGTTACTATAGTTTCATGTGCCTGGCCCCGCACATCTGGTACTGGCCCCGACTCAGTACGTGCTATCATGAAGGAAAGCCATCTCAACACTAGTGTCTAATCAGAACTGAAAACAATCAGCGACCGTGGTACAGTTTCAGCTCCTGAACCAAGCAGTGAAACTCACCAAGTTCTCTTCTTTTTTGTAATATTGGATGCACCCATGTGCTACGTTTCTTTTTCTTTAGGAAGCGTACCAATTCGCCATCACTTGAAGTTGATGTAGACTCTATTTTTGTCCTCTTGTTTCCACCCGGGACGCTGTAGGTTGTTAAGGGAGAGTCCCGCCCTCCTTCCCCTCTGATTGGCTATAAGTGCTGACCGTTTGGCTTGAGCGTGTGATGACGTTTCCAGCTTTTCTAGACAATCAGTGGCGAAGGAGGCAGGACTTTCCGCCGGAAAAGTCTTTCCCGGGATGCGTCTTTTTCTCCCTGGAAAGTCGCAAAATCACATCGGCTTGATGTGTTCAGTCAGACGCGTCAAAATTTGCCTCCGAATATTTCGTGATTTTGCGTTCTATATTCGTGTCGGCCCCGATGTGTAAGGACCTTTACTCAAGGATTTATCAATGCAGCTAAAAAAACAGTCCCTGAGGACCCCTACACACTTATCTTTATCTTTCAATTACAGTTTCAACCTCCTTCCTGATGTAGTTCAAGTTCACACCGATCAGAATTAACTTGTTCAAGTATGTGGTTCTTTAAATCCCGAACTTGCTTCATGGTAGTTAAACCGAACGAGTCCATGTTTATTTGGTTTTATCTAAATGACGGGTCCGCAGAGCCTCCAAGACTTCAATCCATGATCCTCAACCACTGACAGCCCTTGAAGTGGAAGGATTTCAAACTCGGCTGTAGACTCATTGACAGAGATTCAGTTGAAACACCATCTTACAGTCTTTTAACCATGAAACATGAAAAATAGGAAACGACCAACATTTGTCGGAAGTAAAATCTATCTGAAGGTTCAGACTTTTGACCCAAATACACGAGAAAATCTGCTTCGTCACTGAGGATGTGAGAGAGATTTCCTCTAAAATATACATCTCTATCATTTGGCAACAATGTCCACGTGGTGTTTCAAGACCATGATCGAAGCTTTTCAGGTATTTTTTGAAACCTTACACCTGCAGCCATTGAAAGTCTTACAGTCCAAACTAAGAACAAGAGAAAGAAGTTGGAAGAAACGGAGAAACCTGATGAATACGAGGTTTACTCAAAAGAAATTTGTATATCTGTACAAAGTCGGTGACAGCTCAGCCATGAAACACAACTCTCAGGTTTTGAACTCCCCAAACAAACTGAGTTAAATTACGAGATTTTTTAAAAAGGTATCAAGAGCTGAAAAAATGACGTTAGTTTGTCAAACTTGTCTGGAGAAGGACTAAAAAACCCCATACAGGTTTCTGACATGCATGCGTAAAGAAAGATTTCAGATTGATTGAAAAAACGATCATGTTCGATATCCTGTCTGCTGCATGGCGTCTTTCCATCATGTCCCAGTTTCAGCGTTCCTAGTGTTGCTTAATCTGTCGGATAAAAACACCCACGCTATCAGATTCAGGGTTCAGTTCCCTGTGGAGTCGTCCAGACTAAAACCGTCGTCTCTCATGAAGCTGTTTGTGTAAAACTGTCCGTCACATGGCAGAAAGAACACGTCGTCTGAGGGAACGTCAGCGTTACGGGTCTCTGTGGAGAATGTCTGATGGTTCCCACTGTTCATTCCTGGAATACTCTGGAGCTCCAGACAGGGAAGGGTCGGGGAGATTTCATGGAATCTCACACTGAAGTTGCAAACAGCAGTTTATGTTTGGAGAGAATTTGAGGCAGAACAAATTAGAGGGAACTAGAAAAAAATCACAGAGGAAATTAGGAAGAAAAAATAAACTTTTGAGAACCAAAGGAGTGATCAGACTAACAGCTGTTTTCTGGACTGTTGGGTCTCAAAGAAGTTTACAGCTGAAATTACAGGATGCAGCAATAAAAAACAAAACTTCATGTGCATTAAGACACACGGCGTGAAGGTGGAGGCAGAATCAATGTTTTATGCTTGTCTATGCAAATCCCTCCTGATGTACTTTGATGATTCTGGACAGGAGGTACCTGATCCATCAGTCCTTGTTGGTTGTCAAAAATATTGTTTCATCAAATATTCTCACATTTGAACAAACTGGTTTCTGATGTTTCATACTTGATTATTTGAGTCTTATATGAATGTCATAACCAACTAAAACCAGTTTATTTTCTAACCAAGAGGACTGGATGTTTTGAACAGAGTTCAACAGTGGGCTCTGTGTTTTCAGTCTTCACGTTAAAAAAGTGTGTGGATCAGAACTGGGCCCACTATCTCAGGTTAGCACAGCACATTCTTGAGCTCTGCTCCTGCAGCCTTTATCTCCAACTTATCGCTTTAAAAACCAGACGGAGGTGCCTGAAAACACAGAGCCTAACCTTCCCATCATGTCAAATACAACGCTGCTGTGGAGTTATTGGATCTAATCTGTCATGAGCTGCCGTCAGGGACCAGGCCATCAGGATAGTTTTTGAGTTTTTTTGGAGCAGATTATCGTACCAACACTTTTTTATTTTTCCATCTGGACTGGTGTGGTCAGATATTTCACAGGCATGGAAAAGACTGTTCATTGGCATTGTGTCTTTGGTCGTGAAGCTCTTTGTTTTGGTTGGTTTGTAGTAGAGATACAAGAGTCCTTTCAGTTCTGTAGAGCTTCGTTTTTTATTCATTTTATTTACTTTTTTAATTATTTCTTTGGGTGACTTCTAGCCTTTATTGACAGGAGAGGGTGAAATGATGGGAGACAAAGAGAGATGGGGGAGAACATGCAGCACATGGTCAGGGCCGGACTCAAACCCGCAACCGCTGTGGGGACGTTGGTCCCCATGTATGGGGCACGCTAAACAGAGAGCTTCTTTTAACCTTACTGCCAAATACTGTAACTGACCCGAGTGCTTCAGTTCTAAAGATTGAGGAACAGCAGTCCTGAGAAGGTCTGGATTTGTAGAGTCAGGGTTGTGAGGGTCACTCAGTCAGTCTGATGGTTCACGTTACATCAGAGCAGGAAACTCCCTCAGGTGTGCAGCCACCTCAGCTCTAGGCTGTCAGCTCTTGACACTAAACAGTGCACTCAGACTTTCCTGTGCCTTCAGCTGGTTGGAAACTCGTTTTCCTCTAATGTGAGCCCCACTGGCCCCGGCTCCCCTCCATGTTTTATCCATCACATCCCCAAAAACCTCATTCAGAGCCTGTGGAAAAACTCCCCCAGGTGGAGATCGGCTCAGAAAACTTCATGTAAGCAGAGAAAAGTGTGTTCATGTGAACAATGATGAAAGGATCTGTGTGAGACGTCCTCCCACAGCTGGTGACCTCTGAAAGTGGAGGAGAGGATGGAGGGAAGACGGAGGGGAACCTGGGGGAGGAGAAGTCAAACTGTGTTTATGTGTCTAAAAAAAAGTCAGCCCCCTACTGTCCCAGACTCTCCTAAGTCCGTTTGGACTTCCTCTCTGTCTTTAGCATCCTGAGGTTTTAGCATCCTGTAGTCTGTTTGAAGCTGGATCATGATAGAGTAACAGTCAGGATCAGAATCTGGTTTATTGTCCTGTGCTTATACATTCATGAGAAAGTGTTTGGTTGAGAGAAGTCTGCCACAGTCTTGACTGCAGGCCTCAGAGTCCTGGAGGTCTACATCTCCTGTAGGAATGGACGGTTGCAGTCGATCACCATCTCTGCAGATGACTGGCTGCAGCTTGCTGGGTCTTAAAAGGACATTCAGAGAGGCTGAGTCTCTCAGCTGGAAAGAGGTTCACCGCTCTGTGAGGAACTGTGTGAGCTCATAGTTTACAATATCAGAACTTTTTAATGTCTTTCTTTTCCAAAGAAGACACGTTCTGAGCTTTGTTCCCACGTGAACTTAAATCAGACTGACACCATAGTTTTGTCCTTTGAAATGAATGAATGTCAAGTTCAAGAAAGAGTCGTTCTGCACAGGTTAGTCCCTCCTCTGCTCTCCATGACGATGTTAGCTTTAGCTGCTGGGAGATTCAGGACGTAACTTTAAATATCTTTTACTGCAGGAGAGTTTTTGTAGTCCCCCCCGAGGCCTCAGTATTACCTCGGCCTCTAATTGTTTCAGGACTCGGCCTCAGATTGTCCTTGGCAGTGGGCACTACAGAAAATGTTTAGCATGTTTGTTTTTCTAGTAATTAGCCTTTAAACGGCCTGTAATACAGACTGTTAATGGTCCACAGGGAGCCAGGCCTGTGTCAACACACCACCTCAGTGTGTGTGTGTGTGTGTGTGCATGATGTGTTCATGAGAGATTGTGTGTGTTTTTTCTGTTAGGAGGTGAGGTGATCAGGCGTGTGAAAAGGGAAGCTTTGTGTGTGTGTGTGTGTGTGTGTGTGTGTGTGTGTGTGTGTGTGTGTGTGTGTGTGTGTGTGTGTGTGTGTGTGTGTGTGTGTGTGTGTGAGCAGAGCAGTAATGTGAAAATGTTAGTTTTCCCATCCAGATTCAGCCGGCTGCTCGTTCTGCTCTGTGTCACCCGAACACACACACACACACACACTCTGATTCCAGCTTCTTCGGTCACCTCCTCACTGCTGGGTGGCATGTTTTCTTTTTTATTCTGGCCTATGCTATCAATTGGGCTAAGACCATGAGAAGATATTTAAGAGGAATTTCTTCTATATTAATCATTTTCACATAAATATTTTTGGGTCTAAATTAGACACCCAAATAACTGACCTGTGCTGTCCTCCTGTTGATACCAAGCATATTAGCTTAAACCAATACGAGGGCAGAGCTCATACTGACTTATATCCCTCCTAACCTGATTTTATTGGATTGGTGTGTTATGACTCTGTTCTATGTTTTTATTCATATCATAAAATGCCCTTTGATTTTCTAAGCTGTCAGTGGTTATAAACAGACTCTTGATTCACATACAATCATCAGCTGAGCAGAGAGAGGGGAATGGCTGCAAAGTGAGAGAGAGATTACCTAACTCCATAGCCTGAAGTTATTTGTAAATGAATGTAATTTACTTTTTTTTCTTTTCAACAGTTCACTCTGAGCTTGAATAAGATCAAACTTCTACGTTGAAAAGCATCTCAGAGTCTCAGTGACATAAACAGCTGATACAGTGTTTCTGTATTTTTGTGTGAGATCTGCCTGGAAATAATCGCTCACAGGCCGTCTGAATCTTTAATCATCTTAAACAAAATGACTGTTCTTGGCCATGGAGTCTGGTGGTCTTGAAGAGAGGAATCTAACATCAGTGTCTTCTGTAAAAAATCACCTTCTCTTAAAAGTAAAGGTCTGTCTTTCTGCTGTATTTTAGGACCCCCCCCAAATCACAGCCTGAGCCTGTCAGTGACAGAAACCACAGTACTGCCCGTCCACTGGAGTCAAACTAAAACTCTTCCAACCATTGAGCTGGTTAAACTCAGTTTAAATCAAAATAGGACCAAAGTGAAAACACCAGACTGTCCCTTTAAGCCAGATTTCCCAGCAGATCCCTGAGTGTTAACTTGAGTCTTCTAAATTGAAATAGTTCAGATTTATAATCAGAGATGAGTGTTTTTGTTTTCCCTCCTCAGTCTGTTTCCTTGATTTATTATCATCCAGCTGTTACAGAGTGCAGAGTGGTATTCTGGGTAATTTTGGGAAGTCTGCTCCATCTGAGCTGGAGGTCTGAGCAGCTGAGAGAAATATGACTTTTGGACGTTTTTATGAAGTTTTCTTTCTGTTCTCATTGTGTTGGCGTGGCCGTCCTCGTGTGAATTCTGCAGCTCCAGCAGCATTTTTCTCAGGGAGGTTTTATGAAAATGTGAAGCCAGACAAATTTATCACCGTGCTCCGCTCTATGTAATGAGGAAAAATAGTTTCCTGGCATCTCAATCCAGGCGTATTTCAGCACCGGGTCAGAGGCTTGTTTTGAAATGTTCTCAGTTCAGATCTGATTAGTCGAGGATAGCAGAAGGACGGGTCAGACACGCTGGAAATCAGAGTCAGGAAGGGGAAATGTTCAAATCTGAAACCTGTAAAAACATCATTCAGCTGTTTCGACTGAATCACATAAACCCGAGTACTTACTGTGTGTTTGCATGTTTGCAGAGAGAGCAAGAAAACGCTATGACTCGACTGAAGAAGCAGCAGGCTGAGCTGGAGGCCATGAGGCTGCGTTACCTGGCGACAGAGCAAAAGGAGGCGGTCCAACAGGACAGACAGGAACTGGAGGACATCAGGAATGAACTCAACAGGTGAGGATGCGCACAGTTACAGTGAGCAGGTGGTTATGCAAATCCTAATTCTCACTGGAGTGAACTTTTCCATCGAGGTTTCATTGAGGAGAGACAGATCAAGGTGACTCCTGTACGCCCTCCGGTGAATGGAGGGTTATCAATCAACCGGAGATTTAAACACGCAGACTAATAAACAGCACACTAACACCGCATTGGTCATCATTACAGGTTCACACATGTTGATCAGGATGAGGTCTAGACATGTTCCTGTAGAGACAGGTGAAACTCTGCTGCCTGTTCCTCCTCATATCACAACAACTGAGACTACTTAGCCTGTCATAACTGCCTTTAAACATAAATTGAGTACATGTCACAACTATAAGAGTTGTTGTTGTTGTTATTAGAGATCATCTATAGCTCTGCTGCCAGGTTATGGATTACAGGACAGGAAGTGGCTCCACTTTTCCCACCAGCCTGAGACAGACACTAATGTAAACATGAACATTTTCTTTTAAAGGATTTTGACCAATCAGAATCAAGAATTTAACTCACTTGGTTTTGGTTATTTAATCCCGGTGTGAATGAGTAAAATCTAAGAACTTGGCACCTCAGGTCCAGTCCAGACTCTCGTAGCAGATGAAAGACAAACAACAATAAATTTTGTGTCAGAAAATTAAGCCATTTTTTTCCAACAGATTAAAACAGCAAGAAGACCGATTAGGCCCCACCTCCTCCCACCCTGGCCCCGCCCCCTCCCAGACTGTGAATGAGAGCGCAGATGAACACCTGACTCGCCTGTTAGAGGAGAGAGACACTCTGCTGAGGACGGGAGTCTACACACACGAAGACCGAATCATCACTGAGCTCAACAAGCAGATACAGGAAGCCATGAGGGACAGAAACCTCTGACAGTGACCAATCAGAGGCAGAGACACACCTGAGACTGCAGATGAAACAGGGGAGGAGGGAGTCCACTGAACTCTGAGACTCTGAAATCATTTCAGGATTTTTTTCAACCGTTTAAATTTTATTTACATGCCCCTGTGATTCATCAGAGCTTTATTATGAACTTCATGCTGATGATATATAAAAAAAAAAACCTGTAAACATGTGAATAAGGAACCCTTTGTTTACATATTTATGTCAAACAAGAGTTTGTAGATCAGAGTCTTTTCAAACTTGTGTTCTGGAGATTTTCAGAGGTGTTACAAGTCTCATTTTAAATGAGAAAAGAAATCCAGCATCCTTGAATGATGTTTTCTGACAGCAGGGGGCGCTGCAGCCTCATTAAAACCTGCAGTGTCTCCTCCTGCAGCAGAAAGACAGTTACTTATTTTATCCTCAGAGCAGAGCTGAGTCTGCTGTCTGTGTTTGTCTAAATAAATTATTTTGAGATCAAATCTAGAGTGTAAATGTTTGTTTTGTTTTCTAACTTAATTATTTTAAACACAGTTTATTAAAAATTATTCACCTTTTCAATATTCTCTGCTTTTCATTTTCTTCAGATTAAACATTTAAAGCATTAAAGTTATTATTTTTGAATATGTAGAAATCAAATACAAGACTGAAAAGTTTCTCTAGCTGGATTAGAGTTTATAAGAGTGAATAAAGTCAAAGTATATTCACACATGGTCATGTTTTAATAAATGTACTTCAGTTTTTGTCTCATGACTTAGATCCTCTGTTTCGCTTTTTTGGTGCTAACATCTAAATGTTATAAAAAAAACTTAAAAACAATTATTGATGCAACAATTTCAGATGAAATATTTTGAATTTTCTCCTGGTTGAATTTTTGTATTTAATCTCTAAACTGAAACTTTGTGTGCAGGTGAACAAGAAGCCAAAAGCTTTTATTCAAATGAACAACTACAATAACTAAAAAATGATAAAAAAAATCGGAATATGAATGAGGTGATAAAACATTATCACCTCTACAGACAGGCTGATAAGCAGGTAGATTAATAGCATGTTCTAATAATCAGTTTTGTATTATTCCCAGCTCTCAGGAGGCCAACTTTCTAAATGATTAAAACACTTTTTCTTTTCATCTCAATATTAAAACAGTTCCTGTCTTGTGTTTAAGACACTGTTGTGTACTACTGTACTGTATACTGTATATATACTGTATATCAGAAAAGCTATGCTCTGAAAAACAGTCTGATCCAAAATATTTGCCTTTTTTTATTTTACTGATAATCTTCTTCAGCACGGGACTAGTTGTAGAAAGTTTATGGCCGAACTTTTTAACTGACTTTTTTTTTTTACCTAATTATGAACCCTTTCCATTCAGACAGAAACTCAGACTTCAGGCAAGTTTCAAATTGTCATTTTTCAATGAATGCAAAAAACAACGATGTGATACTGACGTTGTGTATCGGCCATCAGCATACCTACTCTCATATTATCAGCATGGACGGGGAAAAATTCATACGGTTAGAACACTAATAATCAAATGAATGTGAAGTCATTAGTTTCAAATGTTAAGGCTGATAAATGTTTATTTTTATTATTATTTTTGCTTTTTCATTTCTTTAAATCAAAAAACTGAATTTTTTTGCAGAGACATTTTAGTTTTTAATCCGATTGTGTCTTCATAAAGAAATAACGTTGATCCAAACATTACTTGCTGGATTCAATGGTCACAAGAGGTAAACAAATAGCCCTGACACACACACACACACACACACAACTGTTAGAAATATAAAAGGGACTGATGTTAACGGATTCATCACGTGTGCAGGTATCAAATCTTTTCAAACCAAACCAGAGCGTTTTTGCAGAAAAAGGAGGATCAACTTTTGCCATTATCAGTTTAATGGTTTATTTTGTTGGAAATACTGTATTTCCCTGAATACAAAATCCTCTTTTTTTAGATGTATTTCAAGGAAAATAACTTCCTTTATTTGAGTGGAGGTGGTTCCAATAATTTCATCCTCTCTGGTTGTTGTGAAGACGTAACAGCTGCATAAAAATGTTGGAGCAAATATTAGGCAACATACGGTATGCAGCATTAAAGAGCAGTCAAGGAGAGTGGGGTTCTGTCTGAAATCCATTAAAACCAGCTGAAATAAAACAAACTAATGTAAGCTGAGATCTGAGAACAGGAGCAGCTGGAGGCCAGCAGACGACACGTGTTATCACATGTAAAACATCATGTTAACACACACACGCACACTCACACACGCATAGCTGCATCTGTGTGTGTTGACATCCAGCTGACAGTGAGCAGATGTTCCCAAGAAGGAAGAGGAGGAGGAAGATAACAGGAGGAGAAACGTGAGGCTTTCAAGTGAAAACATGCTAGATTATCTGATCAGATGATAGTTGTTTTCTACTCAGATTTCACCTCCTAAAACTCTCGGAGACTGAAAACCGACAAACAGATGGAAACACACTTTCATGCTCACGTGCTGACGGATCAGCAGGAATCCATCAACCCAAGATTTCTGAAACTGAAAAAAAGTAACAATTTTTGAAACGCTTTTGATCAAATTAAAGTGACTCTATAAATTGATCTCACCTGAAAGCCCATTTTGCATTTCTGCAGCTCTTCGTGCTCCACTAACATTTTTCAGATTTCATGTTTCTACATCTGTTTGGAGAATCAGAAAAAATCAGAACAATATGAAAACAGAACCTTCTCATGTACATGCACACACATGGTCTGCAGAAGCGTGTTAGCTGTACAACAGAGCATTCATCTCTGACCATTCTGAGGTCTGCAGACACCGTGATCAATCATGCGATCAATCACTATCAACACCTGAAAATGACAAACAGCAAAACAAATGTGAGATTTCTTAGATTTTTTTAACCAGCCTTAGGTGGGATTAAAAACCCTGAAGTTGAGCTTTTGTGTTTATTTACTGAACATGCATGCACTGTTCGTGAGAATGAGAATATGAGACTATGACCTTCAGAGCACGGGGACGAAAGGAGAAACGTGCAGGGCATGAGATACAGTGGTGACTATGGATGAGAAAGAAAATGATTTTGATTTGATTTTATTTTATTTTTGCTTCAAAATTAAACAAATGCAAAGATTCAGATTTTTTGAGGCAGCCATGAAAGATGATTGGGCTCAAACAGACAAAAAAAATAAATCCACTTTTACTCAAGAAGGAAACTCCAAAGATGACGTCATGCCTCAAAAGCCGATCAGTGTTTGGATTTTCACCAAAAGTGAAGAGTGAATTTTAAGAAGTTTCAGGTAGACGCCTCCATGTAAAGAACTATTTACAGAGAAGCTGAGACTAATTAGAAAAAGGTTTTTACTAATCTGCATCATGAGGTTATTCAATCAGATTTCAGTTCATTACTAAAAAATCCATTTGTATTTAAATCAAAATAATAAGCCAGAGTGAAGCTTCTGTGAAACTGACTATTTACAATGAAACTGAGACTCACCAGAATCAGATGAACAGAAATTCTCGCAGGAGGTGGAATAACCCCCCCAAAAAAGTTTATTCCACAGAAATACCTGAAAGTGGAACTTTAACTTAAAACTTCAGCATGGACAAACGGGAACACTTTCTGAGCTCTGGGCTGAACACACCTACAAATGAGACTGCTCTCTTTGTGAAATACCGGAGCAAACATCTGGAACATGCTGGAAGCTCTTAACTATTTTATTGATAAACTTTAATACTGACTAAAAGGATTAACAGCAAAAAAAAAAAGTTCCCAGAGTTCACAGAAAAGAAGAAGCTCTCAGTGGAATTAAGGACAGCAGATTAGTACACACTCTGACACACACTCACACAGACTGACACACAGTCACACTCTGACACACACACTCACAGCAGACCGATTTTCTCACACTGAAACGGTCCTACTTTTCTCCTCAAACATGTTTCTAATTAAAACTGAAAAAACAGAAACTCTCCAGCTTCATGTCTGATTGGTTTTGAAAGTCTGACCTCTCCTCTGCTTAATATTTCCCTCCTGACAGAAAATTCCACCAAACGCAAACCATTACAACCATTAAACACACACACACACACACACACACACACACACACACACACACACACACACACACACACACACACACACACACACACACACACACACACACACACACACACAGCAGAGGGACTTTCATAATACCTGTTAAATGTTATTTTTCAAGCACTCTCTCTCGTCTTTTCTTGTTCATGTCACAGCTGATAAAAACACACGGCCCTCTCAGCATTAATTTTTCTTCTTTATATTTTCTTCTCATTTCTTTCTTATGAGGATTTCCCCTTTTTCTTGTTAATAACTCTGATGGAATTGACGTTTCATTTTAAATCTTAAAAGAGAACAGAAGTTACACACATGTGAAACTGTAGATTGTGTGTGACGTCCCAGTCCTCGTTGTTCCTTTGATTTCTATATACAAAAAATATAAAAAACACAATAAAATTGACTGAATGAAAGGGAAAAATATGTTGAACAAAGGTTACTTTCTGGTGAAGAAATTATGGTTTAATTTGTTTGATAAATAAATGCTGATGGACACATTTTCCTTTCAGGTGACCAAGTCAAAAAAGTGAAAAGAAGTTCTGAGTTCTGGGTCTGAGCTGCCATCCTTGAGCTGAGGTTCATCTGGCTGATCTCAGCAGATGATCACAAACAGAGCTGCTTTAGAGGGCCCAGACTCAGCACAGACATGTGAATGAGACCAAAAGATGTAAGAGTCAATAAATAAAGATGCTTCAGGGGTTAATCTGGATGCAAAACAACTGAATTTAACTGTACACATGCTGATAAAAATGTGATTCATCACATTAAATCAATCAGTGAAAATGTATTTGTTTACTTATCTGTTACCAGCTGCTCTCGTTGTAGCCTGAATCATGACCTTTACCTTCACTGAAACAGGTTTTAACATAATCTCCCTAAGTGACTTATGACAGACTGATATGAAAGAAGTAAATTATTCGCTCTTTTAAAATGAAATCAGAAGGATCAGTGAATACTCTGCACTACAGTAAAGAGTCTTAAATGGTCAGTTTGTGGGCAGAGGTGCAGAAATGTTTGGTCAGACCTGGACTGGACTTTTGACATACACAGGCTTTATTCAGTTTTAAACAAAATGAAAGGATGTCTTTTATAAACATATCTGCATCTCTACTGTGCAGTTTTGATTCTTAAGGCAGAGCTCTCCCTCATAGTGTCACCAGAGTTCCTCACTAACCCTCTCCAGCTCCATCATTTATCTGATGACCTCTAATATCCCTGCGATCCATGTCAGTGCTGTTATTTTCCCTCTGCTTTCACTGCGTTTCCAAGAATCTGGATTATGTAATCACTTATTACATTTGCTTTTCCCCTTTCTGTTTGTCTTTGTTACAGAATCTGGACATCTTTCACACAGTGAATATGTTCTTTATTATTTCTGAGGTCTCGCTCTCTCTGCTTTCGGGTTACTTTTTTTATTTAGCTTGTTCAAATAAATAAAACTCAAACTAAAAACAGTTCAGAGTCATTTTTTTCCTTCTCGTTGCCTCGCTCCTCACTCAGCAGTTTCCCTCCGTTTGTTTTTCTTCTCCCACACTAACTGCTTCTAATTAAAACTACCACTTCCATAATCTCATTACATGTCATTTAATCCGGGCTCATTCAGACATTTACACACACAGACACGGAGAACAAAAAAAGGAAAGAGAGAGAAAAACTTTTGGGTGTGTGATCATTTGTTTGGCCCTGGGGTTCGGTCCGGTTCCCACGCAGGAAAAACAGCCGTGATTGATGCCCGAACGCTCGGACTGTGTTTGTTTTGGTGAATTTGTTAAATCCTCGCAGGAATAATCTCTGAAATCAGACGGAGAGTGGAAAGTCCAGTTCGTGTTTGCAGACTGACAGAGTAGAGGTCAAGGAGCTGTGCGTGTGTGTGTGTGTGTGTGTGTGTGTTGTGTGTGTGTGTGTGTGTGTGTGTGTGTGTGTGTGTGTGTGCGCGCACACGCGTGTGTGTGTGTGTGTGTGTGTGTGAGAGAGAGAGAGAGAGAGAGAGGGAGAGAGAGATAATTAGCAGTAAGTAGAGGCAGCTGTTGATTGCTCTTTAAACCTCCCTCATGGCCATTTGTAATAAATGCATGTAAGTAAAATCTCAGGTCATCTCTGAGGGCCGGATCTGGCAACAAAATAAAAAAAGCCAGAATATTTGAAGCCACACACCCTTTCTCAATGCTCCAATCACAAGTTAGCAAGAGAGCCACCCTCATTAAGTTGCTGACATTTCCAAACAGAGTAACCCAGGCTTGAATTTTCTTGAGCATGTGTGGCTTTCGATAAAATGAGGTGGGTGACAGAATGAGAGCCACTGTTCATCTTAACACTGTACTTAGTGTAAGGGGTAAAAGCATAGACTGTATATAGAATGGACAGAGTCTGCCTCCTCTCTGGGTGAAGCCACTCTGAGAACAGCACCCTCTGTTGATGGGCTGCAGTAAAGGTCATAAATCCCGCCTCCGCCAGCAAAGCTTATGGAGCTGTGGACAAGCTTTAGAAATTTATTACACAGAACATACATTTTTTCCCCCCTGGTTGTGATGTTGACATGTAGTTACAGTAAGACTGGTTTGTGCCCAAGTCCTTTTTTTTCTGTGCAGCTCCGTTTTCAAAAGTTATTAGATAGATAGATAGATAGATAGATAGATAGATAGATAGATAGATAGATATACTTTATTGATCCCAAACTGGGAAATTCTCTTGTTGGGGGGGGGTCATGTTTTCTATGATTGACACCTGATACAGCCTATGGGTGTTCAGGGATTGCGTTGTTTGAGCCGAGAGTCATCACAGCGACTCTCGGAGACTGCGCAGCCGAATGCGCGCATTGCTACTGCACAGCGCTGGTTTCAGGAAATGAAGAAAAATCCCGGAAATACCGAGAGCTTTTTGGCTTCAAATCCGTATACAGGCGGTAGGTGGAACCAAGTTGTCCATAGTATATACAGTCTATGGGTAAAAGTGACAAAGTGTCGCCTGAACAAACTTATTTTTTGTAGAGATACAAAAGTTTTTGTTGTAAAACTAACCAGAGATGAACTTAGGCCGACACTAAGACAAACATTCATGTCCATGTGGACCATATTTCATCTGTTTTAGGAGAAAATTGAAACAAAAAGAAAAAAAAAGATTTTCTCCAAGATTTTAGTGACAGAAAATTCTTAAAATATACAGAGATTTTGGTTATAAATTCACCAGGGAAATGTTAAATAATTTGACATTGCAGCAGTTAAGAACAAAAAAGGAAAAAAAAGGAAAAAGAAAAAAAATGTCGATATTCACTAAAAATTAAGATGAACTCAAATTTTTCAAGAAAACAGTTGATATACACTACAGGCCAACAGTTTGGAAGCGAGGCCATAACAGGCCGAACGGTTGGGAGTAACTTCAAGTTTTTGTTAACAATGCTTTTTTTTTAAAATCCAGCATGAGTTTGATGTATTTTGGGATGTATTTACTTCATGATCAGATGTTGCTTTCATGGAAATACACCATTTTACTCCATTTACCTTTAGATATACATTGATGTTAACAGACCATTGCTAAATATATGTCAGCAAAAGATAATAAGGGCTTAGTTTTAGGGTTGAAAACATTTGCAAGAGTCACAACTTCAGTGCAAAAGCAAAAAAACAAATCACAGTTGGATTATTCACTTCAACTTTTTGGCTTTTGAGAGTCTGCATACAAAAATCCTTATAAATCTCAACTACGTTCAAACTACCTCAAAAATGGCTAGAAAGAAGCAACTGAGTAAAGAAACAAAAGTGCAGATTTGTACATTGAGGAAAGAAGGATTCACAGAAAGAGAAATTGCAAAACACCGAAAGGTGTATAACAAAGGAGTCCACTACACTCTGAAGAGACTAGAGGAACCTGGAAGTTATGATGATAGAAAAAGACCTGGACAAAAGAGTTACTACAAAAGCAGAGGATAAACATAGCATTGTCACCAGTAAGAGAGATCGGCAAAAGACAGCACCACAAATAAGGGAGGAAATCAACATGACAAGGTCGAAACCCATATCTCTGACAACGGTGAAAAGACGTTTGAGAAAGGCTGGTCTGAAGGGTTGTGTATCTGCAAAAAAACACTACTTCATCCACAGAACAAGAAAAAGAGATATGAGTGGGCAAAAGCTCACAAAAATTGGACTTATGATGACTAGAAACAAGTTTGCACTGTTTGGTTCAAAACGCAGAGTCTATGTCCACAGACAAACTGGTGAACGTCTGAAAGCACCATGTGTTACACCCACAATTCAGCATGGAGGTGGTAGTTCCATGGTATGGGGATGTTTTGCAGGTGATGGAGTAGGAGATTTGTTTGAAGTAAAGGGTATCATGAAGAAGGAACAGTACCACTCCATCCTCCAGCACCATGCTGTTCCATCTGGACTAAGACGTGTGGCTCATAAGTTTGTTTTGCAGCAAGACAATGACCCTAAGCACTCTGCCAAGCTCTGTCAGGGTTACCTAGACAAAAAAGGAGAGGAAGGTGTTCTTCAAAAGATGGTTTGGCCCCCTCAGTCTCCAGACTTTTCTCCAATTGAGCTTGTGCGGGATGAATTTGATCGATCGGTCAGAAAAACGCGTCCCACGAATCAACGTCTCTTTTTAATGAACTTAAGAAAGCTTGGAATGCAATCCCTGGAACATACCTTAAAAAACTTGTGGAACGAATGCCTGGTATATGCCAAGCTGTTGTTAAAGCCAGAGGAGGTTACTTTAAAGAAAGCAAAGTCTAAGCAACAATAACTCAAATACCTAATAATTATTGTCAAAATGTCTTCTAATAAGTTACTCTTTACACAATAGTCATGTTTATTGTGTTGCAAATTATATATATGAAACTATGATCTTTTTTGTACAAATCTGATCTTGCTTCCAAACTTTTGGCCTGTAGTGTATGTTTGGGTCTACTTCAGGATATTTATAAAATTATCCAAATTCCCTTTTTCAATGAGTTAGCGTCGGCCTGTCAAGATATCAGATTTTTACCTCAGCGTTATCGTGGCCATAAAATATCAGGATGAAGATTATCATATTTATAGAATACTAGATAAAATAACACAGTAAGTAAAACTGAGAAAATGCTCAACAAGAATAGAGCAACATAACACATATGTGTGTTTATAGATATTTCTGACACTGACTCATAAAGTATATTATGATTTTATTTTGGTATTTTTTTCTGCTTTTTTTTTACCTACACTGTAAAAAAAAATAAGACATTTATTTTTTAATATAAGCTTCTTCTGGTGGATCATGAATTAGACAAAACAGTAACCTGAGAAGGAGCAGGTCCTAATGCTCCTTTTGGATTGAAATATTATTATAATAATGATAATGAGATTTCAGTTTTTAAAAGTGTCTAAGAGAGTCTGCAGCTTCATCTTCGTCCAGCAGAGAGGAGCTCATGGTATCTGACCATCTGCATGTTTATAGCGAGAGAGGGAGTTTTTCATTGGGGCTGTATCACCTTTAACACACCTTTAAATCCTTTAAGACATTTTTAGTTTTTTATCTACAATATGTAAGCCCATTGATATCACATAACAATGACTGCAGGCTGTAAATCAGGACACAGAGAGCAGAGCTGCGAATGAAAGAATGAAAACTGTGTTCAGCTTTATTTCCTTTGGAACAACGTCTTTTTGGTTTTAGTCATTCACTTAAAAAAAGGGGAGGAGCCAGAGAAATCATGCTAACAAGAATAAGTCCAACTGAATCAAAACAAGTTTTTCTGTTTGGCATGACCAGATAATTTTATGTCACATTACAGAGGGAGTGATTATCTTCACCAGAGATCAGAAAAAAAATCAGTTTCTGTGCGTGTCAAACAGAAAATAAAGCTTTACATTACCATTATAATATATGACTAATTAAGACGGAAATTATTTTTTTGTAATCTTTGGATTAAACATGAAATGTTGGAATTGAATTTCTTATTTTTCTCCCTTAACAAAAGCAGGATTTAAGTACACAGCAGCGTGTAGACATATTGTATGAAGTCTTTCGGTTGTTTATGTTGAGCAGATTTTAGTTTGTTTATACTTTTTAATAACAGGGCATTTTTTGTTTTTCAGATGTGAACTCTTCAGGCTGTTCTCTGGATTCAGATGAGAACAGAAAGTGAATTTTCTCTGAGCTCTGGTTCATCTTCACATTTGCGTTTTTGTCCTTAACTGAGTCAAAATATTTTACCTCATCAGTCACATAAAAAAATCTCATAGTTTGTATTTTTTATTTACAGCATTGGATCCATAAAGAAAGAGGTGTTTCACTTTGGCATCAAAATGATTTACTTAGACCAACACAAACTCGTCTGTAGGAGTTCATAGAGCAGACATGATCACATTGAAGAGCAGATGAATCAATACTTAAACTGTAAAATGAGTCTACAGGAGGCAGTGTGATAGAAATACTTTATAGTAATGGGAATAATCAGGAAAGAAACTGTCAAAATGTGAAACTGGTTCTGCAAGAGTCTGTGACGCATTCAAATAAAATCAAACTTAAGTTTCAAAGACTCTAAAGGTTGTGGGATAATTTCAGCTTCCTCAGATCAAAAGTGTGTTCTCAAAAGAGTTCCTGTCTGTTGGAAACCCAGCACAAATTTTGCTTGTCTCTGGTCATTTAAAACATGACAAAAAAGTTTGTTGACAGTCCACTGATATCAGCTGTGTTTGAAAGTTACCTTTCATATTTATGACCATAGTATTTTGTGAGGATGGAGGTTTGAGGAGGTGAAATTCAACATTACTGATCTCTGTGCCACTGAAAATTACAGTTTGAATGGCAATGAATTTTACATAGAAGTGGTTAGAATCTGTGTAAAAAATGAAATAATGAAATAAAAGCTCCTCTAGAGCCAAAACATATAACACCCCCCACCCCACCCCCATTTTCTGTGAACAGATGGAACATGGATCAAACTATACAATAAAAACACAGGTCAAATAGACGTCTCTCAAACATGGTTTCTGTCATTTCAGTAAGCTCTTATCATGCTATTCCATGTCTGAACGTTTATTTTTCAGACACGCTGATTGAATTATTTTGCTTTAAAGATGATTGACAGCTCTGTTGACAAATGCGGCTTCTGCTGTGTAGTATGCACTGGACAATCAGAAAAGTGAAATGACAAACAAGAATCCCAACTGCCTAATGTTTTCAACAGGGTGGTGGTTATCTTGGCTTTACTTTTGTAAAACTGGAGGAGGTGGAGACATGTTGTCTATCTTTTACACCAATACAGTCAATGGTTGGAAGTGATCAATTTAAGCATAAAATACATGTTGACTTTGTTTTTCGAAAACATGATGAGCTTTTGATTTGGAAAAAAAAAATGAGACCATTTTTATATGGAGGCAGTTTGTCAAGTTTAAACTAAAGGGGTTCTCTTGGTTTGGACTCTCACAGAAGTCTGTGTGGTAAAAGTAAAGGTGAAACACCTGCTCAGTTTTGGTATAGACTGTGGGTTTACATCCAGCAGGATGTTGGTCTTTGGGAGGAGCATTTTACAGTTTTAAGATCATTATTATTATTATCATCATCATCATTATTAAAGCTTTTTAAACTCTCAGGCACGAAAAACCTTTTTGGTGTCCATGTAATAACGGTGCTTTTACCCTCACTCAATCTGATACAAAGTCTTCTGTTATGACACGGCACTATTTACACTTCTGAACATATTCAAATATGAAGTCTTACTAGAGAAAAACTGTCATGAGAAATGAGAAAGTGTTTTTCCAAACTGGATATGTTCATCTTTTTTGGATTTGTGCCCCAGAGAATCAGACGTCATCTCTGTACTCAAATAAAAACACTTAAAGAAACTCTGAAAATGTACAAAATGCTACAATGAGGGAAAAAAAAAGAGTCTAAACTTGAGCTTCAGTCTGTTTTCAAACACTGTTTGTGTCGTATTAAACACATCTTTTTTATGAACAATGAGAGTATTTCTATAAGAAATCACATCCATTATCTCTTCTTGTCTCTTTCTGCTCTCTTTACATTAACCAACATCAGAGCTGCAAACATTAAATTATCAACATTTGAAAACAAAAGTGCCCAAAGCATGATATAAGGAACAAGATAAATATAATTTATGTTTTTTTTTTGTCCTTTCTTTTCCTTATTTTCTGTACAGTTCGTCCTCCAGGTCTTCTTATATTGTTCAGTTTGTGATGTAAAACTCAAGTGCCGTCCTCAGACGTCCATGTTGTTGCTTGTTGTGCATTTTCAGTCTATTTGCTTTGGTCGCGCCCTCCTTTGGCATCGCTGTTGCAAAAAAAACGTAATAAAAGGAAACCAGGGAGTAAAGCTACAGACAGAACTTCAGCCTGAATTTTTTGGTATCTCATTGTTTTTGTCCCTGTTTCAAGAAAGAGTTTTCTTTGGATGGAAACCTGAGAGGGTTCCCAAAAGTCTCCAATAAATATCCTCGTCTGTTCATCCCAGTTCATCTTCTCTGCTGGAAAAAAAGGATCTTTGGTTCGGTTGAATCAGGATTTTCTCCGGCAGGATTAATGTGGCTCTAAAGTCTCTCCTCTCAGGAAGTCCAGTCAGTCAAGTTCAAACTGTACACAGTCCAACTTTGTTCACACCGAGGCGGCTAAACCTGAAAACGCTCTGAAGGACTGACTCACCATCAGTTTGCAAAAGAGGTCCATCAGATCAACACTTCAGTCTCCTCTCTGTCTTTTTGTGTCAGTAAAAAAAAACAAGAAAACTCCCAAAACAACCTTCCCTCACTCGACAGTAACCAAGAATGTGCTTCAGTCACCTGTTCCTGCCTGTTTCTGCTGGCAGACAACCAACAAGTATAAAATGCTGTTTTGATTCATTTGGCACATAAATGCTGTGCTTGAAGAGGACAAAAAGAACATTTCATCACTAATGTGCTTTCATTTAAAGGTCAGACCCTAAAAGATAAAGTCAAGTCGTAAATAGGATCAGCTTAGTGAGCAAATATATCCGAAACAGTTCAATACTGTACATCTGCTCTCTCACAGAGGCTGATAGGCTCTCATGGTATCTTTGAAGTTGTTCCATGTTAGAATTGACAGCATGCATTATTGGCTGTCCCTAAGAATTTCTGATTGTAAACATTAAACAATTTAATTTTGTAGGATTTCTAATCAGGGAGACAATGATCATCTTCTGCAGAGATTGGAGGGAGAAAAGAATTTATCATTGTCAGCCCAAAATGTCTAAGCTCTACCACAGACACCCTCGATTATCAGCGCCCGTAGCTCCAGTTCATTTTAGTTTCAGTTTTAACAATTAGAGAAATGGGAAAAAATTGTCTCTGAACATCGGTTCATCTTATATGGTTTGAAAAAAAAGAGAAAAATGCCCAAAGAGGAGGCTTTGGGATCCACCGAAGTGTCCTCTTTTTTGGAATCACAGCAAGACAACCACATGTGTAAACGATGAAATCAGAACACACCATCTATTCTTTCAAAAAGGAAGCTAGCTTCTATTCTTTATTCATCTGCCTCATTGTTTGTGCTGGTTTTTCACTGTTCCATCTCTGCCCACAGGGACTGAGTAAAGGGGATGATGCTCCAGAGTGGAGACTATGTTGTGTTTTCAGTTTTAGCTGCCTGGTGTGGACTCAGTCTCAGTCAGTCAGGTGTCGGGGGGTTAGTCCACCTCGATGGACTCGCTGCTCTCGCTCACAGGTTTACACTCGTTGGGAAGTCGCTGATGGCGGCTGAGCTGAGTGGCCTGTGTGAAGCTGCGGTCACAACGCTCACACCTGAGACACATGCAGAGATGCACGCACACACAAAGAGAGAAAGACAGAAAAAAGAAAGATGAGGTCTTCTCAGGGATAAGAGCTTACATGGAGAGCAGAGCAGAAAAAAAACACAACAGATACAACCTTTGGATCTGTCAACAGACATGTGCATGCACGCATGCACACACACACACACACACACACACACACACACACACACACACACACACACACACACACACACACACACACACACGCTGTTAACTCTAATATCCAGTGACAGTATAAAGTGTGTGTGAGGCCCAGCGGAGCAGCAAGCTGTAATTGTTGCCCTGATCTTCACAACCTGACCGACAAATTACACACACACTCACGGTTCACCTGTCAATAATCTATCTAGCAGGCTGGGGAGGGGATTCCCATCTCACACACACACTTAAACACACACACACACACTTGGACAGGTCTGATAAAGCAGCATCACTGTCACTTTCAATAGACAGAGAGGAGAGAGGGAGCTTTTAGTCTGAGTCGGGGGGGGGCAGGGGGCAGTTGAGTGTGTGTGTGTGTGTGTGTGTGTGTGGGGGGGGGTCTTCAAAGAGAAAGCTGTGTTGAGGTATTGGACTTAACAGCCCTGAAACAAGACTAACATGCTGCTAGATAGATAGGAGGAGGGGGAGGCGGGGGGCTGGGGTGGAGAGGGAGGGTGTTAGTCAGATAAGGAGGGAGACATTTTTTGTATTAAAACTCGTCTCAGTCTGGACTTAACATCCATCATTGAAAAGCTCCTAAACTCCAGTTTTTTTATGGATATGTTTATGACGTATTGGTTTTATTTGTACAAGTTGTTTAAAGTCATTTTCACAGACATCATCCTTTTGATCTGTGCTGCTTCACTGTCAACCAAATCAGATCTTCCATGGTATAGAAGGACTGGTATTTTTCATCACAGATAATGTATGTCACATAATACTCATAATTCAAACAATGCAGCTCTCTTAGTTATGTCTACCGTTGTTGGAGAAACTGCCTGTCTGCTGTTCTGGTTAAACCAGACACCAGATACATGACAAATTTGGCTGTTGTGTGACTGTTGTGTGACTGTTGCCATTAGTATAAAGGATTGATCTCAGAACCTTTATGGACACAGATCACCAAGAGCAGCATTTTCCAAGTGTGAGAAATGTTTTAAACCAATAGTTTAGGACGTGCGTGTATCCATGACTCAAGGTCCACATATTTTTTCACTTTTTCAGTGTGTATGTTTACATGTTGTTAAAAAAAATCTGTTTATTTTCCAAGTTAGAAAGAAACTGGACTTAAAAACACATGTAAATGACATGTTGGACTGGAATAGCACTTATTCAAACTCCTCATAGTCACACTAACAAACCAACATAACACAGTTGGGAATCAGTTCTCTCTTCCTTGTACACGCTCACTTGGACTGAAACTGGCCTAAGTGTTTCTGTCTCTGGTCTTCACATGCCGGACTTTAAGGCAGACATTAACAGGGATGCTAAGAAGTTGGGTGTTAAAAAAAAAAAAAAAAAAAACTTGATAGATGAAGAAGGAATGTAAGAAATGAACAAGCTTTCCTGTCTACAAACAAATGGTACAGATATGTAAAAGTCAGTATTTTCATGGGATGGCTGCCTTTGGAGTTTTTTTTAGACTGGAGTCCTGTGTTGCACACCTCACATTCCACTTAACTAGGACCAAGTCAAGGTATGGACATTTAAACACTGCTCAAGAAACTACATAAAAAAAAAAAAAACAACTTCCAACTTTGAACCAATAATAAAAACGTTTGGCACCAAGGATATCCAATCCCACTAAAAAACAGATTTTCCTTAAAAAAAAAAAGTCTCCTGCAGTTCATCAGTCACTGAAACAATATTTTGATGATACGAGATGTCTAAACTGACTTTCAGACATGTTCATTATTAGAGAAAAATTGTAGAAATAATGGATAACCACTAAAGATATTGAACTCATTTTCTGCCATTACTTTAGTTTTTTCCTCTCTACATTCAGAAGAAGAGAAACCACATATTCTAGATTTATTGGCTTCTTCTTTTTTTTTCCCTGTCTTGTTTTGTATGTTTTCTCCCTCAGGACAGAGAAAACAGAGCAGACTCTCTTTACTGCACTGGACTGCTCTGCCCTGGAGCTGGAGGTTCCTGCTTTAATTCTTCTGTAAATCTACAAAACCACAACAGAGACATCAAAGATCATCTGAAGCCTCTCTGTCACAGCGACTTATCCAGCAGGACAGACACGAGGACGGTCCTCCAGCAGAACAAAGAGCAGAGCAGAAAACAGGTCTTCTTTTCTCAGTAGAGGAAACAACGGTGAGCACTCAGTCCTGACAAGAGGACAGAGGTGACTTTAATCACTTTGCCTCAAGGATGAGTCAAGTCTCAGATCTCCTCTTATCTTAATCTCTTCAGTAAAAAGGGGACAGGACAAGGAGGGAACAAGTACAGATCGTGTTCAGACACAGATTGACAGGACTGATCAGATCACTGAGCATCAGAAAGACGAGTAAAACAATTCTCCTTGAACAGTATTAAGATTTACTGCTGCAGCAACTCCAGATCAGCCAAGCAGATCAGAAAAATGCTCTGATCTACGAAAAATGATCATAAAATGAAGTCAAAAACATCACTTTGACAGTCTTCAATCTAATCACAAGCGTTCTTATTTGTCTTCCTTCAGTCCTCGGTGCAGAGTTGAAATTGTGATGTTGCTTTATTTTGTGATGCTGATTAGAAAACTGAGGAACAACAAAGCAGCGTTGAAAAGCAGCACTTTGACAGGCTCCACAGTCCAGCGAGTATCGGAGCTGAAAAGCTGCCGACCACACAGAATCAGCGCCTCTGTCTCCTCAGCGGGAAAATAAAGTTGAGCGTTTTCCTCCTGACAAAGTGACAGTGGCAGCTTTAATCTATTCGCTGCGCCGTCCAAAAGGAGATAACTCCCTGAGCCATCGATCTGCTAAAGATTTCTGACGCCCATCCATGATTGTCTTTGTCCCGCTCTGCCTCCACCGAGACTCTGAAGTGCTGATGAAAAGGTTCGGGGTTTCCTCCGATTGCTTATTAAGAACGCTGATTTGCTTTAAGCGGATTTCTCTCTGGTGCTTGTCGTTTCACTTTTTACACCATGATCTCTTGTTCCTCCACGCTCTTTCATTCTCATTTTCTCACTTGTTCTTCTTGCCCTTTCGCTCCTCACGTCAATGACAACTTTGGATTTCTCTGATTGCTTATTAAGAGCATTAATTTGTTTCCCGCGGTTTTCCCTCGGTACGAGTCCTCTAGATTCCCCACAACTCAAAATGCTTATTTTGCTTTTTCACTTTCTTTAATACCTCTTACTCTTTCCCCTCTGTCCCTCTGAATGTGGACCTCTGGGTCCACCGGGGAGTCCACTCTTTATTGTCCTCTCATGCTGACAGGACGACAGCATGGCAACATATCAGCATCACAGAGCTCTTACTGCGGCGTCGCTTTTCTTCTCATTTCATCAGTCACTTGGTAAAGTAGTCTGATCTCTGATCTGAATACTGCTTCTGCTTTTACACATGGTCTACGTAGATTTTCTTTGATGGCAAAAAAATCATGGCGAATGATTGGTTTGGAAATCAAGGGTCAGAGGTCATAGCTGCCCAGACAGCAGAGGAGAGGGAAGATTCAAAAGTTCACAGAGAGACAGTGAATAATGGAAAAGAGCTGTAACAAAGACAGAACAGTCCAGATACGCAGAGTTTAATTTTCTTTCTCTGGTTTTCAGAAGTTCCCCACCCTCGTATGTTTTACACTCATGAAATTAATTCACCACACAATTCTCATATGTTGATTTAGAGTTTCAGCCGAATTATTAAAAATAAGATTTTTCTTTTCTTTTTCTTTTACTTCTCTTTTTTGTATCATGGTTTATTCTCTATGGACGGGTGTCTTATGATATTATTTTTGTTTTTTTAAAGGAAACCTCTGTGATCTAAAAACACTGATTCCTTAACTTTTTCTACCACGCCCCCTTAGAGGATGAAAGAGATTCATATATTCTATATTTAAGGGAATAACAGGGATTTTTCTTTGATTTTATCCCTTGATTATTAAAATGTAACTGAGAATTTTCAGACTATCAGACTATTTAACTGTAAGCAAGATATCAGTGACACCCTGAGAAACTCTCTCTGAGGAAGAAAGTGATGGACAAAGAAAAGAACATGAGCGTGTGCATGGGCTTGTATTAACATTTTGATTTTTAGACAGTCGTTGGCACTGCCACCAAAAAAACCTTACTTCACAGATTCACTTCACTAAAACTTTTCACCAAAAGGTTTTTTTTTTCTTTTTTTTTACCACTGGACTAACTACAAAACAATCTGTCAATCCTATGTCTCCAAACATTTCCATCTTTATTAACCAATGGTCATTACACACTGACGAATTAGCGAAGCAATGCGAAAAAGATGAAAAATATTGGGCTTACGCCTTTCCCTATACACACCTGGTGCAACGCATATAAAATTTACATAATCGCATAAAAATATGCCACAGGAGAACAGAGGGGGAGAGAGAAAAAAGGAGAAACAATGGTGACTACACCCTTAAGTGATGATGACCTGGTTAAGATTGTAAGCCTATTAAATAACAAAAAGAAAAAGAAGAATCAGAGTGTCTGGGTACATCCAATAGTGACCATGTGACAGAAGAGGGAGGAGTTCCACACAGTGATCCAGAGGCTTAAATTGTATCCCAAGAAATTCAGATAATACTTCGGAATGTCCCTCTGACAATTTCAAGAACTGCTCCATCAGCTGACTCCACGTTTGCAGAAGGAGACGACTGATCCAGAACAACGGCTTGCCACATGTCTGAGGTAAGATTTAAATCTGGCTATAGATTTATATTGCAGTTCGCCTGCGAATGTTTACAGTTGCTTTTTCACTCTGCGAAAGTTTGTAGCCGGTGTGGAAACTTGCATTGACTTTATGAGGTTTGTTAAAAAAAGCTCTGCTAAATCGCTGGTGTGTGAACGACCTTGAGAGTTTATTTTTTTGAAAATATAAATGAAGTTTAAGTGAAGATAGTGTGTCATTTAAGAAGAGAAATGTTCCTCACTTTCACACTTTTGGGAATTAGTTCTTTCAAAATAACTCCAGACATCACGAAGCTTCTGCTGTCTTTTTTGTGTGAGCCGCATCACCCATTTAAACCAACAGTGAACGCCAATTCTTATTGATTATTAGGAGTATTTCAGGTGGAGTAAATCTGAAATCCATGTTGGCTTTGACCCTTTGAAAAAATCAATGAATCACTGAGTTTTAAGTGTGAGTACAGCAGATGTAAACCAAATTTCCACTGCTTCCATCTCTTTAAATCATTAGAGGAAGAAAAATGTAAAGATCTACAGTACAATACAAAACCTTTATGGATCCCCAAAGGGAGATTGGTTTGTCTGGAATCTCATCTCATCTACTATCTACTATACTATGAAAACCTAGAGAAAAATAGTGGCAAGTCAGTCTGATACAACATGTTAATATCATCTCAAACTCATTAAAGGGGTTAGACACCGAGCTGTAGTGTCTAAGAGTGTGCAGTGGTTGTAAATGTAAGAATTTAGATCTTTTAGAGCTGTACTTTTAGAAACAGCCAGGATGTGACAGCTCAGGTATAGGCCAGTAGTTAAGAGGAAGGCAGCAGGAGGATATTAAGAGGTGTTAGTGGGGTGGTATATAGAAGAGAAACTGCAGCAGGTGGAGGTGGGAGCAGGAGTCTGGGTGGGCTTGATGGGTTGGGGGGTACTCACTGTTACTTACTTGAACGGCTTCTCTCCGGTGTGCGTGCGGATGTGGTTGTTGAGCGTCGTGGCTCCAGCGAAGGCACGGCCGCAGTATCCACATTTGAAGGGTCGGTCGCTGGAGTGCGTCACCACGTGGTTCCTTAGGTCTGAGGGCTGAGAGAAAGACTGGGAGCAGTGGCCACACTGGTACGGTCTGAAAGGTAAAGAGAAGTCAAAATGGTTCAACATTTATCTATGGTGGCTGGAGCTGTTGGATCACAGTAAGTAGGTTGCTGGTTCTTCCCCCCCCCCCCCCAAAGAAAAGAAAAAAAAAAAGGTACAGTGTGGTCTTGAAGTGTCAACAGTGGCAATAAGACCTTAAGACCAAGAAGTGTAAACTAGAGAGGGGTGAGGTGATGAGCTAAGTATCGGTAAGGTTTACCAAAATACACACACACACACACACACACACACACACACACACACACGTGCGGCGGGGGAGGCATACACTGCTGTGGTAACCATGGTAGCATGACCCTCATCACCAATGCAGGCTGAGTTCATGACTGGACCATCTATCATTGTGTGTGTGTGTGTGTGTGTGTGTGTACACATGTGGATGTATGTATTTTTGTGTGTGTTAGGGAGAGTGAGATAGAGACAGTAAGAGAGCTAGAACGGAAGATAAAGATAGATTTGTGTTTGTGTGTGAGAGAGAGAATCAGACTGAAACAAACAGCCAAACAATAGTTGTGTGTCTGCTAATAGAGTGTCCTGCTTCCATACAGCTGTGGATCTAATCTTACACTCTCTATTTATTGAGACCAAACACACATACATACATACACACTCACTCAGACACAAACATACACACAGTCTATGCTGTTGTTATCTTAGTTGGTTTAAACTTACTCTACACTCACAGTCTGATCGCAGCCCCTGCTCAAACCCTTCCTCTCAGCTTTCCTCCTGTTTAGAGATATCTGTCATATCTTATTAAAAAATATTACCCTAAGAGCCATGTATTATTTTCACTCCTCATAAACAGAAGTACACCTGAAGGAGCAAAGGTCAACATTAGCACAGCAGTGTTTGGCATTGTTTTAATTTCCTAGTTATTAGCAAAGTGCCTTTACCATAAAAGTAAAAGCTGGTTCCAGTTCTTTGTCTTTTTTTACTGTTTCTATGTAGATTTATCTCCTCAAGAGTCACAACAAAGAACAAATATGTTTTTTTAATAGTTTACCCATTTGGAATCATTATGCAGCTAAGCTTTATATTACAGGTTGTTCAGCCTAGCCTTACAGCCTTCAGAAATAATACTACTACTACTAATAATAATAATAATAATAATAATAATAATAATAATAATAATAATAATAATGAAAATAAAGTTTTATTTGTAAAGCACTTTTAAAAACAGAAATTTACAAAGCACTTTGACAGAGAGTGAATGAGCACAAGAGCTTGACTTTTATTTCATTTTGTGAGCCGGGGGAAAACTTTGAAGTACATATAATTTTTTATGGTCTGTCCAAAATTTTTCATACTTTTCCTGATTAAGTGAATATCAAAATCATCAAAATTGAAATCATAAATCATACCTGTCCAAGCATACTGGACAATAACCCAAAATTAATAGTTTTGTTTGATTGCATTTTAACAGAGGAAAATATTAATCGCTGCACTTAACCCTGAACTTCATCTAATGCATTTAAAAACACAACAATGTTCAGAGTTAATTGTAAAGAAAACTTTCGCCAAGTCTCTGAAATTCTCAGAAAAAGTTCAGTGAGTTTTTGCAGTTCTTCTCTCTGTTTTCATTCCAGACAAAATCAGGGCTACTTCTGTTGTTAGAGACCAAGGAGGGAAATTCATTGCCGCTTATACTGCCAAGAACTGTGCACCCTTTTGCCCCCACTATCTGCTCCAAATCAAGGTCCAACGCTTGGAGCATATTTAAATTCAAGTGCAAAAACATCCACATGCTTTAGCAGGGATAAGCTGTATAAGCTGTACACATCTCCACCCTCACTAGATGAGGAAATGAACTAAGAGGGGCTGTCTTTCTCACTACTGTAATGAGAAACTGACTTCATGTTTAGGTTGTTCAAAAGCAATGTTTTGTTTAAATGTCACATCCCTTGTGATCACTGTGACACAGCTACTAAGCAGTGAAATCTTTGCTTTGCTTTGCTGCAGCAAGATGCTATTCACTCTGCTCGGTGTCCGGTGCAGTTTGGGGACCACTGAACTTTTGTGTATCTTGTGCAAAATCAACATAATCTTTATGTCTCAGTTGCACAGGTTTGCTGGGTTAAAAAATAAACAGACCCTGAGCATCATTCTGTCTTTGTTTTAGTCACAGATTTGAATTGACTCGAATAAATGGCGTTTAAGTTTAGGCCTGGACTCTTCCATGCAGCTCATCACTGTATTTAAATGGTGTTGGTTGTCTTTCTCTGTGTTTTATGTGCTTGTTTTATTCCTCTGAGGCTCTGCTCACTCTATCTTGCATTACTGTGTTAGTATAAGAGCCTGCAATGGGACAGATTCTCTACAGTGTGCAGCCTGCAGTCAGAAAATGAAGCGATTCTTATTCTGAAACCAATAAGACAAAACTCTGACATCAGTAGCTTACAAATAGGTAAACACCCCAGAACTAGAATAAAACAAATAGACCTACATCTTCAGCACTTTAATAAATCACAAACACCTACTGTACCCTGAGAGAACACACACACACACACACACACACACACACACACACACACACACACACACACACACACACACACACACACACACACACAGGAAAGTAATAAGAGTAAAATAGTGTAATATAAAATCGAAAAATTCTCACTTGCAGTTTTCCACATAAAAGGCGTCTGGCCGTGGGGGTGGGTTCATTTATCAGCCGGCTGGTCTATAAGTTCACGCCTCAGTGGGCCGCACCACTATTTATTAGGTGGGTTTTCTATGAAGAGCTGCATTGATTGTGAATAGTTTAAGTTGATGAATGTGTGGATATTATTTATTAAGGCAGCAGGCTGGGAGATTAATGCCCGGTTATTGTTTATTACAGTGCAGAAAGGAGGGGGAGGAGGTGAGGCATAAACACCTCCATCACACACACACACACACACACACACACACACACACACACACACACACACACACACACACACACACACACACACACACACACACACACACCTATACACAGATAGATGCATATGCAACTGAAATATTTGCAAAGACAAGCACATGCAAATATGTTCTTGTGCACTAATGATCAAATCTGCAAATTTTTGCACACAGACAGACACACACATGCATAAATAACAGACATGGGCTTTGTGTTGAATTTAAGCAGACATCAGCCCTTTCAACACGCAGCACAGGGTCTGAGTAAACAAAAGCACAACATAAAAAAACCCTTTAAGTTATCATGACCTGAACAAGATCTGTCAAACCAAAATACTCCAAATGCTCAGCTCCTGTCAGATCAGATCATAAAGTGTGAGTAAAAGACTGTCTCAAAGTCATGAAAACTTTGTGTCTCCACACTCACTGATCACCAACCAGCTCTGCCTCTGCTCTCGATACCTGTTCAGACTTGAGTTCTGCACAGATTTTTACTCAAACTCTCAGAGTGCCACAAAACCTTTTTAATCATGAAGAAGGAAAAACCCTGGAATCCCAGAAGGAGTGTACGGCTCACATCTGGTCACCGGAGACGAGATGGAAATAAATATAAATATATTAATATAATTAATACACGTCTTAGAAAATCTTGGTCCATGTCTTGTAGGAGTGCTGCAACAGTTAAATAATGGTCTGAAATGTAAAAGGGGAACTCTGAAGATGTTTTTAAGGATACATGGGAACCCTGCAGGTACAATTATACAAACAAAAAAACATAATGAAATGTCGACTCATTAAATGATAGTTTGACCCTCCCATACAGGAAAAGTATGAAATCCTTTAAATACTACTTTCTGCTAACTCAGTAAAAACAGAGCATCTGACTGAGCTGTGTCCCTCTTGCTGCCTGTTAGCTGACTGGGTAACACTCTGTTGACAGCACCAACGGTTCAATATGCCGGTCGTCAACACCAAGACCTGCTCAGGAAAACAACGAATAGACGTCACGATTTGGTTCACAGGGAGGCCAACAATACTTGGTTTGGAGCAGCGATGAGGATAAAAGTGGCTGTAGTGTTGTATCCACCTATCCTCTGCTCTGTGTGTGTGTGTGTGTGTGTGTGTGTGTCTGTGTGTCTGTGTGTCTGTGTGAGTGAGATCTATAAAGTCAGTCATGATGGTCATTTTCAGCACGTCTGTGAAATGAGGTTCAGGACAATAAACCTTGTGTCACCTTTCAACACAACATGTGGCAACAACAGCAGAGCTGGTGTCAACGTGTCGCTGTGTCCACACCTTTAACACATGAGCTGATGAGAGAGGCCGAGTGTGTGTGAGACCTGAACATCTCCACACTCTGACTGTTATTAAAGCTACATGGGAACTGAGTTTCTTGGGACACATGCGTGTTGTTTTTACTGTAGCAGAGAGAGGTCAGAGGTCAAGGAGGTGAGGCGTTATAAAACTCTGCCTGATGACGGCAAAACAGCCTCTATAAAAAGTCCTAAACTGAGAATAAAAGTTACACAAAAAAGTCTGTGTCCATGATCCACTACTCAATTAGATCGCTAGAAAACAAAGACAGGCAGACTAGTTCTTCAACCCTTTACAATAAAAACACTGTTTCTATAAACCTGTCCTGATGGACTCTTAAGATCCTATTAAGGTTTTTTTTTTTTAAATAAACCAAAACTCACCTGGATGCCGAGGCAGATGATATTTATATTGTAATTTTTAATGCCTAAAACTGGTGTGAGAGAGTAATGTGTCAGCCAAGAAGCTAAAGAAAGAGTTTAGTTTTACTATTTACACATCCAATTTTCCTGTTAAATGATGCAATTCAATGGCAAAAAAGTTTTTTCTGCAAAGAGAGTAAATGTATCCATGGGGGCATGGAAATTAGGATCAAAACAACTGGAGCAAATTAAAATTTTTATTCATGGTTATATTTATGAGTTAAGACTTTTGCCTCCTACTTATCAGCAAGAGTAAGAAAGGCAGGTCAAAAAAACAACAACACACAATTTAAACAGAAAACCAAATAAGACTGAATCACTCAATGACTATGAGCTAACATTTATGTGCCTGTGAGTTGATTTTGGACTCTGTAGACAAGTGCCGAGTGTATCTGTGTGTGTGTGTCCCTGTGTTTGCAGTGTGCAGCGGTGCAGAGTGAAGTGTGTTGATTGACCCGTATGGAGTCGGTCTAATCCATACAGAGTTATATTTGCGCTGTGAGGACGACTCGTCTGTCGCCTCGTATGAAGACATTATCCCCCTGAGACCAGCAGCTATAAATCACTGCTCGCACCTCATCAATACACAATCAATGACTCTCAAAGCACACACACACACACGCACACACACACACACACACACACACACGCACGCACGCACACACACACATTCACTCACATGTTCTGTATGTATTTGAGGAGATGTGCACACATCCACAAACAAATACAATCACAAAGAATTTTCCCTTCTCTCTGTTTTGTCCACCGACATCAGTCCTTCTGTTCATTCCTTTTTCTCTCTCCCTCTCTCTCTCCTTATGTCTCTCTCCGTCTTTTTTTCTTTCTCTCTCTTTGACTGTATTGACCAACCTATTAAAGCAGAAAGCTCTCATAATGTCCTCTTATCAACTGGTTGTACTCATCAAATGAGCCTTGAACAAAAACCAAGCTTACAGCCGATAATCATTGTAAAGACAGTCTATGAGGAGGATGAGGATTATGGGTTGTGCAGTTTAGGAGGAATTCATTGTTATTTTAGGGGCCAGTAAACATTACCATGAATAAAAACTGCTGATATCACTAAAAGAGTGTGTTTTAAATGTTTATCAATCTATGAAGTGTTTGCGACTTCTCTTCTCAGTTGTTGTATTAGGCTGTATGCACAGTGTCAAAAGTCCTGGTTCAAAAAATAAAAACAATTTACCTCAAAAGATCTAAAATCTGTCTCTGAGCAAAAAAACAATTTAACAGTGTTAAACATGTGACAGCCGGGGAACAGCCTGATCAAATCAATCTGTGTGTAACAGTCAGATACACTTCACCTCTACCTGTTCATACTGTGGGAAAAATCTCAGAGTCTGTTTCAGCCTGATCCTGAGTGGGGAAAAAATGAGAGGTAGTGGGCACATACTGTACATGAGAGCAGCCTGAGGAGCTGCTGGACCCGAAACATCTCTGATGAGACAAAGTGGAGCAAGGTCTTGTCCGGAGCAACTCTAAACTCCTGATATCTACAACCATAGGCTGCTGAGATCAAAATCGAGTGTTGTGAATGAATTCAATAAATGTTACAAGTGTGTGGCTGAGATCACCAAGTTAGCTTGGAATGGAGTTTGAGGATTTAAGACAACTAACACAGAACATGAGTCAGCCTAATTCACACAGAGTATGTAAAGGGATGTACATATATCATCAAATATTTTCATTATACACCCTGATGTCGTTCTGTGCCACAAAGTGCCACAAAAACTGAAACAGAAAAATATTAAAACACCATCGTATGTTCCTCTCCCAGAACAGGTTCACATCCACACAGGTGCACACAGCCGGTGTTTTTACTGTTGTGGGAAACATGACAGATAAAAATAGAGTCTGAAGGGATTTCTACAAGCCCGTCCATCACAGTGATGGATCATCATTAGTTACGCCTGCAGCTACACACTGAAAAAAAAAAAAAAAAAACATAAATCAAGTCATTTTTCAACACATCTGTGTGTCCAGCAGGGACAACACACATCTGTGTTAGTGTTATATGCAAATATGTCCTCACTGTGGGTGATAAATCTCCTAAATGTCAACTGTTTAGCAACACAGAGAATCTGTCCTCTTTCTGCCTAACATGCAAACATTCTGACTTAATTGTGCTCTTGTAAATTTTCTCAGCATACAGAGAGGCGTTTGATTTTTTACTTCATGTTCAAACATTAGATCAGCAACATTCTGCATTTCAACATTTATATGTAATAAATATTTGAAGACATTACTGTAATTACAATAAATGTGCAGCTGGCATTTTGTTGTATGAAAGATGAAGAAGGAGGCTGTGTGGTCTCATTCGTACTGATGCATTCTCATTTTATACTCTCAGTGTCAGTTTAAGATGGAAAACACTAAAAGTGATGTTATTGCTGCTGTTTTAACTAAGATGTCATACCTCCAAATGTCTACAGACCAAAGTTAATACTGTGAGCCAACCAGTGACTTGATGTGTATGTACAGTTCAGGATACGTCCTCACTGTGTGTGAGTATCCAGAATGAGTAATATTCATTATGGTAAATGTGACGCTCTTCTCAACGAACATACTGTATGCTGTTGACTGTCAGGATTATCAAGCCTGAAATATCAAACAACCAAAAAACCATTTCTTTTTCAAACTTTTTTCAGATCACCTCAACAAAAATTAACTCAGTTTTTGAGGAGGCAAAGCTATGGTGAATTATTGGTTTTAATGCCATCAAAGAATCACTCTGTATAAAAGTGTGAGAAGGTCAGAAAATATACATAATAACTGAAGTATTTCTGGGAAAGTTTGTAGACTTCATCAGATTCACATATTGTTATACAAACAGTATCTTATACACAGTATGGCAAATGCCCCGTGACTGTAGCAGTTGTTTTTACCTGGCGCCCATAGAAACAAAAATAAAATGCTTGGGCATCCATATAAAGCCAGTTTTTTGTTTTAATATTTTGCAATCACGTGTAACTAACTATATATAAAAGTACTAGGAGTGTAAAGATTCATCTACAACATTGGTGTATTGATTTATATTCCAGTGATCCAACTACATCGATCTGTGCTCGGCAAGTTGGCCTTCTAGATGACATATATCAATCTAACATTGTTTTTAAAAGGTAATAAACCGATTGTATCGATACTAGGAATTAATCCGATAGATTTAAACACAGCAGACTGGTTAGATGTGAGTTTTTTAATTTTTAATAATAAAGATGTGAAGCATTACTTGATTAAGTCTACCCGTCTGTGACACCTTCGCCACGCACCAGTAGAAAACAAAACAAAGCATGGTGGATGGTGGAGGAGAAGTCAGCGAGAGAGAAATTATCAAGCCACCATTGCGGTCCAGTGCATGTTGTATTTGTACTATTTCTATGCTGAAAAAAAGAAGTAGCAGGAAAACCTACTGTTAATTCAACCCCAAGAGATGTTGGCTGCAGTTTTTTTTTTTTTTTTTTAAACATTAATACTGTATTGTTTTTGTGTTGAAAAGAAGAAGTAGAAGTAGTAGAGATGTTGGTTGTGTTTACTGTACTTTCACTGAAAAATTTATTGTATATTTAAATTCAAACTCAAAATTCAAATTCGATTTTATTTATATGACACTTTTTGTACAAGAGTGTAATTCAAAGTGCCTCACAGAGGCTAAAAAGAACAGTAAAACTCACACACACACAAACAAACGCATACACACACACAAACGCACACAAAGCGAGCATTTAAGATATATTGCGAAAGAAACATGGCTTGACACCGCCACATTGCGTGAGGAAAGAGCTACCTTTGAGAAACACTGGAGATAAAAAGATAAAAATGGTAAAAAGAAAGAGTAAAACCTGATGGACTAAGACAAGAAGATAATACAAAATGAACAAATAGGTAAGAATGAAAATACTAAAAATTGAGATCAGAAAAGGTTACTCTCCTGTTAATTCAACCTGAAGTGGAGGTTGCACTTTGTTTAAATAAAATGTCAATGCATTTGCTATTATTGTTGTTTACTTTTTTGTTTATAACCATTATCAATTTATACCTGATTCCTTTACAAGGAACAACAGGATTCTAGGAGATTTTACCTGCACTGTCCAGTATCCAGGTGTCTATTCCACAGTTAAACTGGTTGAATTTTTGGCTAAAACGTTACTCAATTGTTTCAGATCATATTTTTGTAAATGAACCAAAATCGTCCTTGAATCGAATTGGCAACCACGAATCATGATACTAATGGATTCATTGTTAAAATAAATTGTTACACCCCTGAAAAGTACCTTGAGTAATACTCCAGTTGAACTATAAAATGATTAAATGCCACCAGCCTAGTTAGTCAGTGAGCTGGTTGGCACCAGGATTGCTGGTTTAGTGAAACAAATAGATGTATCCAAGCTCACTCACCTACATAATGCTACTTTAATAAAGCGAAAGATTTGTCTGTATTTTGATCTAGAAAGTAAGGATAAGTTTGGGTAGAGGCTGTGCTTAGCTAAACTTGAAAGTAGCCGCTGAAATGTGTGGCTACAATATGTAACCAGCATAGGACTGGACGCTAACCTGTACAGAGGTCAAAAGGCTGGTAGTGCTAGCTCCACGAACGGTAGCCACAACTAGCAATGTATTCTTCAATAAGATCAGCAGATGCACTGTGGGTCATGCTTGACTCCCTGAGCTAATGCTTTGTTCAATTAACTGTGGTAGAGTGATATACAGGGTGAAAGAAGTGATCTTCAAATAAACTAACGCAGTGAAATAGAAAAATGGAGATTACCTTCTGGTTGTCTCTAACTATCAAACCAAATGTGAACTGGTTTCATAGAAAACCTAGTTCTTTGTTCCTGTTCAAAGTATTTAAAGTGTTGTTATCAACACGTCCAAAAGAAAAGCTTTTTGAGGGTATTGCCTCATCCCTTATGTGCACGTTTTTTTTCTGATTTCAGTAAAGATATGGTTTGACATTTAACATGCCCCATTAGGTGGATGAGATCAATGTGGTCATGAAATGAGTTATGGAGAATGTTAAATGTTTGACTGTATCACTGGAAAACACTGAAGCACCATCTGCTGGGGCCAAATTTCTGACATGGCTTTGCTAGATGTTGAAAACAAATGACAAAATGGGCATTTAATTCCTCTATAGAATCAACTCTGTGATGATTCCCACTTTCATTAGCTGTAAACTTTCTGTCCTTTCATATACACGTGTGATTGTACTCATACACACATACATGCCTGATTCATAAACAACATAAGCCACCACAATGAGACCTGAATGCTGATCACAGGAGATCAAAGTGCTCAGCAAAAATAGCCCGTTTTGAGCAGAAGCACTAATGACTCCTTTAAACACCGCTATAGTAAACACATCAGTCATACACGCAGTGGTTATTAATTCCATTCGTTGCAGTGGTTTACACTGTGTTGCTTGTGTAGCATGTCAAACCTGTAAACGGAAACAAGAGTCCATTTCTGTCCAGATTTTATTCCTGATACATCACTCATCACCGTCACAAAACTTAAACAGTTTCCTGCATCCTGACACCAGCGTGAAACTGAACTAAAAGCACCTCTGAGGCCTCACTGATATAAACAAACCTCTCTTCTGATGATGGATTTTGTTGAAATGACAAAGAGTGGGGAAAAAACGACACAGAAGAAGAAAAAGTTCAGAAAAAGAAACAGTCAGCAGAAAAAAAAAACAAACCTGAAAGAGATTAAGCTGAAAGGAGGTGTGAGGCTTTTTTTTTTTTTTAAAGCGGATATAAAGAGCCATCAGTCTTCAGCTCCAAATGTTCCCATCAAGTAAACATCAATAAATATGTATGAAGGGAGAGGGGGAGGGTGAATGAGAGAGAGAGAGAAGCATTAAGAAATAAAGAAGAGAATGAGAGAAAGTTTAACCAGGGCAACCATACGTGTTTAACATTTACAGAATCTAGTCTGTTTCACTTAAGATAATAAACTATCAACAACTGGTCAGTTAAAGAGTTCATATTTTCATTACACTAGGCCTGGATTGCAGATCAGATGTTTTGTCCAAGCTGTAGCATAGTCACTCTCCACTAGCCAAGGAAAATAGGTTAAAAGCTACTCTAATAATGCTTTTATTCACTACTACCCGGGTACATGTTAACCCAGGGATCGGCAACCCGCAGCTCCGGAGCCGCATGCAGCTCTTTCATCCCTCTGCTGCGGCTCCCTGTGGATTTAAAAAATAATTAGCTAATATTTAATTTAAATTTATTTTTGTTTTTTATTATTATTTATTTATTTATTTTTTTGTAATTCTAAATTCAAAGATTATAATGCTCTTGAAACATTAAATAAACCGTGGTTAATTTTTTTTAATCAAAAAATGCGTTTTGTGTTGACTAGCAAAAACCCAAAACCTGTGTGAAGATGAATGTGACGTCACACAGCCCAGATGTGGAGACCCCGTGCTCTGAGGTTCAGGAGCGAAAGTCACATTAAGCAAGTAAATTTAATATCTTAATCGGCTATTATTTTGCACATATATATTTCACATTGCTCAGTGAAATTGTGTTTTTTTTATTCAATACACAAACACTTGTTCTGCAATCATCCTCTCTGCTCTGCTCCTATACGAACATGTAGACAACAAGAATAACATGATTTTCATCTAAGTAGGTCTTTAGGGTTAGTTCAGACTGTTCAAAATATTTTTGTTTGCCTGCAGAATTTTCTTTCTGTTGACAGCGGTTAATTTATGTCATAAATGCAACACACTACAGTTTTTTATGTACTTTATGTATTAAAGGGTCCAAATGGCTCTTTGAGAATTTACGGTTGCCAACCCCTGTGCTAACCTAAAGCCAGTGGTGAAAGCTCTGCGATCATAAGCCACATTCAACAAACTTAACATTGTTTATCAGCAGACACTCACCGCTCCACTGGCGTTCTCATGGACATATATGATAAAATCAGGTGCAGCTACGAGTGTCCTAAGTTAGGTTTGGTGCACTTAGCGTAAATTCAAAGGTTGGTCCTAGTTTGGTCCAGGGGTAAGAGATGCAACTGACTTGATTTGCACCCAGCTGGTCCACCTGACCCCTACAGAAGCTTAGAGTCAGGCTACTTCAGCATTGTAATGAAAGAAGCTAGTTAAAGGGGATCAGAAAAATGTTGGTGGGATTAGAGACATCAGGGTCAACCCACTTCACCTGACCCTGACTCCTGCACCTTAAAATACAGTCCCATCTGAGCCCAGCCCACACTGGGTGTGAGGTACATAGGGTCCTTGGAGCTCCAGGACTCAGGTCTGTTCGGCTTGTTCAGCTGAATTTTATCTGCTCCTCTGTCCCATAAAACCTTCCTATTGACAGGCAGCTCCACATCGACCCTCCCTCCCCTCTCCATATCCAGCCCACATTTTTCTTCCCTATGAGTATTAGTTTATTGAATAAGTGGCATCTGTTTTCCTGGCCCCGTCACCGTAAGGCGAGGTATTTCTCACTGACACACAGCACTGATTTATACTCTGCTCCGACTCTCCCCGCAAAAAATAAAGCTAAGCAAAAAATTTCCAATACATCCTCCATTCTCCCCACACATACACACAAATACAAACACACACATCACATCGCTTCTTCCTCCTTTCTCTGTCCACACTGTTTATAATTAAGTTGGCAGATGTTATACACACTCAAACACTTTTACACTCTCTTTACTCTTATCCACAAACTCCCATTTTCAGTCAAACACAAATGATGCCATGATGACACGACTAAAGTAATAAATCAAAACCTAGACGCCTGGCTAGCTGGCTCCCCCTGAGAGAGTGATACGTCAGTTTTTACATCAGTTCAGTCCTGTGTCATGTGTAACATGCTTGAAATATTTCTTGCTGTGTCTTTGGCTGCCTATCCAAAGAAACACGTGCAGCTCTCAGAGGCGATCAGAAATGACTTTGCTAAAAAACATTGCTTATATGAGACAACTGTCAGCGTTTGTTTCTGCTGGTTCATTTCATACACCAGTAAACCTTTTAGTCATACGGAGCAACACTGTGACTTTTAGGGTCTGGTGCTCCTAACTTCTGAGGTTAATAAAACCCGGGCTACCAAGTAGAACTGTTCATTTTAAACTCCGACTTATTTTTGTTTGGCTTTGTTTATTTTGACATATTTCTAGTGGAAACAAACAGATCGAACGTCAGAAAGACTATATCTTCAGGTGTTGTGTCAACTTTTGTGTGACTGTGAGGAAACCTCGGTGACAGTTTTTGTTTGTGAGGATTTGTCCTAAAATAGAATTTAACACAATTCATCAAATCCAGAACTTAATTACACCTTGGGACAAAGCGTACCTGTCTGGATTCTGCGGACAGACATGCATCTGCAGCAAGATCCTCTGGGTGAAGGTTTTGAAGCACTGGCCACACTTCCACAGGTGCCAGTCGCTGAAGTCACTGCTCAGCTGACTGGTGGAGGTCGGGCTTGCCAGAATTCGCTGGTTCTTTGCCCCCAGCTGGCTGAAACTGGAGTCCGACTGCACCCCAACGCCGACCTTGTCCAACAGAGAGAAAGTCCGGGAGCAGGGGGAGTGAGGGAAGACCATGGAGCCCCTTATTGGTATGATGGAGGGGGTAGAGGAGGAGGAAGATGACGAGGGTTTGCCATTCTTGCTGAAGGATTGCAATGATTCCTGCCTGCTCATGGCTTCCACCACTGTGTTCGGGATGTTTACTGGAGACAAAAAGAAAAATAAACAAACAAATTAACACACACACACACACACACACACACACACACACACACACACACACACACACACACACACACACACAAAAAAAAACAATTTCAACACATCAATAATTCACACATAAGGAGTTTTAACAGGACTTTGACAACATAACTACTTGAAAGTGATGACATGTCTTACTGACAAATTTATCTATCTGGTATCTGGTTTGGCTTTGGGGGAGCTCATAGATGCCCTGAGACAAAGCTGGAGGACACAGAGAAGAAGAGCTTGACTCTAACTATCTAGTACCACAATTCAATATTGGTCCCAACCCAGGAAATGACCCTCATCTGCAGCCAGTGCAACTTCACTTCAGAGAGATCATGATCAAATCACTCATGATTGAGTGGAACCCCAATTCATGTGTGGTTTCAGAGCACCGTATTACATTGTTGAAGACAATTCCTCTCTGTGTGCTGTACTTGATGAATATGAGAAGTTCAGATTTTCCCCGTTTTGATGGAAACAGAAAGCTGACCACAGAGTCTTAACTGAGCCCAAATCCACCAACCTAGAGAAAACTTCAGCTCTTCAATTCAGTGAATGGAAATACAGGTCAAGTTAATCCGCTCAGTTGTACAGTAACTCTGACACGCACTTCCACTTTGTGACAGTAGATAAGTATTTTAAACTATGGCCAAGGATTTGGGCCCTGCAGATCCTTCAGACTGTCGTAGATGTTCTGAAGCAACTAACTTCCTTGTTGTTAACACAGAAACTGAAGTTCTGAACAACTAACCAGCTCGTCTAAAGGTAGGAAAGTGCTCTGTCTGAACACAAATCATTAAGTCTGCAAATCAAATGACAATGTCAGTCAGACCAGTTTACAAAGCGAGCTGAGCATTAGCAGAGCTAGCACCACCAGCCCTTAACAGCCCCCCCCTTTTTCAAGATTAAAAATACTGACAAGACACAATGCACTAGTTGCCATTTGTCATTTTTTGCATGTTTACATTCAGTTGGTGGAGCATTAGAGCATCATAGCAGAGGCCATTAACCAGAGCAACAGCGCTTGCCAGGTGGTGGGTTGCTGCACTACAACCTAAACACAGCATTTGAATGATATTTTATTTATTTATTAATATTTGTAGAAATACTAACAGCCACTTCATCAAGAGAGTAATTCTGGTGGGGACTAGTGAGGGTGACGGCATTCAAACATTTCGTTAAATCTTCAACATTTTTTTAACAGCTTTAACAGCTAGTATGGTGTATATATACGTATATGGAATTAAGAAATTACTTTGATAAAATTAATAAATTTTAAACATGCCAAAAGATACACATGTAAAGCTTTAGCTTTGAAAAGGATCATGATCGCAGCTCAGCTAAGATTCAGTTAGTAGAGGATGAGTTTGTCTGCTGTCAAACAAAGGAAGTTGAATAATATATCTTCCTGCCCTCTGAAATGCCAAGCAGTCTGCGACAAACCAGTTTGACTGAATGAAAAGCAAAACCATCCTCAGTGAGTTAAAGTAATATAAAAGCATTTAATGTCATTTCAAATGTAATGAAGGATTACAGAGTCCAGGTCTGTCAGTAGGTCGAACCACAGAACAGAACACAGCTGCATTATGGGTCAAGTGAGGACAGCTAGCATCAACCAAAATCCAACTGACACACTTCTATAGCATCTCTTCTTTCATGTTCATGTCATTGTGCTTGACGTCTTGCTTCACCAGTCACACTTGTGGCCCAGACCTTATTTATCTGACCTGACTCCTCCTTTATTATTACTGTTACAGTGCAGTTTACAAAAAGCAAACACCTTTTTTCTGAACTGAAAAAAGCCTTACTTTAGGCAGACAGGGATTTTGGGGTCTGGTTTAAAAATCTGTTGACAGCAACCAATCTAAAGGCTGTCACCCATCAAAAAATCTCAACTTTTTTTTTTTGAGATTTGCTTCCTGACCTTTGCAACCTATGTTCATCCCGGCTTCATCCCTGCTTTGTTTGACTTTTCAATCTCATTTAATTCATCATTTGTGTCTGCCCTATCTGACAACAGGGTCTTTTGATGAAACAGAGCCATGCTGCCAAATAGAAGTCACTGTGGGCATTGAAGTCTTTAATTGGTTGTGACTCCATATGATGTCTAAAATACAGTGAATCAGATTTTGAGTGTCGTCAAAATTGAAGAAGTACCCCACACTGTGGCAGCAGTTTGGATCATAGTTATGGTTCCAAAATTGTTGCAATTGTTAACTCAGCTGACAGAGTAACAGGAATACATTACTCCTATTCTAGGTGATGGATTAGATACAGAGTGGGGAAGATATGAGGAATTTAAAATGTTTGATGGTCCACCTCAAACATTTTTGTGACATTATATAGTCAAGATAAACTTCTCTTACATTTGTTTTAATTTTTACCTCCGCCAAGGAGGTTATGTTTTCGGTAGCGTTGTTTTGTTTGTCTGTTAGCAACTTCATGGACAAAGTTACAGATGGATTGACCTGAAATTTTAACAGAGGTGCGTCTCAGCCCCAGGAGGATCCCATTACATTTTGGTGGTGATCCGGATCGCCTTCTGGATCCAGGAATTTTTTGAAGGATTCCTTATCATTGTGAGATAGGGCAAATTGTGGAATTTTTTTCATTTAACTCTATAATAAAAATGGCCAGAGTCTTTAGTAAAAAATTACACAAAGGATCTCAATGAGTTTCATGAGGTTTCAAAGGTTGATCCTGATCCAGACAAAATTCTGGATACTGTGATCCAGAACACACAAAAATAAGGGTGTTATTGGAATTTTCAATGCTGAAAGATAACCTATGAAGATACAAGGAAGTGTACGCTTACAAATATTGCATAATAAATCACTCATTTATGTATCTAATATGAGCTTTGTTGTTTTAGGAACATTCTGAACAGTGAACATACCAGTTTAAACACAAATAAACGTTAATAAAAGACACGTAACAGTAAAAGTTTTGGTGTGAATCACAATATAAGGGGGGACATGAGCTGCTTGGTCTGCGCTCTCCGAGTGCTTTTCTAGTTGTAAATGGTTTTCAGTTTGTCTTTGTCATGGGAAAAGGGGTCTTTGATCAACATTTATCATCTTCCTCAACAAAATGAAAACTGGCCAGTTGGCCATTTCTTTTTGGTTGAAATAGCTGTTGAGATTTTGAATAATATTGCTCCAAAATCCCAGTCATATGTAGTGGGTGTGTAAAAGAGGATGGAGTCACAGGTGGAAGTTTTCTTGGACTACCATTAACTGATGTCTAAAAAAGAAAACTTGATGGGACTTAACGTCATCTCTTATGTCGGTCCATCGCCACAACTTATAAAGCATTATTAAAGAACATACTATATACACTCTAATCAGAGAAGATGTGCCCTTTCTATTCCTCCTCTATCACTGCTATGCTGCACCTCTGCAGTCTGGACATCATAACCATTTTCCATCCTTCATCAGCTCACCTCTGTCATCAGGCCACCAGGCTCCATTGATCCTCTAATAACCTTACGAGGAGATAATTACACCATCTGTAAGTTGCCCGACGGCCCTATTGACGCCCACGTTACGCGCTGCTCGCCAACTCTTAATTCATTTTGCTACAAACATCTCATATACAAAAAATGCAAGTCAATACGGTTTGTGCTGCGCATGAAATGCATCATCCAAATGGGGGAATTATGCAGATGCAGTTTGCAACGGTGCCGAGTCTGTGATTTCTTTCTTCATAAAAGGGGGTGTTTTCTCCCAGAGGGGTGTGACATGAATACAAACTGACCATAGACTCTGATCCCCATGACTGAGCAGACAAGAAAGTTTCAAAGCAACTTTTTCAGCCATAAAGACAAGTATGTTTCGCACAGAAGAAAAGTCAACGTCTGTTGATCAGTCTGTTATGGCTTTATTTGACCTCTCTTCACCTCTGTTAAGGAGAGCCAAACAATAATCCCTCCATGCAATACCATCTTTTATTGTCCCTTCATATTTCTTTCTCCTTGGCGCTCAGTTTTACGATGTCTAAATTTAGTTCGTCATCATACAGAGCAAAGTCAAACAGCTCCACAGAAAACATCGAACTAATTGATAAATAAATTGAGTCGTGGGATGGAGCCACACGCCACCTGAAAAACACAAACCACAGTGTCCTTAGAAAGAGGTCTCTTAAAATTCAAGCAAAACTGTAAGGATCTGAAGTCACTATTTACAGACACAGACAACAATGACAGAGGTATGTTTGCACACATGTCTGAAAATGTTTGAACATAATACTTTGTTTAGCCATTTTATTTATGTCCTGAGAATTTTAGACCACTCATGAAATATTGTTTTAATTACAGCTGTTATTATCCGGCATTTTTGTTATTGCAAATGAATTTCATGACAAATTACAAAAGTGAAAGTATTAATGTTGAGGCACAGCACCACATGGAGGGACAAGATGCAATCCATTTGATGTGATGTGAAGTGAGGACAAAGGTGGCGGGAAGGAAAGCCATGACAACCGGACTAAAAACAGAGGACTAACGTTTTTAAGTTGAAATACTTTCTGATATCATGCTTTAAAGGAAACTCTCTGGATACAAGAGGGAAAAAAATGAGGCAAGACAAGCGAAGAAGTATGTGGAAAGGTTATTGTTTAATTTCGCTTTGTGTGCTTTTCAATGTGTCATTTGGTTAGGCCATGTAGCCTGAACTGATATGAAGTTGAACTGGAGGATGCCGGTGTAGTGTTAGCTTCAATTCAACTTCATATCGACTTAGGCCCCACATGGCTCAACCAAATGACACAAAAAAATCATTTTTTTATTTGCAGCAGTGGTGGTTCTCGGCCACCGTACTATCTGTATCTCTGGAAATGATTATGTCACACACAGCGTAACTCTTTTATGGTGCTTGTGCATGTCCAGCGAAAACAACCTTTATACGCATGCTCTGTTCTCTTCTTCTGTTTTTTGTGCATTTGTGCATTGGCAGCATTACAGCGCCACTTACTGGCTTGGCTTTCAGAGCAAAAAATCTAGATTTTATTTTTGGCCAAAATTGTGCAGTCCTAGTTGGATCTGCTGTAACACCCCACTGAGCATTTTTGGCCTAAAAGAGGTCTAATAGACGTCTAAATGTAGTCTAGATTACTAAATTTAGTTCAAGTTTAGACCAAGTCTAAATCTGGGCTATATCTATACTACACTGTATATAGATATAGATTCTTTATTAATCCCAGAGGGAAAATCAAAAACAGATGCAGATCTTAACTGTTATAATGTCCGGGGTTGCACCACCTCTTGTTGATCTGGACGGCAAGTCCTCCACCCTTGTGCTTGCCGGTTGCCTTTGTGTCTCTGTCCGCTCTGACCGTTGTGAAGCCTGGTAGGTCCACGTTGGCATCCGGGGTGCTTACAGTTAGCCATGTCTTGGTGCAACAGAGCAAGCTGCACTCCCTGTAGGTCCTAACGTTCTTCACCAGTGTTATATTGCTCAGTGGCTATCACAATTGTTTTGGTTAAGTACTTGGAGATCAGTTATGCAGCTCACATTTGCTTTTTGAAATAAATAGTTATTGAATAATGGGTTAAAATGCAATGTCTAAATTCTATCTAAAAATATGCAGAATCTACACGGTTAAAATTAGGTCTAAAGAAAAACTAGAGGTCAAATAGTCGTCTATTGCTCAGTGGGACAACTGTCACTCAAATCTTTGACTTCCTCATCGCCCAAACTTTGCTGCTGCACACCAATCTTAGCTTAGATGATGAAGTGAAGGAGAGGGCTGTTAAGCACACTAAAGTGTTGTCTTGATCAGCAACCTTTTTCTGTTGGGATGCATAAAGAGACACCACTACTCATGTGTTTTGCTCCCAAAAGAGATGATCCGTGTTTTGTTAGAGCAAACAAATGAGCAGAGCAACATATTTCATAGGAAAAAGAACCATTAAGGAAAAGACGTAATTTACACATGGGGATTTAGAGACTTAACAACACAATGGTCAAAATGACCAGATAATGAACTATTGAAATCTCTCAAATTGCAGCTCTCTTAAATGGTAGGCTACAAAGTCTTCCTTAATTCATCTTTTGAATCTCTGTCTTTTTCTCTTTACCGACGTGAAGTATTGTTCAGATTATGTTGCCAAAGCTGTGTTAGTAATCAATAATGATAAGTTACCGAGAATAATAAAGCTGTCCAAAATCAATAAAGGCAATTATGATAATGTTGATCATAATGTGTCAGGTAAAAAACTGTTTACCGCAGAGCTCAATGAAAGGCCATTCATCTTTGATTCCTGCTTCTTCTTTTTTCTTCTGTTTGACTCTGAACTTTTGATCCAGTCATTGTTTCTTATGATCCTCCTTTTCATTTGTTATCCCTCACTACTCTCTTCTCTCTTCCACTTCCCATCCTATCATTGACCCTGATTCTTTCCTCTTTATTTCCACTCTCCTTTTCATTGTCTGTATAAAAATATCTCCTCATACCAAGTGCCTCTGGATGAACAAGAAGTGAGGAAGCATAGAGGAGGTGTTACCCAGAAAGAGCGAAAGAAGAGAGAGTGAGCGAGGGAGAAGAAAGGGATGAGGAGAAGAATGCAAACAAAAGGAGGAAGACAAAGAGGAGTCCCCTTGAAGTGATTTTATTTTTCTGTCAGTACACATGCTGTTGTTGTTAGGCGGCGGCCGGGCTGCAGAGTGTCAAGAGGACAAGCTGTGATTGGATGGAACGTCCACGAGTAAACAACCACAGGGTGTGTGTGTGCTTTGATAGTGTGTGGACAGCCAGTGTGTGTTTTCTTTGTTGTGTGTTGGTGTGTGGTTTGGCTGTAATGTAAACGCTGACTTTAATGTGTGTGTGTGTGTGTGTGTGTGTGTGTGTTCAGTGTGGTCATAGGGTTATGCACTCTTATAAGTGTTGAAATTGTGGATCTATAATGTTAACGTCATTAAATGATGTCGACTACCAGCAACCTGTTGGTCTTGAGTCGCATCAGAACTCGGGATGTCCTGATTAGAGATGGGGATCAAGACAAACCTGGTTCTGCATTTTTTAAAACCCTAAAATCACAAACGATTGTACCTATTGATTCTGCCAACGAGTCTCATGGTTCTCTTAAAGTGAGGTAAAACTCTGAATAAAGTCACTTCATGTTAGTCAGCTTATTTCATTGAAGTCAGTCAGTCTAGTTAAAGAATTTAGGGCTGCATGATTTTGGCCAAAAATAAAATCCAGATTTTCTTCTCTGAAAACTCGATTTTCAATTTTCAATTTTTTATTTGGTGACAACTTTACCAAACTTCACTTTAAAAATACATTTTTCTATCATCTCTCAAAACAAAACCACTGAAAACAATGTAGTTTATATGCCGAGCCAGTAAGTGGCCTTCTTTTTGCCTTCTTTTGCAAATGCCACTGGCGTGGGAACTGGGGAGCGCTCCCGCCGTGAGGGGGAGCCTACGGTGGCCTAGAGGCGAGAGACATGAAAGAGACGAAAATTGATTTGACAATTATAATCTTTTTAAACATGGTCATAATCAAATAATCTGATTAAGATTTAAAAACGATTAATTGTGCAGCCCTAAAAGAAATCAGTTCAGTAGGCAGTGAGGCTCAGAAATAGCATATAGGATGAATGTCAGAGCTTCAGATGTCTGTTTTTAAACTCATGGCAGTCACATCATGTGACTCACCTCAGAAGCTATCACAAACTTTGCTGAAAAGATCTGGTGAGGCAGTGTCTAAAATGTAGAGTTGAAATACCCTGGATTAGGATGACAGCGAACAGTTCAGCTGCATGCATCAGAGAATAGAGATGCTCTCAGCTAATTTCCAAAACTACACACCAAACGAGAGCAAAACTGCTCAGAGTTGTGAGTTTGTGCTTGATTATAATTAGGGCAGTGTGATTTGTGAATGGGACCTTAAGACAGAGCAGATAGCTGAGGCAAATGAGCTGCAATGCTCAGTGCATTTATTCACCGACCGTCCATTCACAGAGATTTCTGCCCTGAATGTGCTGACTCAACTCCAGCAAAACTTGGGCAGGATCACGGTAGATATAAATGTCTGTTCCACTGAGGGCACACATAACTATTGTGATCTCTTGTGTTGAGTTTTGACGTCACATTCGTTTTCTGTGGGCCCAATCAGCAGATAACGATGCAGTGGAAAAGCTAAATGCAATTAGGAGGGAAATGTCTTTAATTTAGAGCAGAGCTGCTGTCTTTCAGTTTGCACAAAAGAGAAGTAATCTAATTTCACTTCATTTGGATGTGAACAAATGTTTCTGACTGCAGGGTGGAACAAAAGCTGCACCCTTTGTTTGTCCTCTGCCTGTGTGTTAGTAGTGCATTTGTACATTTGTACTTTTAAGGACCACATGGAGAGGCAAATCAAGTTTGAGTTTTTCTTATCTGAAGCACAGGACCTCAAAACAACCATGAAAGCAAGGTGATGAAATGTCAAATCAAACTGTCACTGAATGACTGCTTCACATTTCTGTTCTAACAGAGAACTATTTCCATCGGAGCTCTTAAGTCCTACACCTACATAAAACCAACCAACTCTCAGTCAACAGGTATGCTCTGGATCCTGCCAGCTGCCCTGACCTTAAATAAGATAAGATAAGATATACTTTATTGTCCCAGAGGGAAATTCATTGTGGGTAAAAGTGCAGGTAGACTGTATCACTATACAAGACATGACCGCTTTACAGAACAACACATGGTAACACACAACAACCACAGAACAACGACATTACAGTACGAGCACATGACAACGACAGAGCACCAATCGTACGATGATATACAGTAGCAGCGAAAAGCAAGAAGGATAGACAGCACCAATACACAATAATAAAAACTACTGCACAACCTCGATCCTTAAGAAAGATATACAAGAACAAATAAAGGATGATAATATAATATATAATATAATAAATGATGAAGCACCACTATTAATAAATAAGTAAAATTAATAGATAAGTAACTAGTCTACTAAGGCCTGGACTACACGTATATAGATATTGATTTATCAGGATATTTTTGTACTCCCGTCTAAAGAGCTTTACTGAAGCAAGCTTTCGGTCTGTTAGACCCTCATCAAGGCAAAGACTCTTGACAAGACTCTGCCTTGATGAAGGTCTAACAGACCGAAAGCTTGCTTCAGTAAAGCTCTTTTTGCAACAGACCAAAAGTATGCTTTGATTGTTGCGGTGATTGTTTCTCTCTTTTTACTTTAAAGTTTCTGCTAATCCTGCACCTTCTCTCCAGATTGAGCAGTGACCCTTCACTTTTTTACTCCCGTCTAAATAAATGTATCTCAAAAATATCTGCGTCCACACGTAGCCTTCAAACTCAATCCTATCTGGTGCCGCTTAAAAAGAATTCAGAAACAAAGCTAACTGATTGGCCGATGAATCGTAACAGCGTGATGCGTCATGCATTGTTTGCAGAAGCTACGCTAGTGCGTCGGGTCCATGTGACGGTGTGGCAGCTATAACAAAGCAGACGCCTCTGTGAGTTAGCTGACTGGTGGATGTAATTGTATAAAACAAGGTTCACTTGCAAGGCTGAAATTAGCCCCAAAAGGGCAAAACAAACGTAAAGAATACCCTGTCTGTCCGCCATCATTGTTGTTCTTTTTCTTTTTAATTCGCATGCGCGAGCTGCGGTTTGACGACATCGATCCATAAAAGTTCAACCACACGAATCCACTTATACGGATATTTTTTTATTTCTCCACTTGTTTTTTCGGATTCAGATTTATCCGGGCTGAGTGTTCCAATTTTCCGTTTTGGTGTGGTAGGGAGGCCTAATCGGTTTGAAATATATCCGCATTCGTGTAGTTGGGGCCTAAGAAGGCGGGTGCAATTTATTCAGGAGAGAGATGGAGGTGGGTAAGAAGGAGAGTTTAAGGCTCTCCTTTTTACCCACCTCAACCATACACAGGATGCTGTTTCAGATGCCTTCAGCTGTTTCACATGAGACTTACAGCAAAAAGAATGTTAAATGCTTATACCTGCTCTTCTCTGCTACACATAAGAACAGCAACATATTAGTGTTAAACACACCTTTATATATATATATATATATATATACAGGGCCTCATTAAATATACACAAGCAGATGGGTCTGCAAGCTACATCTCTTATTTTTCACAGTAGCACAATGCATGTAGGCAGTGCTGCACATCCACAGAATAAAAAAGCTGTAAGAATAGTTCCATTTGAGGCTGAGCATCTCCAACAGACACTCTATCTTCAACCAGCTGGTTAATGATAAAACATGCTCTAAACTCGATTCAAAACATGCTTTACAGGTTAAAGCTAGAGAAAGGTGGAACTCTGTTTCAACTTCAGAAACTGCATGAGCTACAGTGTTTTTAACACAAAACTGAAATCATGAGGCCCCATTATGTGCAGGAAAACACAAAGCAAACTAAGATTTACAAAAATTAATTGCACATCAAATAGATAAATGAGCATGTCAATGAAATGCAGCACAAATCCAACAGACACTGTGGTAATAGATCTGTTAAATTTGAGTGCCTTTTTTATCTTCTGCTGCATAATACAGCTGAAGCTGACAGGAATGAAGTCAGTACTTGTAATTGAAATGTTTAAGCAGAGACTTAGAGCTCAAATGTCAGAGGATGAGGAAAGTCACTGAGGTTATCCGGCCTGTATAAAGTGTACACTATGTACTTAGAGTGTGTTTCATATCCATCCAATGATATTTGAGATGATTGACTTTGGGCATACAAACTGTACCAGACAACAGGATCATCACATCAGCCACATAGATAATGTCGTTAAAAAATACAATATTTCATTTGTGCTCAAGTTAGAGAGTGAGGTTTTGGAAGGAATGCATTGGAAAAACAGGTCCCTGTAAACATAATGTAGTTGTGTGATTGCATATATGTGTGTGTGTGTGCATGCGCGTGTGTGTGTGCAGAGCCTGTCACGATGAACGATGTCATGTAAAAGAGTCGTTCCAGCTGTAAAACAAACCCCTCTGTGGCCAAACGTCTCTAATTTGCAATCAGCACGATCTTGTTTTACAGCGACTCTGTGAAAGATGAGCTCCTAATTCAATTCATTTTCATTTAGATCCCTCAGATTAAAACTCCCTCTTCATGTAGCCTTTTGTTTTTTGCTTCATAATTGTGTAAAAAGAAAAATGTCAAAGTTTGTTTTTTCGCCTGCAGGGAGTTACTCTGTCAAATCCAGAGAAAAAACAGTTTGAATGGAAAAAATATAAACAGGCTGACTGAGCAGAAAACTGGAGCAGATCTAAACAAAAATAAATTAGTGACAGAGGAGGAGAGAGGATGGATTAAAGCAGAGAAAGGAAAAAGACAAAGGCCAGGAGCGACAGAAGGAAAGAGGAGAAAACGGACTGTGAGGAACAGAGAGGAAAAACTTCATCGGCATTTGCGATACATTTACGTGTACACACACACACACACACACACACACACACACACACACACACACACACACACACAGTTTTTTAATGAGGATTGTGTGTCAACAACATGAAAGTGCTGTCTCTGTTTATTAGAAAAACTTCGACCAGCTGAATACACTAAACTTCTGCACAGACCTCACCAAACAATCGGACTTTAGGGTCATGTTTATGTTCCACACGGGCCAACTGTTTATACTCACAATACTGCCTGTGTTTATTTGTGTTCTTCTGTTTTACACTTGATACTTTAAGTGAGATCAGAGATACGGTGACAATGAAGGACAATCCTGCAGAACAGGCTGGCGTTCCTATATCTTACCCTGATAAGAGATAAAGATCCATTTCCTGTATGGAGTGATACACGCCAAGAGCTCCTCAGCAAAAAAGGCACAATATCAGAGCAAGTCATGTAGAGCGGGAGAGGAGTTTGACAAGAAGATAAAAATGAGATTTTTCGGGACACCGCTGGGAGTTTCAGGGTTTCACAAAAATGCAACACCAGCCCTGAACTGGAGAAAACAGACTGTCCAGTACTACAGTGACTTTGGAAAGACACAAAGGAGGAGATGAAAAAAAACAAAAACAAACAACACTGGAAACTAATGTACCCATTGATAGACTGTACACTGTTTCTACTTTGAGTGCTGTCAAAAAATATATCAGACACTGACCAAAGAGATACCAGCATATTGTTACTTTTTAAAAGAAAAATAATTATGGCGAATTGGATTAAGGCATTTCCGCTAAATCGGACTCATGGATCACTTTTAATTGTGACTGACTTTTTATTGGAACCTCTCCTACACCCATCTGCACATTAAAGTCTGTAGATTTGTGGTGAATACAACAGAGCTGCTAGAAAAGCAATAACCAAACATAGCTGCCCCTCCCTCTATTAAAGACTGCTAAGATAAAATTTATGAAATTTACAAAGTGGAACAGATCATTATTACGGGAGCAAAAAAACAAAAACAAAAAAAAAAAACATTAAAGTAGCACTGGATCAAAAACGATCCAATTGGTGTTTACTTACAGTTTTCATCTTGCGCGATGCACTGTAGTGGGATGCCGAAAAAGGAGGTGTAAGAGTCGTTGTACCAAACCAGCAGCTCTGTTCCTCTGGGGATATCCATACACGCTCTGTAGAAGATACAGGACCTGCAACAACACAGACATGCACATGTTTTATTTATTTTACCACAATCAGTTTACAAGATTAATGTAGCAATTTACAGCTTATGGTTTCCAGTGCTAAGTCTCAAAAAATATATATCTATATTTTTTGATAATAAAAGATTCAAGTTCAATGTTCAGCACTGCTCAAAGCATCCAAAAAGGAGAGACAATAAAATGAAGGTTGTAATCTACCAGGTGGAGCGGGGGTAAAGGTGAAGTACTGCTCTGTCACCAAAAATTTTTTGGACTTCAGATGTTTTTATAAATCATAAATAAAATGTTTAACAAACCCACTTGGGTCAGCATGAGGTGTAACAGACTTAGTCCAGGTCTCATATTGGAAACACTTCCCATCTGATAACGGCTCAATTTAACATCTGACCAAACCCCAATGATTTATGGGAATTATCTGGTGTCTCTCATTTTGTTAAGGCCATTTATAATAACCGTGATTTTGTTTAAACACACTGCCAGAGAGCTGACGCTTTCTGGGTCACAGCACCACTAAAAAAAACACTCTCTTTCTCTCTCTCTCACACACACACACACAAATCCTTCCAAAACATGAGCGAGCTCCACATTCAAAGCCACACCATCGTACCTAGCCCAAACGATTTTTACACTTTTTCCCACATGTTTTCCTCTCTTTTTCTCCAGGGTGTCAGACAGACCAGACTGTAACTGAGGGGTCAGGGGTTCAACTCCCACAAGACTCCTTTGTTTTCCTGCCAAAGTGCCTACAAACCAGAGAACTAATTACTCTGAGAAAACCACTTAAATCAGACAGAAATGATATCAAATCCAAACTATAACTGCTTTTTAATGTTCAGATAATTCAAACCACATTGAGTTTCCTCCTGTGAGTCACATTCAGCGAATGAAGTTTGACTTGAATTTGCTTAAATGCTTCTTAATGGTGTTTTATCATTTAGGCATCTTACCTTAAAAATCCTTGATTACAGTTTTCAACTTACAACTTTGAATTCAGCCAACTTTTTCTTAATATTCACATTTCCTTTTACTCGGATATTTGTTCTTCTTTGGTTTTGTGTATGAATTTAAACTTTTTGTAGACATATAATCTGTTGCAATCACAATTGAGATATCTTTATTTTTCTCAGGTTGACTTTTAAGGGAAGAAGGGAAAATAAGCAGAGCGAAGGAGAATCCAAGAAGGATGAATAACTAGAGGAGAAAAGAGTCATATTCCAGTTACTGTCCAAGTCCTGAGATATAGGTGCAGCTTTTTGTCTATTTATGGTGGTGATGGCAACATTATTTTATCTATTCATCTATTTATCTTTATAAGTTACATAACTGAGCAACAACCACACACATGCCACACCGGTTGTGTAATACAGTTGTTGCTACTGTGTAGAGAAGTTTTGTAAAGATTTTACAAGCCCTGCAATTTGCCACAGTCAATGGACTGGAGTAACCCGGTTTTCATCTGGCATTGGTCTTGAGATGTTAAGCTAATGCTATAGTGTTATAAACTGTAGTTTCCCCAAGAGTCTATTTGAGCACCAAAAAACAGTTCAGGTCTGAATAGCCCAGGGCTCTCATTGAGCACACTGTGCTGGGAGTGCATTTTGTTGTTGGAACTTAGTGAGGTTACAGGATTGGCCAATCAGAGGCCTGGTTGACTTGAGTGACAGGTGGACAAACTGTAGTTATTTGTGAGGAGGCTAAAGGCTGCCTCTGGTAGGTTGACCAAAAGTTTGGTTGATTCAGCATCACCAATATCGCAACCGCTGCTTATTAATTTTACAGTCAATGGTTTCTGTAAGTATCTTGTTTTTGTGTTTTTGCATGTGAAAGTTTTATCTCTATTTAACTGGAACCCTTACCCCAACCGGATTTTGCAACCTAGAGGACTTTGAAAGAAAACTGGATACTGTGGCATGTATGTCTTTCTGACAGCTGTCAACTTCTTGCGGAGGCACAGCCTTAACCAAGTGACCTATTCGCAAAAGAAAAACCATGGCAGTGGCAACAAGAGACCAACTATAACAGCATGCTTAGACAGCGTCTGCCGGCTATAACAACAGACAGAAATGTTGATGTCAGCTTTCTCTGTGCAAAAGATCCTGAAACCTTTGCAGGCATTGACCTTTTCCCTTTTTCTGCAAGTGATCACGCTCTGTTGAAACATTTTACCGAGTTGGTTTGATCACAATAGCAGCATGACGGAGCAGAAAAACTGGTTACCAACACAAACTCACCCAACTGTACTTACACTTCTCAGAAACGTGTGAGGAGCACTGTAACTCCAACTTATCTTGCCAAAGACCTGCTTTCAAGGGTGTGTTTTTTGAGTGTGAGAACATGTGGATGTGCATGCGTGTGTGTTCTATTAATTCTTTCCACACTGGGGGAGGCCTTGGCTGGTGTTGGACCCATGTGAAAACACAGCCAGGAGGGACCGCGCCATAAATCAAACATACCCAATGACCTCCCAGGATAAAAAGAGAGAGCTATGGTCTATAAACATGTAGGGGCTTGTATGTATTTAAAACAAATGTATGTGTTTAATACACACATGCTGCTACATTCAAGCAGGGCTATGTCATAAATCAAACACATCCAAGAGGCTCTCAGGTATGAAAAATAAAGACCCCTGCTGAAACATGGGTTCAAAACCATTCTCTTTGTAGATCAGTTGGAAGCACAATCGTCAGCTCTCTGATCTTTCTCCTGTTAAAAGAAAAAACAGCTTTACTATCCACTTACAAATAACAAGCACTGCTAGACTGCATATCAAATAACTTAAAAACTTCACATGAACAAAAAACATGCTAATCTGAAAAAATCCTGCTGATAGGACTTTAGAAACCCTATCCATCATGATGTAGCACATCTAAAACCAGCCCTGATAAATACTGGACCCCCTCCTTTATTCATTTCTGAGTTTAGATAGATTAAATAACTGTAGTGGCAAACATCTCTTCTTTTGGGGTGACTGCACTTGTTCAAACGGTTAATGTTTATTTGTTGTTTCTTGTGCCTTGAACCTTTTCTGTGTTTCGAGTATTGGAACATACACGTTTGTAATCTAATTTGTTATTAACCTTTGCAAACTTACAAAAGAAGCATTTGCTATAAACCCTCAAACCCTAAAGTCAGACAACAGAATTGTCAATGCAATTCACTGAAGCAGGTCCAAAACTTTCTAAACATGGTATTAGGGACGTGTGATAGGAGGATATTTAACTGTGAAGAACTAGAGAGTTTCCATGATCCACCAACTCAGAGAAACTGCAGTATCTGCACAGTCTATCTATTGCAGTTCTATGCACACACACACTAACACAACCTGATAGTAGCCATGTTTACATGGGCAACATTTCTTAATCCGATTAAAAATTTGAGGGATCAGAAAATCTGAATCCACTGTTTGTATGGGTGCAAAATCAAATATCCGATCATGACGTACGTAGAAATGCACCACGTTTTATTCATTTTAAAAGCATTTGGACATGTGCAGAGTTGTCTAATTACGCTTAAACAACCACAGAAAAAGAGTTGTATTTCCGCCTGTGCTGTCAACAAACCAACAAATGCAGTAAAGGCTCAATTCATCCAATTCAAGATTTCCCCCCCTGTTAAATGTTGTCACTAGATGACGCCCTTGCTTACTTATTTCACTGTTCTGTCAAAGGTTGCACTGTACGTACAGATGTGACATGATTACGCAGTATGTACGCCATGTTATGTTATTGAAAGAGCAGGCAGCACCTGTAGTTGTATTTTATGCCAGAGTGTTAATAATGAAACCTCATGTACTGGCCTCAATAAACAAGCCAAAGGCTAAAGAGTGAAGACAGCCTTACCAGATTCAGCCAGTTAGGGTTTCATACTGTATGGTCATGTAGATATTTAAGTTCAGCCTTGATTAGTTGACGATTTGTTGGTGGTTTTCTTATCTTTTTTCAGTAAGTTAGATTACCTTCTACCTTTTTGAATTTTGGCTTCTATGAACATTTATGGATTAGAATTTTATTTATATTCATAACTCATTCAAAGAAAAAATACAAGGTCCTATTTGTTATGATCTGGATAAAAGTCTCTCATTGTGGGGTAAATTACTCTGACCTTACATTACATTACACAAATCATAGGCTAACCATAGACCTGGAAATGAAAGTCTCTCACATTTTAGCCTTTTCATTTGATGCTCATTCGTTTGGTCTTTTTTTCTTGGAGAATTGATTTAAATGGAGAAATAATGATGGCTGTATTGGTCAAGAACTTTAAAGACGGTCTTTAAAAGAAAGTAAAAAGTTGATCAATCATTGTGACATGAAGTTTTGCTCTACTACCCAGCCCCACATAAAAGTCAACTGAAAGAGGAAAAATGAACAAGGTTGAGAAATACTAAAATTACCCCTCAGTAGAATAAGAACCAAACCTTTTATAAGTCAGTGTTGTAGGATTTAAAAAACACCGAAGACAATGCAGCCACAGCTAAGGCAGAAGTAAACCAAAGGCTAACCTTCACCAACAGGTCAGGTCTGGAGCGTTAACATTAATAATTTGCAGAAACTTGATTACCTCCACATCAACAGGAATAACATGACCTTATTTGCAAGATGCTTTTTCTTTGAATATATTCTTGTCCATCAACTGAGTTTCAAGGAATTTCAGGACTTTCCCAAACAGAATCAGCTGTTTGGCTGACAGAAAATACTCAGACACAAAACAGAAAGTGCTTGGAAAACCTGTCTACAGCTGTTCCAGGAAATGACTTGTTATACCAGTTTTTCTGAGCCCTGACTCGAAACTTCTTGCCAATTACACTCCTAACTTTGGAGAAGTCCTAGTCTCAAACGAAAATACATTACACCAAAATATTTCCCAATAAATGGCACCAAGTTTAACTTCATTTGCTATTCTATGCAAACATCTAGTAGAGAAACCTATCTTTTATGTCTCTTAATCAGGTACCATGTGCCTGACCCTGGTTAGTCACCAAAATAGTTTTGTGTCTTCACATAAACCAGGGACTCTGAACCAAAATGAAGGGCTGTAAGGAGTTAATGAGTCATATCTTGGCACTGCTGTGTCCTTGTTTTTTTTTACGCAGGTGGAATGGAATTCAAAGCCTTAGTGGAAGAGCAAGTATCAGCCCCACCCATTACCAACCTGCACTAATTATACTTAAGAGTTCAGACCTAACATCGAAGCTCTCAGGGTGAACTTCTGCTGGTAAGTTATCAAAAATATTATAAATGCAATTCGACACACATATTCACTGGTACATTTATTAACCTCCAGATTATGTATTCTCTACATGTACCTTGTTCTTGTGCAGCACTTTGGTCGACTCTTGTTGTTTTAAACATGATTTTTTAATAAACTTGATTTGATTTGATCTGCAGGTGTATGGTGATCTGATGGACCAGAGTGTTTTACAACAGTTGAACTACAGCTTGTTGTTACAGAAGATACAAATTCGGCCAAAAATGTCAAAGTGCATCAATAGATACAAAAATCTCTGGTGAGTACAGCATTTTACACTTCCCAGTCAGTGAGGAGTACACTTCATAATGTTGGCATTAGCAAGTAAGATCAAAATTAACGTGCTCTATAATTTTGTATAATTATTGAAACTGCTTTAGCTAAGATGATATTACCTGCAACAAAATCACCTTTTTTCAGTTGAATTTTCTCTGTAGGACTTTTCTTGACAGAAAATCAGGACAGTCCTAGATTAATAACTTATGTTACAGTTGATGTTATTATATAACTACATTTTATACATTTAAGTCACAGTTTGCCTCACACCTAATAATGGGAAAACAAAATACTTTTCTTTTGCTCTACAAAATCCACTGCAACCAGATTTTGATCAAGGTCAATTTGACTTTTTCTTACCACATAGCTGTTTTTTCTTTTCTACACAATGTCAAAAATAAGACCGAACCACTGCTGTCACGAGAGTCCAATGCTTGATTCAAAATTTAAATTGACTTTGTTTAGGTATGATTACTACAGTAGGCCTAATGTTTCTCTGTTTTGTCAAACCCATCAAGAGTAGACTTCAGTCACTCCAGCTGCTAAAGAGGAATTCCCCAAGTAAGACATGGCAGCAGCACCATCCGGTAGGTGGACTGATACTAATAATAGATGTTTACTCTCAGTGTTGGAACAGAAATGAGCTCCCACTACAAAAGTTATATGAATTCAGAGAGGTGAATGAGCATAAACATGTTTGATATTTTTTATGATCAGAAGTATCTTTAAAATTTCTCTCACAGAGATAATAAATCTGGTATGTCTGTGGCTAAAGATGAGTTTACTCCTGATCAGTTAAAGGAGACAGTTATCAGATAGACCTTTTACTATTTCCAGTCAAAGTCCTCCTCTTTTTGCACTGTTTACAGGCAGATGAGCAAAACTATGAGGGACCAAAAATGACATAATTAAAAATTAAACAATTAGTGAATACATCAATACATAAATAAATAAGTAACTACCCAAATAAATAAATGCAGGAATAAAAACATTAATAAATGCTCTTATTTTAAGTTTTTAGCATTGTATTTTTATATTTATTTCTTTACCCATTTCCTCAATTACATGTGCATTTAATTTTTTTTTTTTATTCATGGTTTTCTACATCAGTCTTTTCATATATATTATTGCATTTCTACAACTATTTATTTATGTATTCTTTTATTTATTACATATTTCTGCATTTCCACATGTATTTATCTATATATTTCTGTGTCCATTTTGTCAGTGGAAAAGCAGATATGTAAATTGAGTGGGCGGTCCTTTCTCTACTCAGAAGCAAGATTGGTTACATCGATATGACTGGCTCTGGGTCTACTACTACTGCTTTGACTTGACCGTGATGCTTTGCATAAATTATGGGCGTGTTTTCTGGTGCCTCCTGATGATGGACAGATGGATTGAGGATGAAAACAATGTAATAACATTATCTGTCACCATAAATGGGACAATCTTGTCACTCCAACATCCTCCTCTGTCAAAGAGTTGTGGGACGGTATAAAGAAATGGCCTCAAATATTGTATATTACTAGCAGTTACCTGGTTTGTCAGCGCTGTTGCTGTAGACAGGGAGGCTGAGGTTGATCAGTTCTTACATAGCTACAAGGTTGGTTTCAATTTGTAAACAGAGGTTGGATATGATCTTTTAAGCTTAAACGCAGATGTAGAGCTGAGTCAGAGCCTTAATCTCCCCACATCACCGTGCCTGAGTGTCAGCTCCAGGTGAAATAAACACAGCTGCTCATGTACTGCAGAAGCAGAATAATCGTGCAGCCATGCAGCTGTAATACTGTGAAAGGTGTTTTAGTATCTTGGCAGATTTTCAACAAAATTATTCAGTTAATACATTTTTATTCTCTGTCACTGTTTTTTTTTCATTGTCATCAATTTTCTAATGTGCGTATATTTCTAATTTGTTCCCTCACTGAGCCCTTGTGATAGTGTTGTCTCTGTTTTCTTTACTCTTTTATTTTTTAAATAATGATTATATTACTGTGATCGTTATTACTTTTTTGACAGCTCTTATTTAGCTACATATATAGATAGGGAAGTATTTGTGTGGAGGGAGGTTCTTTGTATTGTTTCCCTTTTCTTTTTACGCACTGCACTCTGTGTTGTGTAAATAATGCTTTATATATATTCTGATTCTAAGCAAAGTCTGTTGGAAGGCAGATGATAGAAATATTAACGAGAGTCACAGGAACACTCCCCCTTTGTTCCCTTTCAGTAGATTCACTTGGTACAACACATATAGTATGGGATATCACGCCCTCGCGTGGCCTGACTGAAGACACCTTTACTCACGCCTTTATGGCAAATGATCTGTGGTGACATCTGGGAGGCTCCGCCTGCACATATATACGTGTAACACCACAGTCGTCCTTCAGTTTTTATGCTCTTCACCTCGCTGAGAACACCTACACCGAGTCGGGCTAAGTAGCTGCTGCTAGCTTAGCCTGGTCTTGTCTGTGGCTACTGCCTGATCGATTTAAGCTTAACTGCCCCTGTTGGTGTTAGCCTGCAGCTACCTGCAGAGCACTAATTTCGCTCGGCTTCTGCGTCTTGTTATGAGCGCTGAGCCCATGAAAGTGAAGGCGAAGTCTTCTGTTCAGCCCTGTCCTCAGGGGTGCAGCTTCTCCCTTCACGAGAAAGACCTCCATGAAGCTTGTCCCATTTGCCTGGGGATTGTCCACGCCAGCAGGGTGTTGACTGAGCCTGAGTCGTGTGAGTCCTGCCACCGGCTCCGGAGCTCAACCCTGGAAAGGCGGGTCAAGTTTGTGGAGAGAATATTAGGAAAGACCGCTATTGCGCTGCACGATCCCCTCCTCTCCGAGTCCAGGGAGCTGGCTTCGTCCGAGTCTAGTGGTGAGGACTTCCTGGTCGAAGGCTCAGTTGGAAACTGGGCAGACCATATGAAGTGTGCTGACAAGTCAGCTGGATTTGAGCCAGGCCACTCTGAGGGCGCTGGCCAGCCGCTTACCAGGAGAACGATGACATGCTGGACATCGGCCTGGACGTGCAGGGTTTTCCAGAGGATGAGCAGGAGCTGTTGTCTTTGGGTGAGCGCGCCGCTGCTGCTGTGCCGGTTAATCTGGACGACACATCCTTCCTCTCACTGTAGTGCCGTGCAGCTGAGAAACTGGAAGTAGAAGGGCCCTCTCCTTCACCAGCTCAAAAAACGTCGCAGTTCTCAGGGTTTTTTCTCCCACCCGAACCGACGATTGTAGAACAGTTTGCCCATGTTTCCGGATTTTGTCGCAGAACTAACCTCGACATGGAACTGGATGGAGCTGTCAAAGCTGGTTTGGTGAACCCTCTGCCTATGGAGGCGTCCCTGGCAGCCTATCTGGCCCCGGCCCAAAATCATGGTGTCAATGGCCCCATCATGCTCCCCCAAGCACTGCAAGGTTTTGAGCAGCATCATCCCCAGGCTAATGCGAGGCCCAAACAACAGGGTTATCTGCACAAACCGGCACTTGTGTCTCCTCCCAAGAGGACTGCTGCACCTGCTAGTTTAGGACCCAAGCTGGTGAAGTGGCATGTACCCGGTCAGAACCCACGCCACTCGGCTTGGAACAAGGGTCCGCCACCGGGCCTCCAGAGGGGCTCAGCACCCAGGAAGAAGACACAGCAGTCATCCTAGCTTCAGGATCGACTCCAGAGGGGCCCAGCATCACAGAGACACTGCAGCCCCTCAGTTTGTGCCGCCAAAGAGGCTGCGTTGAAAGTATTTTCAGGGGTCCTGTCCCGAGAGGCGCTGCACTCCCCTGGCACTGTCTCCCAAGCACAACCCTCCCTCACACACAATACTGCAGCTGATGTTCACCGTGTTAATGTTACAAATGTGCGTTCTTCGAGTCAAATAAAGGTTTCGTTTTGTTTTCAAAACATCATAAATCAATCAAGTCTGGGTGGGAATGTGTTCCCAGCCGGCACGCCAGGGGGCGACAACTCCTCCCCCATAGTGTTGGAGGTCAGTCAACTGACTGTTCATCTCCCTCGGAGGTGCACAGGCGCAGTCTCACCGTGGGTACAGAGAACCATTGCCATGGGCTACTGCTTACAGTTCAGGGCTCAGCCGTCTTGCTTCCACTCTGTAATACACATAGTTGTAGCAGAAGAAGCAGCAGAAGTTCTGAGGGAAGAAATAAACAACTTGTTGAACAAGAGAGCGGAAGAAAAAAAGGAGGAGGGCTCCGTCCTATCCTTGACTTGTGAGTGTTAAACAAATACCTACAGGTTCAGGATGATAACACTCAGACAGCTACTGGGCGCAATCAGAGCGGGAGATTGGTTTACAACTATCGATCTGACAGATGCTTACTTTCACGTAGCGATTCATCTGGACCACAGGCACTTTCTAAGGTATGCATTTGAGGGCATAGCCTACGAATACCTGGTGCTGCCGTTCGGCTTATAACTCGTCCGCCGAACAATCACCAAATGTGTCGAGGTGGCATTGGCTTCGTTACGGGACAAAATATTTGTATCTTAGCCTATCTGGATGATTGGGTGATAATTGTGAGCTCCAGAGAGCGAGCAGCAGCTCAGCTGTCATTGACCCTATCGCACATCCAGACACTAGGCTTTTCGGTATATTTACAGAAAAGTTCACTGACTCCGAGTCAACAGGTATCATTTCTAGGGCTGGAAATATGCTCTGTTTCAAGCTGAGCACATCTGTTAGAACGCACAATTCCTGTCGGGACGCAAACTGCGTTTCTGGATGATTTTACAGCTGACAGGCATGATGGCATCTATGATCGCTGTAGTGCCACTCAGACTGTCAAAAATGAGAGCGTTTCAATGTTGGACTCAGGGCTCTATTTTCGTTCGCGCCGGTGAGGCGGCGGAGGGCGGCGAGCCCCGCGCAGTTGTATTTTCGTCTGGCGGAGCCCGGCGTAAGGCGAGTTTGGTATTTTCGTGGACTGAGTCGCACGGAGGCGAGCCGAGATCCGCCAAGCTGGGCGTGGTGGCGTGGCAGGGGGAGGTGTTGACAGAATCAGCTGGCGCAGTGACATTTTCGTGCTCGCCACTGGCGTGTGACGTGTGCTGAAAGCTCGCCGATTCAAACCTGGTCAGCTTTCAGCGCAAGGCGGAACGCAGCTGGTCCAGTAGTATTTTGGTAGACCGGCGGCGTATCGACATACGTCACTGATGCCTCACCGGCAGGTTTCCACAGTGTCAGGAACATTTCAGTGCAATAAATAATCATCAACAACTATTAATCTGAGTCAGCACATACATTTAGATCTATATAGATATATTCTGATCTATATCTGATCTGATGAGCGCGTTTGGCACGCGTTTGGACACACAACCTGACCGAATCATTACAGCTGAAACTGCATTAAATTAAATTAAATATATAGTAAATAAACACACATGATGAAGTTAACAAGATATGTAATTTGTCTCCCTCCTTTTCTTTCTTCCTCTTATTTCTCGCACAGCTCGACCTGGACACGTCTCCGTGTCCTCTGTCCGTCTTGCTGCTGCTGCAGCTGAACAGATGATTTGTTTCAGTGCTCAGATGCGTGATCTACTCTAAGCCGACATGCGGATATTATAATATTCAGTTTTGTGGGCCAAATTTATTTTATATGCCAACATCTATGAAAGAAAGAGCCAGGCCACGGAGCGCGATGCGTCATTTACGCACAGATGGTTCCGATTTTAATGCCTTTTTGGAGTTTATGTTGTGATCTGCGCGCTCAACCCACCTTTGTCACGTGAGGTTTGAATATATGCAACTTTATGTGAGTGTCTTTATTTGTGGAAAAGGGTGTTTGTCTTACCAGTGGGTCCAACATTACGCACACCAAATCCATCTGTGCTCATATGAGAGAGTGTGGAGGACACTTGTTGAGCAGCTGCCCTCTGTCGCCATCGTGTGGCATAACTGTCTTCAGACATCTCTTGATCTCTTTGACTACTTCATGAAAATAGTAATACGCCTCGCCTGTGGCGGATTTAAAGGCGAGGAGAGGAGCTAATGTGATTGGTGAAAACAGGTCTCGGCTGTGTTAAACCCCCTATACGCCCTCTCTCCTCCCCGTCTATGATTTATGCTGCCGGGAGGAGCTGAGTTAGGGAGGGGGGATACTTACACCGGGCTGCGCGGCTCACCAAAATAACCAAAATGTGCTTGGGAACGCCTTGTCAGCGCGGCGGATCTGATTGACTCTGCGCTTGCGGCACGTCTCCGGCGAGGCACCAAAATAGAGCCCTCAGTCTCACCGGCTGTGCGCCTCTAGAAGACGCTGACAATAACTCCGTCTTGCATGTCAGCTCTTCTCCCATGGAGAGAACCCGGTTTTCTACAACAGGGATCTCCGATAGGGAGGGTATCTTTTAACAAGGTGAAGGGACTCTGAGGGGTCGGTGGGCTCTGTCCGAGGGCGCAGCAGTGAGATCTTTTGAATTGATTGCTTTTGTCTGGTCAGCCCAAGAAACCAGTCCTGCTTCAGAGGGGAGCTTGGACCACCCACTTAATTTACATATATACTTTTCCACTGACACAAAAATATAAATAAATAAATAGATGAATACATAAACAGATAAATGTGGAAATGCATTCATACAAAAATATAAACAAATGTTCAAAAGCATGCATGATTAAGAAAATAGATTAATAAATAGATATGGAAATAAAAACAGAAAATATAAGCATTTAATTATTTATGTCTTTATTTATGTTTTTATTTCTGCATTTATTTATTTTTTCATTTATTACTATTTTTTTAATAATGTCATTTTTGGTCCCCCAATGGTATTGAAAGTCTCACAGTTTCATCACATAAGGACATCTGTCTATTGACAGAAATAAAATCTGAAATGGTATCAGTTGTAAATACAATTGTTAAAGGGTGTTTTTCACCCATTCCAAGGTTTTTGCTCACCACAAAGACTGCTTTGATGCAGTCAAAGCAAGAGGGGTCTGGCTGCAGACCTCCACTGTCAGGACCCTTCGTCGCAGAGCTACACTGTCAGGACCCACTTCACTTATTGGACCCGAGGTGACATTTTTCTCGCGCGCTCCAGTTTGTTTTTGCGCTGAAGATAGTTGAGAGATATGTGAGATAAGTGAGTCCAAAAGTGCAGGAGGTGACATTTCCAATGATAAATGGTATAAAAGCAAAGAACAGTCAGCATTTGGATTGTAGATGCTGTATGCCATCAAACATGTTAGGTGTTTTAACAGAGATTAATTGTTCGAAATGAATTTATAGTACAAACTAAATAACAGCTGTCCATTTTGCTGATTGAATCAAAATACAAGTAAAATAATTGATGTTTTAAATAATGTTTTAAGGTGATCAAAACAATAGCTATACATTAGGGGCCTGATGTACTAATCCCAAATAGCGAACGCTAAATTGCGTTTGCAAACTAAAAAATTGCACATGCTAGTAGTGGGTGTATTGCGGTTGATCTACTATCATTGCGTGTGCAATTGATAACAAGTGCAAAAGTGTTGCGGACTGTTCTCTTTAAACAAGTTTTTTGCGTGCTCTATCGGCTGTCACCATAGAGAGTTTGTGCAAGTAGAGTGATCGTAGATGAAAAATGAAGTTTGAAGCCATGGAGTTTCAAATACCGTTTTGGGGAACTGCGTAAAAGGCAAGCAAGGCAAGTTTTATTTGTACAGCACCATTTATAGACAAGGCAATTTAAAGTGCTTAACAGATACAAGAAAATATAGTAGAATTCAAAAGAAGGGATTAAAATTTTTTTAAATCAATAAGAAAAACAGATCATTTTTTTCTTGTGTTCCGAGTTTTTCAGTAGGAGATATGGCACGGATCATTTTTGTGACTGGCCTTAAATCAGCCCTTGGGTCACCCAGCATTACTATTACTATTACTCTATAAATTTTTATCTCTGACAGTCCAAATATGTCGACATGTCCACAGAAGGCCCTGTCTCTCCATCGTCTATCATTGGACTTCTGCCTCCTTTCCCCCACAATGACCGTTTGTAACGCTGTGGCAGTTTGCACCTGACTTTCAAATGTGCCAAATATAGACGCAAAATGGAGACCGCAATCGGTTACCGGGTTTGATAAATCACTCTCAAAATGGTCATCCCCTTTTGTATTTTCTCTTTGTTGAACACATAAATATGAAAAAAAAATCATATTAACATTATATACAAAAAATAAAGCCCCCCAAAATAAAGTATATTTACAGCAGACAAAAAATACGTACTTTCTGGTCTAGTCACTTTAAATTTGAAAGGCTTCGAATCAACCTTCTGTCCGCTCAGTGGAGCAAGTCCTCACAGCGGAGGTCTGCAATGAAGGGTCCTGACAGTGGAGGTCTGCAGTCAGACTGTCTTGCCTACTCAAAGCTTCTGATTCATCTTCAATTTAATAAGACTAAAAACCAAAATGCTTTAGACCCCACAACAGATAATGAATAACAGAGATATCTATTTTGACATCATTTGTCAGTAGACATCCTCCATGTCTTCGTGACTGACATGAGTAAAGTAGTTATTATGAAGATTTCTTCAGAGAAATAATGAAGGTTTGTAACTTTTTGAAAAATGTATTACAGCCTGTGAGCTGCGGATCCTGGTGCTGGGGTTAAAACAAAGTGAGAAGACAACAATAAGTGACTTCATCGCTGGAAAAAAAGACGCTACACATCCAAAAGTGTCGAAGCAGCTACAGCAGATCCATGGAACATGGAGGACAAAACCATTCACCATAGTGAAAACAGGAGACATCTTCAAACTCCCTGAAGATAGGATCAAATTTCAATTATCAAGGTGTGTGGCTCAGTGTGCTCCCGGGCCAAATGTGTTGCTGCTGTTAGTGCACCCTTCAGATTTTACAGAGAGGGACAGACAAAAATTGAAGTTCATCATGAGTTTCTTTGGAGGAGATGTTTCAAAACACTCACTGATCATCATTACACAAAGTTACAGTGGAGAGAACTCTGCTGTCAACCAAGTTATTCAAGAGTGTAGACAAAAGCAACTGATCAACTTCGAAGAACACGACTTTCATGATGAAAATCACCGACAACTAATGCACAAAATCGAGAGCATAGTGAGTGAAAATAGAGGGGAGAATATGACTTTTACTGAAGAGAATGACCTCAGGGTAGCTCCACAACATTCAAAACCCCCTCTGAACCTGCTGTTGTGTGGGAGACATGACGCCTTAAAAATATCAGCAGCTAAGGCGATTCTTGGAGGACGAAGGTCTGGTCCAACTGCTGCCTCAGAGTGTGTTAAAAATGAAGCAGAGGTGCTGGGGCGCAGTGTTACACTGGTGGAGCTGCCCACCTTGACTGGAAAACCTCCAGAGGCAGCCAAGAAGGTGTCAGTCAAAGGTCTCACTCTTTGTGATTCAGAGGGAGTCCACGCATTTGTCATGGTCCTTCCTCTCGATCCTCCAAATGAGGAAGACAAGAAAGAGTTAGAGACCATCCAGAGCACTTTCAGGTCCAGAGTGAAGGAGTTCTCCATGATCCTCTTCGCTGTTCAGGGGAATCCTAACTTCCCAGCAGTGACGCGGTTTCTACAAGAAAACAAGGACATCCATCAGCTCCTTCAGACCTGTGGCGGCAGATATGTTGTTTTTAACCTCAATGATAAGCAGCAAGTTGCCGAGGTGTTACACACTGTGGAGAAGATAAGAGATGTAGGATGTCGAGGCTTCACAAGGGACATGTTCCCAAAGCCTGTGGTGGTGAATCGTCCTGCAAGGACTCCATCCTTTCATGTCCAGGGCTCTAAGTTTCAGTTTGCAGAGTCTGAGAGGATGAACAATTACAGAGCGTCCATGAGGCAGCCCCCCCGCATTACGCCTCGAAAAGAGCCTCCAAAAAAAATTATGATCCCTGGATCCATTAGTAATGATAATGATGGTGCTGCAAAGCCTGGAGGGTTCAAGTTTGGGAATAAAAAAGATTCACTGGAGTCCGTGACGGACAAACAGCCTGGTCCTGTGGTGCAGAAGCGGGTGCCACATAAAGAACGTTCAGAGTCACTTCAGAGAAGCGAGTGTCTCAGAATTGTGTTGATCGGGAAAACTGGCTGTGGGAAAAGTGCAACAGGAAACACGATCTTGGGCAGCAAGGACAGCTTCACAGCTAAAGCCAGCACAAAGTCAGTGACAGTGCACTGTAAGAAAGTAACAGGAGAAGTTGATGGGCAGCCTGTCGCTGTGGTCGACACCCCCGGCTTGTTTGACACGTCTCTGAACAACAGCGATGTTCAAAGAGAGGTCTCTAAATGCATCAGCTTGTTGTCTCCTGGACCTCACGTGTTCTTGTTAGTGCTACAAATTGGTCGCTTCACAAATGAGGAAAGACAGACAGTGGAGCTGATCAGGACGTTTTTCGGAAAGAAGTCAGAAGACTTCATTGTCATCACTTTCACTAAGGGAGATGATCTCCAAGGTCAAACAATTGCGGACTACATAGAAGAAGACGAAGAAGGCTATGTCAAACAGCTGATTGATGACTGTGGAGGAAGGTACCAGGTCTTCAATAACAAGGATCGGGAGAATGATGCTCAGGTGAAAGAGCTGCTGGAAAAGATTGAATCAATGATCAGAAAAAACGGTGGTGGACACTACACTTCAGAGATGTTTAGTGAGGCAGAGACAGCCATACAGAAGGAAAAGCAGAGGATCATTGAGGAGAGGGAACCAGAGATCCAGAGGAAACAGAGAGACCTTGAAAGGAGGTATCAGGAGGAACTGCAGCAGAAAAAAATCAAAATGGAAGAGCGGATAGCCAAGTTTGATCAGGGGAAAGAAGAGAGAGAAAGAAGGGCCAAAGAAAAGGAGGAGCGCATGAAAAAGGAGCAGGAGAAGCGGAGGAAAGAGAGAGAAGAAGAGGAACAGGAAAGAAAAAGGCAGGAGGCGCTCAAACAACATGAGATGGAGAAGAAAATTTATTGTCTAGAGAAAAAGTTAACAGCTGAGTTAGAAACAGAGGCACCAGTTGAGAGGTTGATCTTGAAGCAAAACAGAGAAGAAATGAAAAAAGAACAAGAGGCCTGGGAGCGGGAAAGAAAGGAATGGTGGGAGAAACGGCGTCGAGAAGAAGAGAAAAGGCAACAGGAAGAGGAAAGGCGGCTTCGAAAGCTCAAAGAAGAAAGCGAGCAGGAAATAAGAAGATATGAAATCCAAAGAAAAGAGGATGAAAGAAAAAGGGAACAACAAGTGGCACAAGAAATGAAAGAAATTGAAGAAAACTATGCAAGGCAACTGAAGAGTCTGAGAAGGAAAACCGAAGAGGATGCCAGAAAGATAGCTGAAGAATACACTTTAGTCAGACATGTTTATGAAAATGATACTTCCCTGGAGTTGGATCAGTTTGAAAAGAAAGTTCAGGATCTGACACTAAGGTGTAAAGAACAAAAAGACCTCATCATAAAACAGCTGTGCCAGAACAGTAAGTGCAAAAGAGACTTTGACATACTGAAGAAAAGACAAGAAGTAGAGCTGTATCAGCTGCAGTCGAAAAGTCACACCCAAGAGCTCCTCTTAGAAATTCATGAGCTGAAGGAAAGACATGAGGAACAAATAAATGAGTGGATACAGGCACAGCAGAAAGATGACACAGCAGGCAGTGGTTGTACTATTTTATGAAATTTGCTGCATTCAGTTTTAGGTGCAAAGATTGGAACTTTGCTTAGGTGACTTGAGGCGTTTTGTGTCCTTTTTTATGCGTTATTACAGCCAGTGGCTGTGTAATCCTGTCAAATTTTTAAGTTATGTTTTTAGATATTTTTCTAAATTTGCTGGATAGGACAGCTGAAGAGAGACAGGAAATGCAGGAGTTATAGAATGGGGAAAACATGCTGCATGGGGACGAGGCTAGGAGTCAAACCAGTGACCACTGAAACAAGGACTATAGCCTCAGTATGTAGGGTGCTTTAACTGCCCGTGACGGACATTTTTACTCTGTAGTGAGATAGAATCACATATTTAACTTTATTTCAACAAGGAATACAATGCTAGTCACTCTATGTAACACTGTAAAAATCTGTTTTATTTGTTTAAAAGCTTGTATAGTCACAGTATGTTGAAACACAACAAGGTAACACTGTAAAAATCTGTTTTATTAGTTTAAAAGCTTGTATGGTCACAGTATGAATACTGTATTTCGTCGCTGTCTTGTTTTTTTCAGGAACATCAAAAAACAATTTCATTCATTAACTACCTAACAGAATAAACCCAAAACACTGTAATTAGACAAAATTAGGACCTGAAATCAGAATCTATACTCACACAGTCACTATGTGACCTGTTTGATCTTTTAAACGGACTTACCTGCTTTGCTTTGTGAGTGATAGTGGACATACATGTTTTTTTTAATAATGCACTCCAATGACGTTTGGTTATTTACAAGCTTCAAGCATCCTGTTTATGTCCCACTATGCACTAGTGTCCACAACAATAGCAGGTATATTGAAAAACCAACTGAAAAATGTACTAAATGTGAGTTCTTATGCTGCTAAATTAATAGTTTTTTAATAAAACTCTGGCTCTGATTTCACTTAAAAACCAGTGGAGAAATTAAAAGATAGCGGAAACACAACTAAGCAATACAGTAGCCAACAAGTGTGAGAGACAAAACAGCAGCAGCTTTGGGATAAAACTTTGGCTCAAGAAATCTAATATACAGCTAAGCAACACTGTCGTGGTTAGAAAAAAGTTTTCAGAAGGCATCAGTCGATGTGAGGACGTTAGTGTAGCATTACCCTGGACTGTTATGAGTCTGTCACAGTGTAAAGTCTGTTTGTTGGCATGACAACGCAGGGCCAGGGCGGGAGATGTGTGCTTTGTTGACACCTCCAACACCCAATGGAGATACTTGTTAAAAACATGATGTTATATAATGTCTTTCCACCAGTTATTTGGACCATCCATGTATCGAAAAAAGTCCAAATCGCTAAAAGTGGAAGTACGTGTTTTTCATCGGACAGCGACAATTTGTTATAAAACATCTTGTGATGTGTCTTTGCTGAACAATCTGAAAACATATTCTCTTTGAATAAAATATATGATTTGTGAAATGTTCATGAAACTCTTTCTGTCTATGAGTCCACCTTGCAGACATTCACATTATCAACTTCAACTTTACAATTCATGAGAGAAAGTTAATTTGTTTGGTGATACTTCAAACATTGTTAAAAATCTAGGAGGGATGCTAGCTTGGCTCAAAGAGTAAATTTGTACAACACATCAAATATGGTTATTTGTATTTCTGCAGAATGGGTTTTGAAGGGTTTCAGGCTGAACAAAGAAGTCCATTCATTTAACATGCATGTTCATTTCGGTAACATTTTCATGATTAGCAAGTTGTTTTGTCCACTATCCTGTACTTTTTACAGTAATCAAACTCTGGAAAATATCTGAAAAAGGTGTACGTCACTTAGTCAGCTTCTTTGAAAACATGTTTACTTGTAGCCACACCAAACTGTATTCAGGATTTTTGATTTATTACCTTACCGGGAAACTAATTATGCTGTACCACACCTATTCCAGGCTTTAGGAAAATGCTAAATATGCATGTAACAGGAGGCTGCTCAAAGTCGTGCTTTCAGTCTCGTCCCTAAACAGGTTTGGTTATTCTGCAAGGCACTATAGCCCAAGTCCTTTCCTAACCTAAGTATTAAATAAAGCACAAGTGAAAGGTGCTGACGCTTAAGTGCATGCTTGATTAACACTATTGGCATGTTTCTGATGTTCAGATTTTTCAGGTAACAGCCATGGTGCCATACCATGTTCATATTGGGCTGTTTCACTGATGCCAAGTCTGTGATGATCCTGCCCTTCAAGTTCAGACAACTAAGGTTGTGCTGGGTGAGTGAATGCGATTGTGAAGCTGATACTTTGGTTAGCATTGAGTATTAATTATACAAAAAGAATTGATCCGATAGAACAGACAATTAGAAAACAATTTGGTAATACTTAAAGCAGTCTCTAAATAATCCTCAGGTGTGTAATGTGTTATGGTAAAGCACAGAATACACATTACATGTAAAAAAACACACAAAGATAAACCACAACAAATGAGCAATGGTTAAGCACATTTAGATGCAGCATGTTTAAAAGATGACAGCAAAAAATATGAAAACTACAGGCTTATTCATACCTGTACTGGACAACCATCATGTTCTGCTCCCCACAGTGTCTGGCACAGCGGATATACCTCATCCAGCTGGACTTACTGGGATCATTACCATCAATAAAGTGCTGTAACGTCCCCTCTGCATCGTAGATCTAAAACACACGAAAACACAGGGTTAAAATTGAAAGCAGTTGGTAGCCTCAAAGCCCTGCTTCTGATGTGCAGATATACCTCCATGGCTGCAACTGCAGTTGTATTTTTTTTTTTCACTCTAAATGATATCTGCAGGTTGTTTAATGTCTTCAAGATTCATCGGAGATGCCACACAAGAACAAGTGTCCTAATAAAAGTATGTCATCATGTCTGACCATCTGTCAAATGCCAAAAACAGGTCATTTACTATTTCAATACATCAACTAATAACAGGGTTCCCACTCTTTTCAGAGATTATTTTCTGCAACAGCAGCTGTTGGAGCTCTTTTAAGTCAATGCATTCAAACTGTGATACAAACTAGGTATATGTGTCTGCTGTTAAATGGAATATCTGTTATCTCTGCAACACAAACAAACAATACATAATTCAGTCTCAAGCATCAGGAGTGAAATGTTACAATTCCCCCATAGTCTGGGTTATTTCTAACATACCCTGGGGTGAAATGTAACATTATAAAATCAAGATATTGACATAATCTTGATGGATTTAATGCTTTTTGTTTAACACCTTAATGCATTTTAACATAGCTGTTGTGTGTTTTTGTGTTTGTGTGAACCTATGTGTTTGTAAGGCACTTGGTGCGTCTAATAACTGGTGGGTTTGGTACACCTGAACTCCTCCTCGATCAGCAGGAATACGCTGGCATCCAGTGACTTAAGTTAACAACAGTATTTATTTCCTTCTACCAACAGCAGTGGCAAATACAGCATTGTTTATTGTGAACATCAGGAAATGAACAGGAGTGAGCGTATGTATAGTATGTGTGGTTTTTCCTATAGATCCTCAAAAACAACATATGAAACTTAACAGCACAGCACATGCAGCTGGCAGGTGACTTGCTGTGTCGGACGCAATAACAGAGTATCATAACAATCAGTGGCGCTCCTGTCATTAGGCGGAGTAGGCGACTGCTAGGGGCGCCCGCGAGCAGAAAGGGCACCAGGGAGGGGAGAAGATATATATTTTTTTTTAATAAATACTTTTTATTTCGCAATATAAAACAACAACAAAAACACAGCAATCTAACAACAGTACATAGTCGTAAAGTCTTTAAACAATGGCTAAATCTTTTATATATTTGGGCTTAAGTGTCTGTCTGCCTGCAACCTGCCTGCAATTTTGCCACGGTCCCCAATGGACTGCACACAGGACACGACTCCTCCCCGCCCCCCTGCTCTCTCCTCGTGGTCGTGCTGCGCTTGCTTCTGAGGTAAGTTGGGTTGGTAACTCTCCCTCTGTTTAACTCAACTAGTTACAGTCAGGTAACTTGTAACACAATACACCCGCAGCGCCGCCGCCACGGCTTATGCATCGCCACCACCAGTTCACCACACAGAGAGACCACACCAAGCACAGCCAACAAGGCAATAATAAGCCAAGGCAGGCCAGGCAGAGCAGCGTCAATTATCATCATGGCTTATTGCCTCAGCTGTTAGGCAACAACATGCTTTCTTGCCGAGGCATAATGTCTCAGTGCTTGACTGCTTGAAAAGTCGAGACTAGTCTTGACTTTCAATTCATTCAAAGTTGTCAGATCACGGCAGTCTGACATGTTGCAGAATGCAGATCAAAAACACAACGTACTAGCTAAGCAAATCGTTTGTGTCAAGCCATTTGCTGATGTTTTAGTTGAAGTTACTTAAAAGGGATTTATTAAGACCCCGTTCCCGCGCCGGCCGTATTGGCTTTTCTTCCACTTTTTTGCTTTCTTTTTTGAGCTGTACAGACTACCAGAAATCCTGCCTAGGGTGCCAAGTTGCTTAGGAACACCACTGGTAACAACACTTAACAGCGTCACACAATTAAGCTGAGGCTTTGTAGGAAACGGTGAGTTTCCGACAATGTTAGTTACTGTCAGTCATAGAAGTGACTGACAACTGAAAATAGTTTGCAAATTTGCAGTAACTGAATATTTGTAGGCTATGTGTGTATGTTTGTGCTTTTTTGTCTTGCATAGTCACTCACAGTGGTGACAGACATACTGCAGACAATCTCTATGGAGTGCAGGCCTTATGGGTCCAGTGGCCTACAGGTCTTAGACTAACAATTGATCGTAATAATAAGACTGAACAAAATGTGCAGTGGCTTCAACAATTGAACAGCAGTGTGTGTGTGTGTGTGTGTGTGTGTGTGTGTGTGTGTGTGTGTGTGTGTGTGTGTGTGTGTCTTATATTAGCATTTGTAGTGTTACAACTGACCCGTGTCACAACCATCTCCGGTCTCTCCTACACACCACCATCTTGTGGTGAATAACGAAAGACGCTTTGAGTGTAAACCATAGACTATATATAAGATGGACAACCTGGTTCTGCCTCCCGCCTGTATACAGATTTGAAGCCAAAAAGCTCTCGGTAATTCCGGGTTTTTCTCCACTTCCTTGAAACCAGAGCTGTGCAGTGGCGTTGTGCGCATTCGGCCGTGCAGTCGCCGAGAGTCCCTGTGATGACGCTCGGCTCAAATAGCGTATCCCCCCGGGTGAGCTACGCAATCCCTGAATGCCCATAGGCTGTACCAGGTGTCAATCATAGAAAACATGAACCCCCTTATAACTTTTAAAAACAGAGCTGTACAGAAAAAACAGGACTTGAGCACAAACCAGTCTTACAGTAACTACAAGTCAACATCACAAGCAGGGGGGAGAAAAAATTATGTTCTGTGTAATAAATTTCTAAAGTTTGTCCACAGTCCCATAAGCTTTGCTGGCGGAGGCGGGATTTATGACCTATACTGCAGCCCATCAACAGAGGGTGCTGTTCTCGGAGTGGCTTCACCCAGCGAGGAGGCAGACTCTGTCCATCTTATATACAGTCTATGGTGTAAACGCTTCCAAATCATGTTTTTTTGTTTTGTTTTTTTCCCAAAAAAAAAAAAAAAACAATATAACTAACAGGTTATTACACAATATGTTGCACTAAACATCCAATTAAAGACAAAGAAGGTTAAGTACAGCATATTAAAAGCTGGGATAAAATTTGCAAATGGAAACACCTCAGCCAAATGATGACTCCCCCTCATATCACTGCCATGCTCAACAACCACTACAATACAGCAAGAGCAACATGCAGACTTAAATCGTCCCCTGCCAGAATGTAAAAAAAAAAAAAAAAAAAGCGTATCAAATAAATCTTCCCATTATATTACAAAATGTGAGGGAGGGTAAATATTGCTCTTTTTGAGATTTTATTGATGACAAGAGACAAAGCACTTACATGGGAAAAGGCAGTCATTAAATATGATAAACATATGCAGTCAGCAAAAAGTAGGACTTCCCCTCTTCACCCTCTCTCCATTCACTCACAAAACCCGCCAGGTGAACAGCTGACTTCACCACTATCGGTGCTGACCTACCACCTCCACCACCACTACATGACTGTCATACCAGCATGTGACCACACAATAAACAAATAAACTACAAAGGCTATGGCTGCCACAAAGAGCTGGCATCTACAAATAGTATGATGCACAGAACTTAAAACTATATTTTTTCATGTATTTTTCATCCCCCAGCAGCCTCTTTTGATTCCATATTGTTGGCATAGTGTTTAAGGCTCTAAAAAGGCAGTACTTAAAGGGATATTCCAGCGTAAAATTAAGTTAGGGTCATTTCCCATTCAGTTAGTGGAGTTTCGCTGCTCAAAGAAGAACATTTATGATCATTACTTCATGGAAATGCAATCAGACCGAGACGCTAAGGCAGAAGAACTACCGCGTCTGCAGTGCAAAATGATTATTACGATGATTATTGCTTCAAGGAAATGATCCGCTGCACTCCATGATCGACTCGTCAGGGCTCCCCCCACAAACAAGTTGCTGCTGGAGGAGAGTGGATGAGTTGTGTTTAGTCTCTTTGCTAAAGAATTTAGGCAAAGCTAAAAAGATGTTTGGTGGCTAGTACTATGGCTGGGACCCTATATGTACTGTTGATAAAGTTAGGTGCTGTTCTGGGCATTATTTGTGGCTATAGAGTGGCTTTTTGGTTGAGGTATTGCTATCCTGCAGTCGTTACTTAAGTTGGTATAGCTAGAGAAACAAGCGGTCGGCAACATTCATCTCTCGAGGGGGTGTCTAACTTGTTGTTATGGTGTGTTTGACCCTAACTTAATTTTTACACTGGATTATCTCTTTAACCTTCTATTTTCTACTGTAAGTCAGCCTTTAACATAACTAAGACATCATACCCAAAGACTAGATTATTTAATGAAGAATAAAACTGCTTAATCTGTTACACAACTATGGTAGTAAAAAGAAAAAAAAAAAGAATACCTTTATTTAAAAATAAAACTGTGATCAGAAAAAAAAATCCACAATATAAGATTTTTATTTCCAGTTTAAGGCAGAACAAATGATAAAGCTCCCTGCACTCAGCTCACAGAACAAGGAATAACTCTGCCTGATTTGAAATGTTTTAAACAAACCTGTATAACACATCATTTGACTTTTAATACCTCTCTCACTGACGCTGGGATTAAAACAGTCCTGCTGGGTGCTGAATGTAAAACAAACCTGATTTATATCTGCTTAAAAGCTTCAGAGCTCTAGCTACAAACCTCTCAGTGTTTAAAATATGGACTCAGACCAAAATACAACAAAACACCCAAAAGTTTTCATAAATATGAAAACTATTCCTCATGTAAAATGCATCAAATTTAAAAGCTTTGTTAAATATTTTGCATGCAACAAGAGCAGCACAGTCAATCCATTACATGCAAATAAAAGAAGAAAAAAAACCATCTATACCTCAACTGCTTTCTGCTGTTGTTAATGGTCAAAGAGGGATTCTGCTGTTTGCTTTAAATGTTCCACGTGTTAATATTAGAATAGGGTCATTGGACATCCCCTAAACTTACAGGATTCAGCTTTGAAGGAACTGAAGGATGATCTCTTATTACGATCGGGAAGGTCTTCAAAAACATATCAGATATTGCATATATGAGAAAGCGATAAGCAAAGAAGGTTTCAGAGTTCTGATTTATAAAAGAGACCAAACTTTGTAAACTGTCCCTCAAATATGTCAAACATCAGACTGGTGCAGCTGGGTTGCAAAGTTAACAAGAGCTAAGAGACAAAATTATGACCAAGAATTCACAGCTGCAACAATCAGTTAAAGTGAGTCGATGTTTTACAGCCTCTCTGTGTTCATTATTAATCCATCCTACCATCCATCTATCCTCAATGATGCAGTGTAACTGTATTGAAGAGCGTTGAGTGTGTTTATAAGGTGATGACCTGAGCCGATAGCTGTTTTCTCTGCTGTCCATATGGCCAACAAACAATCAATTTTGTAAATGACTGAGAAGATCACAGGAAACAGCTTCATTTATTATTCTCTCCTTGTAAGCACTTTAGAGGCTCTAACTGTAACTGTCCGACTGTGAACTCACAATAAACATTTATGTATAAATGTCTTTTCCATCCTTTCTTTACAAACATTTATTGGTAAGGGTGAAGAGCCAAACCTTTGGAAAGCCCAGACTTTGGAGGGCCAATCCAGCCTTTAAAGGACCCATGGTTTTACAGCCTTTGAAGAGCCAAACCTTTAAAGAAACTAGACCTTGAAGGGTCCTGGGGGTGAAGGAACACGAGGATGGTTCAAGCTTTATAGGAGTATTACTCAGAATCCTTTGCTGTTGTAACACTGCAAACTTCCCCACCATGGGATAAATAAAGTTTTATCTTCATTCCCTGCCTTTATGCAGGTGTAGGGCTGTCTCTGTTGCTTGGCAATGTGCTGGCTACCAGGCTAACTAGCTATCATAACTTGATTTAACACTGTCACCAACATTTTAAAGATAGTGTCAAGCTTCAATATGTTTGTTTTCTGTAAAATTTGTACTGTTCACTGTTGGGTTGAAACCAAATACTCAGCAGCTGGAGAGCTCACCACTTTGTCTGAACAGGTGCCTAAAGAATCAGAGGACACGTTGGTTTACGATGAATTCATCTAACATAGATTTCACTGCATGTGAAATGTAGAACACATTTAGAGGAACCTTTAAATGGGACAAACTTCAATGTGACATGTTTGGTCTTCTGATGTAACCTTCAGATGCACCCATAAAAGTATGTGTGGCCCTATTAAACAGACAGATGTTTACTGTAGAATATTCCAAGACAACAAGGGTGTGTGAAACCCCCTTTACAACTGGAAACCTCAACAAGTTGACAACTAATAGACTTTAAGGTGATTTATTTCTGCAAAAAACAGGGAGGATGCCTACTCATATTAGAAACACATACGTAGTGTGTTTTCTAACTCTGGTGGATTCAGGTCAAAATTATATTAAGTCCTGTCTGGTCTCAGCCAACTTGTGTACAGTCCCCTCAGTCATTTCTGAACACAAGTAGACATTTGGGAGTTTTTTTACATAATCATCTCAAAAGTTAATGTTCTGATTGTGCATTTTTGATTCCTTAATAGTCCGTTGAAGCTGCTCTTATACTGTGTGTTGCATTAGCAAAAGCCCTTGACTGTCAGCAGATGGCTAAGGAAAGTGTCTGAAACTGCAAATAACTGGAGCCTCTCATTCCAGCAGCTGGTTTCTAGCTTCATGCTGTTCTGTCAAAGACATTTTGTCTGCCTGTGTTTATCAAATCCATCGCTACAAAATTCCATCTAAGAGACAAACGGCCAAATATAACACCATGTTTGCTTCAGCAGCTTTAAAAAGCTGCAAACACTGCCAGGCTGCAAGCGTCACTTCACAGCTCCAGCTGTCATTTCTCCAACAATTGTGTCAAAACTTCACTTTTTTTGTTTCAGCTCGGGTTTTTTAGAGCTCAATAAATTCTCCTGTTTGACCCTCAGTTTGTGTGGACTGATGACCCTTTCAGCAGCTCTCTGCTTTATATTCACACACTGAGACCACACATCACTCCAGCTGCTGCAGCAGGAGGAGGAGGAGGGGACAGATCAGGGCTTTACTGAAAGATCTTCAGTGTTTTTCTCACAGTTCATCCTCACAAGAGCTGAGTATGATTATTGTTATTGTTATTACCCAGCTGTTAGATACTTGATTCTGATTAGTCAAAACCCCTTAAAAACAGCAAATAATCATCAACTGAAAGGCTACAACAGTAAGTAGCGCTTAAATAGGACTGAAAAGTCATCAAAGATATTTCCACAGAAGTCTTGTTCACCTTACTTAAAGTGAGTGGAGGGTGTCTGAGTCTAATCTGTGTGTATCTGCCTCTTTATACTTACAAGAACCAGATGAGAGGAGGCAAGAGGAGAGGATTACCACACACACGCACGCGCGCGCACACACACACACGTGACAGCATGTGTGTTTAAGAGGGTTGATTACAGCTCTCTCCTTCAGTCGTGGATCTCAGCTGTCAGTGATTCACTCACTGCTCTGTCGCTGTCCAAACACTAGCACACTGATAACCACCTCTGGACCAACACTGACACTTTGTTGGAGAGTTTATCTGTAAACAGTATTAGTAAAACAAACCTGATCACATTATAGAAACAAGTCTGGATCAATTTCTGTTATTACCGTTTAGCCTGATCACAAAACAAACAAGAGTCCTAATTCGTTAGTTTCGAACACAAACCTGCCTGTAGGGTTTTGTAGCTCCCCTGCTCTTGTTTTGCTTCTGACTGGAAAGATAAGCTGTAAGCATCTCCAACTCTCATCCAGACCCAGCTCAGTTATCCCTCCACACAGAAATGATGAGCTGAGTGCAAATGGGAGTGGGCAGTGTGTGGCAACATTTTTCAGGACAGACATGTTAGAAATTCAATCTTTTCAATTATATTTAAATTTACGTACAATCACCTGAATGTAAAAGTGTCTCTATTAAAGGCAGGGTGAGCAAATAGTTTGAAACAAATATGGTCTAAACTAAAGTGCTTCAAAAAAGCCCTGAAATCCAAAACTCATGACTTGTAACCAATAACGGACAGCCACCATGTTGGCTTTATCCAGCATTATATTCTCAGTGAAAAGGGACCGAACTTTTTGTCTAATAATCAGCAGAAAAAGTTCAAAGCTTCACAAAATGTTGAACTATTCCTTTAAAAAGTGACATTTTATAGAGCTTTTCAAATTGAATTTCAAATAAATATAGTTTTTATGTTTAACTCTTTGTTCTGAGTGACAGCAGTGAGTGAGAGATCTGCACTATCTCAGCGAACAATATGTGTGTGTGTGTGTGTGTGTGTGTGTGTGTGTGTGTGTGTGTGTGTGTGTGTGTGTGTGTGTGTATGTGTGACAGAATGTGTGTCTGAAATTCACTGTCAGGGTTTTGACCTACCGACCTTATTACTTAGAGTAAATGTTCTCCTTGTCTGTCCCAAGCTTACGCTACAGAGATACTGAATGTGTGTGTGTGTGTGTGTGTGTGTGTGTGTGTGTGTGTGTGTGTGTGTGTGTGTGTGTTTCCAGACAGGAATGTGGTCCAGTTATCAGTAAAAAACACTTAACAGCAGCTCTGTAGCATCACTGGCATGTAAATGGTTGCTCCACCATCAGAGGATGGTGTGTGTGTGATGAGTGTGTGCAGATGTGTGATCTGTGGGTGAGTTAAATGTGTCGGTGTGTGTGATCTGTGGGTGTCAGTAAGTCACTAATGCAGCTGTAAGTTATCTTGTCTGAATGTGCAACAACATTCTCTATCCCTTACACAAACCTACACAAACACAGTCTCAGAAATTGACTGATGTGTTAGTTGGACTTTTGAAAAGCAGAATATTTTGGATAGGTCGCCATCAGAGTTCATCTGGTCAGTCTTACTTTTCCAAGGATGAAATTTCTGTGAAAATTTCAAAAGGAGACAAGTTTTTTTATTTAAAAGATTCATCAAGTTAAATCAGTTTATCTCAGAATTTTCCAGCTATTCAAAAGATTGGTCCATATGCTTACACACTTTATGAGACGCACTAAATTGTTTGGTGATGTTACACTTTGACTGTGCGAACTTTAAATATCAATGTGAGTCAACAGAATTAAATAAGAGAATAAGGATTCAAAACAAAATCACTCTCACATTACTTCCTCTTTTTGTATCATAGAGTCCATGTAAAACGCAAAAGTCCTGAATTGCTCACGGCCCAGATACCCTTTAAATACATGGTGTGTTGGACAAAAATCCTCTCCCCGTCAGTGTATCAGACCTTTGTTCTCAGCTCCATCCTAGTTATTTCTGAGTGAGATTAAAGCTGTTTGTTAATTGCTGTTAGTGTTGAACATAACCAATATGCAGTGTATACTGCATCAGGGGATCTGTGTTAATCTTGATTCTTTTATATTTGCCTAGAGTCAGCATTTTACTTCTTAGTAACATTCCCATAATATTATCATGTTTTACATTTTTTTTTACAAAACCCAAACTGAACTGTGAGCCAAATGTATTATTGCATCTCTACCACACGCGCCCACTCCTGCATTAGTCAGCTAGATCACAAAAAAAAAAAAAGAAGAAAAAAAAAATAAAAAAACTCCACAAGTCCCTGGACATACACCCTGTGGTTCAGATTACCCAAGAACAGTGCAAATGCTGCAGTCAACAGCTGGCCAAGGCCAACATTTCTATTTCGATCAGGCTCACACACAACAGGTAAGCACACGTTGAAGGAAATAACCCAGTTAAGATCATAACACAAAAACCTTCTCAAACTGAACAAACAGCTGTTTCGTCAATAAATACAGCGGTTTTCTTGATGCTCAGTAACCATCAGCTGTATCTGCTCTCAAATCAGCATCTGAAAAAGACCAACTGTCACTGTGCGTCTTCTACCCTTAAAACAAACGGTTTTAAGCGCTCTTCTTTTTCAGTCTAAATCCTGTAAAACTGTTCCTGAGAGCTGATCAATGCTTGCACACTTCACTTCTACAGCTAATCAATGAAACTCCACTAATTCTACTGTTATCTGCTCTCTTCATCAGCCTCCTCCTCCTACGCCTCCTTATCTTACCATGTCTCCTCCCATCCCTCCCTCCTTAATCACATCTTCCTCATTTGCCCTGATTGAAGTGCGTTCCCTTCCTTTTCGTTCTACCCCTTTCAATTTTATTCCAAACCCTTTTTTCATTGAATCATATTCCTACTCTGAAAATATCCTAAAGAGCAAATTTCTGCACATTATCCACATCCCTCTCCCTGCTGTCATTCTGGATGTTAAATCTTCTGTAACCAGCGACTGTGTCCATGGCTGACTTGCAAAGTGAAATGGAAGAAGGCTTAATAAAACCAAAATAAAGTCAGACTCCTTCTCAGTCATCCTGTCTGTTACATGCTGGCATTCAGTCTACCGAATCTTTCAGTTTTCTTAAACACAGCCTGTCATATGGGAAGACCATTTTTCAGCAGTTAACCTCATAAACCCCGCTGCCACTGCTGCCATAAACACAGACACTGCCGTCCTGCCCAAGAGCAACAGTCTGGGTCTCCAACATCTAATGAGAGCTGCTTCACCATCTAAAACAAGTAGACTTATAAATCAGAGGGGTAATAATCGTTCTAAGATCGGATAATATTTGGATAGCCTACACCAAATCACTTCAACATCAACAGCAGCCAGGTCTCGGCTGATTGTGTCTTGCACATCAAGAGAGAGCCAAGCTGTATGGATCAACACATGCAACCGGAGGTAACACCACCTGCAGAAATAAATAACCACCCATGGGTCCACTATTTCCTCTCCTCAAGCACTGTTTTGTCCCCACCAAAAGGACTGACCTACCTTCTCTCTCAGGACAAGTGCATACCAAAAATCACAGGGGACTGATGTATACCATCAAAGACTAATGTACTCCACCCTATGCACCCACAACCACAGAACTCAGAAACCACCATCCACAGGACTGAAATATCAATGCCTACAGGACTTACATACAAGCAAATGAGTGATGCTTCACCTTCCTAAGTACTTCTTAAAGACTAGGCCAACAGAATGGACACCTTTTGGTGCTATCTACCCACTTCCAAAGGACTTATGCACAACTACGTGAATGACAAATGTGACATCACCCTCAGGTTCCCAACCACTACCACCCCTGGAACTGATGCACCAACATACAGAACTTATTTACCAGTCCTGCTTACACTTATGTACCACCTCTGGGACTAGAGCAGAAAACCCACAGGATCCATGTTGAGCGTGTTCTGTTAGGATCACGTCTCTGCTCCATTGAGCAGCACTGTCTATCACCCACAGGATGCGTGTTTGGAGCGTAGCAGCAGCGTAGATCAGCTCCAGTCAGCTGGGCTCAGTGTAGAGAAAACAACATGCTCACAACAGGTTGTTTTGCCTTTCTGTGGTCTATTTCCTGCTAGTTTGGATATAATTCAGTGACCGTTGAGCTTCTACTATATATGAAAAAACAACATGATTTACAGTTTCGGTCTTTGCAGGTTTTCTTGTGCTTAATAAAGTAAACTATCTTCCTTTATGCTGTGCTGTTACCCTCAGAGAGAGTTAGCAGCTCCTGTTGGGGTCCACATGGATCAGGGATTGACCATCGGATTGTTCTGCATTACTGATAAATCCATAACCAGGAAGTATTTCTCATCTCCACGAACTGATACACAGTCAGGAGTCTGCATATGGTGTTTTATTTTGAAATTAACCAAATGACATGTGCAGCTTTTGTGATTGACATCCTGTCCAGAATGATCTTCTCTGTGTAGATTGATGTGTGTTGGAAGCCTAGAGCAGAGAAAGTAGACTCAGTGCTTGTCTTTAACAGAGCCGCGCCCGACACGCTTCTGATATGGAGCTGCAGCAGAGCTGCAACGTGTCCTGTGTTCGATGCTGCATTGTTTTGAATGGCAACATATTTGCTGCTCACACGCAACGCTGGCGGAACGCATTCAACACAGAACCTGTATGTTTTAGGCTTTAGACCTAATGTACAGTCTTGATCAGGACTCCCTCAACCTTGACTAGACAGCACTGATTTACCACTGCTGTTAGCACTGCTGCACATACACCTAGGGGACAATGTACCACCACCCTGTGGGGTATATTTGGTACTAGTAGACGCAGATGAACCTTATTAAGGTCCTTTTTGGTACTAAGCATATCTTATCTTCTCCTGTAGGATTCATGTACTTACTACTACCTAAATGATGTGCTACCACCCACAGGACTGCACTGACCCTGACTGAAAAGAACGAACCAACCAGTACTTCCAGGACTGATGTGCCACTACTCAGGGACAATGCACCAGTATTTATAGAATTCATGTACCACTACCTCAATGACTGATGTTCAACCATGGTCAGGACCCCTTCGTCCTTGTCCAGGCACCATCAATTTACCACAATGACTGATGCACATACACCCACAGCGCTGATGTACTACCAACCTGTGGGATACATCAGATACTAATAGGTACCAGTGTACATTTTCTTACAAGATCAACATACAGGACTTATGTTCCAGCACATAAATATCTAATTCATCACTACTCTAGATACTTTGCTTACCCAAACAGGACAGGACCATATGGATGACCAACCTTTAGGGAATATGAGGTACTTTTCTGTACCCCTGTATCTTACCTTCTCCCAGAGAACTTAAGCATTTTATGAATAACTGTCTCCACGCCTTTAAAACATTTGGACTTTAACAGTCATGGTGAGTTGAGGCATTCTGCTGAAGATACTGCATGTGTTTGATCCATAGACAACTTGGCTCCACCTTCCGTTATTATATGAATTTGAAGCCAAATTGCTCTCGGTATTTCTGGGATTTTCTCCACTTCCTGGAATCACCACTTGCACACTAAAGTTCTACGCATTTCACTACTTGCGAAGTAGCACTGTACGCATTCGGCGAAAGAATCGCTGAGAGTCACTGTGATGACACTCGGCTCAAATAGCGATTTATAAAAATTTATATTCTGTGAAATTAATTTTTAAAGTTTGTCCACAGCTCCATAAGCTTTGCTGGAGGAGGCGGGATTGATGACCTATGCTGCAGTCCGTCACCAGAGGGTGATGTTCTCATGGTGACTTCACCCAATGAGGAGGCATACGGCATCCATTCAATGTACAGTCTATGATTTGATCATATCAGTTTATGTCACCTTACACAGTTTGTAGCTATGACTGGACCAGCCCTGTGAGAAAGGTAAATTAGAAAGACTCAGCTCTGTTTCTCAAGATTAAAAGGAGTTCCCCTGACTTAAAGGTCAAATTGTGGTCACTACAGACCACTACACAGCCCAGCACTGTTTGGTTAAACCCACTTTGGGAGTTGGGTTAGCTCAGTTGATTTCTTCTCTTTGTGTGACATCACCCAGTAGGCATGGTAACCACAGGGGTTCAAGAACAAAGACTGGGGTTTTCCATCAGGATTTACATGTTAGAAAGACATGAAAAAGTGTGTGTCTGTGTGTACATGTGTAAAGTCTCATAATAACACAGCAGTGTGTTGGATCAGAGTGTTTTTACTCAGTGAGCAAGCCGTCGATTGTTTCCTTTCCTCTGCTTGAGTCTGTTGGGGCTTCGCATGCTGTGATGGGCTACAGTCCAAACAGTTAACACCTCATCTTATGTCATATCAAACATGCAGAGTATTCAACTGCGAACACAACCAATGTTGTCTGTATTGCAGATTATCTTTCAACTCTTGTTTTCTTTTTTATCTACAAAATGTATATCATTGTTCTTAATCCTAGTCCTACTCTGATAAACAACTCTCACCCTAAAAGTATCAAACCTTTCACTTGGAAACCACAGATTTTTATCTTGTAAATTACCAACTTTAATTATGTTTAAAATCAACTCTAATTCTGTAAATTTATTCTTAGTCTTATTTAACTTAAACTTATTCTTTTTTCAATATGCCTTTTATCATGAACTGTATAACTTTTTATCACCTTAATCTTACAAATTTATGACTTTAATCGTACAAACGCATGGTTTTCACTTTTCTTAATGTACCTCCCTTTTTTCATTTAGTTTAAACTTTGTTCACTCACATTTGGGGTTTTTTCTGTGATGATTTTTTACCACACTTTTTATGACTTCAGTCTTGTGAATGTATTAATCTGTGCTTGGATTTTTTTACTTTAACCTTATAAGGCCCTCACTTTTGGTCCTAGATATTAGCTGCTGAACAAAATAAAATACAAACATTAATAAGGAGGTTATTTCATTCTGCTATAAGGTTGAACACTTTTACATGAACCCCGACTGGGACCTTCTCACTCTTGAAGCTGGCCAGTAAAACAAGAACCTTTTGAGAGACAGCTTAACTTAATAAAAACCCCATCCTTTAAATATAATATAAAGTGATTATAGTAAAGTATGTTAAAATCCTCTCATTTAATCTTGACTGGGTTTATTTCATCGTTTTCTCTTGAATATTTTGTAAAACTTTAGATCCTTGTATCACTGTACCCATGACCCCAATCTCTCAAGACTCTTTAGCTAAACTTGAACCCCTTCCTGCTTCATATCAGCATTTTCATCATTGCTTTATTCAAAAATTCCACAGATAAAAATGCCTCACTTAAATTCAAGCAACAGGAAACCAAAACATGTAATGTGACATGAAACCATGTATGATTATGTAATCACAGTGATGATGTCAAAGGCGATCAGAGCCTTTAATAAAACCCAGAAGTCAGACAGTAACACAAACATTAAATAATGACATCAGTCAAGAAAACATTACAGAGCTTTTACTGGACACTGTGACCACAGACCGCTGAAAACACAAAGTCAATGGGAATTCTGCAGGGAATACAGCGGGAAAAACGATGACGGACAGATGGACAAACAGACAGACTGACAGCCGAGTCGAGGCAAAAAACGGTGAATTCAGTTACAAGAAACAGACCAAGAAAGCAGATTTAAGACGGAAAAGCCGCCATACCAACAGGCGTTTTGGAATTTTCAGAATCCTCATGTGTCTCATCAGCATCCCACAGTAACCAAATATTTTGCCTCAAACTGTGCAGCTAAAGTTTTCCTTTCTTTGCTCTCCTCTGAAGTCATGATGTTGGAGGCTGTTTTCTCTGACTCTGCGCTGACAGCTCGTACAGTCTGTGATCTGAACCAAAAAAGAAAACTCCTGTAAAACCCTGGAGAACGAGGTCAGAGCTGCGACTTCAGGAGTCATATCTCCTGTTTTTTCTGCACATTCTTTTCAATCAGGATGGCCTGGAAGTTCAAAAAAGAGAAATTGCCCACTTTCCCCTGAACAAGTACAGTCTCTTAAAGGCAGGTATAATTACTTGAAGGTTTTCCTACAAGACTTAAGCTCTGGTACCCTATTGGACAGCAGGTTTTCTACCTTTGGGCCTTTTAATGCTGCATTTCAGAGGGAAATATCATCCCTTTCACTTTCTTCATCTAAATTTTTCAAAAAAGTTCTTTATTTTAGCACAGGACTGGAGATGAGACACAAATATCACTCTCCCATCTCTCCTTTGACAGTTACCACCTACAGACTGTGTCTTATGTACGACTTCAACTTTACTCTGCGCAAAAAGGACAGTTTGTGTTGCATCTTCTTCAAAGAGCATAATAAACACTACTACCACAAACAGAGATGCCATACTCCGTTCTTTGTTGGGATTTTTTTGTTCCCTTTCCTAACTACCGAGGGTCAGATTCAGACTCCAAAACGTGCCCTTATTTCAAAATTTGTCTAATTAAATTGAGAAACATTGTAATCATGCAGAGCAACTACAGGGATTTCAGGGGGGCAACCTAAAGCCTGAAAATGAGCAAAAATGGCAGTTTTAACCATTTACAGCAGTCTTTCTACCATTTGCCCCCCTGCAAGATATGTCTGATCCATTTCACGCTAGGTTTACCGATTGAAGAAACCAGACTGATGAGAAATCCATCGGCTCCTGCACTAGAGACTAAGTGCATGGACGTGTCAAGCTCTCAAAGTCTGGTCTCCCCAATGAAAGTTGTTTTATCTGAGCCATGCACCCTCCAATCTGAATCAAACTTGCATATTGAGGATCCAGGCTTGAACCTTGTGCTAGCAGGAACTGTTTTGCTGTTTTATACAGGTCCTTCTCACCCTGTTAGGATTCTAAACTGCATAGCCATTTTCTCACTATTTACAGTCCCTTACCTAGTGAACTTTATGACATAATATTTGAATATGCTCTAAACTGTATCCGACAGCATTTTGTCAAAATACATGCTTCGAGGAACTTTTTCCTCTCTCCCTCTCCACAGACTGCATATGGGTTAAAATCTGGACATTAAGATAAAGTTTGTGCTGGGTTCATTCGTATGTCCCACATCTCTACAGTCCAGGCATAGGGAGAGTTTGATCTTCTGCTCCATTAGCTTAAGTATTTTTCCTCCATAAACTGAAACCCTGAGCTTTGCCTTGCAGGAGATCAATGTGTCGAGCAGTAAAATACTGCAGCACCTGAAAAATCCTCCTCTGTTCCACCCCAACGAATAACAGCAAGTGTCTTAATTAAAACTGGCCCTTCCTGGACACCATAGACAACATGACACAAGCTCCCTGATTGGCTATAGGACAAATATCTCTTCCTGTTTCTGTTGGCGTCAATAAGCCAGTTTAACAAACACTGAGTTTTAATGGGATCTGTGTGCAAAGCTTCTTCATCAATAGGCCTAATGACCAGTTTCAGCTTAACCGCCAATAACCTGCCGATGGTTAGAGCTGGGTTATCAGAGCGGCATTTCTCAAGGGCAGAGGGGCCTCAAAGGCTGGTTCTAGACCTCACAGAGGGTCCCAGCTGGACTCTGCTCAGTCCAAATGGCTTAAAGCAGGTTCAGTCTATTCAATCAAATATCAGGTTATAAATTTATTGATGAAATTGTAAATTATAATCATAATCAAAATAAATTCTGTTTATATAGAACCTTTCAAGAACAGTTGTCACATAGAGCTTCATAGTCATCAATTAAAAAGGATAAGATGACAATATATATACATTAATAAATAGCATACTCGCAGCCAAAGTCCTGTTCATACAAAGGCAAGTCTAAACAAATGGGTTTTTAACTGCTTTTTGAAAGTATCCACAGTGTCCACAGGATCTTAGAGTCCTGCTGGACTTCCATGGCTTTAGCAGGTCTCTGATATAAGATAGGGCTTGTCCGTGCAAAGCTCTGTACACAATAACAAGTAAATTAAACTGGATTCTGATAACTTGATCATGAACTAAGAATCAGCATATTTATACCAACCTGCTGTAGTGACAGAGAGACAAACATTCACAAGCGTTTGCAGACATGTAAAGCTCTGGGGCTGCATAATTCTTTCACTGTTATGATAATGCTGCACCATGTAACCTAACATCTCATGCGTTTCATATCACACACATTTTTGTGCTTATTACATGTTTTTTTTTTTTCAGGTTTTATTTTCCCCCGGGTAATATTTTATTTTATTTTATTTTATTTTATTTTATTTTTTAAGGTGGGGGGGTCTGATAAAATATTAATTTATTGCCTCCCTGAAACATTTATGGCATTAAACCACAGGTCACCATATGAAAGGATTTTATTGCTTCTTAATACCACATAATTTCATGTCTTTCTTTTATCAGCAGTTTTTACAAACCAACAGAGATCCTAACTTTCTATAAGTCCTTTCTATAATTGTAAATATGAGTTTCAGGAAACTATTGCAAAATCAAAAATATGATCTTGATTTTTTTACCCTTTTTGGTTGAGAGTCCAGTTCCAGTAAACAAACCCTGACCCTGCTGCCAGACCATGTAACCCAACATCTCATGAGTTGCATATAAAACCCATGCTGAGCTTTAAATCTTCTCCTCTTGTTGGTATGAGAGTCACTTTTTTGCAGTCTTTCCTGTGCAGAAGTTTGTTGTTTTCTATTTGCTGCTGACTCAGTTATGTGATGTGTGGCATTTAAGTGCAAGTACAAAAATCAGGTACCTGAAAAATAAACTTAAAAAGTATAAAAAAAAAAAAACAAGAATCTATAAAAGACATAATATTTAGGAAAACATATAAAATTAAAAACAATAAGTTGGAAACACAAATAAATCGTAAATGTTGTTTTTGAAATTCATTTGTTTCCAAAAACATTTTTATGTTTGTAGAATTTATTCATGTTTTGTAAAATATATCTTGTCTTCAAGTGAGACATTTTTGTGTTTCATAAAAAAAAAAATCTGTTTTTTTTCCCCCCAGATAGTAAAATGAGTCTGATAAAATATTAATTTATTGCCTCCCTGAAGCCTTTTTTGCCATTTAAGTCAAGGTCACCATACAAAAGGATTTTATTGCTTTTTAATACCACATAATTTCACGGCTTCTTTTCTCAGCAGTTTTACAAACCAACGGAGATCTTTCTATAAGTGTGAATATGAGTTAGAGAAAACTGTTGCAAAGTCAAAAATATGATCTTAATTTTTCACCCTTTTTAATTGAGAGTCCAGTTCCAGTAAACAAACCCTGACCCTGCTGCTGGACTTGGTCTACAAAGTCCTACACACCCCCTGACCTCCGGCCCCTAAACCTCTGCAGACCCTTCCCAAACCTCACTCCTCCCCCCTTGTCCCCTCTGACGTCCTGCTGCGGTCAACAGCAGAGAGACTGATGTCCAGTCAACCGACGTCTGACTGACCTTTACCAGCTCAGCCTCCAGGGACTCATCTATCTCTCTGTCTCCTAGCATCCCTCACTCCCTGCCTCACCCCCCCACCCCCTTTTGCTCTAATGCTAATGCAGCTGTTTATAACTGCCACATTGACTTTTCCCTGCCACTGTATGTAAATACAATCTGCTCTGATCAATGGACTGAGAGGTGACATGACGCTGACCACAAACACACATGCAAACACACACACAGATCTGCACAGTGCTGCAAACGCTGCTGCCAAAACACACACAGCTATCTCACTAAATACCCATAAAACGGCCCAAACATCAGAGACATTTAGAGATTGTTTTGGGACTTGAGTCCAGCCGAGTTTCTGTCTCAGCCTTAGAGTATTTGTGACTACAGCAAGTAAAACTAGCACCCTGTGGGGCACCAATAGGCCTGAGTGATGTCCTACTGCCCCCTCCCAAACACATTGCTTGAAATTTTGTAGGGGGCGCTATGGAGCCATTTTTAGTTGGACCTCAATTTTGACATTGATTCCCTCAAGAGGATGCCCCTCCTGATCTGTGCATTTTCATGTGGCTGTGCATATCTATTTTTGTGAGACATTTCATAGTACCGCATAGGCACAGTTAAACAAAACATGGTGCTGATTTTTTTGCCACTCTGGTACCGCGTCAGGTGTGTCCTGAATAAATCTGAGCTGCATCCATCAAACAAGAAGGAGTTACAGGCCATTAACTGAAAAAACACGTTTGCCTTTGCCACCGAGTGGCACTACAACAAACAGACAAAAGTTTGGTGTCAAATTGTCCGGTGCCGGACCATTATCAAATGTGTAAAATCTGGTTGAGCTGGAACCAGTGCGCAGCAAGTACTACAAGAAACTCCCCCAGCATGATAATCTGTATGGTGCGCTAGCAAGACATTTTTCTTCATCCATATAGGGGCCCAGTAAAATATGCAAATTTTAGCCGGGCCTGAATCGCCTGCCAAATTTCATGAGGTTTTGAGCCCATCTAGACAGCTTTTAAAATGAAAAACTTTTTTTTTAATAGGGCTCTCGTCAGCTTGGGCCCAAATCAATTTATGAAGGCCAAACATCCACTATTAGACCTGAAAGTGCAGCATGATAAGAAGTGAATACTTGGTTGCACTGAAGGTTTTCGCAAAAATCTCCTTGCCTCTGATCTGCAGAAGAGACCGTGTTTTCTGCAGGACTGATGCTGCTGACTTAATGTCCATAAAATAAATGACAAATTTTGCCTCCTGCACCACAACGCACTGACACAACCACAACAAAAAGAAGCATAGAGTCAAAGTCAAGGTTTGAAAGTTAAGACACGGAAATAAGGATTTTTTTTTTTTTGTACCTTAAAAAGTTTGGGTCCACAAATTTCGGACACCAACTCTGACAGTTAATTTTTAAAGAAGCTCCATTGTTTATCCTGGCCCTCACTTTAACCGCTTAAGCTGTCAGCAATGTGACTGAAAGACAACTGCAGAGTTAAACACCTATATTGCCAGATTAACTCACAGCGTTACACAAAGAGGGTTCAGGTTAACTTTATCCAAGGTTCATCACTCTATACAAATAACTTTTAGACTACAGTACCCACAATTCCTCACCCCCCAGCCCCTCTTACCTCCCACAGGTGTCGGGTGTTCCTGATGGCTCCGGTTTGCAGTTTCTCCAGCAGCAGAGGAACTCCCTGAAACGGGCCGATCCAGGTCCCCTGAGGAATCCTTTGAGCTGCACAGATCCCGTAACCAAGACCAGGAACTGTACTGGTGCACAGGCACACCTGAAAACATCACGCACACAAACAGATTAAACTATCTTAAGAATGGAAAACGCTTCAAATTAATGATGGGGATAAACTGAGAGTAGGTGTCACCTCTCTGGGCAGGTCTCTCAGCCAATCAGGGACGTCAGGCAGAGCGACAGGGGCCGCCGTGCTGCTGGTGCCGACAAGTCTTCGCAAAGAGTGAAGAGGACCGTGCATTGGACACTCGCCATTCCTGTTGTCTGCACACATGTCACAACCTGCAAAGGAAAACCGTCAAATTGATCAGTTTGAACACTCAACATTTTGGTGCGACTACAATACATTTTGCACATCCCAGCTCTCATGGAATCAAGGTAGTTCTTTATTTTAAACTTTGAATAACTTTTTAAAAGTTATTCAAAGTTTAAAATAGTACTACCTTGCAAGATTTGAAAAGGGCTCTCATCAACTTGGGCCCAAATCATGCAAAATTTCCTAAAGGAGTAAATAACTAACTCAGGCTGATGCTGAAAAAGGGTAAGAGAAAACGAGCAGGATCCATGTGTTTGAACCTCTCCTGAAAAGCCCTCTCTTCTATGTTTTTCCAGGTTAAATGTGGCGTTAAGCATTTTGCTGGGAATTAGCGAGTGTCAACATTTACTCAGAGATGCAGTCTGACAGTAATGGATGTTAATTGACTGTAGCAACATAATGAGAGATGATTATCTGAACACAAAACTCCCACAGAGCCACTCAGAGCCGAGCAGCTGAGAGGAACAGGATGTAAATGTTGTTTTTTCTGTTTTTCCCAAAATTAAATATCCGCAGTTTAAGAGAGTGGCGGCCACTTTTACACTGTGATGGATAGACGCAAATTAAACCACATTATAGTCATTTATAAACCACGAAATGAAACGCAGATTCACGCTCAAGTAAATGGGAAAAACTTGGCTATTAAAGTGAAATAAACAAAAGTGGCCTTTTCAGGTTGAGGTTAGACATCGTCTGGAAACTACTCAAAACCAGGTCTACTTCAGTCTTGAGAGTTTAATGGGGTTCTGTATGTGATCCTATAGTACAACTAAAAACTGATGTTCTGATCTCAGAGCTTCCACATGATAAACAGACATATAAGATATTCAATTAAGTGACTGCTTGGAGTTTTTGCATGTTTTTAAGGTATACAACTATGTTTTATCCTAGCTCAGTCCTTGTCTTTTCAAGAGTGTTTTTAGTCAGCCTTGGTGCCTATGTCTTTGGAGGTGTGATTTTAATTTTGGTGTTCATCAAGGCAGCATTCTTGGACCCCTTTTTTTCTCCTTAAACATGCTACCACTTGAAAACAGTGGTGTAATGATGAAGAACAAACAGCTCAAGTGCCCTCTTGGATGTGTCTTTGGTAAATGAAACATTCTAATAATTTTTTCCTGGTGCCCTTTCTATGGAAAACATTGAAAACTGCTGCAGATAGGGGGCTCTATTTTCGTGCTTCGCCAGCAACGTGGCGCAGGCGCAGCGTAAGTCAGGTCCGCCATGCCGACAAGGCGTTCCCAAGCAAGTTGTAAGGAGGGAGGAGAGAGGGCGTGGAGTGGATTTAACACAGCTGAGACCTGTATTGACCAATAACATAAGCTCCTCTCCTTGCCTTTAAATCCGCCACCGGCGAGGTGTCTTACAATTTTCGTGAAGTAGTCAAAGTAATCAAGAGATGTCTGTAGACAGCAATGCCACACGATGGCGACAGAAGGCAGCTCCTCAACAAGTGTTGTTGTAAGCACTGCAGAGGGCGTCCTCCACACTGTCTCATACAAGCACAGATGGATTTGGTGTGTGTAATGTTGGACCCACTGGTAAGACAAACATCCTTTTCCACAAATAAAGACACTCACATAAAGTTGCATATATTTAAACCTCACGTGACAAAGGTGGGTTGTGCGCACAGATCACAACATAAATTCCAATAATACTAGATATTTAATTTAATTTAATACGGTTTCAACTGTGTTAATTCGGTCAAGTTGAGTGTTCAAACTCATGCCAAACGTGCTCATCAGATCAGATATAGATGTGAATATATCTATAGATCTAAATGTATGTGCTGACTCAGAATATTGGTTGTTGTTGATTATTTATTGCACTGAAATGAGCCTCACACTGTGGAAACCTGTCAGTGAGGCATTTGTGACGTATGCACACTATGCCATCGGTCTACCAAAATACCACTAGACCAGCTGTGCTCTGCCTGCGCTAAAAGCTGACCAGGTTTGAAGAGCGGCAAGCTTTCAGCGCACTTTCTACGCTGCTGGCAGGCACGAAAATATCACTGCGCCAGCTAATTCTGTCGACACCTCCCCCTTTCACCCCACCACGCTCAGCTTGGCGGACCTCAGCGCACCTCAGTCTACGAAAATACAGAACTGGCTGTGCTCCGGGCTCCGCCAGTTAAAAATACCACTGCGCAGTGTCTGCCACGCTCTGCCGGCGGGCACGATAATAGAGCCCAGGGTATTTGAACACCATTATCAACTTTTGACCCAAAAAACAACCCCAGCAACAAATACTGGAGGAACTGTGTTATGGTCGGTGACCATACTCATATATTTTGGGACTCTCCGGAAATACATATTCTGGAAAAATGTCAAAGAAGAACTAGAAAAAAGCTTTTTGGCAATGGACTTCCCTATGGACTCCTTGTTATTTTCATTAGATGTGTGTCCTGACCACCTGTTTAACACCGAACATTGTTATATATTACATTTTTTGTTGATGATTGACAGAAAAATTATTTCTATTTACTGTATGAAGCCTAATCCTCCCCTGATTGCTCAATGGTTACAGAAAGTAAAGCATGTTCACATGATGGAATATATGACAGCCCATTTACAGCTAAAAGGTGGACCCCAGTTATTGACTATCATGCCTAGAACTCTTATACATTTATACTCTTTATTCATTTATTCTTCTTATTGCCTTAAATATCCCATTTTATTGGAGTTACAGAACTAGATAAGGTATTTGCTCTGCACCGTACAGTGCTATCTCTATGTGACAGATGAGACCCAATCTTAAAATGTTTTTTTTTTTTTTTAATCTAGATCCTTCTGTAATTTTGATTGCCTGTTAATATGCATCAAAGGCATAAAAAAGCATTGTAGTAGGTGCTTTTCTAAGGGTTCAAACATGATGACAGGATGCTTTTTGGTTGCCTTTAGAGTATGTAAAATACAGAAAAGTGCCTTCCTGATTCTCTAGCTGTGGCTATGTTTTATTCTCCCCTTAAGGATACCCTGCTAGAAAAATGAATGGAAATAATGCTCTCTGGAACCCCACCAAATGCTCAAATGTGATAATGCCATTACAGTGGTCATATCTTGTACCTATGGTTGACTCGTTTAATGTCTCGGCGTATTTTAAAATTAATGCATAAAACAAATAAACAACTGAAGTTAAAAAAGAAATCACAGAATTGATTTAGAAATGATAATGTATTCTAAACTTTGGACTTATCAAAGTAGCCATATTTGGCAGATATAACAGCTGAACACACTTACTGCATTCTTTCTACAATGGAAATCAAATATTCTTCAGAAAGTTCTTCCCAACTCTGTTGCTTAAGTTTTCATAAATGTGTAGCACTTGCAGCTTGCTTTGCTGTCACTCCTCTGTCCAGTTCATCTCAAACCAGCTCCACGGGGTTTACGTTTGGAGACTGTGCTGGCCACTCCATGTTTTCAAGCTTACCATCTTGTTCTCTTTTCTTAAGGTAGTTCTGGTATAGCTCAAAACATAGACTTATGTTTTAGGTCATTATCTTGCTGTAGGATGAACCCCTGACTAACTAGGTGCATCCCAGAGAGTACTGCATGGCACTGCAGAATGCTGTGGTAGCTATTTTGGTTCAGGGTGCCTTTTACTCTGTACAAGTCACTGACCCTGGATCCAGCAAAACAGCCCCAGACCATCACACTTCCCTCCTCCATGTTTAACGTCACACACTGAGGAACCATCCTTTGCCTACTTGATGGCATACGAAATTCCTGCGTGATGAACCAAAGATTCCAAATTTTGATTCATCAGTCCACAACACCTTCTTCCAGTAGTCTTGGCTGTGTTTCATGGTTTAGACAAGCCTCTTTTTCTTATTTTGAAGTCTCAGCATTGGCTTTCTTGCTGCACCTCGACCCATCACACCTGCAACTTGAAGTCTTCTTTTCACAGTTGAAACTGAGACTTGCTTACTGCAACCACTATTAAGCTGTGCTTGAGGCTGTTGTCCTGTGAGCTGTCTACCATGCAAGCTGTGGACTCTCAGAAACTTGTCTTCTGATGCTGTCATGGCTTTGGGTCTGCTAGACCTCTGCCTGTCAGCATTTCCCCCGGTTTTTGAGTGCCATTTGATGGTAAAGGAAACTGTACTCACTGACACCTTGACTTTCTTGGCAATCTCTCTCTTGGAAAGACCTACAATTTTAAGTTTCGGGATGGTCTGTCTCTCTTTTATCGTTAATTGCCTTTTCCTCGCCATTTTTATAGTAGTACACTACTCTCTGCAGTACACTACTGTTCAAACAATGCTCACAACAGTATGGTACCACAGTGTGTTCTAACACTACTTGGATGCTGACAGAGGGGGTTGTAAGTGATTGAGAAAAGTTAGGACACCTGTAGGAATTGGTAGCACCAAATTTCAAGGCTTGATCAACCACCATTGCTGCAGAACTGCTTTAAGATTTTAAGCCATTTCTTGTTCCCTGAAAAAAGTCTTTTTGTATAAATCTGAAATGTTCATTAGTTTTCAGTTTTGATTCACTTTTCCTTTTTTTATTTACCTCTGGCAGTTCACCACTTACCTTTGCACCCTTTCAAGCTGTTCATTGGACTTGAACTGCTTGAATTTCAATAAAAAAACTGGAACAATTGGTATGTTCTAAACTTTTGACCAGTAGTATATGTATATATATTTTTTAATCTAAATGTTGAATCTGTCTATTGTGCACTGCTTACCATGTGAAAAATGAAAGATCAAATCTTGATACCTCGTGAGCCTCGTGGCATACGTGGTTACCCTTTATCATCATCTTTATGTTGACGACACGTGATTGTACACCTGAGTCTGGCCTTACAACCCAGATGAACTGTGGCCCAAAAAGTGCCAAAAAATGTTAATCAAACTGTATTTTAAATGTTGTTCTGCCATACGGTACTGACAGCTGAATAAAGTCATGCTGCAGTTCTTTGAATGTCCACTAGGCTGGTTCAGTACAAACACC